ACAACAATCGGAATTCGCGCAAGGGTGTGATTTCATCCGTGAGATCCGCAACGTTTTGGACGCAGTTCGAACAAACGCGAAATTAGTAAGCTAATTAAAAACGGCCAGCACAAGCAACCAGAAATGATTACTGTGTAAAATGATTTAAAAAAGTATTTACCAAGAGTTTTGAGTAAAAAATGCATATATAAAATTTTGCTTTATTTCTTCTTATACGTATTGTAAACGGTATAGTAAATTCTCTTTAAAAAGCCATCGTAATTTCATTCCAACAAAATTACATTTACAACGCATTACAAAATTAAAATGTAGTCGAATTGGATTTACTTGATAGTTCTTTGAAGCGTGTTCAATTGTTAAGCGGTTCTCCTTACTCGAGAATAAACTAGAGGCGCAATTTTTCGTTGAGAATAAAAGTCTTCTAGGTACTCTGGAAATTTGATTAAAATACAATTCGAAATAGACGAATCAGTGCATGTACTATAACGATTTATCGTTTGTAATTTATAGATATAGGTAACATTAATTTAAAATTAATGTTCCTGGAATATTCATGTTATAGGATATCAAATTAATCGTTAATTTTGTTCAGTTACGCCCAGCCATTTAAGCGAAATTAGCATCAATCCAAAATCCAATTTAACTCGACCTTGTCACTCGAGACGTCTTCTATATGCAAAATGCAATATTTCTCTCCAGATTGCCTTTAAATTTTAATAATCTCGCTTTATCTTTACGGCGAAGTAACGTTCACGTAAAAGAGGGTCATGATTTGTTTTGTAAACAGAATAGGCGAAAAAACGAGGAATATTATTTTACATTATATAGATATTGAATTTTTCTCAGACATTGCTCTATTTTGATACAGCATTTTGAAACAAAACGACGAAAATTCAGTAGAATAAAGAACGGTAAAATTTTTGAATCGAACGCATAGAATTGGGAATTCAAAAATAACAATTTAATGACGAGGGAATTTAAATAGTCAGTTGAACAAAATGAATTTGCGCTTCTCTTGGCAATATTCGGTAGAAAGAGTGTTGACGGAATCTAATCAACGTTTCAGGTCAAATGAGTTCATACACATAGTGCACACTGCGAATTCGGGTACTAAAAATTAATGGTGAATAAATCAATTTGCACACTACGAACTAATTCATTGCAACTGCATTGGAAATTTTCATTAACTAATTGCACGTTTAGCTAAAATTTCAGTTTCATTTTACTTGACCAGTAAATGAATTATATGAAAATTATATTTAAATAGGTATAAAAAACATACTTAACCACAACGGACGTTTAATTTATAACATATACCGCATTATAATCTGAATCTAGTGCTATTGTATAAATAACAGTAACTTTAATAGACATTGAATTGAAAAGGTTCGAAGAGTAAATGCGACATTTAATAGAGGTAAATACTAGCTCTGAGTAGAAATGTAATATTGTATTGAACCACTGTAAATATTTAACAAATTTTTCTATCAATGCAAGTACAGCAGAGCTTAAGAACACATTAGTAGAAATAAAATAATACAAAAGTTGGATACAACCTTAACTTTTTGATTACATTGGTTTTGGAACTTCCATATACCTAAGTAGATAGAAAGTTTTAACTAACCCGATGTTTAGGCTTAAGCGAGCACAACAACACATAAAAAGTTAACGTATGAAACGAACTAAATAAAAACAGGAGCCAGTCTTGTCGAAAATTGAGAAGAGATCTTCTTTTATGGAAATCGTTATTGTTTATTACTATTTTTTAGTATTTCAGCTAGAACTTACACTAAACTGCATCACTACATATTTCTCTTCATTTGCTCGATTTTATATTAACTTGAACAAATATTAGCTAACTCCTCAGAAAACAATATTAAAATAGAGTTTCGCGTTTTCGAGTAAAGAATAAAACATTCCTTTACAAGCGATTCCGTGATTTAAAATCAAATGATTTTATGGCATTAAATCTTGGGCCTTTGCCAGAGAGTGGTACATAAACAAGAAGAACTTAAAATGTACTGCTACAAAACACAGTAAATACTTCGAGAGGTACGTTAACGTATAACAAAGTTGCATTATCCGAATTTTTGCGAACTAAAACAACGATTCTTCTCCTACTATCGTTAATATAAGAATATAAAAGGAAAAATATTAACCGTAAAAGAAAATAAACTTGTTTATACCATAAAAGGGTTAACTAGAATTGAAATGTAGGTAAGTATGTAGGTACATACTAGGTACATACTCGACACAAAATTTTGGCCGGTTTTTTGCCCTTCCGGGGCGAAAAAAAAAATTATTAATAATAATAATTTATTAATAACGTTGCTCAACAGACCTGTAACCAACAGAAGCTGTCATGTTATTAATTTCACATAGTATAGTTGCGTGTAATTTTTGACCCAACTGAACATAAAAGTAGGGAAGTATACCTATAATCCTGGAGACACTCTGTAATATAAATGTAATCTGAAAATCTTTTAATATCGTTCAACTACGCCAACTAAAATCACGCGCTTTGATTTACGTCCCGAATTCTCATTTCCTTATAGAGCAAACCCGGTTGTCTAGAATGCTATTATAAACTTTAATACCCGTAATCTAGTTACCAAAATACCTTGTAATCCCTAGGGATATCTTGTTCAGTGAAATTTTGAGATAATTCCAAGTAGACTAACCACCTAGAAACCAGATACAAAGGGAACGTCGTTCCCTAAAATGATCATTCTTATTAGATACATACCTATATCCTTTATAAGGGTACTCTTAATTAAGTATCCCTTATATGAGTAGCTCAATATAGTATAGATAGGTATGTTTCAATTTTGAAATGTTGTTATGTAGATATTTTCAATCGTAGAAATATTGATGAGGTAATATTAGTGAGCAAATTATAAGTTCTTCCCATATGGTTTTGCTATAGAGAAAATTCTAATAATCTACGTTAAAGGTATAGTGCCTTTGTGAGCATTTCAAAAGGACCTTCAACGCAAAGAGAACTTTACGGAGTTCCCAATTTTGTATTCTATCAATGTATGTTCAACACAAGACGTTATAACGCTCGAATAATCCCACGATAATTAGTAATACTAAAAAGGATTATAATTGCAACGTCCCCGCGTAGTACAAGCTATAAGAGCTATAATATTTATTTCCAATCCTAAAATATCGTCAGAAATGATTTTATGCAAATACATCATAATGTTAACTCAAATCAATAGACGCGTTACCATAATCCGTTTATGTGGATAGCAAATAATAAAGCTTAGCACAACAAAGTCAACAAAATTGTGGTTTACACAGATCTTCAAATTAATTTAAACAATCGAATTTATTTGGCAATGTTCAGCATGAATGTTTCATTAATGTTCAATAGTAGTCAAACACGCAAAGTTTTCAAAATTAGAGCTTGCAATAAAATATTCTCTATCACTCTTATAGAGGCTATGAGAGTAAGAGTAGCCTAACCCACAATGTATTTTTTACTAGGTATTTTTTAGAAGTTATTTTTTATTTTTGGTTACGAAATATTTTGAAATTTTTGTGGGTTAGGCCACTGCTACTCTCATAGCCTCTTTTTTCTTAATCTAAAAATTTATTTATTCTAAAGATTTTATTAGAAATTTATTACAAATAATGTTTGATTTTTTATGCAAGTTGCCTTGCAATGTATCTACGCAACAGTGAGGATAGTGGTTGTACCTACAGCTTGTTCATTAGTTTAATTGTTCAAAAGTTTATTCATCACTATTAGTTGGTTAATTATTGTTCCAATTAATGTTAGTTACTCTATATTCAAATCGTTCGCTATGGTAGATGAATAAATCTCCACTGAATGAAAAGTTAAATTGTATTATTGCAACTAGTTTTGTATGAACTTTCTATCTATTTGCTGTAACAAAAAAAAAATGTCAGTTGTAATTTTTATAGCTACATGTAATACAAACAAGCAGTTGAAAACATGAAACAGAGACAGGAAAAACTCAAGCAACTCTCGTATTGCGATTGCAGTGAGTTTTCTCTACAATCTAAATCCTTTGATCATTTTTACTTTACTCAATACACCTATTATTTCGTTGAGTAACAGGGAATCTCACTTGTTTTAACAAATATGCCTGTGAAATTTTACTGAAACTGTTATGTACCCATATATTAAAAATAACTTTGCTGAATATTCTCGTTGAATTATTCAAAAGATATAAAGAACTTGACAAAAATTATCCCTACTTATATATTCAAAAGTTTTATGGGTAGGTACCTAAAGCTTTCAAAGAATTTCATAAAAATCGGGATTCTTCGAAAAATTGTAGAAGAAGTTTAGTAACGGAGTTGAATGAGAAAATCGATATTTGATTATCTGTATTAAAAATTATACGGTCTAATAAATACAAAATCTTTCAAATATTAAGTTTTAATAAAGTTACTATTTCAAATCCTTGATAATTCAATTAATCCCTGATTTTATTACAAATTTACGTTTCATTTTTCATCATTTTATTCAATTTTTCTTACATTATCTTTTAATTCGCTAATTTAAATTTAATGTCGTACATTATTCTTGTTACTTTCCTGATTATCTACATTATTTTTCTTCCGCTTACATCCTCAATTTTCAAAAACTGATCTTTTCCATTTTATAGAAGAACATCTAAAACATTTCTCCATGATATCAATTTGCCCTAATTGCTGTCCTTTTAAAGCTCTAATGAAATTTTTACCTCAATTAGATGAAAACGTTGTTAAAAGCCACTATAAGAGCTTCTGCAAGTACAAAATTTTTACTTTGCTCAAAGGTACACCAATTAAAATTTAAAATCTCAAATAAAACTTCAATCAAACCATTAATTACGAATGCTCAAAAAATCGGCATTTCATTTCATTGCATCGATATCCCTTGCAAAAATTTGCTCGTCTTATTTGCGCGAATTAAAAGTTTATATTAGAAGAAACTCTAAAAATAATACATCTATCCAAAATTTAATGAGAATGTATCATACCAACAGTCCAGAAGCACTCCGAGGAGATATGTGGGTAAATTTTGGGAATCAGCACGAGCAACTTAGAGCCGGGAACAGGAGAGCACGATTACATGTGACGGAGTGGGAGTTGCCTCCAACGAGGATCTCTTGAAATGCAGAGCGCGATGTTCAGCCCGAAACTGAACTTCGAAATGACGAGGGAGTTTCGCGAAGTTGAGCGCACTCTAACGGTCAAATCGGCTCGGGAGCATCATAGCGTATACGCCGAGGACCGAGGACTGAGGTTGAGGTAGCCTTCAGTTGTGTATGTGAGATGGAGACAGATTGGATGTTTTTGTTAGAATTCGCTTTTGTACAATGAATACAGAACAGAGATCCCAATAAAAAACTAGAATGTTGTAAGAGGACTGTATTTTTTGAGTTGAGTTTACAAAAAACGTCCCTTTTATACGGTTTCTCTTCACTTTGTCAGTTACAAATTATTCACCTACGTATGTGAAAAATGGATCCCATGAGATTTCAACTGATGATAATAAATTATACCTAGCTAGTGATCGGAAAGATACACTTCCAATACCTAAATACGTACATTTAAGGTAGATATTTATTTGTTCATCTAATATTGAAGGCTTACTCCTTCAATTTTTATTAACTGCAAAAAAACTTCTTCATACAATATCTACTGAGTTTTTTTTATTCGATTGAAAACATGAAAATTTCTAACATAGTGCAAATGTTCGCTAAATAAATTCAACTCCCGGCGGATTTGCTCAAACTTGAGCCGAGCTGTAACGATTCGCTCAGCGTGCTAGAGAGAATATGCAGGTGCATTATGGTGGTGAAACAAGACTCTTCTGCGTAATTATTCACGTCATTTTTCTTAATTATTTTCTTTTTATGAAACCGTTCCACCGCAATATATTACAGTCAACTATTATTACATTTCTCGGCAACCGCGTTTAAAATTTGGACTGCTGATGTACGCCAGGTGATAAATTCTTTAGAGAAAATTTCCACTTTATTATAAAGTAATTTATTAGTTACAAATAGTGCTTGCTTTATAATTAACACAGTATTTCGAATATGATAAAAATGATAACATTGTAATACCAAAATTTTCATTGGAACTTTGATATAGAATTATCTGAATGGTAAAATGTGAAGAAAGTTTAAAGTTAGCGGAAGCAATAAATAAAAAATTAAATTACGAATTCTTTTGTGCAGAATTTACTTTCCTAATTCGATTAAGACATAAATTTTCGCCCAACATAGAAGTGCAAAAATCTCGAAATCTAATATTATGCATTTTAACTAGGTAAGTGTACATAGCCGTTGGTAATTTTTAAAATTCCCCCTTTTCGAAATGCGTCGCACTGTTCAAATAAAGTGGCGTTTTTAAATTGTGCTATTAGGGTGATGAAAGCGCAGAGTTAATCTTAATGCAAGATGGTGGCATTAAAAGATGAGATTATAATAAAATACCTAAGGAATAGAGTAAATGGGACACAAAAAGGAGAAAGTAAAACAGTTTTTTAGCGCGTCTTCTTAAATTAAGCTCTTAAAGTGTCTTGGCGTTAATCTCGTTAAATTTTTGTGTTTTATGGAAATGTTGAAACAAAGTGCCCATCGTTATATTCTACGATAAGTTTTTTAAAGTTTCTTTGTTTAGAAATAATAAAAATAAAAGTTTCGCCAAACAAATGCACTGCGAAATTTATTATGAAATTAAAATAAGTAGGTTATGTTTATGCACATAAATATTAACAACTAGGTGTAACAACGTTAGTTTAAAAAACCAGGAACAGGGACATCAAATTTTTTGAAGAGCATATTTTTATTGCCCGGTCTGACATAAATTAAAGTTGGAGAACTCCATAAAATTTATGGCTTCAATTTCCCCCGGGATGTAATTATGAAACGATTTCAAAAGTTTCTTGATAAAAGTGTCACGTTATAACACTGAAATTCTCTCTCAGGTAGTGTGCAAAGTGTACGATTTTCACAGTGGGGACCCCAATCCCTTCGATAAGGAAATTTCTTTCTATAGTAAGTTGGAGTTTTATACGTTTATCCGCGATCTCGTTAAAAATGTGAAAAATAGTTAGGTATTTATGGTAGCAAGTTGGTAAAATATTTCTTCTCTGATGAATGGTTATTTTTTTGTACCCAATTATACCTACATGCATAATTATTCATAACGTTTATTAATGATTCAATATTTTTTCAAAAATAGTCAAATATATCTAAAATATTAGATTGAAGGCACGATAGAAACATGAATTGTTTATAATATAAATCGAAAATTAATTACTGAATTGTATAATTTTATCTATGATATTAACAACTTTTATTACAGCGCGTACTCCTGAGAATTAAATGAGCAATTTGTATCTTTGTTTGTAAACACTTTGATAAAATATCTAATTAAATAGATATTCAACATGATTTGTCGTTTATGAATAGTTTATGAATATTAAGCGGTTTTCCTTTTATAAAAGTGTACTATCTATCTGTCACAAAACGTCGAATATAAAGGGATTTTGCTATAAATGCTACACACATTGAACGTATACTGTCGGTTTATAGGAGATTGGATAGACAAACACGACGCGTATTGATTTCAACCTAATGAAAATTTGTATGGTAAACTGAAAAATCGCATGTTAGTTTTAGAATTGCTCCCCTGTTGCTCGTTTTTTTCTTTTATTTCTTTTTTTCAGGTCACAGCTGGCTAATTGGAAACTGAAAAATATTTAAATGTTCATCTATTATTTCAAACGCCATTCGAAGCAATTAATTATTTTTACGTAAACAAATTTGTGATGAGTTTTGTCTTAAAAAGTCGTAAAATTTTTCAACGGAGACAGTTCCCAGTTTTTTAGATAAGGCAAATCGCGACTCGAAATTCATCGGAGAACTTTATAAACTTTCTTATCGGCTCATTGCGCTTCCGCTAATCCGTAATCTTCTTACCGAGATTATTTTCATTTTATAAACCACTAAATGTAATTACAGTGATGCCTGTCTAGCGGATATGCGGTACATAGGACATTAATTAATTGGTATCCGTCATATCAACTCTTATAGTATAACTTCCTAAACTTTATCCAATGATCTTGAAACTGTAACAGAAGAGCTCTCTCCAAGCCAACTTGTATTAAATTCTATTATAACCATAGACCAAGTTTAGGGTCTTGTAATGAGTTTCCGCTGAAATTAATGCCGAATTTTGGTCCACTATGACAGTATATAATCAACAAATATGAACCTGCGAAATTAAATCGATGAACCAGTTTTACTCATTTCTGGATCCTTATAACAATTCAACGCTAAATTTGTTTTATTTCTGCATAGGTTTTTTCTTTTCTTAATATGATAAAATTCATATAAACAGATAAAAAGTTTGCAAAGATTATTTAATAATTTTTTCAGTAGTAGGTAGTACTTACTTCCTGCAAATGCTGCTAAATTTAAAAATTTATTACCTTGCACATTTGACGTATATCACACACCAAAATTAAATAAAGCTATTTTGTTAAAAAAATCATTTAAAACAGAATATATTATTCTGTTATTTGTGCATTCACACAATTTTAATATACCCTATTTGTTAAACAACCTAAACTTATGTATGCTATGTTGAAACTCGATTCATGTTGTAGCAAATGACAATAATTACTAGAGACTATTATGGTTGCTAACTAAAAGGCCGGAGCGGCATTTAAATAAGGCCCATTACATTCAATGTACCATTTTGACCGAAATGAATGGGTTAATGGCGCCAATTTGCAATTAACAGCAATTACATTTTTACTGAATCTTCTATGAACTCCTGTCCGCTAAAGTATAAAAGTAAAATTCTGTTGATTAAAGCTCGCTCGTTGCCATTAGAACGAACGGAATTACGGAAAATTGCCAAAGAATTTATTCGAGGCAATTTTGAGAGTCATTAATATTTTAAAAAATTCTTCTTGAATATTTTTCACTCAACTGAAAGCCGGATTATTTTTTACAGCTTTGAGAAACCGTATTGATTTTAACATAAATCAATTACAAATACCTAATTTCGTCGGTTCCTGAGAATACGTTTTCACAAAAACAGCTGTATTTTAATAAAAAGTGAATGTTCAATCTCTTGTAAGTATTTTAATTTAAATTAAAAATATATTTGAATTGATGTTTAAATTTTTACGGTACATTACACCAGAGAAAAAACGTGATTCTGAACTGCCCTATCGAAAATCCCGTTTGAAAATCCCTAAAAATTCCCATTGGAAATTTCGATTAAACAACTCGCTTAAATGTATAGCCCTTGAGATTTAAACAGTCAGTTTAGGTAAAATTAAATAAAATAGCCGAAAGATGCTATCGAAGGGAACCTCTTTACGTCAACTTCATTCATTAATTTTGACCCGTCAAAGCACAACAGAATCAATTATACAAAAGTTAGATTGAACCCTTAAACATCAAATCAAAAAGCGACTTTACCCTCTTTAGACTGCCGGATAGAAATTAAATTGAAGGGTATCTCTAGTTGTGTTCGTGACAAGAATGGGGCGAATAAATGAATGATGTTGCGGAAATTCCTCCCGTGTATCAACCCTTAGGTCAACATAACTTCGATTAATGAAGAGCAATCCAAAAACGAAAAAAATCTTAATCTGACGATGATTTATGTCTTTATCTGGAGCGATCGGATATTATATTTTATTACAGATCATTATTAGATGTATCGTCGCAAGAGTTAATTATTGAAAACATGTAAAACATCGATCAATTTTTTTTGGTGTAATGCAATTTTTGTAACCATTACCAGCTCGGTTCCAGCTCACCTTACGAACGACGTTGTATCCCAAATAATGATCGACTCAGACAATTCAGAGTGATTTGATCCATTTATAATAGCACAATGCAAAATAATCAAATTGTCCAGGACAATGAACCACGATTGTTATCACCCCGATAAAAGAAATTTACGATTTCAACCCAAATGCTCAGGTGTAATTCATTCTATCCGGGTGTAACGTTATAGCTTTGTTCCGCAATATCGCACTCGTAAAATAAAATACCGATCCGTATTCATAACACAAGAACATATCAATATCGTTAAGTATACAAAAATTTTATGTTCTTTCAATGCGAAAAGTGGGTAAGTAGTTTTTAAGGGTTCTTCATACATTATTAATATTGCAATAACCTAAAAAGCAAATTAGAGGAATACATTTTTGAACGTGAGTAACTCTTGGTTCTCAATTCTTGTTAAATATTTAGTAAAGTTTTTGTTGCTTGTTTGAAACTTATTCATGATTTATTTAAGATTTATTAACAATTACAAAAAGGCCAAAGGAGAACCTATTTTGTAATGAATTACTATACCAAAGAATATATTATTAAGAAAGGTTAATGCAGCAGTTAATAAAATACAATACTGTCATATTAATTATAGAAAATTTGTTTATTGTAACATTTTAATTGCACTGTTCTTCGACGCGTTATTGTTCAAATTATTAAAAACTACCATTATTTATATATTTCAGGCGGCATTGTAACATTTGCTGAGCTATTAAAAAAATTGATGTTTTAAAATAGAGCCGTTTATACATAAATATGATTTATCCCCATCCGCGTCTATAACTGCGAATGAGCGCAAAGTTTCGAAACGTTTCGGTGCAATTCATTCGATAGGATTATACCTTCGGACATATGCGATAACTTTAGAAGCGCACGATTTCGCGGAAACTATGCCTTCGTACATGCTCTGCATACATATAAAAACATTGTCTTCCAAGGAAATTTATGAGTTATATCTAGCTGGTAAATCCATGACGAATGCAGACCCATAAAGATAAAGTGATTCGAAAAGCTCGGGGTATAGAGGTTATCGAGATTATCTGGAAGCGGAATTAGACTGCCGGATTTATTTTCTGTTTGAACCTGCCAGCTAATAATTTCTTCTGCATATCAAAGCGATCTACAATAATTTTCATAATCGAATATTTGATTAATTACCTACCTACCTAAATTACCTTTAATTACCTTTGAATAAATTAATTTGAAATGAAATAATGTCGGCGTTTTACAAAGGTAAAGTCTTCAAGAACAACCGCGAATGCTATTTCAATAAATTGGGAATGAAATAAAATAAAACCAGCCTTTAACGTTTTTACGATTCTATTTCACGTAAGAGACTAAAGAACACCTAAATATGCTCGTTTAAATATTTAATTTCACTTTTGAGATTCTATTTCGGGGCTCTGCGTTGGAAGATTTTCATTTTCGTTTTCCTTCTTGTTTTTGTCGTCGCTTTGATTTCTCCTTTTTATTTCGTCGTAGACGATTTCGTCTTTTTCATTCGGTATGAAGCCGTTCTCTGCTTGCGATAAACTCGGATAAAGGGCATGAGTTGAAATATCCTGTAAAGATATTAAAATAGTTTACTTATCACTTATGAAATATTAATAAAATTTTGTGAACGAAGGGAAAATATTTAATTTGTAGATTTCTAACTGACGGAATTAAAGTACCCATTTTAATCAGAGTTTGTGTAAATTAACCGCAGGTATGCATATAAAACTGATTAAATATACCGGTATAAATTCAGCTAAAACCAAATTATCATTCAATTCGAATTTATATAAGTTTTATTTGTATTTAATAACGAACAATTTTGTACCATGTAGTAATTTAGTAAATGTAATAAAATATTGCGGAAATATTTTACACATATATGTATGTACATAAAAATAATAAATTAAATGTTTCAATCGAATCTATTCGAAATCAATAACCACATAATTCCCAATAATGTGGTTTAGAGATTAATTGACACTGATTAATCAAAAATCATTTTAATTTTTCCTATGGCAATAAATGTTTATTAATTATTACCTTATCACTATTTCTTCTAATTTCGTTGGTAGATTTAATAAATTCCTGCTTCTGGTGCGGTCTCAAACTACTCCTTCTAATAATACTACTCCTGGATAAGTGGCTTCTTCCCAATGACGACAATGATCCAGCAGGGTTAAACTCCGCCATAACACTCAATCTTTCCATACTCATCGTCGTTCCCTGATCTCTATATTTAACTCCTTTCCTCAGACTCTCCACTTCTTCTTCTACAGAAACATTCTTATAATAACAAACATTGTCGATTATTGACACCTTATATACCTTGCGAGTCTTCGGCAACCGCTCTCTCGGCTTTCTGGAGCCAAACGAAGTGCAGGAAAGCGTATAGGAGGCCGGAGCTGGCAGCAAACGCTCCCATTATTCTGAAGGTCAACGTTATTCCAAACTTGGCGATGAGGTGGCCTCCGAAGAAACTTCCACTTCCTCGTCCTACGCTGTAATGCGCCACCATGCACACGCCCAGCAACGTGGCCAGCAAACCTTTCGGCGCCAAAACAGCACAGTATGTCGCCGCAGCTACCCACATGAAATGCACAGCGATGGCTTCTAAAGCTTCGAATGGGATACACAACCAAGCAGTACTAAAAAGAATATTTGAAATTGAAGAGGATTAATCGATAAATTAGGATGCACTACTTACTCGGTTAGAGAATATCCTGTCAATCGGATGGAATGTGCAAAGAAAGCTGCAATTATAACTCTTACGTGTCCTACTTTACTGGTGATTTTCTCAGCGCCGTAGAGAAAAGGTACGCTACTTAAAGTACCTACTGTAACAGTTATACCCAAAAGGTAGTTTGGAGCTCCCAGATCTTTTAAATAAAAGAACAAGAAACTCTCTATAAAGCCCCACAAGTTTCCTAATAGAAACAAAAAGAATACAAATACCACCAAAGCGGGCATTTTCAATATTTTCTTTAAATCGCTGTATAAACTATCTGACGGTAACTTCGTGTCGATTTCCATCGTGAACATGGCAATGGAGGCAATAATTAGAAGAACGTCGAACGCGTAGAATGCTGCCGAGTAATCCGTATAGCCTAAACGTTCGCTGTTCCAATCTATCAAAGCACCGACTATCGGCGAAAATATAGCCATTCCTAAGCAGGAGAACAATCTTTCTTTACCGAAGTCACCGCCGTACTTTTCAATCAATGACAATGCCACCGGATCCGTGATTGATACTGCAGCGAGTTGGAGTGTTGTAGCTAAGAACCTCAAAATACCGTACATCCAAAATATCACGGGATCCGATTCTTCAAAATCTGGTGGGCAAACCTCCGGCCCGCCTTAAAAAAACAATAAAAAATGCAGATAAATGCATACATTATTTCAAATCACCTACCGAATCTAAATTGACACTTCTGGAGAATACAATCGTTGGTATAGTTGGATAAGCGAGTTTGCGTGCTAGAATTGGCCTCTAACACGATTCCACCGCATCTCAAGTCCTTGTGTTCTAATTCTTTCATATCGACGCCGTGACGTCGCAGCATTCCAGTGCGGAATCTCTTTTTAAATTCGGTAACATCTTCGTCGTCTTCTGCCGACTCTAATTCAATTCCAAATTGCTCGATGGGATCCCCGAGGTTCGGATGCATGTCCAAGGTAAACGCCGTCGCAGTATCGTTGCTGCAAATAATGAAAAGAATATACAGATTGCTCCATTTTTCATTGCAACATAGGCTGTGAGTGCAACAAAGACAACTTCAATTAGACACTTATAAAGGAAAAAGAAAGAGTGATATTATGTCATTGCAACTTTTCACTCTGACAATTGTTATTTTAATAATCTTTCTTTGTTCAACACATAGAAATGCCCATGTTGCAAGCGCGAATGAAGCACGGTGTATACGATGCAATTATTTCTTTATTAACAGTAGTGACTGGACATTTTTTGCGAATTCAATTGGAAGTGCTAAATTACACCTATCGATTAAAACAGACTGAACATTGAACTCTTTTTTAAATTATAACCTATAGGCAGTTTGTTATAGCACAATTGCAGCTAGTAACGACCGTAATATCATTGATCACTGATTAATTAACCGAACAATGCATTTCGAATGGAAAAAAAGTCGATTCGCCATCTGCAAACACATTAAACGGTCGGATAGCTACGACAGTCATCGACAATAGTTGCTGCATTGCTTTATTGAATGCTATTTTGCGAAATGTTATTCGGGAAAATGCTTCCGTTAGACGGTAATTGGACAGATAGATTATTTTATAATTCTCTGCAACATCGCTGTAATAGGATGAAAAGGGCGATATTAATGGTTTCATTAAAAAGTTCAATTTTTAATTGGAATTTTTCATTATTGTTATTATCACACTGAACGATTTTGCAGCTCCCGTTTATGATTTTATTGAACGTTCAATTTGAGTGCAATTGAATTTATTATACTGTATCTACGTATTTTTGGATAATAATAAAATTGATATGTTGTTATACCTATAGCTGCTGGTATTTTTTTAGAGACAAGTGTATAGGTAGAATTAAATATTGTTCTATGAGTATTTTTAACATACCTCTTCTTTTTCTTAATATGAAAACTCAGATCATCAGTATCTCCAGGATCGTTCATATCAATTGCCTTGTTTTTCTGTAATCTCTTTTCTATTTTAGCTTGCGTCAACAGACAATGATCTTCGCATAGATCTAAAACAATGTCTAATTCCTCGGTAGCCGGACATTGTCTGCTCGGGCACGGACTCCACCAAACCTACAAATATTTCACACGTACACTTTAGACCGACGATTTTAGAATTAATTTGAAATTATGCCGAATATGAAATTTTTCACTTACTTCTACATACATTTTCTTTGGATGTCTAATTATATACCCGTCTGGTACAATTCCGGGCGCCTCTCTGGTGGGCATCAAAAGCAGAGAATGATGCAATATTGCCGTTAAGAGGAAGCATCCTATAACAACTGGCTTGTATCTTCCAAATTTGTCTACCAAAATACCGGTAATAGGCGGTGCAATGAACGTAGTAAACGGAAGCAGAAGGTATATTATAGCAATTTGCTCCATCGTGAGACCTATACTCTGCATGTGGATGGTTAGGTAAGGAACGAGAGAAGACGTGGCTGAAACAAGAATTTTCTTAGAAAAAATGGTGTGTTCAATGATGCGTTTATACGTACCTCCATGTAGGAAGAATAGGGTTACTTTTAATAAAACTAAATTTTTATTAAGTCCGCAAAACCCCCTTCGGGGTATATCTGTGTTGACTTCCACATCTACGGCTGTTATTTCTTCACCCATATATTTAGGCTTCCGTTTTCAATCACGCACAAAGTCTACACTGATATATATTCTTTTGTGTTAGGTGAATACCTAATTACAATTGTTTGTCGAGCATACAAGATATTTTGAAGATAGTATTATTTCAAATATCTTATTTACATTGGAATATTTTCACAAACATTTAATTTATTTTCTATAGCGATAATTATTCTAAATTAAATGAAAATTAATATTACAAAAAATATTACGATTCATTTTCGAAAACTGCAGTAACAAGATGCACACAGGGTGGACGATAAAGAACAACCATTTGTAGTAATTATTTATAATCATTGGATTAAATGTTATCTGCAAATGAGATGTTCAGGGTATTGCCATTAGTACGAATTAAAATTTCCTTGAAATACAACATTGTTTATGTATGTACAGATAATTCGTTAAACAATAATCAAATAAATGAAACGATCGATAACATATGCTCAGAAATTCCTTTTTAAATTTTTTAAATAATTAATTCTTCTGATTTCTTTTTTTACTTCTATTACTCGTTCATCAATGTCGCGACATCTAATTAAATTCTGTTTCATGCAGACTTTGGGCTCTGAAAAATAAATCTCGCTGTTCTGAGAATATCAAATCAAAACAAAAACCTCAAACAGTAATTAAAATTATTTTATACGTTTGCTGTTTGTTGTTATTTTATTTAATCGTTGTGAAAATATGCATCTTATAGGATACGAAGTTAATGCTCATTATATGCCAATAAGAATTTATAAAAGTAACAGTAAACCTAATAAAATTTTATCATACTTTCAACTTCATATCTGCAATAAAACGAGGAAGTAAGGTAGCACTTTGTGATACAATCAAGTCGTATCTTTAAGACCCAAAAAAGATGTTTGCAGTTAAGTAAATAATAATAAGTAACAAAGATTAATGAACTTTCTTTAAGAAAATTTTAAAAGTTGAAAGTAATGTCAGCAGAAAAAAGGAGCAGAAAGACAAGCCGCTTAACATCTAAAAGGTTTCTAATAAAAAAAATCGGGTGAGAATTTGCATTTGACAACAAGCAGATGTTTTATAATTTTCTGGCTCTGCTCATCTCCTCTTCAAACTCGTTTAATATGTATCTGTCTTTACATTAATTTAACTTTATTTAATAATATTAGGTACTGAGAAGCCAAATTTAACAATGAATTATTAGCTGAGGGCGTTTTAATCCATTGGTCAGTAAAATAGTAAAAGTAACACTTAGGACGAGTTTATTATTATAATTGTACATTGAGAAATTTTAATCCGCAATAGCCTTCTAATTTTAATTCAACGAAAAGTGATATAACGTAATATTTGATTATCTTCTAAGAAAACAAACGTAAGTAGGTATATAATGACGGTGAAACGTTAATTCCGTAATTCATATACACACTTTATTCTTCTGTCATCGATAATACCTATACATTATTAAAATTTATAAGGTTGAAAATTTGCATTATCGTCATATACAAGTAATATTTGTTTATTCTCTTAAAATATGTTCTGGGGTTTTAGTAGGTATTAGTATTCTGCATACAATGTAAAGTATTTTATTTCAAAATAACTGCTTGTTCCTCCGTTTCCCGTTTATTTCGTAATTATTTTCCCTTTACCATTGTCAACCCAAAATAATCTATGCATCCTAAAGGTACATAGGTACGATATCGAACCAAATCAACTTATCTCGTTAATAGGTATTTCAATTTAGATATGATTTTTATTAATTATGATTAGATATAAATGTGAAAACAATATATTCTTACCATTAACTTCGATAACATGATTAAAACAGTAATTCTTAGTTTTCTCGTATATTTAATACCTATAACTCTTTGCGATGTGACGAATACTTTAATTGCAACAGAAAAGGGATTGAAAGTATTAAATTATAACGACAGTGAGTTCCTTAGTTGATAAATACATTTATTGCACGAAAAATGTTTAAATACTGATTAATCACTAGTAGACTTGATATTAAATTTTTTTTAGGCAATAAGACATACTTCAAAATTATGTATATTATTTTTAGATGGTCGAGCAACTTTGACAGGAATGATAGGCGATGGACGAAACTTTATGAACCTCGTCAGATCGCCCGGTTGTAAGAACTTTACAAACTGTATCGTAGATGAAAATACTTCATTATCTATTAAGCCGATTAATAAAACTGGCTATCGCGTAACATGGATATCCACGAATACAACAAGTGTATTCAGGGATTGTTACGACTTGAATTCCGAAACTACCAATTGGTTCGGAGGTCCTGAAAGGTATGTACAAAACAGCCTCGAAGAGCTCACTTTAGATGGTGATTCGCCGTACATCATCAAAAAATCCGACAATTTCGCCATAGCCGAAAGATATTGGTTGAATAGCAGGGGTACTTTTATTTTTGTGCATGATATAGTTCCGCTCTTTGTCGAACAACGATCTTTATTGCAAGTTTGCTTTATTGCAAAATCTATAGATCCTTATATTAATAGAAACAGGGTAAGTTTCTCACACATTTCTTGAAAACTTACACGATTCAAATATTTACTTACTAAGTTTACCTATTCAATTTTCAGACGGTTTTAGAGTACGATGTAATTACTAAAAGTGATTCAAAGGAGGCACATCTTTTTGCTGTTAACAATTATTTAGGAAAACCGACAGGTAAATTTACTGAACATTTAATTAATTGTACTCGCTGTCTGATTATATGTATCTCTATGGCTTAATGCAGTCATTACTCTAAAAGGTGTTAAGTGCTGTTATTTGAAGTGATCTGTTTAATTGGGTCCAAATGAGCAATAATTATAATTAATGATGACTGGAAACTAATTAAAAAATGTTATTAATACATTATATGGAATGTTAGAATCAGTATTTTCATGCTACAGCTGAAATAAAGCTTATTAACTGGAAATTATTAAAATCTGAAAATTAATATGTGCAAATAAAAACTAATATCTAATCAACTTCATTGTGTTACATACTTCAATTTGATAAGGTCGTTTGAATTGTTTGGTTAAAACACCTTTTCGTAAATAATGTAAAATAAAGATATTTTTATGATAATAATCTTTGGATTTGAATAATAATTTTGTGTAATGATTAAATATAAGTAGTGATAAAAATAATTAATAAACGGTCGAGGTAAAAGTAATAAATTATTTTTTCACAAATTAAATCGCTGTTACCAAATTTGAAATTTTTTTATAAGAAGTCGTTTTAATTTCCACTCAGATAATGCCCTTTTTCTAGTCAAGAAAGCTGTTTGGACAAGTTTACTCATTATTTGAGTGTAGCAGAAAAATTTAACAATCATTTTAAATAATTCGCACCGATTTTTTCACTAAAAATGTTTGCATTGTTGCACTATCCACTTCATCATAACATGTCTCAAATTTAAGGCCACCCTAATGAAAAAATGATTAGAAATCCGATTTGGACAACTTGGCCAAAGTATAAGAAATACATTGACGACGATAAAGTAAGAGAATTCGCTAAATCTATTGCCGCGCACAACTTCAGCGGTCAATTAGAAATTGACGAAGACTGGGAAGTAAGATAAATCATCTACATAAATCACACAATTAATTCCCTCGACGACTTTTTACCAGGTTTGCTTCGGCTCTCACGTTTTCAATAAGGCGAAGTTTCCTAACATTTCATCAACTGTCGATTATATCAAATCTCTGGGTTTCGGAACTGTAACATTGTGGATTAACCCGTTTGTTAATAATGACTGTCAAAATTATTCCAAAGAAGGACTCGAGAAAGGTAAGTCTTTACAAACCACTAAAATTTCAAATTCTGATTCGGATAAATGATAGAGTAAAAGGTTTGAAGCAAAAGCAAAAGGTTATGCATCTTTTTACACATACGCCCTATAGGAACTATAAAATTAGGTGATTGCTAAGAAATAATTATAATGTTATGGAAACAGGTTACTTCGTGAAAAATCCTAAAGGAGATACGAAAGCAATTTGGTGGGAAAGCGACGATGCCCATCAAGTTGATTTCACCAACCCGAATGCAGCGGAATGGTTCGCCGATAAAGTAAGAGCGCTCGCTAAAGATCCCGGAATGGATGGATTCAAGTTTGATGCCGGCGAAACTGACTACGCTATACCAGTGAGTATTCCGCAGATCGATCAATGACTACACAACATTAAAATATTAATTTCAGCCGAGCCAATTCGATTACATCGCAGATCAAGAGCAGGTTCCAAATATATTTACGACTAAATACGTGGAGACGTGTTCTCAATTCGGAGATTTGATTGAAGTTCGAGCGGGTTGGAGGTATTTTTTTATTTCCACAAATCTCAATTAAAACGTCTATTAAATATTAATGTTAAATTTCAGAACGCAGCATTTACCAATGTTTGTCAGAATGATAGATAAAGATTGTGTATGGTCTTATGATGATGGATTACAATCATTGGTAACCACTTTGATACAAATGAATATGAATGGCTACACTATGTAAGTGAAGTTATGAACTATTATATTGCCACTAATGGATGATTAGAATTGATATGCTTATTTTACACCTATTCGCCATTAGTCATCGATTGATAATGGAATTATTCATGAAGCCAATTCCAATACCTGTAGAGTTGTATTACGAAATTAATTATTAAAATCACTTGATTTCTTAGGGTTCTACCTGATATGGTCGGTGGTAATGGATATCGTGCACAACCCACATCTGAATTGCTTGTAAGATGGACACAAGCAAATGCACTTATGCCAGCGTTGCAATTTGGTTATTTGCCTTGGGATTATCCAAGTGACACTGTAAGTTATTAAAAACTTTTCGTACAGACTTTTATGATTACTCTTGCTCTGATTTCAGTATGATATCGTTGAAATTGTTAGGAAATTCGCTAATCTGCACACGGAATATGCAGATAAAATAATTAAGGCGATGGAAGCTAGTATTAAATATGGGACACCCGTAAATCCGCCAATTTGGTGGGTTGATCCAACAGATCCAAAAGCTTTTACATACGACGACGGTATTAGACTCTTACTCACGTTCTCTTTAAGTACTATTTGATATATTTCTATTTTTTAGAATTCCTTCTCGGCGAGGATGTGTTAGTTGCCCCGGTGTTATTAGAAACAGTCTACCAAAGAAATATTTATCTGCCTAGTGGTACATGGAAAGATGGTAATAATGGAACGATTTATGAGGGGCCGGTAGTTTTAGAACATTATGATGCTCCTATCGACGTATTACCATACTTTATAAAGCAAAATTAATTTGATAAGAATAAAAATAATATTACTTTTTAGTATCTACAGAATATTTCAGACAATTAATGGCTTTCGTTTCTTAATATTTTTCTAAAACTATATTTTCTTTCTACGCTTAACCAGCTGGTGAACATTTAAATACATTATAAAGTAATAAAAACCGGAGAGTTTTTCCACGTTATGATCCAATCTGTTTACTACGCAATTACTTAACATCTTACTGTGACACGATGATACACTCTTGACCTTCCAAAAGATATTTAATTTTATTTGTAATAGATTTGTAATTCCGCTACAGACCGAATCCTACTAAGTCAGTGGTCTACATTTTTTAAAGAATGGCGTGTTTAAAATCGTGCGTAATTTTATTTTGTTTGTTCTACACGTTTTCGCTAAGCACAGCTGATAATATACAAGACATTAAAGCTAGATTAGATGCGATAAATAACAGAAATCGTCAACAAGGCCAAAATGCGAACTCTAATATCAAAAACCCGGGGTAAGTATACTTATTTCTCCAACCGTCTAATAAATATGTATCTATGTAATTAGTATTTTGTGTTAATGTAGGCTTAAAATATTAAGATTTGATCAAAATCACTTAGAGAATACCTTCTTTTTGAAGGTACTCCCCTAATTTAATATGTTAATAATTATGCTCCATATTAATATATTGTTTTAATTAATTAATTGTACTTTTGTTTACTACAAATAAATAAATAAATTGATATATTTTTTAGGTATAACAATGGAAGACCAATAAATAACGGCCAAAGTAACGGTTATAACAATGGATACGATAGCAGGCATAATATGAACAATGGTCTCCCAAATACTAATAGGTATCCATCAAGTAATTACCCCTCTAACAATCCGAACTACAACGTTGGTCAAACATACCCGAATAATGTGCAAGGGAACCAAAAACACCTTTACCCAAATCTTAACTTAACGTATCCTAACAATTTGAATAATGGAAACCAGAACTGGAATAATCGTCCTAACGTAAACGCTAATTGGAATACGAATCACACAGGCAATGCTAACTGGAATAATTATTACAACAGGAATAACAGTCACAGTGGATTTCCAAGTACTCATTCGAATAACAATCCCAGCACTTACCCCAATTGGAGTAATAATCCTAGTGTTAATCCTAATTATAAAAACCCTAGTACTAATCCTAACTGGAATGCCAATCCTAATGCCAATTCTAATTGGAATACTAATCCCACTCCTAATCCTAATCCTAATCCTAATTGGAACGCAAATCCCAGTTACAATCCAAATTGGAATACTAATCCTAGTAACAATCCTAATGCTAATCCTAACTGGAATAACCCCAATTCTAATAGCAATAGCAACTCTATGGGAAATCGCAATTGGAACAGCAATAATGCTAGGGTAGATCCAAACGCGCCGTTTCCCAATTCTGCATTTTCAGGAAATACCAATAATCTTAACAATTACAGACCAAATTACTAATCAATTTTAAATAAAATGTCATAATAAAGTTATGTTCTAGAATAGAAGGTTGAATAAAAGTAGTAGATATTATTTTATTTTTTTTTAATCAATTAATTACCAATTAAAATTAGAAACTTTGAATAGTATATTTGAAGAAAGGAGAAATTATATTATAGAGTATTTTTTTAAAATCCAAATCCCAAGTTATTTAATTACATATTTCTCCTCTTTTAATATCCGCCAATTTTCGCTGCAATTTCTCCGATAAGTTATTTTAACATATGTACGTTGGAATAAATTTCTATTGGAACAGTATAACTAATTCAATATTAGAAACTGAATGGCGGCTGCAACTTTAATGCGATTGATATAAGTTTAATGTTCATTGTATATTCAATGTAATACATAATATGTTCATTGTAATACTCTAATTTCCGGTTTAAACAAAGGCAAATAAGCATTTTCTGACCACGGTATAGAATTTGAGGTGGAATAAATAACCGTATAAATTGCCTGTGGTGGCTAGACTCAGAAACTAGCACGCTTAATTTGGTCATAAACGCATGGAAAAGCGATAGTTGCAAACTAAATAGAATCAAACTTTAGTTTGAGTTGGTAAGTTCTGACCATATTACGAGTAGGTATGCACATATAAAACGATTTATGCTTATACGGGATGTATCTAAATAACACCGAAAAAAATTTAGGGGTGATTATCAGTGATGAAAATTAAATTAAAACTGAAACCGTTGAAAAGTTATACGCTCTTAAAAGAAATGCACGCATAACCAGATTGGAAATAATAATTCCAAATGTGGAAAAATGAGTAGGCAACGCCCGTTATTAAGCAAAAATGTTTTTGGGCATAAAGGTGAGCTTGTAATTGAAAATGAAAAGCTATCGAGAAAAATACGGGTTTGTATTTAGAGGAGGCGAACGTTCTAAAAAAGTGTTGTGCAACGAACGTAATCAAAGTGGTTTTGACACACGATGAAAAACAAAACATGAGTGCAAAGAGCTCTCAGATAAAACTCTAAAACAACGCGTCACTTCCCACAGCATACCTATACGTACCTAATATTCAAAAAAGCCTGAGCGTATTTAGGCAAAGAACTTTTTTCTAATAGTTTATAATAGGTTAGCTTGTTTCAAGCACACGTGTAGGTTTGAAAATGTTATTTCGTTTATTTGCCAATCAATTAGGAACAGTAGCTTCGAGCAATGAGATATTTTCAAGGATTATGAAATAACAGGTAGGTTTTTATCAACAAATGATGGATGAGCCATTATAGCCCACCTGAGCGAAATTAACACAACAAAAATAAATGATGTAGTGGGTAAGAATTAATTTTTACGGATTAACGAATATAAGCGTGATTGGATATTGAGAAAAATGGGAGTATTTTCAAGATGAGGCTGGAGAAGTGAAAATCTCCAAAAATCTAAAAAAATAGATTAATTAAATTCGTTTTAAGTAAACAATAATAAACTTGTTATAAATTTTGAATGTATTGATTAGATAAAGAAACCTTTAAATATTCGAATTAAATCGCAAGTAGTTAGTTGCATATCAAAATGGCTTCGATCAAAGGTAAGTTACTCAACAAATTCACCGTTTTTATTTTCCACATATTAGTTATTTCCACTACTATTAATCAATATATTAAATAGAACATTATCATTCTACAATCACGTGCAAAATAACTATTTCTGGCATATGTATATTGATAACAGATTTTTGAAGATATTACCCAGAGAAAACTAGTTTTTTGTCTTTTATTAAAGTTGATTATTGATGTAAAAAAATGTTCAAGTGGTTTATAATTTATGTATTATTTTTTATGAAATTTACAGGAGCAAGGATTTGCCTCTTGGCAGTATTTGCAGTAACTGCTGCCAGTTCATTAACCATTAGAAATGATGATATCAATTTAGACTTGAATGCAACAAGCGACGGAATTATAGTAAAAGCAACCAAAGGTACGATGATCCAGTGTCCATATATACTTTACTCGTCCTTTTTTTAATCAGGGAATACTGCTACTTTAACTGGAAAATTAGGAGTTTCTAAAGACTTTTCGAAAGTGACTTGCATTGGAGACACTTTGTGCGAAATCAACGGGTTCAATTTAAGCATGTATGGTGTCGACAGCGGGTTCTACATTCGATGGCAATCTAATGAATCGTATACATTCGAAGATTGTTTCGAGTTGGAGGGTGATGTCCAATGGTACGGCGGTCCGGAGAAGGACATGCAATATTGGCCTCTTCAAAAAATGAACATATCAGGCGACCTGCCGTACGTTTCCAGTAAATTACACAATGCCGCCGTTGCCGAAAGGTATTGGTTGAATTCCAAAGGAACGTATATTTACCTCACTTCTCGTGTTCCTTTATATGTGGATCAAAATGTCGCAAATAAAAATCAAGTTTGTTTCAAATCTGCTCTTGACGGTCCTTATATTTGGAGAAACTATGTGAGTACAATTCGAATTTTGTTCAGGGGCGTATATCTCCGTAGGGAGCCTGTAGGGAAAAACTATAGGAATTTGTCATCTTATTTTTTCATATTCCATCTGGATCCGAGAGATTTCCTACACTTTCCGGGACACCCTGCATATTAACACAACTCTAATTTTTAAAGCTGCATTATCTTGTACTTTTTAGAATATTCTGGAGTATTACATCATTGTTAAATCGGATCCTAAAGAAGCACACCTTCATGCAGTTACCAATCATTTAGGAAAACCAAAAGGTAATGACGATAAAATTATACACACTAAATAGTCCATTAGAAAAATAATTTTACTATTTCCTATGTAAACTTAAAGGCCACCCCAACGAAAAAATGATTCGCGAACCAATCTGGACCACTTGGGCCAAATACAAAAGAGACATAAGTGATAAGACTGTAATTTCCTTCGCCCAAGACATAAGAAATCAAGGCTACAAAAATGGTCAAATAGAAATCGATGATAGTTGGGAGGTAACAAAACTACATTACTGTTAAGTACAACAAGATAAGTCTTCGCTTTACAGAGGTGTTATGGAGCTCAAGAGTTTTCCTCGGACACTTTTCCAGACATAGGTAATACCGTCAGAACACTAAAAAACATGGATTTTAGGGTCACCTTATGGGTTCACCCGTTCGTTAACACTGGTTGTAATGAAGTTGAAGCGGTAGGTTTGTCCAAAAGTAAGTTGAAAAGAAATGTTTAACAAAAGTGATAAATAAAAAATTAACTTTAATTGCAGATTATTTTGTTTATAACATGGATGGAAATGCAACCTCTGCGTGGTGGGACGGTACATCTTCACATCAAATCGATTTTACAGACGCTGAAGCAGCCGAATGGTGGAAAAGCAGATTAGAGAAACTGCAAAAGCATCCTGGAATCGACTCCTTCAAATGTGACGCTGGCGAAATCGACTGGTCTCCGACGGTGAGATCGAATCGCTTCTTAAATATTTTAACTGCAATTTTAAGTTTTTTAGCCATCAAAGTTTGTACACACAAACCCTTACGAATCCCCTAACATTCTAACCGAACGATACATCAGGACCTGCGCCACACTTGGAGACCTGGTTGAAGTCAGATCCGCTTATAAGTAATTAACCATCAGCAGGATTTATTAATTATGGTATTAATTGTGTATTAATTTCTTTCAGAACACAAGACTTACAAATATTTCTTAGAATGCTAGACAAGGATTCCAGCTGGGGCATCTACAATGGACTTTACACTTTGATAACCACTCTTCTTCAACTGAATATGAACGGATATACAATGTATGTTGTAATTATTAAATATAGCAATATAAAAATAGTTAATATTTTAGGATTTTGCCCGATATGATCGGAGGAAATGGTTACGGTGGTAAAATACCAGATGCAGAGCTTCTGGTTCGTTGGACGCAGGCCAATACTTTCATGCCAGCTATGCAATTCAGTTATCTACCGTGGGAGATAACCAGCGATAAAGTAACATTATTCAAAAATTTTGCATCTACGCACACGAAGTAATTTTATTTGTTTCAGTTCAATGCTTCGGATATCGTTCACAAATTCGTAGACCTTCATGAAAAATACTCCCAAAAGATTATTGATGCTATGACGCAAAGTATAGAGAAGGGAACTCCTGTTAATCCACCAATTTGGTGGATTGATCCTACGGATGCCACAGCTTTAGCATGCGATGATGGTAACTGACAATTTTAATCTCATCTTTTAACGGTGATATTTACCAATGCCTGTCGAATCGCTAACAGAGAGATAAGTTTCTATCGATCTGTTAACGACATATTTTGCCATTCACCAATGTTAATACTTAACAGTCGGATAAAAGTAACAGAGCAAATTCGAATTGATATAAGAAGTAACTGACTGATAACTTCAATCCAATTGTCGAAATTTTTATAAACTGTTAAATTTTATCAGTTTGGCAGTTTTATCAGGTCGATAAGCCAAAATGGGGGAATATCGTCGCAAATATCGCAATTTTGATAGGCTATTAACGTCCATTGGATGATCATACTAGAAAATGTTTTGTTTAGAATACCTTCTGGGAGAAGATATTTTGGTGGCTCCGGTAATTGTACAAGGCGCAGTTTCCAGATCAGTATACCTTCCCAAAGGAGAATGGACAGATGGCAATGATAATACTAAGACATACAAAGGACCCACCACATTAACATATAACGCTGACATATCTACTTTGCCATATTTCATCCTCAAAACGTAATTGAAGAACCAAGACATTGTTCTTTATGTTTAATTTTAATATTATCAAGTAAAAAAATCTTGCCATTATATTAAAGTATGGATATTAAGTACGAAATATGAACATTTGTTTTATTTACTAAAATCAATTTTCATTCACTTAAAATCAGCTCGTACCTCACCAAAAAGACTACAAATTTACTGTAAATGAAACATTCTTCAATTTAATACAACTTGTTTCAAAAAATTAAATACAGGAAATATGATAAAATGCCGGAATATTTCTTAAAAGACGATCAACACATGCACTTAATACTTGCTTTAGGTCAAAATTATGAAGAGCATCACTTTTTCATTTGACCCGCATTTAGGGTCACAATATATAAAATCTTAACTTTCAAGCATCCATACAAGTATACCAACTAATTTGTAATAAATACGAATTACGTTTTCTATATTAAATTACACTAAAGCAGTATAAACTCTCGGGACAATCATACTATCAACTGTTAACTATTAATTACGAATGGAACGTAAGTATGCTATTTTTTCTTCTTTTTCTTATCGACACTACCGCCTGAGCTATCGTTCTTCCTCTTCTGCGACGACTTGGAGCCCAACAATGTGGGCGTACCGACAACGTTCGAAGATTTCGGATTTTTCTTCTTCTTTTCGTTCTTCTCCCGTTCCTCCAATTCGGCGTTTTCGCGTTCTATCAGAGTGATCAACGTGTTGCATCTCCTTTGCAACTCCATGGCCGTTCGCGATTTCAGGAACCAGTCGAAGCGGAATTGCGGCGAAGCCCGAACGGCCGCCCGGAGCTCTTCGTACACGTTCTCCCGATCGAAGCCGAGCTTGTGAAGCATGCACACTAGAAAACGATCTTCTTCTTCCATGTAATTCTTTCCTTTGTTCGTTCCGTAGGAGATTCTCAATTGATGGAACGGAGCTCGATATCTTATGGAATTAGGATAATACGTTTAATATTTTGAATTCTAAAAGATATTTCGTACATACCTTGCCATTTTGGCGTCTAAAGCTTTTTTAATGCTCGCTCGTCGCTGAATTTTCGCTTCACCTCTTTCGATTTGGGCCATTATTCTGTCGATGTCCTGCAATTCGTGACACCTTTCCCAAAACACTGCGGAATACTCCATAACTTCTTCGGGTGACTTTCCTTCGACGTCTTTGGCAATATTTTCGATATCGTCCCTTCCGTACTTCTCGTTGGCTTTAATAAATTGATTAAAATCGCGTTTACTCCAATTAGTGAAACCTTGCGTGAGCAACGTTTCTTTTTCTTGTTGTTCGTCCTCAGTTAACGGTTCGGATTCATCGATTTTCCGTTGTTCTTCTTTCTGTTGCTTCGTAGCGTCCGGTCCCAACTCCAAATTTTTTGGTACCTTAACAATACAATGCATTAAAAATTGATATGAAATCCATTGAAAAAGGTACCTTATATCCCAAGGATTTCCTGTAATAGTATATCTCTTGGTCCAACAGCTCGAACAATCTCGGCGGGAAAAATTGAAAATCTTGCACGATAGGTTGTTTAGGTGGTCTAGGAGCTTTGGGAGCTTTAGGTTCCGATACCCTCAAAGCTTCTCTAAAGTACGCATCGACTGCATAATTGGCCTTTCGCTCTCGCTTAGGCGGTTCGATCCAGTTACTGATACCTATTGTTTTTTGTTTCTCCCGATAGTCTTCTCCTTCGAATTGATAAACCGATTCGGTTGGAGTATCCACGGTGAAGTTACGAAGAGATGATTCACCGAGCGATTCCAATTTCTGAGCAAGTTGGGCTGTCTAAAATAACAAATTACAACCAAATTAACTTATTTAACAACCAATGGCAGGCGTTTTATTAAGTTACCTTGGCCTCGCCTTTTTCTAATATGGTGTCTATATCTTCCTCGGTAATTTCTGAATCTCTTGAAGCGAATACGTGATTGGCTCCGTGACGAATCATGTTCAACATTTCGTCTTTGTTCAACGTTTGCCCCTTGGAGTCGGCCAATCGACCTTGTTGAATAACCAATTTGTCCAGCCTCAACTTAACTTCGGCTCTTTCCACAATTTTTTCTTCCACTGTATTCTCCGTAATGAACCTGCATAATAAAATTCCAATAAAATATCAATTCGTTTCGATTAAAATATTACTTACCTGAATACTCTTACTTGTTTTTTCTGACCGATTCTATGCGCTCTGTCCATAGCCTGCAAGTCCATTTGGGGATTCCAGTCGGAATCGTAAATGATAACAACATCTGCCGTGGCTAAATTAATACCCAAACCACCGGCTCTTGTCGACAACATGAAAATAAATTTCTTACTGTCGTCTTCGTTAAATTCGTTTATTTGCCTCTGTCTGTCTTCGTGAGGTGTCTGACCGTCCAATCGACAATACTGAAACTGTCTCCAGTGACAGTAGTCTTCTAAAATGTCCAGCATACGCGTCATCTGAGAGAAAATAAGCACACGAGAATCCTGTTCCCTCAGCTTAGGTAGAAGTTTGTCCAAGAGAACCATTTTACCGCAGTTGTACACTAGGTGTTCATCTGTCGTATAAGGTGGACCGGGTTCAGCACCGTCGAATAAATACGGGTGATTGGTACACTTTCTCAATTGCATGAGAATATTTTGCAATCGCATTTTCTCAACCTACAATCAATAACAAGCTAGTAATAGTGATTTTTTTCTTTAATATTGTAGTAGAGTGTACCTTTCCAGCGCCGTTGACGATGTCTATATCTTTCATCAGTACCTTCGTGTACCATTCTCTTTGCATTTTACTCAAACCGACGTAAACTTTCATCTCTTTCTTCGGTTTGAGTCTCTTTTCGACCTCAGATTTCAACCTTCGCAGCAGGAAGGGCTTCAAGACGGCGTGGAGACGTTCGATGAGTTCGTTGTCGCCGAGACATTGATTTGTATTAAACCAAGCATCGAAATCGTCGGCCGAATTGAATACATCGGGTAAGAGAAAATTCAAAAGGGCCCAAAGCTCGTGTAGATTATTTTGCAAAGGTGTACCTAAAATAATAGATATCGAGTAAAAATAAATAAGCAACCTTCTATTTATTTATCATTAGAATAACAGTGTGAAGCGTACCCGTTAGAAGAAGCCTGTTAGTAGTTTTAAATTCCCTGAGAATTTCGGAAAGTTTGGATTTTTCATTTTTAATACGATGAGCTTCATCGATGACCATATAACGCCAGTTAAATTTCTTGAAAACAGATTTTTCTTTGATGCACATTTCGTAAGAGGTTACACAAACGTCCCATTCGCCCGGCATCAAGACATCCCTGATAAAAGTGTTCTGAAACGAGAATTACTCAAATAATTTGCTAAATGATAAATAGTATATCTTACTCTAGCTTCCTGATCGCCTATCAAGCAAACGGCCCGTAAAGTTGGACACCATTTTTTGAATTCCGCCATCCAATTGGACAGAGTAGACTTTGGAACGATGACTATGTGGGGCCCGGGAACGTTCTTGTAATGTTTCATGAAACCCAGCAGCGATATGGTCTGCAGGGTTTTACCCAAACCCATCTCATCGGCCAAAATTCCATTAATGCCGTTTTCGTAAAGGGATATCATCCAGTTTAAACCGCGAACTTGATAATCTCTCATTTCTCCGTTCTTTATGTAAAACGGTGATTGATCGAATCTCGTTGTCGGCTTCGTTTTTTGGTTAGTCTCTGCCAAAAGCTCTTCATCCTCTTCTTGTTCTGTTTTCCTGTGTCTCAAACTAAACAAAAAAAAATCATCCGATTAATGATTGGATGCAATTCAAAATTTAAGTAAATTATACTACTCACTCTACTGTAGTTTCTGGCGGTTTTTCTTTCTTGGGCCGACCGGTTTTCGGTTTTGTAGGAGTTTTTGATTGATTCATGAAATGTGAAAAAATCTCTGTCTGTTTTAACAGGAAATCGAATCTTTTTGATCTGTCAGATGCAACTTTCATATCAAATTCTTCTCCTTTTGAGGTAGCGTCAGAAGAAGATTCATTTTGTCCCAATTCCTTAAATGTCATAATAGTAAAAATAGTTTTAAAAATAATCTATGATTTAATGAAAAAAGAGTTAGAAATTTCAAAGAAATAAAGGGTAAAGGAGTTTCTATCAGTCTCTCTGGTATGTAAGGATTAATATTACTTCTAATAGACCATTAGATCAACAACGCTAAGGAATTAAAGGTACATTCAACTTAATTAAATAACACACTAAAATTATTTGCATAACAAAGTCCGTTTATATGACAGTTTGTGGATAAGCGGATACTAGCACAGTAGGCGGTTTCTCACATTAATTTTAAAATTAGCTAGACTACAAGTAAGTATAACCAAAAAAGTAGTCGGTTACCGACATCAGAAAATTTTTAGGTTATGTATTGTTGCAAATATTTTTCGTTAAACTACATTGTTAAACAATAATCTACATACACCGAACTTTGTTTCTCGTAATAATAAAATAGAAGTGCATGTTTGTACTCACCGAATTGTCGCCCTCATCCCTTGTGTTAGAAGTCTCAGCTCCACCTTCTGTAGAGTCGTCGGCAGACATTATTCAATATCTAAAATACCTTCAAGTACTGAATGGAAACTGCTCTAATTAACGTTTTTATATCTTGCACACTAATTACAAATAAACTTTATGAACAATACAACGCGGTTAAAAACCTAAAAACAAAGCGCGAAAGTAATCAACGGTCAAGCGAAGGACTCCGTTTCCTGTCAATATCAGCTGTCAGCTGCCAATAATGTCATTAATGTCATATAACTGTGTTTTTTCTTCTTTTTCATAGAAATTTTAGTAGTGGTTAGTGACCCGACTTCCGTATTCCTAATATACTCGATCAATGGCCTCAATGGGTAATTGTTACAATTTAATAAAAACTAAATTTTTAAAAAAGCTAGCATTTATTAAGACAGACATCTAGGATATACAATTATTTATACGATTGTATAATTTATGATTTATTTTAGGTAAAGATAATTTCTAAGGTATTAAGATATGTTATTTTGCCTGTATTGACCGATATTAGAGATATTGAAGACGATTTATTTAAACCACAGTACCATAATTTCTACTGTGCGTATTTTGTACTACAAACTACAATATAATATCACCTGCTTCTATTCGCTATTCTCTAAACGAATTAGTCAAAATATAAACAAAGTTTCTCACTCTAATTAACTCATTAAACCAAAATAACAATTTTGCACAACATTTAACAAGAAAACCTATTTATTTATATTAATTTGAGCTAGTTTAATAACGTGTTCTATATAAACTGTAATAAATATTACAACATATCTTAAATCTTTAGAAAAGAAATCTAAGAAAAAACGTTTCCGGTCTAGTGTGCGCCCTACCCGGCCTACCGCATCTGGTTTAGGATACGGTCTACCCAAATTTATTTCATATAAAGAGAAAATTTACTGGTATATTGTATTATTTATAGAAGAGCATGTGAACAATTCAAATTATCTAGAATTGACAAAAAGACAAACATTTGCAGTTTTGTGAAACATGTTCACAACCAGTTTATTTTGAAAAATATGACACCTGTCAAAGTCTTTAAATATGGTTGGGCGGCGAAATTTGTAGGTAGACCGCAAATATCATGGTAGACCGTATAGTAGACAGACACCGAAAAAACATTGTAATGTTAAGTATACCTACATACATTTAAAAGTAATATGATTGTTAAGATCATGGATAAATAAATATACACACTCTAAAGATATTTTACACAGATGTACTTGGATTTGCTGGAGCAATTTATAATTCGAATAAGTTTATACTAGATCGAAAATCGGATCTTTACCGGCCAATTTCGGTTGAAAGTGCTTCCAAAAGGCCTCTCCGCTAACGTACAGATCTTTACAGACGGGCTCGTTTAGCATCTTCAATTTCCATTTACACACATTCGGTATATCGGTCTCCACGATGATTTTCTCACCGTACTTTAATTTCAATACTCCACTGCGTTCCATCCACGGCCAAATCATGTAATCAACCTAAATAAATTCATATAAATGAAACTAAAAATATTAGGCAACATAAAACTTGAGTAGCTCAGCGCCAGATTGGTCCAACAGCGTAATTGCATTAGCTGATATCAATCAGGAAAAGTTCTGCATATTTTCTAAATTCCAAGTCTACATGGGCCTAAATGGCCCAAGTATGCACGCTATATGTATTAGCGAACTAGAAAAACTCATTTGTGCCAATGTGGACTTGAAATTTAGAAAATATGCTGCACTTTTCCTGATTGATATCAGCTAATGCAATTTTGTAATTGGGCCACCTGCGCTGAGCGACTCATTTAATAACAACAAATAAATGTTACTTACCATTCCCGGAGAATCTCCTGCGAAAAATGGAGTCCCTCGGCTGGTCAATTCCTTCTCAATCGGTTGCAATGCGTCCATGAATAGTTTACTCCACTCTTGTGGTGTCGTTTTATCATTCGAGTAGATGCACTTTCCGAAAACATTCTGTGCCTCTTCTGTGCTTTTGATCACTCTCTTATCGTTCTCTTTGGCTGCGGGATCGGAAGGGTACAACCGCGGTTCGGGGTACTTTTCTTCCAGATACTCGCAGATATCAAGACTGCCGACTATAAATTTTGAGCCGTCCAGGAGTGTTGGTACTTTGCCTATTAGATAATAGATTTTTTTCTACATTATCACGAAATTTTATGGGCTTACTGCTTACCTTCTGGATTTATTTTTAGGTACCAGTCCGGTTTATGCGCCAGGTTAATGTTTACAACATCGTGGGGTAATTTTTTTGCCTTTAAAACAAGCCGAGTTCGTTGGACGTAAGGGCAGTACTTCATGGAGTAAATCCTCAGGAGACCTTCGACCCTCGGAGGCTCCACGGAATCTACAAGTAAGACAAATTATATTCCTACATAATATAGCAATCACAACAAAATACCTTCTCCCAAATGTTTATCAGACATCTTAGTAGTGACCTTGTGCAAGGAGCGCTGGTAATAATTAGACTGATATGATAATGTATGAGGGAGCGGCGGATATATAAGTAGAAGATTAGACAGAACCGGCTTTACTCTTATGAATCTTATGAAGTTCTTATCTGAAAACAAAAAGCTAATACGTACATGTTCAACATTGTTGCTTAACTTTAATATTTTGGAATGTTAAAAAAACCACGATAGATTTTGATAAAGAAGAAGTTGATAAAGGAAATATGTAAGTGTTATAAAAGATGAAGCAATAAAAATCATGAAGAGGTGCATGTTTAGTAGGAAGAATATAAATTTGCAACTTTAAAATTCTTTAAAATAAAGCATACTGAAGGCGAGAAACATTTAAAAAGTACCTACTTTTACAATTACACAACTGTGTTAGGCATAAATTGTGCCGCTGAAAATATAAATAAGATAAAATACTCCAAATTGTTATCCAATATTTATATCTACGATAAGTACTTAATAGTAAAAAACTGAATTAAAATAAACACATTTTTTAAATTTACTTTTATATACAGGGTGTTTTAGAACTATTGGATAAAACTTCAGGGACACATTTCCGGACATTATAGTTCTTGTACTCATGCGCCTTCTTTCGTTGCACTGAATAATCCCTAGAAGTTTTATCCCATAGTCCTGAAACATCCTGTATTTAGCTAAATTCAATATTAGAAACGTGTAAAAGGGATCGCGTGTAGATGATGAATTCGCATCCTCTTTTAAACCTATTTAAGAGTGCAGAGAACGAGAAATAAATGACTTACCCAACTTAGAAAATCCCATATATTAAAGTAAATATATTTACAACTAGGATTAGAGGAAATGTGGAAGCCAAGAAACCCTTATAATGTAGAGGTACAGCAAGAAAAAAGGATAATTAATTAATAAAACAAACAGTTCTCTCAATTTTTCATATGGCGCCGATTCTCTTCCAATCGGACCATTTTTACAAAAAGATCAACGAGTTTAGTTTATTTAAATCTTTAATTAAATTGACTAGGTTTCTGCAAAGGAGCGATATTTTATCTTATGATAGTTAAATAATAGTTAATTTTCATTATTTACTATCATTTCATACTAAGAAAATGGTAGTAAGAAATAGGTGTAACCTTTTGAATAAGATTTAGAACTAAAAAGTTTTAAATTATTGTTAACACGCTTGCATTGTTTGTATTTAATGTTTAAAAACACCGGTTATCAAATGGCTTACTTACTATCAGATTCTGAAGAGCAAACCCAAACACAAGTATGATTTAATATTAAATTTTATTTATGTCAACTAATTATAATGTCATGGTCAATGTCATTTAATTATTTAACGGTAAATTACTTTCACACTCATTGACTTTGCCAATTTCGTTTTCATTAATATTTGTTAGAAAGATATACATTTTGTGGTTAGTTCATTATTTTTTTAGGCACGTTTAGGCCCGGTGAGTCCGGGCCTGAATGAATTAAAACGCGAATTTCTTCAAAATGCAATGAAAATTGTAATTCATTATTTGCCGCTAAAGTTTCATTTAATTAATCCTGTGTAATTTGTATAAGGACTTGTACAAATTGCCATGTTGATAAAATTCGTTTTGTATTCCTATACTTAAACCTTCTAAGTACATTTACAAACATACCCGTTTTTGCTTGCTCTTAACTAATGAATGGGAACTGGAGAGGAGTCCAAAAAACTCTTTTTTTTACGAGCACGCTCACGCAAAACCAACAGCTGGTTTTTACTGCCTTCCTTTTCCAGGTTATTCTGCTTTCCCTTCTCTAGCTATTCAATATTTCGATTCGATAAAGCGTAAAGCGTACGCATGTGTTTTAGCCAGTGCGGCAAATTTAAATACGAAAAGACTATTTGAAAATTCTTTAAGATTTTATTTAAAAATATGCATTTATTTAAATTTATTTAAATTATTATTTAAATATTATTAATTAAGTTCTGCTTGCTATAAGTTCCTATGTTCAAAATGCTTGACTAACCTGCATCCCTTACAACCCCCCGGTGTTTGCCCCCTGAATTTCCGGACACCCTGTATATGCATTTTTCATATAATCCGCTCTTTAAAAATAATGTTTACTCGGGATAATATTTTCAGTGTTTACGAATTAAAAAAGTCCCAAACAGTAGAATTTAAACATGAAAAAGAACATTTTGGTAGGAGATATGAACTTGCGAGTATCAATTTAATGGTATAATGATGCACACGCACGAAACGCACGAAATATTTTATATAGAATCGGAAGATTATTAATCATAGAATTCTATTTTTAACGGAAAAGGAAGTGACAAAAATTAATTTCCGCAAAAAAACCAGAATACATATGTATGTATACGAACAAATACACTGATAATAAATATAAAATAATATACTTACCCTGATTCAAATAAAGTGAAAGTATTTTTTATTTTGCGTTATAAAATTGAATACAATACATCATAAGATAATGTCTTTAATTTATACAGTGTGATTCAGATTTTATCTAGATAATTTCGGGAGTTGATAGAACATGTAAAAATAATGTTTGTTCGTAATATAATTTTTTTTCAAAAACCTAGTTTCGGAAATACAGAGCATTGAAGTTGAATATTTTTTTTTATCTTTTTATTACTAACTTAATAAATAAATATACACCCTAAAGGTATATTACACAGATATGTACTTAGATTTTCTGGAGCAATTTAATACGAATAACTTAGGCTAGATCGTAAATTGGATCTTTACCGGCCAATCTCGGTTGAAAGTGCTTCCAAAGGGCCTCTCCGCTAACGTATAGATCTTTACAGACGGGATCGTTAAGCATCTTCAATGTCCATTTACACATTTGCGGTATATCGGTCTCCACGATGATTTCCTCCCCGTACTTTAATTTCAAAGCTCCGCTGCGTTCTATCCACGGCCAAATCATGTAATCAATCTAAATAAATTCATATAAATTAAACTAACAATATTAGGCCAGACAAAACTTGAGTAGCTCAGCGCCAGATTGGTCCAACTGTGTAATTGCATTAGCTGATATCAATCAGGAAAAGTGCTGCATATTTTCTAAATTCCAATAAGTCTACATGGGCCTAAATGGCCCAAGTATGCACGCTATATCTATTAGTGAACTAGAAAAACTCATTTCTGCCAATGTGGACTTGAAATTTAGAAAATATGCTGCACTTTTCCTGATTGATATCAGCTAATGCAATTTCGCAGTTGGGCCACTCTGCGCTGAGCGACTCATTTAATAACAACAAATAAATGTTACTTACCATTCCCGGAGAATCTCCTGCGAAAAATGGAGTCCCTCGGCTGGCCAATTCCTTCTCGATCGGTTGCAATGTGTCCATGAATAGTTTACTCCACTCTTGTGGTGTCGTTTTATCCTTCGAGTAGATGCACTTTCCGAAAACCTTTACGAACTCTTCTGTGATTTCGATCACTTTCCTATCGTTCTCTTTGGCTGCGGGATCGGAAGGGTACAACCGCGGTTCGGGGTACTTTTCTTCCAGGTACTCGCAGATATCAAGACTGCCGATGATAAATTTTGAGCCGTCCAGGAGTGTTGGTACTTTGCCTATTTCATATTAGATTTTTTCTGCATTATCACCAAATTTTATGAGCTTACTACTTTTACCTTCTTGATACATTTTTAGGTACCAGTCCGGTTTATGCATCAGGTTAATGTTTACAACATCATGCGGTAATTTTTTTGCCTTTAAAACAAGCAGAGATCGTTGGGCGTAAGGGCAGTACTTCATGGAATAAATCCTCAGGAGACCTTCGACCCTCGGAGGCTCCACGGAATCTACAAGTAAGACAAATTATATTCCTACATAATACAGAAATAACAACAAAATACCTTCTCCCAAATGTTTTTCAGACATCTTAGTAGTGGCCTTGTGCAAAGAGCGCTGGTAATAATTAGACTGATATGTTAATGTATTAGTGAGCGGCGGATATATGTACAAGTAGAAGGTTAACCAACTTTACTCTTATGAATTTCTTATCTGAAAACAAAAAATCAATACCTTTATATCTGTAAACGTTCGACATGTTCGACCTTGTTGCTTAACATTAACATAATTAACATAATTATTTTGTAATGTTAAAATTACTACGGTAGATGTTGATAATAGAATTATGTATGTGTTATAAAATATGGAGCAGTAAAAATGATGAAGAGGTGCTTGATTAGTAGTAGAAAGAATATAAAAAAAAACTGAAGGCGAGAAACATTTAAAAAGTACCTATACTTACAATTGCACAACTGTGTTAGCAATAAATTGTACCACTGAAAATATAAATAAGATATAATACTCTAGATTGTTTTGATTATTTTGATTTTTTTGCAAAAAGTGAATCAATATTGTTAATAATAATAGTTGTGATGTAGTACAAATTATATAAAGATCATATAAAGAAACCCTCATAATGTATAGGTACAGCAAGAAAAGAGGATAATCAATAAAACAAACAGTTCTCTCAATATTTCATATGGTGCCGATTCTCTTCCAATCAAACCAATTTTACAAAAAGATCAACGAGTTTAGTTTATTTAAATCTTCAATTAAATTGACTTGCTTCATTAAATACCATCATTTTGTACTAAGAAAATTGTATGATTTAGAATTAATAAGTTTTAAATTATTGTTTAACACGCTTGCATTGCATGTATGTATTAAAATGTTTAAAAATGCCGGTTATCAAATGGCTTACCTACTATCAGAGTCTGAAGAGCAAACCCAAACACAAGTGTGATTTGATATTAAATTTTATTTTTCAACTAATTAATGTATTTAATAATAAAATATACCGTATTAACATTTTATATTATCAAATCGGGAGATCATTAACAATAGATATTCTATCTTTAACGGAAAAGAAAGTGACAAAAAGTATATTTTCGCAAAAAACCAGAATACATGTATACGAATAAATACCCTGATAATAAAAATAAATACTATATACTTACCCTGATTCAGATGAAGTAAAAAATATATTCGATACAAAAAATATTTTTTATTTAGCGTTATTAAATTGAGTACAATACATCACAGGACAAATATCATTAATTTATACAACAAAAAGGAAATGGAAACGTTTCTGCGTTTGGACTAAAAGAATATCTGGACTGGTTTCCGATAACTGCAACATATTCCCTTGGCAAGTAAAACTTTTATGGCAAACCACATATTTACCCTATAATGTATCATCAAATTTATGGGGTTTTCACTTAGAAATAGTTTAACTGACAAGGGAATTTTGCTCTTAATTATAATGAAGCCACATTAAAAAAAATATACATACATTGGAAGAACTGAAAGTTTGAACTTAGTGGCTAATTTGTGTTTTAAAACAGTTTTTATTATGATTGTTTACAGGCAATTATTACAAGTCTATTATATTTTCCGATCAGATCCTTATTGCTCTCTCCAATTAAGATTTTATTACCGAAAATAATTCCTTAAAATAGAAAATTAAGAAGCTCAAAATTATAGTTAACGCCTATTACTAATATAGTCAGAGAGTAAATAAAAAAGACTAATTATATAAGTTTCAAACAAATTACCTACGTATATTATAGTTGGTTCAAAACAAATATCAATGCACGTCACCTATAATTTACTACGTCACAAGTTGGCAATGTTGCCAAACTTTTACAGAGTTTACAAAATCTAAGTATTTTCTAAAATTGTCAAATGGCAAAATAATAAGAACAAATTGAAAATTAGGGGTACCTGTTTGGGGTTTCTAAACGACGGAAGTATTCAAAGGCGCACTATAATTAATCATCAAATTCCTTTATCATCTAAAATATATTTAACAGCTTTTTAACATTTTCTATCGTCCCTTGTTAATATTAAATTAAATTCTGCAGGAGTTAAGCTTAATCTATTTTGTTTATTTATTTTTAAAAGTTGGGCACATTGCTTGGCAAGTATGACGACAGTAGTGATGTGCATTAATATTTCTTTTGCACCGACTATATTTATATTACCATAACATTATGTATGACTTTTCTATAAGAATAGTCAATGTTAAGTATTTACGTTGTTCGAAACATATTTGTAATGCAATTTTGTAATGATTTATGCTTGTAATGTTAAGATATAAATTAGTAAGATTCAATTATTCAATGAGAATCTTTACAATTATACGTTTCAGAATCTCATTCATTAATATTTTACCAACGATTAGAGAATACATATAAGATAAATATTAATTCAAAATATCAAACAGTAAAAAATACTTTTTAGCATTCCGACGAATATAATAAATACAATATTGATATGTTAAAAATTTGATCTATTATACTTCAATTCCATGTTCTACAATGTAGTCGATGTAACAACTTTAACGCCGTGCACAAAAATGGTGGGTGGCAAATTTTTCGAAAATAACTCTAGCTTGTTGTAGAAATTTTCAAATTGTTGATCTTCAGAAGGAGGAGCTGGTAGGTAGATAAAAGTAATGGCCGTTTCTTCCGTTTGTTGCAAAATTAACGTATTCACGCTAAAACAAAAGTACCTCCGTTATAATACAGGGTGTCCCAATTAAAAATAGCCTATTTAATCGGCTTATCTTTTTAAACACCCAATCATAAAAAACATACGGTTTTCGCAGATATATTTTATTTTGCCACAACTTTTGTTACATTGGCACAGAAATTTTGTATCACCTTTACAAGGTATCTTTTCAAAATCTCCTCTTTTCAATTCCCATTAACCAAATGTTATTAAATTTAGAGTCATTTAGAACGGTCCAGAATCAGTTAGAACTGTCTAGAATCGTTTAGATCGCTCCAGAATAATTTGGAATGCTCCAGAACCATTTAGAATACTCTAGAGCCATTCAGAACGGTCCGGAATCATTTAGAGTGCTCCAGAACCATTTAGAATCGTCTAGAACTATTTAAAGCGGTCCAAAATAATTTAGAACTGTCTGGAACTATTCAGAACGCTCCGACAGAACGCTAATCTAAAACTAATCTTACCTCTCAGCGTAACTTTCATTCTCATCGCCGTGTGATTCTATGACATTTTTCCAGCCGGTAACGGGGAACAGTTCCGCCTCGATTCTCAGCTTCTTCAACAGCTGCTCGAGCTTCTCCGAATGGCTTTGCGACGACGAATTGTACGCGAAATAACTCGTACGGGCTTCGTCGCACATGCAAATCCTGAGCTTCAGTTTTTTCCACATCGGCACCATGTTCACGATGCAGGCCAATTGCATCATGAACAGCGAGGTCGTATCGAACGAGTCGTTTTCGCCCGGATTGAGGAAGTTTACCGGCCACACGTCTATGTAAGTTTTGCTTCTTACGCTAAAATTATTAATATTATTAATAGAGCTTGGAAAATATCCACTAAAAAGGCTAAATATGCATTAAAAACCTTCAAAATATGTTTGGAATCATTGAGAACTGTTTGGAATCATTGAGAACGCTCCAGAATAATGTGAAACTGTCTGGAATCATTTAGAACGCTCCAGAATAATGTGGAACTGTTTGGAATCATTTAGAACGCTCCAGAATAATGTGAAACTACTTGGAATCATTTAGAACGCTCCAGAAGCATTCAGAACTGTCTAAAGCCACTTAGAATGGTCCAGAATCATTTGGAACTGTTTAGAACCCTTTAGAACGCTCCAAAAGCATTCAGAACATGCTCTAATTATTAATAAACGAAGAGTGTTCGATCGAAGCTGATCAGAATGAACACTCAATCACAGGAATTTTTTGGTACTTGCGTCATTAGAGGAGTAATTTATGGTATGTTCTGATAAAAATGTACCTTCTGGCATCTTTCCTGAGTTTATTGAAGTTCCTACACAAGCACAAGTTTTTGTTCATGCGCAATACTTCTCTCATCATTTGAACGTATTCGAATGGTTCCAAGCCACTCTGCGATGATAACGGAAACACGTCGTTTTCGAAATCGTGGTTTCGATACACGGAGTCCACGCTAAAAAATAATCGAAAATTAATTTAAGAGTAAACTCGACCGGCTGCAATGCAATACAAACCTTTGCAGGAAATCTTTAGGCTCCTCTTTATCCAAAAACCCGAATATCACCGTGTTGGGTTTCATCGCGCCCATTCCCGACAATCTCATCAAGTGCATTAAACCTTCTCTTACGCTTTTGGCGACGGTCAACTCGACGAACGCTTTGACTTTTAGATGATCTATCAAGTTCAACCAATGCGGAGTTTGAGCTAACGTGGGATCCTCAACCGCATTCTCCGCAGTATTGTCTATATCGACGTGGCCCAAAACGTACAGACCGCCCTTCTTCAAATCGTTAACGAAATCTATCAACGGACAAGCGGATCTCGGACTATTGACCAATAACAGTACTTGAGGTCGCCAGAATTTCACGTGATCCTTCCGCGAATCCAGCAAAAGAAGGTACTTTCGAACCTGAAAACATCAAATAAGCAATTGCGCTAAATACACGATTAATTATCCTACTTGATGGAAGATGAGCGCCTGAGAAATGCTGCCCCATTGGGCTTCCTTTGAAGGCGAAAATAAGTGCAAACCGACGATTAAAATGAGGCATAATAAAGCGCTGCACGCGGCGTAGATAATACTCGTGACCGTCATCATAATTACAGTTCCTAATAGACCGAACAAGGCGGTGTGCCACGTGAAGTACATGAAAGTCGGACGGAAATTCGGAGCGCCGGCCAATTCCAGACCCAAGCACGCCATGTTCGTCGCCATGTAGCTCAATAAAAACAGCACCGTGTTCAGTTGCGCGATTAGATTGAGAGAACCGATCAAAAGGACGAATTGCACGAGTACCGCTGATAGTACGACCGCTGCTACTGGGTTGCCTTTCCACGTGCCCTTCGGAATGAAATTCAACAATCGACCTGGAATTTGTACAATTTTAAATTTGCTCGAATAGTACGGTAGACTGGCTACGGTTGAAACAATTTTCCTTTAAATGCCCACAGCGCTGCTATTCCAGCTTTAAGCAGCGATTGTTGCCTTCGAGACCATTTAGAACGCTCCTGATTCATCTTTAACTGTCTAGAACCATTTAGAACGCTCCAGAATCATTTAAAACTAACTAGATCAATCTAGAACGCACCAGAATCCTTTAGAACTGTATAGAACAATCTGGAATGCTCCAGAAGCATTTAAATAGTCTAGAACCATTTAGAACCCTCCAGAATCATATAGAACTGGCTATATCAATCTCTGTACCATTTACTTAATTTATCCGAAGCGTTTTCTTGCAAGGAAACAGCGGCGAGTACCTTGCATAGTATCGATAATATCCGAGCTGTTACAACCGTACCCGGTCTACCCTAATGCGAAAACTTACCGAATACTTTGTCCTTCGAAAGGGCTTCGATTACACGCGAAGCGCCGATGACGTTGCTCAGCGCGGCGGACCAAGTAGCGGTGATCAATCCAACAGCGACGCTGGGAGAAAAAGCGCTAATTCCCGACATGTACATGTAGTCGTTTTGTAATAACTCTTTCGTGCAAGTCGCTGCTGTTAGGATCGATATCGAAACGTACACGAAGAAGGTAAAGCATACCGCTGATAATGTCCCTCTCGGTATCGACTTGCCTGGATTTTTCAGCTCGCCTGAAATTGCTCGTTACATGAAGATAACGTTGAAGTTTAGAGTTATTTATTACCGCTCATATTAGCTCCGGCCATGATGCCTGTAACTCCCGAGAATAAAACCCCGAATACGCTAGCAAACGTGACGAGTTCTCCTTTAGCAGTGTAGTCCCGACCATAGTGGGAAAATAAATTGCTGTGCAATGTGGCACTATCAAGACCTGTATAGTTCCTTGTTGCTGGATAGGTAGCGTTTTGTATCAAGGTATTAGAATCCGGTATGTTCACCTACAAAATGATCCTTGCGCTAAAGGTAAATTCGTTTTGCAGCCAAGGTAACTTACTAACCTCGATGAAACCTTCGTAAAAGAACGAGAAAAATGTAATTCCTAAACAACCGCAGACGAGAATTAAAATAAATACTGTCGTTTTGGCGAACATCGATGCTCCAATGAGGCAAATGAGAAGGTTCAAAATATTTAGGGAACTGCAGTACAAAAATCTGTACCACCTACTGTCTGGTAACAATTCTTGCACAAGGGAACCTAAAATTGGGAAAGTCTTAAAATTATTTATGAATATTTTATATTTAATTCAACTGGAGCAAAAAACGATCAATTGTGCCGCATAAAATTAATTTGATAAAACAAATTACTATATCAATTTATTCTGAAATCGAAAGTAGTACAAATTTGATAACAAATGGCATTTTGTATAATTAGTGTCCTTTTGCAAATTATATCCAATTGAAGGCTGTTATCACAATTATTGTGGATCAAGTAAAAGATACACTCGTACAAAACGACGGGAATATAAAGAGTCAGGATGTTGAACTTTGTATCAATAACATTAATAAATTATAGTTAATACCTATTATCAAGCTGTTGACACTAAATACATTAGTTATCTTCATTATAGTCGCATTTTTACTAAATTAAACCGATAAGTAAAGTATAATATTTAGAACTTGAATAAATAAAAAATTAGGTATTGTTTTAAATAAGGGCAATACAACAATTTGTTAATAATTTTATACTCCTAAACAAAATTTATATTATTTGTGTATTGACATGTTGACCATGTTTACATTGATTTACAATTTATTGTTTCAGGAAAAACGAAAAACCGTAAATAAATACTAGAGGAAACGTAGAGAGAGGCAAGGCGATCAAAACAAACAGAGATCCTCGAGTGTTTACCAGTGTGCACAAGTTAACTTTCTCTGCGCATTTTAGTATATAAATGTAAAAGTCCAATATATTTTTAAGTTTCATTGACATATTTTGTGGCAAGAGTGATAAGAAGCCGTATAAATACGGTTAAAGTGTAATCACGAACGTTTAATTGCTCGAAATAGAGTAAACCATCTGACAGTGAAGGTGAAAACGGTAGGGAAAGATTTATTTTCTTGTAATTCAAAAGTCTTTTACAAATTTGCTTTTCAATAATTCGGTTAATTATAAAAATTTATTCAAAAAATCAAAACAGGTTTTAAAGAACGTATAAAGTTTAGGAGAAAGTGCCTGTTAAAAAAGTATATCATACATAAATTTTTAGAAAACATGATTGTTACAACGGTATTAATCGGATTGGTGATAACATTGGCCACTTTCCTGCTATGGTACTTTTACAACATTTTCCAATATTGGAAAAATCGAGGGGTGCCATATTTAAAACCACTATTTATACCTTTCGGAAACACGCTCGATCTATACATGGGAAAAATTACATTCGGAGAGGTGTTCTCCAACGCCTATCTGGAATTCAAACGAAGAGGTGAAAAACACGGGGGCATTTTTTACATGAACACCCCCGTTTACATACCCGTAGACCCAGATATCATCAAAAAAATCGTCATTAGCGATGCTCACTACTTCCCTAATCACGCCATGTATGTAAATCCGAAAGAAGATATTTTATCCGGACACCTTTTCAATTTGGAAGACGCACGTTGGAGGGAACTCAGAGTAAAAACCCCATCAATATTTACCACTTCCAAGATGAAGAAAATGTTTGTAATTATGAAGAACATGGTGGATCCTTTCAAACTAGTAAGTAACTATTATAAGGGTAATTTATCCATTATATTTATGAAGGCTTAAGGGTTTTTTCTAATACAAATAAATTGGGAAAGAGGTCATCTTCTAATTTTTTAACAGGATTAAAGATTATCTTTTTTTCGATATTTGTCAATTAAGAACTCGTGTATAGGATTTTGTGATTAAAAAAAATATTTATTCTTAATAATTTGTTTAAAATGGTTATCAAAATGGCCTTTAAATTTATCTATCTGTTTTATATGGCTATACATATAGTTAATCACATTTAAATAAACATTAAACAATATATTTTCTGATATCGTTATCAAAATGACAGCAATTGAAATTAAAATAAATGTAGCGAAAATAGAAAGAATTAATTAAAAAAAATCCGATTTTTTAGTGGCTGGACAATTTCGCGGAAACAGGCGAGCCCGCCGAAATAAAAAGCGTCCTCAGTCGTTTTACCACTGACATAATATCTGCTTGTGCTTTCGGAATCGAAACGAAAACATTGCAAAAAGAAAACGAGGAATTACTCCACCACGGTCGCCAGTTCTTCGATTCCCAATGGAAACTGTTCAACAACACCTGGGTTGTTACGGTACCGAGGGAAATCCTGAAGAAACTGAAATTCCGAATCTTCCCGAAAAGCACGGAGGAATTCATCGTTAACATGTTCACGAAAATCTACCGTTACAGGAAGGAGAATAACATCAACAGGAACGACCTGACCGATACTCTGATGAGGCTCACCGAACGCAGAGACGACGAATTGGACTACACCGGTAAAAAAGCCATAGAGCCGATGGATTTGAACGAGTTTTCGGCCCAGATGTATCTATTTTTCTGCGCCGGTTTCGAAACCTCGTCTTCGACGTTATCGTTCGCTTTATACGAACTGAGCAAAAATCCTGATTGTCAAGATAAATTGCGACAAGAAATCCAAAAAACTATGGCTAAACACGACAATAATCTAACGTACGAAGCTGTTATGGAAATGAAGTATTTAGAACATGTCGTAGATGGTAAGTAATTTAGTAAAAATGTTTTAGATAATATACACAGTAAATATGAGCGATAATTAGGATGCCATTTTTTTATCTAAAGAGGTCAAATATAGAACCGTTAAATTGAAGGATAGCGTTATAACAATATTTTAATGATATTAATTTCAATTGGAGGCCACCAAAAATTGTTTTTATTGATAAATAAATCAGTTAATGTAAATAAACGGTTAGGTAAATGAGATTTTAATTGTGAAAGATAAAAATGTAGCAAATCTCAATACCTGCTAGTACATTTCCTATATCCTTAAGAACTTGGTACCAAAAATTATACTGATAAATTGATGTTTCAGAAACACTGCGGATGTATCCAATTTTTCCTATAGTAGCGAGAGAATGCAAACAAGACTACCCAATACCGGGTACTGACTTTACTTTGGAAAAAGGTACGTTCGTTATGGTGACGAACATGGGAATCCAGAGAGACCCGGAATACTATCCAGACCCTCTGCAATTCGACCCCGAGCGTTGGACGTACGAAAACAGCCTGGGTAGACCTTTCGTTGCCAATCTTCCCTTCGGAGAAGGACCAAGAATTTGTGTCGGTAAGTAGAATAAACTTAGTGAATAATAAATGTCTACAAAATGATTTTCGATATAGGAAAACGATTCGGCTTACTCCAAACTAAGCTGGGACTTATAACAGTCATCAAGGACTACAAAGTATCGCTAAGTGACAAAACCACTCAAGGGTTCCAATTTGTTTCGCACCAGTTAATATTGAGAAAAAAGGGAGATGTTTGGCTTCAGATTCAAAAAATCAACGAATAAAAATTACCTTTAACAAAAAAATTCGTTCAAGTAAAGCTATAACTCTTTTGATTTGTTACAATTAGATCATCAAGTGACTATACATGTAGTATGTAAATCAAATTTTAAATGAGCAAGTAGACTAAGGTCTTCTAATTTTTTATTTACGTAGGTGTAAAAAATATGTTCTGTGTTTATATTTTACTGTGATTTTTTTTTTGTTTACTAATTAGTAAATTTTTCGGACAATTTTATTGTGTAAGAATTATTACCTAAAGAAGCAATTTTAATTTATCCATTTTATACAAAAATGTACTTAAATTGGTTTATTTTAACGAATTAAGCATGTTTAAAATACCTTTATAGAATTTAAGAAAAATATGTGATTCAAAATTTATTTTAGAATAATTGGTGAATCCAGTAATGATTTGTTACCAAATTTCTGTACTTGATTTTTATTAATGGATATTTAAGAAATTGTAGAATTAGAATTAATGTTATCCTACACTAATTGTGTAGTAGAAAATATTTTTTTTAATTTAACTGATAATCATTTTTTATAAAGTTCGTATTATAAATAATGTTCAATTTTATTATTTATCTTACCTGATGGACCGAAGTTTTCTACCAAACCTTCCACACATCCAGATATATACAAGGCGCTGCTAACAATATTGGCAAGGAAAAATAATGTACCGATGGATCCTCCAAATTCAGGTCCTAAAGTTCTGCTTATCATAACTAAAAATAAATTCAATTTAAAAATATGGCGTTTAAAAAAATTGAAATCCAGCACAAAGATAATTGATACAAAGGATATCTCTACAGTGATTAAGTCTCTTGAAGACCAATTCTTTTAAAGATATACAGGGTGCTCAGAATGTAAACTGTTTAAAATAAATACGTACAATATGCTCCGCCACCTTCCACAGCTCCGTTCGTTGAAATGGCACAAACGGACATCACAGTAAAAACCAATATGCTATACGCAATAACAAATTGCACTAGAGTTACTAATAAACCAGCGTTTCCTACAATGTACCCTGAAATATAAGCAAAATTAATCCAGTGTGAACAAAAATTGTATTATTGTTCTTACCCATTCGTAAAAATACCAGAGCAGAAAACATCGATAGGGTTACTGGTGAGAACACTCCAGCAAACGTACCTAATGTTCTTGTGCTAATTTCTTCCGTAAACGTTCCAAATTCTACATAATTCATTCCATCGGTTGAACTATCTTGATTCCTACTAAAAATCCCCGATATTTTCCTCACAAAACTAGTTCCCACCAATGGAGTTTCGTTGTTTGTTGAACCCTCCGCTGGAGCCAACATTTTTAATTAGATTATTTTTGTTGCTCTGAAAATGAAATGAATTTCTATAGCAGGGACAAAACAGGAAATATCATTGTAAACATCTTGTACCATAACCAATAAAAGAATTTTCAATTACTAATTAGATTAATCAAATACCTGCAAGTTGAACTAAATACTGGTCACAATAAACTTTAAATGGTTATAACTAATGGAATTCATGAATTTATTGGTACTCGCCGATAACTAAACGCAAATCAGCACAATAATAATCGACAATAAACGTAATAATGAATCATAGAAAAATGTAATTGTAGAATCCTATGTAATTGTAGATTAAAATTTGTAAATAAACAAGACTACACCACACAACGAGAAATGAAAGCTGGCTGAATACCTACATGAGATATGTTATATGTACAAATAGAATTCTTAAAGAAGAAAACTAAAATTATGATTCTGTCTAGATTGCCGCTTCCGTGAAATTAACTCATTAAAATTATTTATAGTTTTTATTTTAATAGTAGGTATATTTTATTACACTAACAAAGTATGTACAATAATAAATCATCTTTTTTCTAAATTTTTAAATTTGCTCTCCAACCTCTTTCCATAAGCGTCCAATTTATATGCTGCTTGCTCTAATTTTATTACACTAGCCTCAATTTGATCTATTTGTTGCAATAATGGAATTAAACTAGCATCTGAAACAACCAAAAACATTTATCCTAAAGTAGAGAACTATTTTTCAGTATTTCGTTTGGCTCGTAATTTTTACTTACATTTTTCATTGAGTTCGCTCATACTCTTTTTAACATTAAGGGTGAGATTTTTCATGTCAGAATATTTTGTTATAACAGATCGATTCATATTTTCTAAAAGTCTATAGTCGTCTAATGTTGAAGTCAATTCTCCATATAGGTACTCCGAAGTTTTACTAAATAATGTGTTCGCTAGTTGACTCAAATTAGGATCATGGGGATCTAAAGCTTCAAAACTGGATGTTGACGTAGAGAGGGTAGGTCCTTAAAAATAAATGATTCGTTTCTAATTAAATTACACTATTAAAGAATGTAATTGTTGTAATTTATATTTATAAAATGTACCTCTAATAGGAGAATCGGTAACGTCCTGTTCTTCTGACATTGTGTATTGTACTAATCAATAAAACTGTTGTGTGTATATATTTAGGAATGGTTAAAATATGTACAATGATTGAAACTAATTAACATATTATCATATTAATAAAATTTCCTTTCAATAAAACAAGATGTCAAAACAAAAATCAAAATATGTCATCATAGTTGTCAATAATTTAATGTCAATATTTCTTCTTTAATTTGGCCTTCAGTATTGTGGTAATTGGTCACTATTGGTACTGGACAATTCTGAAAATTGGATACATAGACAAAATAATAAAATAATAATAAAATAGACAAAATCTTTCCTTCTCTATGATTGGATATTTCGTGAAGTCAAGAGTTATAAATCAGAATATTTTGGAGTAAGGTCTTAGATTATTTCACTGTGTTCACAAAGCTCATCATTATAAAAAAGGATATTGTTCTGGAAATAACTAAGTTAAATAAATAAAAAAAATTAAGATTATAAAAATTATATTATTTAAGATTATAAAAAATTTGTTGCTGAAGTGCTGTGTCCATATATGAAAAATGTAATCTATATAAAAATACTAATAAAAAATACTAACTAACTTAATTACTAGGCACATTCGGACGGTTACAATATCACTTTCCGTGAACACTCGTGTTACACACTACAGTAATTTTGATTTTATATATAAATATAAAGATTAAAGCGATTAAATATGCAAATTGATTGGCATAAGTAAAATATTTAAATACTGCAAAAAGGATACATTTACGTTGTATATATTGCAATTATGACACCATTGGAATGTTCAAAAAAACACATGAGCAAAATAACTTCGTTAACAAAAAACGACCTATTTAGGTATTAGATACCATTTTGAAAAAAATACTTATCATGAAAAAATACATATCAAAATATACGTAAATAGAAGGTAATTACACTTAAAACACAACATTTCAGTCATACTTTAAAAGGTCTTTAAAAAAATACTTTTCACTCATACTTTAGTAAAATATTTTGTACTTTGAAAATTGGCAATAGAATAAAAGTAAAATAAGCACAATTAAACGAGTTTTAGACTTAAAATTCCACAATTTTACCATATACTTCGTGAATATTATTGCTAAACGTATAAAAGTAGCTAAAAAATGCAGTGATTAAAACATTTAAATGCAAAAGCTGTCGAAATGATATGATGACTACCAGGTAATCATGATGAAAAATTTATTCCACATCAGCCTCATTTACTACTGCCACTTTAATATTTATGAAGCTCGCGTATATGAAAGAAACCCAATTAATACAAGCTCCAGAAAGGGCAAAAATGAGGCATAAGCCGGTATTAATGATACCGTCACGATAAGCTCTGCCAGTATCTGGTTGCATATAATCCATGAAATCGTATATTCCTTGGCAACTTAATCGACTGTAAATTACCGGCAGTACGGAACCATGCACGCTCAGTAGCCTTTCCAACGTCGAACGGTATTGGTTACAAGTGTGATTATAACCATCCATGAATATTGAAAAGTGGATTAAGGAATATACCGAGAAGAATACAGAAAAAACTGAAACAGTCACCCAAAAGCATGTTGGCAAATGGCTGGTCACTTCCTGCGAGATGGCTTCGATTTGTACAGATTCTCCAGTGCTACAAAAAATTTTTTTTTTGTCATTTTAAATTGCAGGGAATTTAAAAAATCATTTTTTTCATTGACGAGTGCCACAATACCTGAATTGCTCTCTCTTGACAAAAAATATGAAATGATAGATAAAATTGATGCAAATATCACTATCTGATAACGGGTTTAAGTTCGATACATTAAACTTACTCTAATTTAGCCAACATAGTTCTTGTAGATCTTCCAGTTGGTGATTTTGTGGTAAACAAAACTCTATATCCATGAAAGCACAGCATAGATATTGCAAAAAGTATATAAATTAAAGGGCCAAATGTGACCCATATGCAAGGTGCTTGGCCCCCTCCTAAAAAAGTCTCAGTTACTCCCAAGAACCATAATACATATCAATGATGAATAAAAATCTCACCAAGAAAAACATTTATAGTGTGTGTTCCGTATATAATGCAACTGCAATTTCTATCGATGCATTGATCAAGTGTTTTATACCAGTGGCTCCAAGCAACTCCCGTGCAAATGCTAGAAATCGCTCCGGTAATTGTGCATATTAAATATGCAATCGACAATCTTTTTTCAGCAGAGAGTTGATCCATTATTGTGTACACAATAAATAACTGAACACGATTCTGTTTTTATAAAATTATCAGATAAAAGTTTGCTAATGATAATCTATTATCACAAATACAATGTCAAAAGTTAATGAAATTCACTTTAATGCAGTAATTTAGCAAATAGTTGTGAATGAATCACTTTATTAATAAAGATTAAATATAAAGTATATGGTAATTTGGTAATTGTGATAAAAAATAAAAAGTAAACAAATATTTGTCAACACTTTCACGTTGACAATACCAACTGTCAAAAAAAAGGCTAGTCTCACTTGCCTTTAACCTTTCAGGACTTCAGGAAAAATAGTTAGTAACTGTATAACAATGATCCATGAAGTTAATATAATAACAATTTAAAAAGAAGATAAATTTTATTTATTTCTATTTACGCCCTTTTAAAATTTGATAATTTAATTGCAGATGCGGATTGTATTAAAAACTATTCAAAATGATGCAACAATATATGAAAGAATTGGAACAAGTAATGGTAATTCACTGGCAAAGAATCGTTTGTTCTCATTGTTACATTTCAGGAGCCTTTTGATGCCGAAGAATTCGTAGAACGTTTGGCCTGGAGAACTTTAGCTGAATCGAAAAGCGAAGGAGAGGAAAATGAAATTAATCCGGTACTTCTTCACGAATCCTTCGTTCAAGCCATAAAGTACCAAATATATTTTTTTCAAATAGTAGCGGTATTAAACGTAGTCATATTACAGGGACCTTAATTTATTGCACGAAAGGCAACAGAAAAAATGCGAAAAATTAGAAGTAGCCGTTAGAGAAGACGAAGCGACGTTTTTTCAAGAAGTTTATAATTTATTGGAACAAAATAAGGTACAGATAGCGTTTCTTCGAGTGTGTTCCGATAGTAATAATTTTATTGGATTTCCAGCAAGCAATGGAAACATTTCAAGAACTGGATGGCAAAATTAATCATGTAGCTACTAAAGTTCTTCACTTGGGAGATCAGCTAGACAGTGTCAATGGTCCTCGATCTAGAGTTGTCGATGCCTTAAGCTTAATGACTCATTTGAGAGAATTTCTATCGAACGAACCAGTTTCATCCACAATATTTACCAATCAAGAATACGTAAGGAACTAGAACTACCCAAGTTGGAATGTACAGGGTGTTACTAAATATCGTCACATACGTTCTGTATGTTTAGGAACACCCTGTATAAAAAAATAAATGCTAACGAAAATTATTTTTATAACAGATTGATGAAGCAGCTGATGTGATTCAAAAGCTGTATTTAATATCGCAAGAATTGCCACCAAAGTAAGCAGAAAATAATTAATTATTAACACTCACATGGTATTCGAATTGCTTGGATCTGAATATCATTTAACAATCTTGTAAAAATCATTGCTAATAAGATTTTAATTTTTCACATAGGTTTGAATCGATAAAAAGGAAAATAGAAAGGAAATATTCCGATATCGAGAAAGCGCTAATAGAAGAGTTTGTTGGGGCTATGGATAATGAGAATTTAACAAGAATGAAGGAGATAGCTTTGGTCTTGTCTCAGTTTAAGGGCTACTCTCAATGCGTTGATGCGTATATAGATCACAGCCAAGTGGTAAACAAATTTAAATTGAATAGACAAATTAATTGCACTTTAAATAATTGATTAAATGGTTGTTTTAGGGTTGTTTATCTAGTAAAGATGTCTTCTATAACTTTTTGAAATTGTGTAAATACAACGATGAAATAATTCGAAAAGTTTTCAAAAATCCAGAGCAAGTGATGGCGAAATTCGTTTTAAATATATATCAGTTGAAATTAGTGGAATACATAGATCAAAAACTAAATTCCAAATTGGGTACATACAGTTATTTACAAACGTTATATGAGTTGTATTCGAAGTAAGTTTATTATTTAAAGAAAAGTATTTATTTATATTCAATTTTTATTATAGAACTAATAATCTATCAAGCGAATTAACCGTTTTTCATATGGGAAACGACAAGAACTATCTCACTAAATTAACAACGAACATTTTTAATAAATATATCAATGATTATATTTCGTAAGTATTCTAGTAAATTGCAAAATACAATTTTATTAAATTTCAACAATTGTAGTATGGAGCTAAAGTGTCTCAAAGACAGATGTTCGACTAGCTTGCAAAAATATTATGATTCGAAGAGCCATCAAAAGAAACAGATTCAATCCGGGGGGTAATATTTGATTTTAACATACTAGTGGATTATATTTTTGAAATTTGGTTTCAGCTTTCAAGATCTTAGGAGAGATTTACAAGCAGTAATAGGTACGAGGGCAAATATTAACATAGCACAAATTGAAAATTACGGAGGTGAAACTTTCGTATCGGAGGAATTGGCTATCATGATTCTTCAGGATACTAAACAAGCTTTTCAACGTTGCTTATTGGTGAATACCACAAAATTGATGTTTTTTCAGGTTGCTAATTTTTTAATCATTTTTTGTAGTTGTCGAAAGGCAGTGAAAGAGCCTCTAACGCCACTCAAATTTTAGACAGACTTATTAATAGTTTGCTGATAGAGCATGTAGACTATGCAGTTGAATTGGGTCTACAAGCCGTACCAGTTGTCGAAGGCGTTAGAAATCCCCCTGTTTTGTATTTTTTTAATGTCGTGCATCAAAGCAATAATATAACCCATCTCGTCGAGAAACAGTTTATGGATTTGGTGGTTCCCTTAGTAGAGTAAGTATTTTAGGAATTTGTATATTTTTGTTTAAAAAATATGCAAGATTGAACTTATAACTTGTTTACAAACTTTGTAGAAATACTCCAAAATATAGCGATTGTGTTCAGAAGAAAAAATTTGTTTTGGAGGATATAGAAAGAAAAATTAATACGGGATTAGATAGGTAATTCATTTATTTGGTATTTTTAAAGCCAATGGAAGTATTCAATTTCTCTTTATAGGTGCTTGAGTGCGATATTAAATTGGGTGAAGTTGTATTTGCAATCTGAGCAAAAGAAATCCGATTTTAAGCCAGAGTCTGATGATTTTGATACAGTGGCATCACCTGTAAGTTTTCGCGAACTTAGCATTCAGAATGTACTTCAATTTACTTTCGCTTTAGGCATGCAAGAACGTACTTAACTATGTTAATAGCATTATCAAAGAAATTAAAACAAATTTGGATGGCAATAATGTAACGGCTATCCTTCAAGAATTAGGAATTAGACTGCATAGAGTTGTTTACGAGCACATGTTGCAGTATCAATATAACACTGCAGGTAAAATTTATTTTTTGTTCATACTTAGCTCTAAGTATAATTCTTTTCTATTGATATTGGAGTATAAAAAACTAAAATATTGTAGGTGCAATGGTGGCAATTTGCGATTTAAACGAATATAGATCTTGTACTAAACAATTAGGTCCTTTGGTTGCGGAGCTTTTCGATACTTTACATGCTTTATGCAATCTTTTACTGGTCAAACCAGAAAACCTTCAACAAGTTTGCTCTGAAGATTCCTTGGTAAGTTTTGGTATAAAAATCTAATTAAAAAGAAAATACTTTATTCGTTTTACAGGCAAAGTTAGACAGAGCAATTCTCCACAGTTTTATACAATTACGAAGTGATTTTAAAGTTCAAAAGCAAACAATTTTAAAAGTTTAGCTGTTTACGCTTGTTTATTTATATTTTTGATATTGTGTCTAAAGAATAAAACTAAATAAATGGTTTATAATGCATTTTATTGAAATTCTCTTGATTTATTAAAACTAAGTTCAGAGGAGTTATGACAAAATTTTATTGAATACTTTCGAGATGAAATAATTATTTAAATAAAAATAAAAAAACTTATAAATACAGATCGTCAAAAAATTGTTGCTTAATAATCTAATTGGAATTTTCCAGTATGGTTCCAGCAGATTCTAGTATAAAACAAGTAAACGTTGTTTTTTTTTGGTCAAACTTTTAAGTTAGACTAGCAAATTTACATGGTTAAGTCAATCACACTGAAACACCTCAAGAAAATCAATTGAAACAATTTAACGCATGCGATATCTATTTTCCTCGTGTACTTCTCCCAATTCCCCTTTGAAGTTGAGCTCGATGACAAAATCTAGATCTCGATTGTTACGCGGATTCGGTTTCATAGTGAACACCCCATGAATTTCTTCGTTTTTCTTCACCGTCATATAATCCTCAAAGTAAAACACGGTTTGCTTCCAATGAGTGTAAGGAGCATCCGGGGCAGTGGTAAAGCCGATACGCTTATGGCATTTAGTAAATTCGACCGTAAAATAAGTCACTAAAGCTTGAATGTAATCATTTCTTCTAACTGTTAAGATGAAAGGCGCACTAAACTCCAAATCTTCTTTCTTAACAGTGTATAGGTCGACTTCCTTGATTAAAGCAGGACCCGTTACTACTTGTTTGGGATCAACGACATCTACGAGAGGCTCACTGATCGCTACCTTACGAATGGAACTCATATCGAAGCCATAAACGTCATCCCACCAGTTAATCTTCTCGTCTTTGTATTGACGATCTTCGATAGCGGTGACAAATAGCGAGCAACGGTCGGGGAATAGAAGACCGTTAGGTTTTAGCCATTTGTCGCGAGCGAACAGAACAGTATCCAACATGCTCTCGTAGAAAAGACAATAGCCCATCCATTCCGATATAATAATATCGACCTTTTCGATGCCTTCGGGTAGAGTTATTTCCTCTACTTTCCCCTTTACGATCGTAATAATATGATCGAGCTTGTTGGCTTCAATTATTTGTTTTGCATAATCGACTATATTAGAGCATTCGACTGCTAAGACTTTCTTGGCACCAGCCTTCGCAGCGAACATACTGAGTATACCGGTACCGCAGCCAATATCGAGTACGACTTTGCCGTTGAACAGATGCTTATTGTGGTACATGGAGTTTCTGTACGTTAGCGTCCTAACTTCGTCTTTCAACATTTCTTCGTGGATTCCGAAATGCGCGTAAGAATCGAAATAGTAATCTCTGGAAGTCATCTCGTCGGCAGGAATGTCTTCCATTTTTTCCGGTTTCGCAACGTGATTGTTGACTACCGGGGTAGCCGCTGCCGCCGCTGCTGCTCCAACATCCATTGTTTCCATCATTAACGGCGAGGCGTTCTTCTGCAATGCAAAATGCGATTGTTCACCCGGCATTTTTTTTTAACACGTGCAAGACTAAACTACGAATAGAGCTTTTCGGATGGCAAATTTTAGGTGCAAATACTTGTATGGTGTTAGGTAAGCGAATGAAAGTTGTTATTACCTCTACTATATGCAAAGAAATTTAATATTCGGTAAATTATTGGCGCCCAACCATCAACGATTGTTTGACTTTTCTGAAAGGAATTGGCAATTGGCGTATGACAATAATGACAATTTGCGAAACGTCAAATTGAATAAATTTAAATAAGAAGAAATAGTGGTCTGTATCTAATGGTGTTTACAATTACTAATCTAATGAACGTAACAAAACAATACTGAAGTTATCTATTCTACTTTTTAGTTACATTTCAAGGTTAGGAAAAACGAGGTTAGAATTTAGAATAGAAATTAGAATAGAATTTTGAACTTTATAGTCCGATCTAATCTGAAGTCAGTTGAATGCATTGGCCTAAAAATACTAAAACAAAGAAGTTCATGCGCTTTTAATGTAATTGTTAACTCAGAATATCTACTTTAGCGTATTTACCGTACAATTTATTAAAAATGAACGGCGAATCAGTCATAAACGCGGAAAAAGCTTATTTATTGTCGGTTATTTCAACTTTCAAGAGCTACAGGTACGTAAACATAAAATTCGAACGTTTGAAATTAATAAAATATTTTGCAGAGAGCAGTCTTTACTTAGAATTCAGCATAAAGAAAGCAGCCTCGACAGTCTCCCCTGTCATCACAAACAATGGTTACAAAAGTATAACGAAGATTTGGAAAAAATCAAGAAATGTATAGAGAAAAATCACGAATTTATTCCGCTTGTTTTACGCTATGCTCACTGTATTTTCGGTAATTTTTATAGGGAAGAACCTACCGTACCCCGCGAACAAGAAATTCAAACCCGATCGGAAGGAATAGACAAAGTAAGTTAGCCCTTTTATGAAGCCATGTCCCTTGATGAAGGCCTGGGTAATTTTGACACTCTAGAAGGACATGGTCTGATGTTTCATCAGCCATGCCACAGCCCCTGCAAAGGGGACTTTCCTCTAAACCTAGTTTATAAAGATGCTTTCTCAGGCAACAGAGCCCCATTAGAAATCCTGGTATCTTTTTTAACCTACTCGGCGGTAGTTCCACAGCTGCCCTAAGTTACCCCTTTACTCAAATTCCAACAAATTAATTGGATTAAATATGGAAACATTTATAACATAAAATAAATACGCATTACTATAATATGTATTGTGGATTTTTTGAATAATCACTATTGTTGTTATCATTGTAGTATAAATAAACCTACTGGTGAATGACCGGTTTAAATTTAAACGACGCTATTCTCTAACGCATTCTTTTATCTTTATTGGTTTTTGATTTTATTCATTTATATTTGCATAATATTCTATACAGGGTGGCCCAGAACTCACACCCTACTGATCGTTTCCATAAGGCATTTCCCGGTGAGGCGTGAGTTCTGGGCCACCCTGTATAATTTAAAATATTACAGTATTAATTTAAATATTCGTTTTTTTAAGGTACAAGCTGTATTCAAACAGTTAATGCGCGACTGGAGCTCGTTAGGAGCGCCGGAGCGCAAACAATGCTACGAGCCGATTTACGAAGAAATATTTGCCAATTATCCAGAAGATAAGTTCGACAGAAGTATGATTAGTGTTTTAGTGCCTGGAGCGGGTCTTGGTAGATTGGCATTTGAAATCGCTTCGAAGGGTTTCACCTGCCAAGGGAACGAATTCAACGTTTTCATGCTTATCGTTTCCTATTTCGTATTGAATCTGTGTAAAAAAGTGGACGAATACGAGGTTTACCCTTGGATTCATCAATACACAAACAATTTAAAAGCAGAAGACCAAATGCTCGGGATCAGGTAAAAAACTGGAATGTTAATTGGAATTTGGTTGTTAATTACGTTTGTGTTTTAGATTTCCTGACGTTATTCCTATTCCTACACCGGGCAGTGGTTTTTCCATGACAGCAGGTGATTTTTTAGAGGTTTATACAGCCGCAGACGAATGGAATTGCGTTGCGACGTGTTTCTTTATTGATTGCGCTCCGAACGTAGTACAATTTATAGAAAGCATATTTAATATTCTCAAACCCGGTGGATTGTGGGTGAATTTGGGCCCGTTGTTGTACCACTATTCCGATATTAGAAGAGAGAATAGTGTAGAACCCAGCTTTCAAGTAGTTTTGCAGGTACTTCTCACTAATCGGGCTGATTATCAAGTTTTTATAATATTTGATTTTAGGTTATCAAAAGGATCGGTTTCGAACTGGAAAAATGTCAAACGCACGTAAAAACGAAATACTGTCAAAATCCGATGTCAATGTTGCAGTACGAATACGATAGTGTATTTTTCGTTTGTCGCAAACCTAACATAATCGAAGACAAATCTGACGAACCCATGATTGACATTAGTGATAACGAAGTTGTTTTAAACGATTCAAAGTGATAAGTTGCGTATAACATAAGTTCGTTTATATCATTACTTTATGTTGAATAGAACGTCAAGTACAAATATTGAATTTATGTTATATGAAACGGTACCTAAAATTTTACTTTTGTAACTTTCAGAACAGTTTGCAAATGTTCAAAGCAATGCTAAATGCACAGCTTCCTTCCAGTCACGAGTTATTAAGAAATTCGATATTTATGAATCTCGATTTGAACATATTTAAAAGATTTACGCGAGAACAAAAATATTTTAATAATCTTTTAGACTGCTATTAAAGACTGCTAATAATTTGTATACTAAGGTAAATTTCTAGTCAACCGTTGTGGCATTAAACAGTCTGTTTTTGAATAATCTTGTTTCAGTTTTCTGTAAAATATCATGTACTAAATGGATATTTGGAAACTATATATGGTATGTTTTGAATCGAAGTTCACTAGAGTAGAGCATTGTTCACTTAGCATTGTTTTGTAACAGATCTTCGGTAATATTATTTTAATTTTTTTTACGATAAATCGTTTTTTGTGATACTTTATATAGGTATGTTAAAATGTAAATTGAATAGACATATACTATAAGTACCTGTTGGTTTTGATTAATAAAGTTAATACCTGCAGGCTTCTATTTAACATATCTGTATATAATATATTTAGAATAAAATTTTTAGTTCAGTTCTATAAGTATAAAAACTTCTGTATGGATTGTTTGTAAGTTGATTGTTCAGTTGTAAAATAAAATAATGTATTTTTGATATGTTTTTATAATATAATTCTTTTATTAATTCCACATCTATAACTACACAATTAATCGTCAGGAAATCCTTATCAAGAGGATACGGTCGAACAGGTTAGATAAATTAACAATTAAGTTCACTAAACGTTTAATTTATTTTTAAGAAAATATATCTTTGTGAGAGGTAAAGCGGGTTTTACAAAAATATGTTTAATTCTAAAGAATATTAAGTATAACATTGCCCCATTTCTGCTTTATAAATTACGTGTTGTACATAGATTGATTTTGTTCAATTAAAAAAAATCGTAGTCGGGTTGTTATAGAACAATTTAACAACAAAACTTTATTATCTATTATAGACAAATTTTAAAAAATATATACCTACTTGTAAAAGTGATAAATTTATTCAGGAAAATCAGGAACTTTATTAGGTATGAAACGATCCCATCTATCATGGTTAATTTCATTTGTTTGTATTGCATCTTCATCATCGACGGTATTTCCAAGATTATCTTCATCTATATTTTCTACATCATCTTCGTCGCCATCAATATCGATAAATTTATCATCCGATGAATCAACACTATAATAATAGAAGCTAATTACCTTTATATAGGTAGTTAGGAGGAAAAACGAGACGATTTGGGTTGGTGAATGATGTGGATCGACATAATCGATAAATGAAGATAAAGTTATTAGTAACATTTGCAATAAAAGTGTAGGTACAATTTAAAGAAATATTACATGATTTTGTAAGTAAGTTTTGCCGATGTGATACTAATGAAATGTTTAAATTTTAACATAAATCATTTATGCTTATTATAATCGCTTTCCAAAATGTAGGTAAAAAAATTATTAAGTACCTAAATATTCTGTTTATAATTACAACTTACTTATTATCATCGTTTTCCAAGGATGGTTCCGGGGCCGGTAATTCATCGTTAATGTACGGATATCCAGGTGGAACTCGTGGTTTCCTCGAGTGTATTAATAGTTCATCGTCATCATCGAAATTAAATTCGTCGTTATTTTTCGGAACTAACAGTTTATATCCCTCTTTGGTATATGTTACATCGTATTTGCTTTGATAATCCTTAAATCGTATTGCATTTTTATTCATTACTATTTCAGATGAATTAATGACTATGTACCTACTGATCACTACTTGTATTTTTTTATGCAATTTATTATTTAGATTTGAAGTTTAATAATTTATACTATAAGTCTTGAGAAGAATAAGCATTTGCACACATTGATACTAATAATTTAGATATACCTGAATAGGTACCTATTCAAACTATTTTTTATTTTAACAGAAGATATATTGGAAGTAGGTATAAGAAAATAAATAAAACTTACTGCTGGTTGACATTTTAATCGAGTACAAGAATACTCTGCTCCATTCGAACTGCATTCACATGTGTTACAATCTATATGAAATTTGGAGTTGGGCCGGCACATTGTAGCGTCTATAATAAATCATAAATAATCATGAAGCTTTTGTAAAAATAATAATTTATTTCAAGTTATATTTTTAATAAAATGCCGCTCGTCTTGCTACAACTTCTTACCTATGTACCTACATTTCTACCTCATTTGTGGATTTCTTAAGGATCCTTTTAGTCGATTTGTTTTAAAATTTGTTTTATCTGCGTTATTCAGAAAAAAAACAATATTTATTCTATGAATCACTGTATAGGCACTTCCTGGCCGTAATAATTGTTTATACATACGTACGATTTATAGCTAGTTAATTAGATTGGCGTAACGATAGGAAGAACAATTTCCGTTAATTTTAATAGTATCTACCTAATATAGTGAATTCGTTGCTTTTATTGTTATTTATTTAGAATTATTTTAATATTGCCTTTTGATATCTAAACGATACAGGAATAACTCAAAGATTAAAAAAAAAGTTTATAAAGGACAGCGCTTCATATTTTCATGTCTACAATTACTCACATTATTATTTAGTATATCTTCATACCTAGCTAAAGATATTAAATGTTGATTGTTCGGGAATATATATTTTTAAATTCCCAATACTCCCCAATATTGGATGTAAATGGTAATTAGATATAGGAATATGGTCACTAAGGTTTCTCGATAATACCAGCTCGAAAAAGTGTGAAAATCACACATTACAACCTATTCCTCTAAATATTAGACAAACTTTAAGTACCTACCTACTTCCACTGTATTTTTAAGGGTTAAGTAAAGCCAATTGACATAATTCATAAAATATTTAAGTAGAAACTTACCGGTCAAGCAGACACTCGCGCAGAGCGCAAACACAACAGTGATAATAGCCCGCTGGGCAAGTGTTTTCATCTTTGAAGTTCGTTCAACACTAATGCTTAGCTTATTTAATTTTTGCGGTAATGGCATATTCGTACGGAGGAAATGAATAATGCTGGAGTTATCACGCCTGTACTAGCATTTAAGCGGAATTTCAATTGTGAGATATTGAAGAAAATGCCGTCTAGACGGACTTGGTCACCAACCCGTAACGCGATGCACCAAAAAAATATTCGCTGAAAGAGCGTTTGTAGGTAAATAAAACGTTTAAATTTAGCCGGCGCTATATTTATTTTTACTAGGTTGCATGCGTATTATTGTCCCTGGAATAGTTTGTTGTGTCCTCAACAAATTAATCGATGGCGCTCGAGTTTCCGTCTTTTATTTAAGTTATTTAATCGTAAGGCGGAGAAGTATTCAATACAAATTGTCTAAATTTTAACGCATACAAATAGCTGGTCGAATTTACTACACGACTTTATTTTGTATGTGATAAGTTGCGCATCCATTTAATTTAATATCTTGAATTAAATTTTGAAAAATAAATGAATGTGTGTTAACTGGTTTGTGGTACCTAAGCAAAATAGTTAGTATCTAATTATACATTTTGCAAATTATTTCAAAATTTACTGCTTTTTATTTTATGGTAATTTTTCTACTTTACCTTAAATTACCGATAATATAGTTTAATTCTAATATTGTAAGCAAAATAAAATAAAGTAATGTAAATATTTTTTACTAATAATCTCCGGTCCCCACTATTGCAGCGGTGCAAACAATTTCAAAACGAAACTCCGCGAAAATTAACTTTGAAATGAATGTGGCGGGCCCATTTGCCACGCGAAAATTGCCCTCGGGGACTCACTTAGCTAAATGTGTCATTTCTCATAATTGCATCTTGGATTGTTTCATTAGCGACATCGTTAAAACTAACGACTCTACGGAAAGCTAAGGGAAATTATATGCCCCGGTCTCTCTCTTTCTCTCGTCCTTCGAGACGAATCGGATTCCCGGAGTTTATGGGACTACGACGACTTCTTTTTAAACTAACTTACGATTTGGGGCGAAAAATAAAAACTATATGTAGGTGTAAAATATTATTTCGTGATAAATTTTAATTTACAAATATTTATTAAATAAGTAGGTATTTACAACTGTACGAGTATAGGTATATTCAAACAATACTAGAAAATCAATCCAACTACGAGATAAAATGATTTGCAATTCACTGGACTTTAATTCCGTAAAGTTTCAATAAGATGTGATAGTTAGTTGATAAAAAAAGAATGCAAAGAATGCACCTAACTCTATGTAAATTTAGGTGGAAACGTCAGGTGCACTCACCAAAATTCGCAATAACTGCATAATAAAGTATGCATGATAATTCGGATCCATAAAGGAGACTTTAATAAGGAAGCTGTAATAGATATAATTGATTTAATATGATTGCAACATGGTCATTTCTATGAGTGGAACAAAGAAAGATTAATAAAGTAAAAACGCTCGAAAAACTATTGCCTGCAATAGTAATTTTAAAATGATCTCTTACAATCCACAATTTGCAATTAGAAATGCGGGAACAATGAAAACATATACCTAAGTAATATCTATATTGAAGCTTTCTTTTTATATAGAAAACCTTATTGGTACCATCAATCAGTCTGGCGGTAATCTATTATCAGCTCTAACGAAACAGGAGTCGTCAGTGGTCCCTTGGGTACGAAACGAATAGAACAAGGTCGGTTTCAGCTGATTACCGCTCGCCACAACGTTAATTGCTCCCATAAAGCCCCCGTCTCGATCTGAATTCAAACTACTAATTAAATCGTCGATTCGCCTTTTACGTTATTCTACTAATTTCGCTGGGGTATTATAATTTACTGCTTGAATCATAAAAATTATAACTATAGTATTGCAAACTTAATTTAATAATTCCGTGAAGGTTTTGTTATTGTTTTTAATTTGGAATGATTTTCTCGTACAATTTAGGATAAATGAAACTGGTTGCAACTAGACAAAATTTGAATCATATATTTGAACGTATGAATGTGAATATGCGGAAAATGCGATAAACTAATAAAATAAAAGAATATGCCCGGCCATTATTAAAAAAAACGCCGGTAATATTAATTAACAACCCTCAATGATTGTTGTCAATTTATTGTACATGATGACTTTGAAGCTGGGAATAACATTTATTATATTCTTATAAATTCTATTAACTACAACTTTTCAAAAGAAAGAGAGAAGAATCATACTAAACGGTAATTTAGAATCCATATTTAGCTGGCTTAATTTCTTCTGGGATGTACCGTATTTTCGCGAGGGAACCGAAACGAAAGAGAGAAAGGGAAAATTCGGAACGTAAACCCCTCTGAAAAGGCCATAAAGATGATTTCACTGCCTACTAATTAAGCTTAAATGGACAATCAGCAGTTTTAACGACGCCATCTTGCTCGAGTTAGTTCCAGATTAATGAGTTGGATGTACAGTTTTTTTGCCGCTCGGGTAATTTTTATTCCGGATTAACGCAGTAATTTGTTTGGATATTCTCGCCGAAAGGACCTTTGGGCTATATACTGGGAAATTTATCGGGAACGACGATGAAACAGGCGACTTGTCGAAATAAAACACGGAATGTATTCATATCTTCTAATATAATAGGTATAATGTACACTGATGCGAAAAAACGAATTCAATATCGGATTTACAATATGGATTTAGTAAAAAAAATAACAAATTTATTAGCGTGTTTAATAGTGTTAATAGAGCCTGCAAATTTTTATTGTTTTTTAAATAACACGATTATACAATAATTTATATCACTATACAGGATGTCTACTACAACAAAACCGCCAAACTTCAGGAGGTGAATGATTATACAAGTAATTTTGTACAAAAAATGTCATTAAACTTTTTCGAAAAGTTTATAGTAAATTTGAACTATGAAATGTTAAATTAAAGAGAAACTATCAACTTTTCAAAGAAGTGTTATTAGCTATACACAATTAGCTATACACCAATTCGATATTATTGAAAGATTCTACGTCCTTTTCATTTTCAAGGATAACAAAAGCTGCCAAAATAGGAAGGTAGGGATTGATGTTTTAGAAAGATTCTGAATTTACTTGCAATAATTGTACTATGTAACTATAAACATGTACCCACATAAATATTTGACACTTATTGATAATATTTATTGATAAAAGGAAATAAAGAATAGTGTACATATTTAAAAATAACTTGAAAGAAACATTTAATTAAAAAATGAAATAACCCGGCCATTTATATATTTGGTTATTAGTAGCAATCAGAATCGCATAATTCGATCTAAACGGCACTACCAAGCAAATTAGCTCCAGATTAAAACTGGCGAACTCCCCCAAGGGCCATTAAGAGCGCCCGCTGCTCTTTTCCCCGTCCGACGAAATTGCAATTAATTACCACCCACTCGCTCGTTGGTTATCGAGTTGGAAGACCAACTGCGTCCTTTCTCTGTCTCTCTGCTATACATTTGCTGAAATGGCGGTTACACGATATACGTTTTATTAGCAGGAGTCCGGTATGTTATATGTTTCCTATATGTAGGTATATAGGAATATTTTTTTAATTTCTGATGGTGCCATTCTGAATTTTACTGAATTTTTCAAATACTTATTATACCTACAAATTTGTATATTCCAAATATATTTTAACTTTCAATATTTAAACGCATATATTATTGTACTCAATTCATCCAAGAAATTAATCAAAGTAAATGAGTATAGGCTAAACAATTCAAAAATCATGCAAAAATTTTCAAATTTTGCACCATTTCTATATAAGTACCCGATATTTGAAAATGATGTTTTATATACATATTTACTTAATTTTTTAATAATAAACCTTATTGTACCTAACTTTTTAAATCTCAAAGATTTACCCCAAGTTTTCTAAGAAGTGTATAATTTATTTCCATCCATCAATAAAGGCGCCTTGTATCCTTGTAAACTCAATGTTTTAAGTATAACGTACCTATATATTTTAAATTCAATGCAACAATTATTAGAAAAAGTAATAAAAATGTTTAATTTCTACAATTTGTAGATAATTTTCTGACATATGTTACAAAATAACCATCAATCAATTATAGATAAAGGGATTAAATATTTCAAAATTGAATTAATGTGAAATTGCGTTGTCATTAATTAGCAATCGATTACAGAGATTTGAAGTAATTTTGGGAAAAATATGAAATTTGCTCTAATGTATTTACGATTTATTTCAAAGTTCCATTTGGCGGATTGGCTCTGTCAGAATTAACTCTAAAAACCTTCTTACATCAATTAAGTTGAATTATAATGGGATAATAGTTATTTCTAACAGATCATAAAAATGTGTATTGTAATGGCAGGTACGTATTAGAAAATATTCGAAATTTAAAGAAATTTTAAAGATTTCCACCTTTTTTATTTTCCAGAATATTAAAAAAAATACTTGAAAAAGTTGCTTAGAATTAAAAGATCTATACGCAGTTAAAAAAAGTATCAACTTATGAGACATCCTGTATTTTAATATAAACAGGAAATTTTAAAATTAATCAATCTTATTTATTTTATTGATAGATAGATAATTCGACACAATAAAGTATATAATGAATTAATAATAACGACCATATAGTAATCAATTTTAGTCTCTAATAAACTTTATTACTTTAATAATCAATTATATCTTAAGCACCATTTAATTTCTGTGCCAATTGATGACATATCAGAAAATCAATCTATCAAGCTTAGCAAATATCCACAAATCGTTAACAACAATTTAATTCCTGATAAGATGTTAAAAATACGGCTTATCTGACTTTAAAATCTTGTAATTGTAAGTAATTACATGAAATACACTCGAATTATATGATTAAATTGTTTGATAAATTTTTGTTGAAAACGCTTGACAAATATTGGAATTCTTGTTTAACGTGCATTTCAAAATGTAGTTTCAAAAAAATATGTATCATAGTATTTATTTATAGATATAGATAGGTATTTATAGAACAGAGGATTATGTTGTTAGAATTTCCCGTATTAAAAAAATTTAAGAAACTGTATTTTTTAACTAGATTTTACATTTTATTTAACACCGTAATAACAAATTAATCATATAATTATTTAATTAATCTACTGTACATATTCTATATTCTTCCCCGATCCCTCCCACATATAGCAATGCGAGTCAAACAAAGAACCGAAGCGTTTATCCGTTTACCCCACTTTCCTCCGCTCTTTTAATTAACAGAACTAAATGGTTTAATGTGTCCCCAGACATTACTTTAATCTGGTGCTAATTATAACGTCCCTTCCAGCGCGCCGTCTCCCTCCCGCGGCCGTTCCTGCCCCCGAAAGCGCCATTTCGCCGGGAATTCGAGTCGGGCTTTTTGCCCTTCGGATCGTCGTGTTCGACTTTTTTTTGTCGAGGAAAATGAAAGTTGGGGTAAATTCGTACATTATTCCAGTATGAAATATGCTCGGTTTCGGTAGGCTTCCAGCAGGAGAAGCACGATCATTTCAACGGGAATATCGTGCGAACAAGCACCAGTCGAGTTATTTGTTGCTTGATCAATTAGATTTTTTTATGATCTGTTTATGTCAATATTTTTAACCTGAAAGATTTCAGATTTCAGTAGGCAATTGGGGAAAAATGGAAACATTTAGAAAATAAAACTTAGTTATACTAAAGTTTCGATTGTTAAATGTTCCCCTCGATTTTAAATAAAAGCTTCTGAATATCTCATTTAAGTATGAATGTACGAATAAACGTATCTAAGTGTGAAAGTAAATAATAAATGTAAACACCCTATATGAAATAGGTACTGGTGAAAAATTAAAATCTGTTTAACAGCTCGATTAAATAATGTTTCCATATGTCAGTTTAGCACTAATCAGTTAACTAAGGGGCCCATTAGCGAGGCAAACAGTATTTTTTGTGGAAATCACTGTTTCGAGTACCGGTAAATTGCTCAATTAAAATAATTTTAATGTGACAGATGGACGGAATTGTCTGTCAACAATTCATCATATGCTACTGTACACACATGCAGTCGATCAAATTGATTTTCAGCTACCATTCCTGTTTTTTCAAAACCTTTTTTTATTTGGACAGACGGTTGATATGCGCTGTTAAATAACACTTATGTTTTAATATACTGATTGTGGAGTACCTGTAGGCATATTTTTGATTTTTTCAGCGATAAGATTATGGAGTGTGTGGGGAGTGAATAGAGTAAGTACGTTACGTAACTGACTTCTTTGTTGCACCTATTTGTCTATATTGCGTACAAAGAATTATTTTTAATATTTTAAAGTATCAGCACTATCTTGGTCAGTGCGACCGAAGGGTTCAATATTAACAAATATTTCCCCACCCACGCACGAAATATGTATTGATATAAAAGCGGTTTTTGTACGCCCCCCAAACAAGATACCTGTTGGGTTGTATTACGTGTCTACGAAAACAAGCAGCAGTCACGATTTCGTCCACTTAGGCACGATTTCCAACAAAAGAAAACACTGAATGAGCTATTAGCTTCTTCTTGTTCGTCGAAAGCAAATATACCGGTTAATCGATGCGATTTTAAACGTATTTGACTAACAAAATATACTCCGTCATTCCGCCAGTATTGACATATAATTAGACGGGTAAATTTTAGGATTTTTTAAAAGATTTGTTCAGCGGCGGCGGCGAAATCCACGATATCTTTTCCTGCAATTATTTTCAGCCGATTCGCACTTCTTGGGAGATTTTTAAACTGGCTATATTATAGAGTTGGAAAAAAAGATTTTTTAGTACTTACGGAGTTTTATAAAATGGAATAAAAAAAGAACGAATTGTATGAACAAAAATAAGAACTAATTAAAGATTGTTAAATAAAGAATAATCAAATTGCAAGAAAATACAAAAAGTGAATTTCAATAAGTTTTAATTATTCAAGAGGTACCTACTCTGAAAAACACTTTGTTTAAAAAATTATGTCTGAAATTAATACTGTTGGTAAATAAAAATTTTGAAATTTTACAAATTAACAAAATTAATTATCCATTTATTGACTCAAGCGGTAAAAATGATTCTATTTCTAAAATAGGTTACGCCGTTTGAATCCAAACAGGCAAATAATTGGGAAAAATACTCGTTTAAATAATAGGAATCGGTAAGACTAATATACTCAATTAAGCATATAATTGTTTGCTCATTGTAGGTAGTTATTTGATCAAGTTTCTAACCGACCGCATGAAATGTAAATAAATCATTAATGTGAGAATAAACTGGCGTAAAAGTTCCTGTTATTTTGTAGAAAACCAGTGGATAGTGACACTAGTTGGAATGAGGGAAAAAGTTTTTTTTTTAATTTTGATTTGAATGAGTTATTAGATAAACCTACTTATACATTGGCATCTAGATCCAGATGCATTAGAGTTAATATTGATTTTATTTTTTATTATTTTTTATTTAGAGTTAATATTTTTTTTATTCAATAAATATTGCTATTTCTAGAATTTTTCGAAATCATACATACAATCTTCCCTAAACACTAATCTAAAACGTTTGTGCTAATACTTTATCAATCATTAGATACATACGTTTGAAGTCAACCGACAAAAAATGGAAAAATCTTGTCCTACACCACAACGTTGCATTTTTCCGATAATACCTATTGATAAAACGATTGCACAAATTTACAAATGCACGTATAGATGTTATTATTTACAAATTCATTACACGAACAAAGTTGTATCCATATGTTGAAGTTGTCCACATATATCTCTTGCCTCCCTATAGTATTAGGGACTAATTATGTTCGAATTTCGTAAAAATATCCCAAAAATTATTTAGTAGATTTGCTTTTTTCAATAATTATATCCAGCAATTTTTTAAATTTCAATGGCGATAAAATTTTGGAGTAGCTGTTGTGAGAAAATTATTGGCACAATAATTTTTTGATAATGTAGGTATAACAGATTGATAATTATTAAAAAAAACTCACCCAATAATATGACACAAAATGACACAAAAAAAGAGGGTGAAATAGGGGTTGAAATAGTTAACCTCTAAGACATTTTTTCTTGCAACTTTTTTAGATGGACATTTTTCTTAAAAAAATATGGCTGAAATAAAGCCCAATTCATTTACTAACTTTTTTATCTCCACAAGTTTACTGAAAAACTTAAACATTTACGAGAAAAAAAATGTTTTTCAAGCTTATGTTAAATAGCATTTAGCATGAACAAAAGCGAACAACAAAAAATGTTTTTTTAATATACCTACCAAGTCATCACATAATCACCCCTTAAATTTTTATACATTCCAAAATAAAAAATATATAACAAAAATGAAGTTCTTTATAAGGTCCTTTAGCAGTTTACAAGTGAAACTAATTAAAGTGCTTAAAATGGAACCTACCCCGGTTAAAATATTTTTACATTTTAAAATCATTCCACAAGTTGATTTTGAATCTCATTTTATCTACTAATTATTATCTTACTGTGTATAGTTTTAGAAACTGTGTATATCTAAATTATAAAAGTTAGTTTAACTTCCCCTTTAAGGAAAACATATAACAATTCTTTGAGTATTTTTTATAGGAACTTTGACACAATAACGCTTAGTACCCTGTACGTTATACCTACACCAATACATTATTAAAGAACAACACTATATTGATAAAATGAAAATGCGGTACCAAAGTGCTTGTATATGGAGTTTATTGAAATGTGCCAAAGATTATCAAATGTTTTCCAAAAGGATACACACAATTTTTTTTGATAAAAACATCTAGGTGTACATACTACATCTCCTATCTTCATTAATTACCTATATCTATACATTCAATTAAATTGTCTTCAAAGTTATAGGTACTCATATTACCTATAGTCCATTCTAAAATAGTAGATACCTTAGGTAGGTATGTAAAAAATATTTATTTTATCAAACCCGAAAAAAAAGGTACGAATTTTTTTAGGGAGTCCCGCAAACCCCGGACGAATGAACCCACCCCCACCATCCATTCCTAACATTCCGAAAACACAATCCCAACAAATTACCTTGCACCTTAAAAAACCCTCTAGTAGCAATCAACGCCGGAACTCGGCGATCAAAAAGTCGACAGTCCTATCAAAAGGAGCACGCTAGTTTCCTAGCAACCCCTGGGGTAGGGGGCGCGGCTTTCGCCCGTCGACCAATCAGGAGGTGATGCGGGCGCGCAGCACTCGCAATGTAATATGTACACTTCTAATGTTGCTGTAATGTTCGGTATTATTAGGATAATACATTTGAAATCGTTTAGTACGTTGACAGGCTGGTGTATGCACAGTGTGATTCGTGAATTGTGATTAGTGACGTTGTAAGGACACTTTTGCCAGGACATCACTGATTTTATTTCGTATAATATATCGTTCCGGAACAATTTAAGTATAGCACCGAAATGCGTGCTTGAATTACCCATACCTGCGTGAGAAATATTGTTATTAAGGTATGAAAAAATGATGTATATTAGATATAAAATTCGAAATTGTTTTTTGCACTACTAAGGGATCGGTATAAAATATTTTTGTAGTAGATCATAGAAGCTCTGTCATTATAATATGTTACTTCGATACTTGTTTAACTTCTCGTTGATATTTCAAATTTTCAAAAGTAAAATCAGAGAAGACGAGAGAGATAAAATTAGACGTCCTATATAAGGATTACTTTAATAGGGTAGGTGTAAGTAGATACATTATTAAAACAAAACTTTTCTAATGGAAGCAGGAAAGATGATATATTAATAATCTTATAAATAATAAATAAAAAAACTAATTTTTGAATGAATTGCAGATGAACATTGCATTTCTAAAACCGTATCTATTATTTATACGTTATTTCATTAATTTTTCACAGGTGTCTATAAATATATGCATTTATGATATTAATATATAATTTTTGATGAAGATGAATTATTCTTTACACATTATTATTTTTACAGAAAATACATATAGATACATTTCAAAATTATTATAGCAATTTAAAACATCAATTAAATGTTCTATCTATCCGTACTAATCCGTATCTAATCCGTACGTATCAATTGAGGCACCTCATAACAATAAAATTATTAAAAACATATTCTGTATACCTCAATGAAATATTACATTGGTTTCTCCAGGTAATTTTATCTGATTTTGATAAAATTTAGTCCTATGATTAAGAAAATTAATAAATATTGATGGATTAAGTATAGTATATTAACGTATTATTCAATTCTTTTGACTGATTTATTATTTGTACCATTTTGACACTTTTATTTACAATCCTTCGTTTTTCCAATTATATAATTTTTTTTTCTCAATGTTTTTGAAGTAATTTAAAATTAATGTAATAAATAGTAAGTAGGATCGTCGTTTGAAATATGATATTATAACTAAATATATTCTTTATAGTTAAAAATTGAGCCATAAGGGTGGTAATAGAGACTGAAATGTAGGGTTCAAAATTGCCATTCAGTATTGCAAAGACAATGATATAAATATGGACAATAATGCTTATCATTATTTATTGGCGTAAGAATTAATCAGCGAGGTTAACCAAAATAAATCAATTTCCTTCCCATTTTTGTTTATTTATTAAAAATTACAGCGAAATTGTGTTATCGAACTTTGTGTTATCAGATAATAAAACCTACCTATATGAATTTTTAGAATTGACTTAAATTCTGAAAAAATAGTTGATCAATTTCCACGAAAAGTACAGGTAATTTATATACCTAAACATTTTCGAAAAATGTTAAAAGGTGAAAATATATTGAAATAAAAAATATGGATTAAATCTACAAAAGGTTCCATCACATATTTGAATTTATGGCGGAGGAATTGATTTACGAATACAATCATAAAAGAGACAAAAATAAATTATAGGTAGGTAATTATTCGGGTATTCAATGCACCATGCTTCACCTTACAAAAGTTTCAAATTATTGATAAACTTTTAGAGGTAAGTATTTTTTTAAGCTCAAACGTTAGGTATTATTGTTATAACGCTTAATAAAGCTCAAAATCTAAAGTACTACTTTACTTTGTATCATCTAATGGTGAATATAACAAGTGCAATTGATATAAAAATATAAAGAAAGGTTTTAACGAAACAAAGCATAATATCTATACCTATGCCAAATCGTTACTCATAATTAGAGCAAGGAATAAATACAATGTAAAAAAATTGTTATTTCCAGGTAATACCATAAGCATGGCCCAATACTTAGAATCGGATCACCACATAGTCCTAAGTCAGCAGTACCAAACAAAGCCTTTGAACATGGACACCAAACTGCAAGAAAACAAACCATCCTTCTGCATAGACTCCCTTCTATCCAGATCGGAATCCCTTCTAACCAGATCGACCGACAGGCCAGCCTCTCCGGCGACGTCCAGGAGCATCTCCCCGACTTCGACTCGAAGTCGGAGCCCTCCGATTTCTCCGGGCAGCGAAGAGATTCCGCACAGCTCCTTCGTACCGAGACCCGGATTGCTCAATCACATTTATCCTAACGGTAGCGGCTTTTACGGTTATCAAACGCAAAACCAAAGTTCGGCGTTTCATTCTCTAGACGGCGGCATGATTCAGAAGGTGCACCTTCCTGTCGGCCACCACAATCAGAACCACCTGCACCAGATGCAGCTGGAATGGTTCGCGAGAACCGGGATGTTCTATCCCAGGTTGCCTGATTTAGCCGGTAAGTAGATGCATACCTATCTGCTGCAGTAACCACAAAAGCTTCAATGGTCTGAAGGAATCTAATATGATATACTCTATAACTTTGCTTTCCAAATTAGTTGATGTTCTAAAAAATTAGCCGTGAAATAATTAAGAGTCGTAGCCATTTGTAATTTTTGAAAATATGTTTGATGTATCTACGTTGAAACGAGCGAACCTGTTTAATTAAATTAAAATGTATTCGTCCGTGTTGAAATTGCCGCTGTTTATTGTTTGAATCAGATATTAAGCCACAAAGTGCTGAAATTCTAAACGTGGCCATAGGCGCGGGTAATGGTGGGTTTAGAAAAAGTTATTTAAGGACAAAATTAGTTTTTTTGCTGCAAATGAAGTTCCAGTGATTTTTATTGAAATTTAATTTCAAAAAATCCACCCAAATCACAATGTTTAGATATTATACCTACCAAAAAATGTAATTATTAGTAATAGTAAAATCATTAGTAATTACAAAAATAATTTACAAAAAATATTTCTACCAATTTCTTATGCATGCTAAGAGGTAAAAAGCCTCTTTGTTTTACCTTTTTAATAGAATATTTCAATTAAACAACAAACTGAACAAAGTCTTCTCTCATAAGGGCATATATTGGTCCAGCCAACTTGAATGGAAGAAGAGAGTACCTAATAAAGAGTATATCATTTTTTTAGTTGATAGTAATTTAAAATATTCAATGAAACCTTTTTTTTATTTAAATTAACAGTAAAATTAATACATAATAAAATCCACCAAGCAAATACGTATATACTCTATATTATCTGGCTGTTTTTAATATCCCTAAAAACGGTTGAAATTCTGTTATAATTTTATAAGAAAATAAGCTTATTTATAGAATTTAATCAAGTTTGGTTTAGTGGTTTTTGTGGCATCCCTTTTGGTTTTACATAATGAATTTTCAACGTTTTTGTCGATAAATAACGAAATATTTCACTTTAAAAAGAGATAAATACGAGTAATACCATGAGAAAGTTCGCTATTTTGCTTCAAACTGCTTGTTATCTCAAAAAAATATTTTTTTCAATGAGAATGGATATTTAAATTTGTAATTTTATACTGAATTTATCATTTAATATATCTGGAGTATCCTGTATAATTTTTATACCGTGAGATCAAAAAAAAGCGTTTAGCTCCAGACCTTTACTCTCACAATCTGTACTTATGTATGTGTTTAGTGTGTGAATAACATATTGCATTTTCAAATTAGGTTTAGACTTCAAATACTAAAATATTTCATTTCATCTACGAAATATATTATACCAGGTGTATTGAACCAGGTATATTAAAAGAAATTTTAGACTTATTGTTGAATTAGCCGTTAAAGAAAGTAGGTAATATGCAGGTAATATGAAGGTATATCTGCACAAAACATCAATAATTACTTAAAAATAATTGATTAAAATTAAAGTTGGCATGAAATATAAAATATGGGACTATGTGATCATTGATAAACAAACATTTACAATAATATACATAATTGTTAAACGACTCAAATACTCTAATTAGGCCCATTGCGTTAATATTTGTAAAATCGATATGTGTAAATCGGTTTAAATGAAACTTAGAAAAAAATTTAATGCATTAGTATAAATCTTAAATTACTGAATAACATCAAATCTCATTATATTAATTAGTTAATATACTAAATTATATACAATTTACCTCTCACAAATAGCAATGTTGCGACTATGAGCATTGGTTTGTAAATCAGTAACCAGTGAATATACTTTCTCTACACCCATTCAGTTGCTGCAATATAAATATTTAAATTAATAAAAAAAATAATTGATCTATTAACATGTTAAGGTTTCTGCAGGAAAACGTGAATATAAACTCTTATAGATTCTCAGATTATCACTTTTCCATCTCATTCAAATATAAAATTGCCATTGCATTGAATTGCATTATATCAATATTATATTGCGCATCATTCGTTCATTTTATTTCATTTTAATATACACATATTCTTGCGTTCGCCTCTTCGATGAAATAATTAATTTGACAGGCGCCCCGATCTCATAATCAACATTTACAGCCCACAAAATTAAATACTGATTCAATAGTAATCATAATCACGATACGGTGTAATTTCGTCCTGAAATTTTTGAATTAAGTCCGACCATATGCCTAGGATTCAGATAATAATTTAGGAATCGCGTCATTATCCGCGGTGGATCAGAATGTTCCTATATTAGGTAATATCAATCTGTAATTCTATTACGGATCACGGAGTTAGAGGACTAGATTAGTCAAACAGATTAATTTTGTTAATAAATATTAGATGAGTTTCGAATATTAATTTTGATTTTCTGATAACTATGTTTACTAAATTTACTGGATATTCGAAGTTTATTTAAACAGTATAGCTTTAGGTATGTTATTTTGATACAAGTTTTAACATTTTTAAAAGCTCTATGTAGTAATTTATCAGTTACCTAGGCTTTTAGTTTCCACTAATAATACGTTATAATACCCGCCAAATTCAACGATTTTTAGTCGACGAAATAAAAATATATCGATTTCGCTAACGACCATTTCTGTTCTCCCGAGTTTTATCTATCTCGTAATTCAAATCGCGTGAGCTGCGTTTAAAACAAAAGTACAAATTTTCGTGGCGCAAAATCGAGTTAACCGGGAGCCGGAGGCAACTGGAACAAAACATTCGACAACACGTTGCGAGGATCCGATCCGCTCTTGGATAGGGATCTCCCAAATCAAGTTAGCTAATTGCGGGGAGAGAGATCGCAGCCGAAGCCGCGGGAGGAGCGAGAGAGACGGCCGCCCGGTGTTTTGGGCGAATGGCCCTGTGGATGTGCCTTTAATTCGACTGCGAGGAGACGCGGTCGAGCTGGTTATTCGCTTTATTTGCGATGGTTTCTAAGGTGTTCGAATTTCCAGTCGAAAACGATGATATTCGGGAAATGCCGTTTCGAATAGAATGAGACATTTTTTGTTTATTACAAGGAAAAACTATACCTAACAGTCATTGATAGGTTTAACATCTACTCTCTACTCTATACTCTCTGTTCTCTGTTCTCTGTTCTCTGTTCTCTGTTCTCTGTTCTCTGTTCTCTGTTCTCTGTTCTCTGTTCTCTGTTCTCTGTTCTCTGTTCTCTGTTCTCTGTTCTCTGTTCTCTGTTCTCTGTTCTCTGTTCTCTGTTCTCTGTTCTCTGTTCTCTGTTCTCTGTTCTCTGTTCTCTGTTCTCTGTTCTCTGTTCTCTGTTCTCTGTTCTCTGTTCTCTGTTCTCTGTTCTCTGTTCTCTGTTCTCTGTTCTCTGTTCTCTGTTCTCTGTTCTCTGTTCTCTGTTCTCTGTTCTCTGTTCTCTGTTCTCTGTTCTCTGTTCTCTGTTCTCTGTTCTCTGTTCTCTGTTCTCTGTTCTCTGTTCTCTGTTCTCTGTTCTCTGTTCTCTGTTCTCTGTTCTCTGTTCTCTGTTCTCTGTTCTCTGTTCTCTGTTCTCTGTTCTCTGTTCTCTGTTCTCTGTTCTCTGTTCTCTGTTCTCTGTTCTCTGTTCTCTGTTCTCTGTTCTCTGTTCTCTGTTCTCTGTTCTCTGTTCTCTGTTCTCTGTTCTCTGTTCTCTGTTCTCTGTTCTCTGTTCTCTGTTCTCTGTTCTCTGTTCTCTGTTCTCTGTTCTCTGTTCTCTGTTCTCTGTTCTCTGTTCTCTGTTCTCTGTTCTCTGTTCTCTGTTCTCTGTTCTCTGTTCTCTGTTCGCTGTTCTCTACCCCACTCTATTCACTCAATTTTTTAAAGATTTTTTTAAGTAAATGTGACGAATTTTCAGAACATTTTACCAATTTAGTCAATTTTTTCTATATTTTTTAACATTTCACAAGATAATGTAATGATTTTTTAGAATATTTGACTGGAACAGTCGATTTTTCAGTTGATTTTAGATACAGGTTAAAATTGTCAATTTTGGAACATCATTTTAAAATTGCACTAAATTGCAAGTTCTTACCTCTAAAGAGAATACTTTTTTCAATTTCAAAACTTGTTACAAACAACTTTAATACTTTAAAGGAACCTCTCAAGGGTACTAATTGCTGGAATGCAAAAAATGCAAGGTTTCTGCAAAGTATTAAAGTTGCCTTTTATCAATTAAGTATAGGAATAAGTACCTACACTTACCTATATCCCGACAGTTCTTATATAAAACGAAATAAAAAGTCCTTCTTTATCTATAACAGTCACCTGAATCACGGGTACGTTTCTCCCAGTTCCAGGCAAATTTCACCGAGCGATCCTACAGCCGATAATTTGACGATGACTTAACACCATGCCACGCATGGTAATGCCACCCTTGCCCGGTTCAAAAGAACAATTTAACCCCGATCGGCGCAATAATAGACAAATTAATTGAACCGGTCTCCCTCGGCGAGAATTGTCGCAGCGACAGATGGTCACCTGCTAATAAAACTAATATAAATACGGGGCGATTCTAAACAAGCTTAACATCAACAAACCATCGAATTATAATAGAATGGGTCGTTGAATCGGTAGGGAGGGAAATTTAGAAGTTTCTATATTTGTTCTGTCGACGGTGCATGCGTTTGTTTCGACGATTATTTATAAGCTTTCAAAAGCCAATTAATTGGTACTAAAAATAATAACAATACTAATGAACATTATTAATTTTCAAACAATTTTGTATGTAAGCGTTAGTAGCTATAAATTGTTTTTAATTGTTTGGCGAAAAAAATCCTATCGACTGCGCCATGTGCGCGCCTCCGTAATTTCGAAACTAGAGGGCGCTCGACTGTATCCGCTGGATTTCCCCGTCGCTTTTAATGCGCATTATATGTGATAATTAAATGCAAATTGCAGCTCATCTAAGCGGCATTGCTGAAAACAGCGCACTCTTGATGAAGTGTAATTCGATTACGCTAACAATGAACGCCAGCGATTCACTTGAATTAGAGAGACATCTCTCGTTTCGTCTCGTCTGCGTCGCTGAATCGCGATAAGGCTCGTTCACAAGACGATTTTCTTTCATAATTGTGTTTATTTGGGCGTTGAAGAACTTCGTGTTTGTTGTTTGACGTTTCTTTGTTAGAGTTAATTTTGTTTAATCACAGAATTAAAGCAGAATGTATGTATAAAAGATAAAAAGATTCGAGTTTTTCACTTTTAGAGATTACTCTGCTTACTAGACCTTCACGGTTCCAGCTATTGCTGTCGATCTGTGTGTAATGTAAAATTAACGTTGCGCAAAAATATTAAATAAACGACTCACATTGGTACTTTGAAAGGATGTAAATTGGGCGCAAGATACTACTAGTAACAATACTACTCTAGGATAAATTAATAATTAAGTTGGGTTTAAGATTCGTTGAATTCGTTCGATGATAAATAAAAACTGTCAAAATTGACATTAATGACATTTCGTTTGACAAAAGTTTGCAGAGGTGGGCATAGATCTTTTGATATAGAGATGCAGTAAAGATTTGTTACAAAATAAGCGTTATTTTTCAAAAATTGTTTTTATTATTACACATTCTACTTTCTTCTGCTCTACTTTACTCTATTCTACACTAGAAACATGTTTGTAATTTGCACTGCTTTTTAAAACAACGCCAAAAATTGTCAATTTTCTCCTTTTTCAAAAATTCAAAAATTTTGGCGGAAATATTTTAATAGCATATTGATTAAACTGTTATATTACAAACTAGGCAAACTATGTAATTTCTAGAACGCATTATCCACTACATAGATTCCATTGAAATTAGATATTGCAGAGCGAGATTACTGCTCACTGGACTTTCACGGTTCCAGCTATTGCTGTCGATCTGTAGGTAAAATAAACGTTGCGCAAAAATGGCACTTTTTGTTAGGGTTTTGTAACTGTTTTCGGCGGTAAAAAATATTCTAATCAGCATATTGATTAAACTATTACATTAAAATTCACGAACCGTAACAAACTACGTATTTGCGAGAACGCATTATCCACTAAATGGTTTCAATTAAAGTTATTTATCGCAGAGCGAGAGTGGTATCATCCATCGACAGAGGCAAATTGCAGGGGTCGTACACCACCACCTTCATGCGGTTTACTACGGATTTTCTGCGCTTAATTTATGCCCTAAATGCCATATGTGTCGCGATATGTCACACTTTGGCGACGATGGCTTATGTGCTGATGTTTGTTTTAGAAATTTTCGCCCCCTCGCCCTCTAGCGAAGCTCTGTTTGAGCTTCTGATAACTCTTTTCTATTGGGTTACGACTTGTTAAGTGTTCTTTGTGTCGCTGCGTTTTACATGTGTTTAGACAGCAGATGAATCAGCTATTGATATTAAAGATGTGCCCGACTTAAATTCGATTTGCCTAATGCCTTCTAAAAAAAAAATTAAAGAATCGTCGCATATAACATCCAAACAGTAACCTTAATATGCCAACAGAATATTGTGGAAAAAGTTTCGCCAATTTTTTGGTTTTGCAACCCTTCTGTGACCAAAATTTTACTAAAACCACCGTGTTATAATGTGCCAGGTATCTCTATGTGAAATTCTCTTTATTTATTTTTTTGGACTAGATTTCTAGTTTTGAAACAAGACGAGTTCGAGTAAATTCTAATACCGGATGCAAAAGTCTCGAGGAAGAATCCGCGCATCCGAAAAGCTCCTTAAATCATTGCTGAAAAACGGAACATTAAGCATGAGCGGGTATAATACCTCAGATAATGGTTCAGAAACGTGGAACACCGGCTGTAAATCAGGTCTGGAACGATCATCGAAATGTTTTAAAGCTCTCCGGTGACTTCGCCGATTGCTTTCTGATATATGGCGATATGGGGGGGCGCATGCTGCCTATAAATTGCCCGCATTACGGACCTCGGAGGGACGCATCCGGTTTTTTAGCTTTCAATGTACCTTTTTACATAGATAATTTCCATTTGATATTCAAATTCAGTTCAGCAATGATGGACTATTTTTACATACCTATTCACATTTTCAACATTTCCGCAACTAACATTTTTTAGTTAATTTATTTCTCATACTAGTATACCTCTAGAAAAAAGAAACAACTCATCTAGCTACCAATTAGTTTAATATGGATCTAATAAATTAGCATTAGAAATCGAGATTCATTGCGAAATTGGAATAATAGCTCAACTACCATGAAATATTTTTTTCGTCCGGCTTGTACCCCTGCGCGTCGTTTAGTATCTCCGAGGGTAAAATTAGGGTGTCGTTAAATGTATTAGGATATTAAATTATCATGACAAAGGCGCAATCAGGGGTCTCGGTGATAAATACACTCTAAACATTCGGCCCCTTTTTGGCCACAGGTTTTATAAGCGCAATATGCTGGCGAAAAACTGTATTCTATGAATGATTATGCGAGAATCGGTGATGATGATCGAGGGTTTTTGGGAAAAAACGGAAAAACAAGTGCATGTTATTTATCCGCAAGATTGCATTGATAAATAATTCCAATAGATTATATTTAGAGATTAATGTTGATTAATGATTAGATATAGAAAAAATTTCAAAAGAATATAGAAGTAGATGGATATATTTTTATAAATTGTTCAACTTCATATCGATTCGATTCTGTAAATGATCGAAAACAACGAGAGTAACCTTTATATGTTATAAATAATTCGGTGTTTTTTCGAACAACCGCCGGGCCAATATAAACTAGAAAAGCTTTTGTCAATATTTCCGCTTCAGATAAATCCTCCATTAATATTTGTTTTCGATTCGTACCAACAAATGAATCAAATTCTTTGATGTATTCGATCGCCATTTGATATTCCGTGTCGGTTTCGTATTTCAATCAGCCATTTATTTATTTATTTTTGCTGATATTGCTTCAATTATACCATAATTATCGCTAATGGACCGCGTTAATAAATAATAACCAAATTAAGATGATGAACGAGTTGTAAAATAATATTTGGTATCATTTCAATAACCATTATGTAGATATACATATTTATTATCTAGAGTTGAGTAGCTACACTTAAAATTAACTTGAGTAGGTACCTGAAAACTATTTCACTTTTCACTATCAAAAATATAAATTCGAAAAATTAAGAGTTTCCGCGAAAATCCCTAGCGATGATAGGCAGCCTGATAGAGTTCAAATTTTAAATGAATTTCATACAAAAATATTGCAGCAATATACAATCAAAATTATTCTTATTCATCTTTTGTACTGTACCTATGATATATTTCCATTATAATATAATAACTTTATGTTGGTATGTCTCCGATGAATAGATATTCGAATTAATACGATTCCTGAATCCATCGAACGCATCGTTTATCTCTTTCCTCGACCCTCAGTTTTCTTTCTGTTTGCTGGAAGTTTCGATATGCTGGAGCTGGCATCAGAAAGCGCCTCTCGCCTTATCGGCATCTGAAAGACAAACAGAGTGACGTGCGGAGTGGAGCAGCGACGAATACGGGCGAGGGCTACGATTGTAAATTGGGCTTGTAAACACATTCTAACATGATCAGCACTACATTAGGTCCGGGCGGCTCTGTTACGCTGCTAAACTAACCGGAAAACTCCGCGATGAGAGGAAATGGCGGATGATGGCTTGCGAATTTTCGGCTGGAATTCGACTAGAAATCGAACGTATTTCGAATTAAACGTAGAGATATTTTTATAAGAAATAAAAAATAACGATGATGTGTACCTATTGATTTTTGATTCGGGTCATTCGGAATTTTTTTAGCGTATAAAAACAAGCCAATCAATCAATCGATGATTTCAGGACGAATTCGCCGCAGGGTCTGCTCCTCTGCCATAAAAGTGCACGGCTATAAAAACACCCTTAATTGCCGGTTCTGTTTAACAAATCGCGTCCCACCCCAAATAATCCGGTTAGACGACGCAGGGTCACGACCCCGCTACACCCATAAACGTCCACCTCATTTCGATAATTGCATCAAATATGCCCTTCCTTCAAAAAATGCATAAAGGCTAATTGCTTGGAAAAATATTATTCCAGTTCGACAGTACACTCACCGTACAGTGCTTTAAAATTTGGAGTGAATTGAGAGTTAAGGCGAACAATAGGGAATATGGGGCGATAGCAAGTGAAAGTTTTTAGATGTAAATATAAAATCATAATACAAGTTATTGTTGCAGGTTGTGGACCAGGACATGCGTTACTAGGAAAAACTCGCCGACCCAGGACGGCGTTTACCTCACAACAACTTTTGGAATTAGAGAAACAATTTAGGCAAAACAAATACTTATCCAGACCTAAGCGATTCGAGGTGGCTACCAATTTAATGTTAACAGAAACACAGGTAAAATTATAGACAAATTTACGATACTTACATACAATTTCACAAACTTTGAACAGCTCGGTTTCTAAAATAAACTTCCAACATTTATTTTCTGACAGTGAAGTTTGCGATCCGATATACGGCGGCGGCCAGTTTTAAATCGAAATGGCTTTCTTTCTCCTAAGAGTTATGTCGTGACTTAAGAACAACATCAAACAAACAGACAGAAGTTATAATTCACGATTAGCCTGACTAACTGCTCTAAATATGACGGCCGTTTATCAAATTTCCCGTCGTGTTTTCTCTTCGCTGATGCATTCTTGATATATCATACCTGATTTCCCTCTACTTAGATGATTTAAATTTTAAGAAACTGCAAGAAACCAATCTAAGCAAACAATTTGATTTATTCAAATAGTCCAAGATGAAGAATTGTAGGTTACACAAGATATTTTAATTATACATTTAAATCTTTATCTAATGCTACATTACAATTAGTAAACTGTCTAGTATCCAAGAAAATACCTCATATTTTTTTAATTCAAATTTCTCGCAGTTGGAATATCGAACGTGAATGTTGTTTCAGGTGAAAATTTGGTTTCAAAACCGAAGGATGAAATGGAAGCGCAGCAAAAAGGCCCACCAAGAGGCGAAATCCTCCAAAGAGTCAGATACTAAGTTACAGACGCCTCTGAATTCGCAAAGTAGTTATAAGTCGACGTGTTCTTCCATATCCAGTCCGGAAACTTCGGAATGCGCCGTTCCACTGGATACTAATCAGGACTCGAGGAAAATTCCGGATAATGAATCTCTTTATCGACCTTATGTGGTATAAAAGCACCTGTGGGAGGACTAGGTTAAATAACGAATTGAATACTTTTAAGTTATAAAGTTCCTTTATATTTGCTACAATGGGGTTGATTATATTTTGATCCATTAAGTAAAATATATACATACCTACTAAAAATTGTGTACAGAATCAAATAAGCAACGAAGTATAAAAGTGTATAAAATTTGCTACAATTTTTTTTGAAAAAATTTTATTACCGTACTATTTTTTAGATAAGTTATTCGACATCATTGAAAAATTAGGTTGATTTTTTAACCTTAGAATTCTCTTTAAAGATGTAAATATGTAGCTCTAAATCAATTTAGAAAAATTTTAATGATGATTCAATAACAATTTTACCGATAAAGTTATTTTTGAAATTATAAGTATGTATGTTGAAAAGCTCAGTGTAAGTACAATTCTTGTAGTAGGTTACATTTAATTTTAAATTGTAAATATAGCATTTTTAAATTGTATTATAGTAATTTACAAGACTGGTATGTACCAAGAAAAAAAACTTACATTTCTTAATAATACCACTTGTTTAAACTGATTAATTGGACATGTACCTAACGATTTAATTAGCAGAATTAATCAACAATTTTGATTAAACAAAATTTTTTTCTTAACAACCTGAAAAGAAAAGAAATCTGAAAAGATTATTTAAATATTCTTGGTAACATCCATTCAAAAAAATAATTCCTATGAAATTGTGGTATAATATGTAAAAAAGATGTAAATAGGATATATAGTATTTATTTGATTTCAACCGATGTAGGGTTGACAGTCATTAGATCTCTTTTTTTGTATAAGTTTCCATTTTCCTACCTCATTATTTTTAACGTGTTTCGTCATTGTAAATATTTGAGGTTTCTAGAATTAAGATAAGAAATACAGATATAAATAAAAAAAATTACGAGTCTTTAGCGTTTTAATTCGCCGTGATTATTTACGTATCTATATTATTGGAACTCTCAAAGGATTACCCTATGTCCCGATTAACGAAATTGATAACGCTTAATATTTGTTTCCCAATAGATTTGTGAAGATTAAAATAATCAGTTTATTACCAGAGATTTGGCCAATTACGATAAAACGATTATGTATGTTTCCTTGTGCATATAATTTGAAATCCCTTGGTCAATCCAATAATATACCTAAAAATATAAACATTAAAATAATTGAGGGGGTGACAAAGCAGTACTAGTCAAGCCAGCAGACAGTTTTTCTTTTATAAGACAAAAATAATTTAAAATATGATATCAACTAATACATTTCATATTTGGTACTACAAACTGATTTTTAAAGAGGAATATTATCAATAATAAATTGTGTATATTAATGAGCAATAATTTTAAATTTCTGGCAACAATTCCACCATATCCCGAAGGCATTAGTGAATACATCCGCTCCTCGAAAGTTGCCATCAACACCCCGATCATAGCAATTTTCTATCATTGTTATTCCGAAGGAGTGGATAGAGAGTGCCGCTTTCTGCACCGCTTCTCCCGCTCGTTGATTGGCTCTGAGGAGTCGCGGGGAAACAATTACCAATCAACCTACGCCACGGGACGCGCGCATTAGGCCCTTGAACGCGACCGAACCGGCTCCGGGCCGTAGGCCGAAAGGGCCCCCAGCGATAGCGGATATAAGGGAGAATTCGGCCTGCGGACGGCGAATGTGCCGGGCTATTTCGGAGTTCGGAAGTTTTCTTCGGATCCTTTCTCGCAATTTGTTTCATCAAATTAGGGAAATGTGCCCGACGATCCTTTTGCTTGGATTCGGATGATGATATTAATGTCGGACGATGGAAGAATTGACAAAATAAAAGGGAAATTGCAGTTGAGTACCTAATGTAGAAGTTTGGCTGCTTTTAGGAAGAAAACAGCAGTGAATACAATGATCAATTTTCTTAATGAGCAACCAGACAAAATATCCAGAAACTTGAAAATTAAATTAGTCAAAAATATTGTTTAGAAAAATATAAATATGTAATTAAGTAAAGTATCATTTAAGGTATATTATAAATGCAATTAGTAAAATTATCAATAGATCAAATCAAATAGAAAGAGCATAGCTTATAAGTTTCATAAAAAAGCTCTTAAAGAAACTGTAAAAACTATTATTTATTAAAGTTTTTTCTCTGGCTCAAGCTTTAGATATATTTACAAACAAAAATGGGCGTAATATTAATAAAAAAACGTCGAATTCTTAACAATGAATCAAAGCGAATTACACTTATCGTTAGTTTATCCGTTTGAAGAAAATCGGCCATTTATCCGGAGTAGCAAACGCGAATTTGTACATTTTCAGGGGATGAATTGTATGTATTACGAGTCCATATCGTTCTTGATGTAATTTGCTAAAAGGTTTTGTCTAAAGTGGAATTCTCGCTTAACTTAACAACTGATTCGATATCATGTATAAATGCATGAGGGACAGTCCGGAGAAAAAGCTCGAAGAAAAGAACAAGAAAAGCGGAAAAATTGTGTCAAGTGAGAAGCGATTGTTATTTCAGCGATATCTCGAGATGAATTTTATACGCGAAGAGAATGGTTTTGTTCTCCTTTTATGTAACTATTGTATAGGCATGTAGATATTAAAAGAATGTTACAACAAATAAATAGGAAAATCTAAATAAAAAACAATTATAATTTATCAGTGTATCAACTCCTGTAATTTATGGAAACACTACTTTTTATAATAGACAATTGTTCAATAAATTAAAAGATTAGCAGGTTTTTGTTTTTTGTAGTAGGTAATACTTAATTGTTTTCTTAATTAAGTACACTATTAATTTAATTGCATATAGAAGCTTTTATTTTACTAATTAGGTATTTCATATGTGGGTAGGTAAGTTTTCTTAAAATCTTGATACACTCTATACATTGTGGTCATCTATTAGTTAATTATGTATAATAAAGAAGTAGGTACTGGCTAAAACTTATTTACTATAGCTTATACTTTATATTCATACTTCATAATCATAAATGTATAATAAATTTGATCTGATCATGTATAACAAGCATTTCGAAACCTATCGAATAAAAACATTAAAAAAATAGATACTTTTTAAACTGACTATACCTACACCATGTTAGAAACTCCACACCAGCCATAAATTGTGAGTTTTTCGACCAAAATTACGAAGATTGGAAGTAATCTAAGAGTTTTCGGCCAATCAGTTGGCTACATTACCCCTTCCCATGAAGACTCGATCAGATATCATTCGATATCGCCTGGGCAGCTTCAGTTTCGGAGACCAGAGGCGGTTACAAAAATAAAAATTAAGAAGCTAATTTCACAATTTCCTGTCTACCTATTTATTGGAGTGTTGAACAATCACTTTTCATACTAATATTATTTTCTATTTTCTCCCCACTTGGTTTTCTTGTACATACACATATTTTACTTCTTATCTATCTCCATTACTACATCTATCTTAATAGATTCAGACCTTTATAAAACCTTTCACCATTATAAAGAGATTTAATATTTAGACGCATCTCTAAAATTTATACTAAGTGTACTCAAATATTTATTTTTCCATAATATTATTCCAATCCCTTCTTTGAGGATCCAACCTAAACAAACCACCTATGTTCTATATAGAAGAGTAATCTCTCACTGAATGATTCTCTGCGTTTTTTTTCTGTTTTTCTCGTGTAATATTTTATCAAAGTTATCGCCCTGGCGCCACTGTCGTCGGGAAAAGCCGCCTTTTCATCTGTTTTGATAGGGTAGAAACGAAGGTTACTTGATTAATTGGAATTGATTGCTGATCGAGAGAGCGGAAAACGAATGTATAGAAAGTGGAAGATCGCTCCAAAAGGTATTAAGTAAAGTGAAAAAATAAAGTCTCGTAGAGTGCCGTTGGTGACAAATCTCTTTAAGGAAAAATAGTAGGATTTTAATTCTATTATTTTTAGCTATTTTTCATGAAATATTTTATTTTTTACAAGTTATTTAGTGCATACTCGTAATAGAACATGTATTTTACAAAAGTATACAAACATTACAAAATATTTGGTAACATTAGGTGCTTGTCAATTAAAATATTTCATAATTCAAAGAACTTATTAAACTAAACTATGATTTATTACTTTTGGCAATCTATGTAGGTACTCGTACCTATACCGTACCATCGAAATACCGATGAAATTTGATTTATAAATGATGTTGAATATTCTGAAATTTTTATCATTTATTGATTCTTTATTTAATTTTTTCATTTAAAAATATCCCCATTATTCGTAAGTTCTGTGATTCCCCTCTCTCATAAAAAAATCTCTATGACTAATAATTGCACTATTGAAAAGAAATCAGAAATCATCCTTGCAGTGCCATCTATTAGAAAAACTTCTCTACTGTTAATTTAATAGTACAGAAAATTTTATTAGAACAAGATCACAGATGGCGCATAATTTCACTTATCAAAATTCTTTTTATCAGTTATTTTACTTGTAAACATTTAATTGGGTTGAATTCATTATATAAAATGAATTTCTATATCAGCATTAAATTTTAGAGATCAGTTGACTTCCTTATATAAAATTGTTTCAATTATGAACTGTCTAATTTAACGTTACCTTGTATTAATTTTCGATTAGGTACCTTTTTAATTTGACAGTGACAGTTGAACTGTCAAAACAAACAACATAACAATACTTGATCATATGGGTAAATAAATAAAGTGCAGTTTTAGGACTTTCAGGGGATTTTTTTCGCTTATATTAAATGAAAACCATCAAGTAGATGCATTTGCAGTGTATTGTGCCATTGTAAAAATGAAACATATAGTTGGAAAAGTCGTTTTGCTCGGTTTTCAAGGTAAGACAAGCAATCTATTATGTTGCATTTAACGTTATCTTCAAAATTTTAAAAGGATATTTCTAATTACATACTTTTATCTTGTATTTACATAATTGGTTATTGATTTTAAAGTATATCTTAGATTTTTAAATAATAATACACCTTTAAATTTATGCTGTAATATTTTATATGATCATATTTTTTTAGATTAATTTTGTTAAACTTTATTTTAAAAATAGTATGGACATGAATATACCATTTTATTGTAGGTTATTTATTTTTATCAACTCGTGAAATTTAAGTTTAAATTATATGTATCTTTTTTCCGAAGATTAATATGTTTACTGCTCTATCATAAATAAATTTTCATTTTAAAGTATAATTCGTTGCAGGTGTTGGTAAAACTGCACTAGTATCACGTTACGTCGAAAAGGCTTTTCATCCTCAAAAAGCCCCGACTGTCGGCGCTTCATTCTTCACTTGTAAAGTAGTAAAAGAAGATCATATTGTAACACTTCAGGTATAACAACGACGACATTCATTTGGTATAATTTTCCTTTGATAAACGCTCGTATTCGCGTTATCTCTGTAACAATATCACAATAAATATACGGGGGTTTACCAAGATCGTGAACTATGATCGTGAATACCACTGTTATTAAGTATCTATTTATACAAAAGCATTAACTATCTTCAAATATTCCACTTAATGAAATTAAGTGCGTGTAGGCAAAACAATGTTAAAGGTTCTTGAAAGATTAGCAAAAGTCTAAAATGTTATTCTGATTCAATTCTAACAATAAGAAAAATAAAAGGAAAAATAAGATATCTGAAATTATAGTAATTCTCAAGGAGTTTTATTTTTAACGCATTTTTATAGAACATCCTTATATTTCTTTAATGGAAGAAAATAAAAACGTGCATAAAAGTAGAGGGATAATGTCAAAGTAGAGAGAAAATATTCATGAAAGTAGAGAGAAAATGTTTATGAAAGTAGAGAGAAAATGTGTTCACGAAAGTAGAGAGAAAATGTTCATGAAAGTAGAGAGAAAATATTGTACATAAAAGTAGAGAGAAAATATTGTACATAAAAGTAGAGAGAAAATTTTGTGCATAAAAGTAGAGAGAAAATGTTGTTCATGAAAGTAGAGAGAGAATTTGTGCATAAAAGTGAGAGAAAATGTTGTTCATGAAAGTAGAGAGAAAATTTTGTGCACGAAAGTAGAGAGAAAATTTTATTCAAAACGTGAAATCTTTTCTCTGGTTTATTAGCTTACAATAATGAATTTCTTCAGATATGGGATACGGCGGGCCAGGAACGCTTTAAAGCGATGGCGCCCATGTTTTACCGCAACGCGAACGCCGCTTTACTGATATTCGACATAACATCGCAATTATCCTTCGACAGCATAAAGATGTGGGTGCAGGAATTAAAGGGCAACGTCGAAGAGTCCATGATGCTGTGCGTTGTCGGGAATAAGTTAGATTTAAACGATCAAAGACAAGTCAGTCGACCCAATTCATTTCTCTTTTTCGTTGTTTTCAAGCGAAATTTATTTTTTCGCAGGTATCACGCGAAGAAGCTTCGGCTTATTCTAAAAGTATTGACGCCACTTACTTGGAATGTTCAGCTATGACAGATCAGGTATGAATGAAACACACAGTGACAAAAAAGTATGAAAATTTGGAATAAAACGCAAAATTCCTAATCTCTTTTAATTTTTAATCTACTTTTTCCCTCCAGACAATCGGTATAAGCAATTTGATATACTTATAAGCTAGATTGTTATTTTTGTTCTAGGGAGTAGCCTTAATATTTGAAAAGCTCGCTCAAGGATTGATGCGACTGCAAGGACTCTCTTCTACTCTTAAGATATACGAGGACGACATAATGGCGAGTTCCAGTGAACTTGAAGCCACGGATATCGCCAATGAAGAGACTGTTAATGTTAGTATAGGAAGTATAGCACACGGAAATACTGTTAATGGAAAATGCTGTTAGCTGTTAAGCTTTGATTGTGACGTATTTTGTGATAAATGATAGGTAGATGGTCCAAAATAGGATTTACCTATCCGTTACCTATACTTTTTTGTATATCAAATATATTTTTATTTCAAAATGTGATTTTGTAACTAAAGCAATTTGGATTTACTTTTACTCATTATAAGTATTTTTCTTAAACGACGTAACATATCACATTGTATATAAAAAATAATAAATAAATCGATATATGTAATAAATTTGCTTTATTTTGGATACCTCTCTTTAGTTTCTTATTTGAACAAACTCTAAGCTACACAAAACAATAAAAATATTAAATACTAGAAAGTGGAAAAGTAAAAGTTGTGCACTTGTCCAGTTTGTTGTGTCTGACTAGCCACATGTCGGGGATGCGCTCGATTAACTTTGGGAAGCTTCTGAAAGCTTGCAGATGTGAGAAAATTTTAAAAATTCATTTAAGCAGGCAACTTGGCGCCACATTCATTTATACAAGGCGATCTCTCGATAATAATTTTTGGTAATCATGAAATAACTAAATCAATAAATCCTCGATTAGTCAATTAACAATACTCTACAATAACTTTTTATTTAATTAGCTGCCTTATATTATCGAATGAATTTGTACGAAAAATGCGAAAATTGTAAAACGAAAATATTTTTATTTTTGAAAATAAACTTCTGGTTGAATCACCATGTATAAATAGGAGGCAAGCACGTCTCAAATTGCTTATTAATAAAAAAGTGTTATAATGATGCAGGGAAGTAGCCAAAATATGTCCAGATGTCCCCATAAATTAGTCCACTAATAAATCATAAACTATCAGCCTCTACAGGAGTCGAATTGTCTAAAGAATTTCTAAATTTCTTTTGAAATCGGAGGAATTTCAGAATTTCTCACAATTAACGTTCTTGGCGAATTTTGAAGAATTCCCGGCGCCTGCAATACTGATGATTAGATAAAAGTGATAGGTATTATTTTACCACTAGGAGCGTCTCCAAAGAAAATTAAGTAATTAAAACAAACGTGTTCAGGTATGCATACAAAAAATTCTGCCACACCATAAGCAATGCTCGAAAAATTTGGGCAACCATGTAGAACTATAGCTTAACCGTCGAAGATTTTTTTGCAATATTTTTTTTTAATATTTCTTAAACATCTGTGCAAGATTTTATTAAATTACTAAACGTTACTTACTCTCTGGACACACCTAGTATTTTTCAAAAATGGAGTAAATTATTATTAATTTGTAGGTAATTATTTATTGTATTACAAATGAAGCAAAAGAAACGGGCATCTGAATAAATGTTTACTAAATAGGCTAGTAACTTAGTGGTTTAGTTTAGGGCAATGTTGATTATCCCAATCTATCCCAACAATACATAAGCTCACTAAAGGGGCTACTTTTCATTGGGACACTCTGTATTGTGCAACTTTATATAGGTGCTTCCAATAAAATTCTCTAATATTATAGTCGAATCCAGTAACAATAAAATCAAGTTTAGTTTATTACGGCGATTAAGAATGATTTTAGCAATGATTAATTGGCGATTCGAACCGCCTGGCAGGCACATTTCAAGAAATGTTACAGTAAATTTCAAAATTCGACTTACATCTGTACAGAAACGATTCTCCACCAATCAACGGGATATAAATATTAAACTAATTTAGAATATGTTTATATTTAACATAACGCTTATAGCCACATTCATCTCAATTATCTGGACCGGCACACAAATCATTCCAAACCACTCCCCTTGGATTCCCATTGGCTGAGATCGAGCTTTCAGTTCATTCGGTTCATTTTTCAGCGACTTATCTTCCAGATCGCTGAAAAAGTATCTAGGATCTTAAACCATCCGGTTTTCAGTAATTGAACGAGAAAATTATGGACGAGGTGTTCGTCATTAACGACAATACGGACGATAACGATGTTAAAAAAATTGGTCAAAATTCCGCGAAATTTTCCATAGACTCTCTCTTGTCGAACGAGGAAAGCAGAAATAGTAAAATCGAGAAAAACGAGTGTCGCGAAAATGTAGTGGGTTTCAAAAAGGGTTTTTTCGAAGCCGGTGATGGAGAGAGTGCTTCGAGTGATTGTGGAAATAGTTTAGCATTCAATAGATTTAAGAGAGAAAATGAAAATGTGGTGTCCACAACTGGAGAATTTTACCAAAGGAATTATTTAGAAGGTATGCTGTTTTAATTTCTTATTTATTTCACCATTTTAATTGGAGGCGATGATATAAGGACTGATGGTCGGTCAAATATAGTAGGTACATTTGTACCTTTAAATATTCAATTAAATTTCACCGATAAGACTATTTAAATTGTGAATTACTTTTATAGATACTATACTATAAATGTTTGTAATACTTAGGTACTTAGCTAATTTTGTAGTCTAAAAAGCATTCAATTTTTTTGAATAATCATATTATTTTTTGCTAACTTTTTTGTCAGTTTATTGTAGAGGTTAAATTAAAAATTAAAAAACTACAATAATATTCAGGTATTTCTATTACTTAAAAGTAATTTTTCATACGTTTATAAAGAAAGATTAGATCAAGTTTAAGTGAAGTGTTATTTTTTTACTAATTAAAAAACTATATACTCCAGATAACATTATATTAGTATTAAACACCAATTCTGTACTGTACTATAATTATTGTAATACATACGCAGCTAATTTTGCTGCAGTCTAAAAGGTACATCAAGGTAAATCAAAATTCTTATCAGTATCACTTTAGATAAATTAAACAAGCAACGGGTACCTTATAAAGGGCAAGAAAGAATGAAATAACAACTAGAAAATCATGTTCATCATGCATCTATTATCCACTTATTTAATATTAACAGTTCTTGTTTTAAAAAGTTCGTTTTCATACAAAATTGACGATGGTACTATAGTGAAAATAGAGAATGGATTAATTAGAGGACACATCTTGCAAAGTGAAAATGGACAGGATTATTGGGCATTCCAAGAAATTCCGTACGCAGCGCCTCCAACTCTGGAAAACCGTTTTCAACATCCAAAACCGCGAGAATCATGGAAAGGAATTTTAGAAACGACGAATAATACAAAAATGTGTTACCAAACGACTTCTCAAATAGCTTTTCTATCACTGGACGAAGATTGTTTAAACCTAAACGTTTACACTCCGGTAAAACCAGGTAGTAATAAAAAATTGCCAGTTCTTTTATGGATTCATGGTGGAGCATACCAAACTGGAAGTAGCGCCTTCAGTTATTTTGGACCAAAATACCAGATAGACTATGGAATAGTAATCGTAACAATCAATTACCGTCTTTCGGCATTCGGTTTCTTGGGAACTGAAGATGGTGTGATACCTTCTAACGTGGGATTAGAAGACCAAAGGCTCGCTATGAAATGGGTGAAAAGAAACATTGAACAATTCGGTGGTGACAGCAATCATATTGTAATTGCTGGAGAAAGTGCAGGATCTTCTTCAGTTGGAGAACATCTTCTAGGTTCTTGGAATGGTGAAGAACCGCTATTTCATGGTGCAATTATGCAAAGTGGTTCTCCTCTTGCCCGTTGGACGTCTCCAAGAAATTTAACAGAAATTGCGGTAAATTTAGCACAGAAAATTGATCCGAAGTTTTCGCCTAGAAATACCACTGACTTGCTAAAATTCTTGCAAAAAGTAGATGCTCAAGATATAGCAAACAACCCTATTAAAGATTTAAGCCTCGATAAACCAGGACCTGTAGGCAACCTTCAGCTGTTAATGCAAGGGGATTATAAAAAAGTACCGGTTTTAATTGGATTTAATTCGGAAGAATCATTATACTTTAGAAGTATGTACACTAAAAGTTTTGTAGAAATGTATGATAACGATTCAAGTGTACTAATTGTGTCGAGCATGAATATGTCACCTAGCAACAGGACTATTGCAGGAAAAAAATTAAAAGAGGTTTACACGAATAATAAATTCGCAGATGATTTTGGAGCGTTTTTACAATACCAAACTGACGTATCATTCATAAATTCAATATTAAAAACCGTAGAAATTGGATGTCACAGTAATCCCTACTACCTCTATGAATTTTCATATAAAGGGGAATTAGGAGGATCGATGGATGTTCCACATTACAATAAAGCCGGTTTAGTTATGCACGCAGAAGACCTTCCATACATGTGGGAACAAGCTGGAAAAAACAGTGACTTAAGCAAGTTTCCGAAGGCAGATCAATTAACAATGCAACGAATCGTTAAAATGTGGACCAATTTCGTTAAGCATTTCAATCCAACTCCAAAGGCTGATCCAATTTTAGATAATGTGACTTGGCAACCAACAGAACCTTCAAGTTTTAGATACTTAAATATTAATGCAACGTTAGAAATGAAAACTAACCCTAGAGCATACAAGCAAACAAAGGACATTTTGGAATATTACATGCAACCACCATTCAATTTTTTCGATTAACCATATTATCTTAAGCTAACTTCTGTCTTAGTTTATTGCGGGGGTCAAATTAAAATTAAAAAACTACAAATATAATAAAGTATTTCTTATTGTGTAAATGTAAAATAGTAGTACATTTAGGTGTAACGATCATGAACGATTAAATCAAATTGAATTCAAATCTTATTCTTTTTTACTATTTATATTAAAAAAAAATATTTTCCAGATAAAATACCGTCGTTTTAAATTTCACCGATTAGATTACATATTTCAAATGTGCATTGTAAATGATACTTATAGATTCTAAATCCACAAATTATATCAAAATACTTATCAGTGCCACTTTAGATAAATAAACAAGCAATAATTTCTTTATAAAGGGCAAAAAAAGAATGAAATAGTAATTAGAAAATCATGTTCACCATACATCTATTATCCACTTATTTAATATTAACAGTTCTTGTTTTAAAAAGTTCGTTTTCATACAAAATTGACGATGGTACTATAGTGAAAATAGAGAATGGATTAATTAGAGGACACATCTTGCAAAGTGAAAATGGACAGGATTATTGGGCATTCCAAGAAATTCCGTACGCAGCGCCTCCAACTCTGGAAAATCGTTTTCAACATCCAAAACCACGAGAATCATGGGAAGGAATTTTAGAAACGACGAATAATACAAAAATGTGTTACCAACCAGCATCTCAATTAGCTTTTCTACCAATGGATGAGGATTGTTTGAACCTGAACGTTTACACTCCGGTAAAGCCAGGAAGCAATGAAAAATTGCCAGTTCTTCTGTCGATTCATGGTGGAGCATACAAAACTGGAAGTGGAGCCTTCAGTTATTTTGGACCAAAATACCAGATAGACTATGGAATAGTAATCGTAACAATCAATTACCGTCTTTCGGCTTTCGGTTTTTTGGGAACAGAAGATGGTGTGATACCTTCTAACGTGGGGTTAGAAGACCAAAGGCTCGCTATGAAATGGGTGAAGAAAAACATTGAACAATTCGGTGGTGACAGTAATCATGTTGTAATAGCTGGAGAAAGTGCAGGATCTGCTTCAGTTGGGGAACATCTTTTAGGTTCTTGGAATGGTGAAGAGCCGCTATTTCATGGTGCAATTATGCAAAGCGGTTCTCCTCTTGCTCGTTGGACGTCGCCAAGAAATTTAACACAAATTGCGGTAAATTTGGCGCAGAACATTGATCCGAGTTTTTCGCCTAAAAATACCACTGACTTGTTAAAATTTTTGCAAAAAGTGGACCCTCAAGATATAGCAAATAACCCTATTAATGATTTGAGCCTCGATGTACCAGGACCCGTCGGAAACCTTCAAATGTTGTTGCAAGGAGATTACAAAAACGTGCCGGTGTTAATTGGATTTAATTCGGAAGAATCATTATTCTTTAGGAGTATGTATAATAAAAGTTATATAGAATATTACGATAATGAACCAATTTTGACGAGCATGAACATGTCGCCTACCAACAGAACTATTGCAGGAAAAAAATTAAAAGAAGTTTACACGGATAAAAAATTCGCAGATGATTTTGGAGCGTTTTTACAATATCAAACTGACGTGTTTTTTACAAATTCAATATTTAAAACTGCAGAAATTGGATGTCGCAATAATTCTTACTACTTGTATGAATTTTCGTACAAAGGAAAATTAGGAGGATCGATGGATGTTCCACATTACAATAAAGCCGGTTTAGTTATGCACGCAGAAGATCTTCCTTACATGTGGGAACAAGCGGGAAGAAACAGTGACTTGAGCAAATTTCCGGATGCTGATCTGTTAACAATGCACCGAATCCTTAAAATGTGGACCAATTTTGTTAAACATTTCAATCCAACTCCAAAGCCTGATCCACTTCTAGGTAATGTGACTTGGCAACCAACTGAACCTTCAAGTTTAAGATATTTAAATATTAATTCCACGTTACAAATGCATACTAACCCGAGAGCGTACAAGAAAACAAAGGAAATTTTGGAAAGTTACATGGAAACCCCTTTCAATTTTTTTGATTAACTCTGTTATCTTAAAAGCTAACTCTTTTATTAGTTTATTGTAAAAAGAAAATTAAAAATTAAAACACTACAAAAATATTTAAGTATTCTCATTACGTAAATGTAAATTAGTCAAGCACAGTGGCATGCCATAATCAAGATTAAATCAAGTTAAAGTGTTATTCTTTCTTAATAATTAAAAAAATACTGCATTTTCTAGATAAAATTATCTTTTAAACCTAATATATAAATGCGTCAAATTTATATTTTATAATAAAGTGATAGTATCCGGCTTTTTATCTACAAAATATGCTTGTCGTTAGTTTCATAATATTCGCCAGTTTTGCTATAAACTCATTATCCGCAATTAGTGATGATGGAACCCTGGTAAAAATAGAATCAGGACTTATTAGGGGTCGAATTCGGCAAAGCGAAACTGGTAAGAATTATTGGGCCTTCCAGGAAATTCCATACGCAGCACCACCACTTGGAGAAAACAGGTTTCAACTTCCTCAATCACCAAAACCATGGAGCGACGTATTGAACACCACGAAAAACACAAAAATTTGCTACCAGCAACGATCGAGGTACTCGTATTTACAAATAAGCGAGGATTGTCTATACATAAACGTGTACACTCCAGTAAAACCAGGCAGTAACCAATCCCTACCAGTTATACTATGGATTCATGGCGGAGGATTTGTAAGTGAATCCGGTATTTACGAATATTATGGCCCGAAGTACATCATGGACCATGGAGTAGTTGTTGTTTCGTTCAACTATCGACTCGGACCTTTCGGCTTTTTGGCCACTGACGATGGTGTGATTCCTCCTAGTGTTGGAATGGAAGATCAAATTTTCGCCATGAAATGGGTCCAAAGGAACATCCAGCAATTCGGTGGCGACCGAAACCACGTAACTATACAGGGTGAAAGCGCAGGATCGGCGGCTGTAGGGCAACATTTATTAGGACCGTGGAAAGGAGAGCAACTCTTTCACGCTGCAATTATGCAAAGTGGCGCCCCACTCATGGGTTCACCTATACCTAAAAATTTTACGACCATTGTTGAAAGCTTAGCTAAAGAAATCGATCCAACTTTTTCACCTAATAATACCACAGACTTATTGAAATTCTTGCAGAAAGCTGACGCAAAGGATATTACTAAACAAGACATAAGACAGATGAGCTTTAATAAACCCTTAAATCTTCAGCATTTGTTAGATGGTAATTACAAAAAAGTGCCCGTTATAATCGGATTCAACTCAGAAGAAACTATTTTCCAACTAGCATCATTAACAACGGAAATTCTAAAACAAGCCGATGACAATCCCGCTTCGCTAATTTCCGACGGCATGTACATGTCTGAAGAAAACAGAAAAATTGCCGGAAATAAGATGAAAGCAGTATATACGAATAACGGGTCTTTTGTCGATCATCCGGGTGCTTTTGTTCGGCATTCAAGCGACCAAAGCTTCACAATACCAGCTTGCAAAACTGTGGAAATATGTTCCAAGGACGTGCCGTATTATCTATATCAATTTGCATACAAAGGTCCATTAGGCGGACAAATGTCGCTTCCGTACAGCAACGAAACAGGAAGAGTAGGACACGCAGAAGACCTCCATTACATGTGGGAAGAAAAGGGGACGAACAGCGATCTCGACAAATTTCCCAAAGAAGACAGATTGATGTTGCACCGTTACGTGAAAATGTGGACGAATTTCGCCAAATATTTCAACCCAACTCCGGAGAAGGACCCTTTTTTGGGCAACGTCCAATGGCTAAAATCCGAACCACAAACTCTGAGATACTTGAACATCAATTCGACCTTAGAAATGCGAGAAAATCCAAGACAATATAGAGAAATTAAAGGAATTTTGGAAACTTACATGGAAAAACCGTACGACTTTTTTGATTAAATTTAAAAAACATCTTTTTGAAAATGAATGTGTGTAATTATTTAATTAAATTGTTGAATAATGCTACTTTAAAAATGCCTTTTAATAAAATTACTTAAAACGCACAATTTTTTTCTGTAGAATTACTGATGTACCTTATGAATTCACAGCGACGGCTGCAGAAATATTGCATTTTTAAAATTTTATTCTTAGAGATGAATTTTTGATATTTTACAATTCATTCTAGAAACGTAAAAATGTTCCTTTTATAAAAAAAGTCATGCAAAATGTAGGTAGGTATGTATATTTAAATTATTTTAACGAGGCAATAAGGTTGAAATAAATGTCTTAAATAAAGAATTATCAAAAAAAATTAAATAGCTACTATGAAATACCGTACAAAATGGTAACGCAATTTCATTTTGTTCTTTCGTGAAGCTTGAACAATTACCTTTAAAGCATCAAAATTACTCGGAATACTTTAACATGTCATCGAGTCGAGCTTTTTGTGTTACGGACCATTAAAATTTTATTTTTACACATCCCTATCCTACCGCCGAAATAGTACAGAAACCGAAACCTCTGTCACAGGCAGTACATCCCGTCGACTAATTGCCGCTACACGACACTTCTGTCTAAACAGAGATTAATATATTGGGCCGTTCATTAATTTTGACTCGTTACGATCCCGCCGGATCGCGTACGCTTGTTGAAATACGACCAGGTATTATACCGGAGAAATTAAGATACCGAAAAACACGAAAAAGTGTCGCTGGTAATTAATAAATCATTTTGTGGAATTGGAGTAATTCTCTATTTTGGTTTCGCTACAGCAGAAAATTTATTCACAATTTGGGTAATATGTACACTAACAAAAAAGATCAATTAAGTTATTTTAGCTATCAATTTCACTATGTTTTTCTGGTATACACAGTGACAAAAAATACCCGGAAAATTGGAATATAACGCAAAATTCCTAATCTTTTATTAATTTTTCTTGAATTTTCTCCTCCGCACGAAACCGTCCGGAACAAGGCAAACCTTTAGCGATCTCCTGACTTTCTTTATAAATTTTATACCACTCGTAAGTATGGGTTTTCGATTAAACATTCGAATCACGAATCACCTTAAGCATTTGCACCGATTAGGCCCATGAAATTCCGTTCAAAAACCAAAATATGAGACGTTCATTATTTTTGTCCATTGCAAAATTCGCAGAGCACCACTGACATGAACTGATTCAATCAGCTGCTACAACCAAACTGATTGAGAAATCTCTCTAATTTGCATGCTAATTAAGAACAGTGTTATCTACACAAAGATACTTAATTAATTGACATAGTTAAAAATATTAAGTGCAGATAATTTAAATCAGAATTTCCGTGTACTTTTTTGTCCCAGTGTTCTATAATATTTACAGTAATAAGATAAAGGAAAACACCTGTATGGTTTTTCGCCGTCGATTAATCATAATGCCCGCTCGTTAGCAGCCCGTTGACGGACGCCTTCCCGAAAATTAAAACAAAATAGCTCAATCTTCGAATCGTTTAAGGAGAAAAAAGTCGTTAACAATTGCAAATAGATTTTAGACAGACGAGAAGAAAGAGTTAAGCGTTCGGTAATTAGAAACATTTAACGATGCTTTGTCCCTGGCGAGGACTTCCTGTCAATTAGGTGCTGATATATGAGCACGACGAGATTTTCTTGCCCGATTTTCGGGCTTGTTCGCCAAAAGTTAATTTTAAAGCGCAGGATTAATTAATTTATTAAAACAAGCGATTAATATTAGTTATTTTCGCCTATTTAGAATGTTGTTTAAGTGATTAGTAAGCATCGTTTCCACTAGATTTTATACAACTTGTGCTGGAAGAAAAGTTGTTTTGTACACATTTGAGGATTGCATTTAAATAGTTACTTTGAACTTAGAGGTAGAAAAGACTGTCGCGCATTTAGTTTGTGGCTAATATTTCCTTCAATATGAAAATCGTTCCTTTTATCTACCGGCCACAATACTGGAAACATTTCTAACCAATTAAACCGCTGTAAATACAACAAGAGCGGCCATAAATCCATGGCGAGTCGCACTAGATTAAATTTAGTGCTTAAGAATTCTTATATGTCGTTTATAACAGAAATTAATGTCACTTATACGCCTCTAATCGTTTGACGGGAAACAGGTCCTAAATAACGACGAGTTTAAGGTTGACTGTCAGCGAGGACGGCGAGCGCCGCTCGTTTTTTGCGTCATTTTTCAACGCTCTGTAGATCGTTAGCCGTTTAAAATCTAATTTCGTCGTGCCAACACAAATTAGTCTTCTTTTGAGTATGTCTGCACTTCCCATTGCGCATCGAACACATAAATTTCGCCATGGCAAATTAAAAACAACTGTTTGGTGTAAAATTCGAAGCCTCCGTATTGCTGCGCTGCCTATAAAGATCTCACTTGTCTCGGCTTATTAACTATATCCGGTGCCAAAGCACCAATTAGCGCAGTGAAATATCGATGGGACGAATCTCGATAATTGTTCGCTATTCTAATTCGTTTCGTATCCAAAAATTTTGATCTACGATTTAAATATTGCGCTATAAAATGATACACCAAAAAACTAAAACTTTATTCTTAGGTGAGCCATATATTATTCAATATGGTTCAAATCTATTGGTTCCAGCACTGAGATCACCAGAAGGTACATCAAATTATTTCTGTGCATTGATTTCATAACTTGTATGTCGATTTTTTTATGTAAAAATTGAATTATCAGTACCACCAACAATAAGTTCCTCTCTTTGCGATCTGCAAGACGCTAGAATATAACAGTATTGAAGCTCCAAACAATACTTACTGAAGAAATTTGGGGCAAAATCAGTACTTTAACAGTAGGTAATGCAAAATTAAAATCCTGTAAAATTTAATAAATTCGACATATCTAGTTAAGCCATCTACCTACAGATACCTCAAAATATAATATATTCTTAATAAACTTTAGATTAAAAAGATCCTGCTAGTCTTGATCATATTATATTCTTTTCCCATGCATATGTTTAAATTAATGTCTGTTGTTTCAGATGGTACGAGTTCGGACTCAAAATCTGACGAAGAAAGGAAAAAGAGACCTAGAACGGCTTTTACTGCCTCTCAAATAAAATCTCTGGAAGCGGAATTTGAAAGGAACAAATATTTGTCGGTAGCTAAGAGATGCCAGCTATCTAAAACGTTGAAATTAACAGAAACGCAAGTAAGAGTCTGTTAACAAACTGTTGCAATTGAAATTATTCAATTTAATTTTCAGATAAAAATATGGTTTCAAAATAGAAGGACAAAATGGAAGAGGAAATATACAAACGACATAGAGATTCTAGCGCAGCAATATTACAACTCGATGGGCATTATGACGCCGAGACCAATATTTTTAGGCGACAGATTATGGTAATTTGCAATAAATTTCCCCTTACAATTATAATTAAAAGTATTCCTATTTAACAGGTTCTTTAACAGTCCAGGACAACCAGGATTTTCAAATTCTCACCCGGCTTTGCCACCGAACTTACTTCCTATTCCTCCTGGACCTAACGTACCGCTTCAAACCCATTCTCAGAGGCAATACGTGAGAAATTACATGAATTTCCCATCGCAGGAGCCGCCTCCGGAAGTTCCACCCATGTTGCAATTGCAGAACTTTGGCAGACATTTCGAAAATTCATAATTTAACGATTTGCTATTGAATTAGAAAAAATATTTTACTGAAAATGGTATATAATAATTTATTATATTATTTTTATTAACGTGTCATACTATTAGTCTATACTATAATACCTATTAATAAATAGTAAAAAGCGATATAAATAAGTTATTTTTATTACAAAATTAAGTTAAATACAATTAGGTAAAGAAATTTATTAATATTGTTTCATTCAGAAGGAGAAATTATAAAACATATTTAAGTTAGTAATTATTGTTATTCCCTACTCCAGTAATTATTGTTATTGAGGAGAGGATTGTATAGACATACTGAGAGCAGAATTATCGATGCTAGTGTTCTGCGACGACACCTTTCTATACAAATCGTCATCATCATCCAATATCGCCAGCATTCGTTTTTTATATCTGAAGTAAAAAAATTAAATATTACTATTGATCCTTGCAATTTACGACAAAAAAGGTTCTCTTAGATGCCGTGACCAGGATTCGAACCTGGGTTACCACGGCCACAACGTGGGGTCCTAACCACTAGACGATCACGGCTACCAGAGAATATAATAACGACAATCTAGTTTATTTAAATTAATACTATCTTTGATCTACTTTACTGCTCGTAAAAGGAAAGGCGCTCGAGCGTAACAAGATTGAAATTAATATAATCTTGGTCAAGATTTTACGCTTTAATAACCTTGAAATCCTTGTGATACGATGGCTAATAAAAAAAATAAGTATTTGTTAATTACGTTACTCACATTTCGCTATCGGGATTATTTTCGGGATTTCGGCACTTGTCCAATTTCTTATCCAATATTTTTTGTTGGTTTCTATCAGGAGTTGAATCAGCCATTTTAACCATTGAACGAATTGCTAAAAAATTAACAATTAACTAAACTTGATGCACTGCAGTTCTGAACTATGCAACTATCTTTATTTTCTAAATTATCGGCATTAAATTAATTAACACCCTATATGTTACGGATGTGATAGATAAACGACTACACGTAGGTTTACCCGGTAACATATACACCATTCTTTAACAAACCTCTAACAGCTTCAATTAAATCTGTTAATTTATCCCTTCCATCCTCCCCGAACAATGTGTCTGTCACATAAGAATCCAGGTTCTCTTGAAGCTTAGATGCAGCATGTAATACGGCTGCTAAGGCAACTTGACTGGGCGAATAGAGTAAAATGGCGTCTGTCAATAGAGACCTTTCTAAAAAGTGTTCAGTTCCTTGCCTCAACCTTTCTGGATCGTGTAAATTTGTTCTAGTCTACAATGAAATAATTAATTAAACAAATCAATTATTGAAACATCAATTGTACCTTAATGTCTATGAGTAAACCTTCTACAGGCCTGAATGGGTTGTGAATAGATAAGTTAAAATTCAATTGCTCCATTAAAAGCAATTCGTTATTTAAAATTATGTCTGTAGCCTTCTCTCTGTCGCCCTTTATATTGGCTACAAATTGTTGAATAGATACGTTGAATTCTTCTACTTTACAGGCTAAATATATACAGGTTACCCTAAAACAATTAAAAAATTATAATTATACGGAGAAATAATATTATCTTAGAAAACTCACATAATTTCCTTCGGATGGTAATTCATGACTGAATTATTTATGTAAAATCTTTTGAAATAATGAAATGCAGTTCCCACAACATATCGAGGCATAGGCGGTTGAAATCTTTTGCAAAAATCCCTCAAATGTAATTCGAATCGTTTTACCATTATCTTCTCTTCTTCCGGAGTCAGGAAAACGTCATATTTGGAATTCTCCTGTGGCATGAGAACACAATTAATAATTAACTAATAATTTAAGGATGAAATACTTACAGCAGTGTGTTGGCCATATATTTGAATATGCTTCGCATTGGCCTTCTGCCTTAGCCTGTTGAGTTCCTCTTCACTATTAAACATCCAGTATTTACACTGGGTACTGGAAGGAAACATTTTTAAAGCACTAATTAGAAAAAATGCATTTAAAAATTCAAATTATTCAAGGTATTGCACTTGGGGAATGTAAAAGCATAAAGAATAGGTAATAGGTAGTTAAAAGATTGAGGTTATGAATTAATGACGTCTTCTTCTACTTATTTCTGTGCCTCGACATATGTGAATTTTGGTTAAAAAATGTTTACGTTGGCCAACTCGTCATTGTCCGGTCCGGTGCAAACTTCACACATTGACTTCATTTGAAGGGAGACATTTGTGTTGTGGTTTTGTGTATGTCTTGTGTTTCTTCGTATTTCGTGTTTTATGTTAGTTTCGTTCGGTCAAAAAGTGCGGTTAGGTAAGAGAGGGATTAAAAATATTAAAAAATAATAGAAATTGGCTCGTTTTCACCGATTATTGTAGCACCTATTATTGTTTTTGGTTTGCAAAGCACGATCCCGTCAAAATGAAGCACCACCGCACTTTGGAATTCACCAACACGGTATATAGATATGTTTTAGTTTAGGTTTTTATAATTTTGGTTTTTATAACATTTATCATTAAATAATCAGCTTTTAAGCCATTGCGATGTTTTTTAATTACTAGTTTTAATTGCTTTACTTACCCAATTCGCCCAATTAAGTTGTATAGTTTAAGTTTTAAGTTGTAAAATGTATAGTTTCATTCCCTAGCATGTTCATGTTCTATTCTTCATTCCATAAATAGCAATGATCATTATATTTATAAATAATATAAATTTTTCACCACTTGCTATTTATGAATCGTCTAACTGCTAACACATACGAATGATTCATTAAATTATTGGAATTTAGTCTTTAATTGACTAGTTTTAATGTTTTATTAACTATTTCCTCATATTAAGGTTCCCGGTAATATAAATGCTTGATTTACTTCCTCGGAAATAACACTATTTAAAATGAAAACTTCAGTTGCCTCTGAATTTGTGATTGTTACAATCAGAAGATAATTACGTAGAATGTACCGATGTTCACTAATTATTAATTTTAATTAAGTACTGGAAATGATTATATACAATGCAATTTAGTAGAGTTTTGATCTATTATACTATTTAAGGTTTGGTTTCTTGTTTCAATGTGTATACAATATTGCAAAATTTATTTATCAGTTTTTGGTTTCATATATTTTTAAGTATGTATATGTAGATAGAATAAATTATATCCCTGAGCTTAGAAATTGAGCTACGTATAATAAAAACTAATGTAAATAAATTCGTTAACAGAACTATATCTTGACCTAAAATATGTTTTACTGATAGCTTTATCAAAAGAAGTAGATCGAATTTTATCGCAAAATTGCAGCTCCCGGTATGAGTAGAACGTGGTTTCCATTAGATAGAAAGTTGAATAAACCACAAAATGTACTACATTACGTTTAAGTTGTAATTAATTAAATTAAATGATACTAGCGAAAAAATTATTTATTTGACCTCACTGCTTTGGATTTGAGGTTTTTTGGGCGTATATGTGAGAACTGGATAAGTGTGATGTAATATTATTGCACACTAAGAAACTTATCACACTGTTATAAATATTTAATCTTAATTCATAAAATTAAATTTGCGTTTTATTTAAAGAATGCTAATGAGTCTATTTAAGGAAAGATATTTTAAGAAAAAAAAATGTAAGAGTACATACAATGAAATCTTGTAACTGTTACCAACAAATCTGATTTTATTCCATACATAATAATGTGATGATGAAAAATGTCACGATTCACTAGTCTAATCCAATCATCATAAATTGTAACTTGCTGGCTTTTTAATTTTTTTAATATTATAATAAGTGCGTAATGTAGTAAATTTTGACTCTTGGGAAAAAGCGCAAAATGGAACACCCTTTGTGGGTGCGTCAGTCCGTGTTCGATATTCACAAGAAAAGCATTTCAACTAAATTAAGGTTTTGCTGTACGATATAAAAATCAATTATTAACAACATTTAAAATTCTTTATTCGGTTATCTGCTAAAATGTTTCCTTTAGAAATTAATTGTTTTGATGGATTATTTAAGGTAGGTACATACAAAGTATAAATAATTATGTGTTAAAAAAAGAGGTGAAATTGTTTAGAATAACGTTTTAAGTTCATATTTAGAGGTAAGATTATTCTCTTGTATAGTAAAAAAATTGATATACACTTTAACCAGCGGAAAAAGTAAGTGTTACACTAATATATTAACAAAAGGGTACTTGGCGAATTTTAACATATAAATTTGGCTTAATGCATTAATTATGGATTAATAATTGTTTGAATTTTACTCATTCCTGTTCATATAACAATTTTAAATAAACTATTAAACATTATACACTTTTTAAATTATGAACATTTTTATTCACACCTGTATATTTTATTAAAAAATGCAATATATTTTGAAATAATAGATTCATGAGATTACAATGTGAGCGCTATGTTCAACGTTGTACCGTTACGACTTAAATTCACTATTCATTCATGGTGTTTGATGGACATACTTTTTTGTGTAGGTAGCTATTAGTTAATAATTCTTATTTAATTATAGTAAGTACTCTTCTATTTTAACCGATTATTACATATTTTTTAATTAAAAAATTGCATTGTGTGTTACATACTTTTTAAGTTTAAAACAAATTAGTAAGGTAACTAATTGTAGCAATACGAGTGTATGTATGTTAATTCAACTATTCCGACAGTCCTGGTAAAGTAAGAACTAGTTTTGTGTTACCTTGAATAAAATCCACACAAATATATTTAACAAATGACGTAAGGTTTTTCATTCAATTGCCGGATAATATCTATACGAATATATAGAAATCGTGATTGGTTTGAATTTATACTGTTATGTAGATGAGTTTTACAACTTTTAGATGAAAAGTGATGGAAGATGACAATGAATTCTACGATACAATCTCTGTTAATTCATTCTTGCCCGAAAGAAGATTCAAAAACTACCTCAGCTTATCCAGGAACACCGTTTATCGATCGATCATGGACTTCGACGACGGCAATAACGTCGAATTGGATAATTTGGAACAAACAAAGGTGCCAACTAATAGGGTTGTTAAGACTTATGATCAGTGGAAAAATAGGGTATTGTACCTACAATTTTTTAAATAAACATTATTTACCAGTACTGCATGAAATTTGCACTGCTTCTACTTTACTTACACATTTTTACCTTATTTCGACACGGTCTTTTTAATTTTAGTTTCATACAATTGGCAATGGTGTTGGGTTTTATTTTTAACATGTTTCAGAATTTTGATTACTAATTCTGTTTTGATTTTAACATTAATTTAAAATGAGTTTTAATTTGAAATAATTACTCGGCATAAGTAAAGAATTGCCTCAAAAATTTGATATGTATTAATAACCGACTTACCCACCACAAAACGGTACCAGAAAGGATAAAGGTTCGTATGGGTGAAAGTATTGTTCTTCATTCTTTACTCTCTATCATGGAGCTAGTAATTGATCAGCGGATTAAAGATGTTTAAGGCTTTAAGAATAATACCTAAACGAGAATTAAATGTGATTCTCTATGGATTATGTAAAAATAAGCTAAATAAAAATAATTATGAATTCATTTGTTTCTAATTTGGAAGTATATAGTCGAAAAATTCTCCGCATTACTCGAATTTAGTGAAAAACTTAACCGTGCGCTTCCTTCCAAATTGAATTAATTCTTTTTCGAAACCTTGTAGAACTAACCAAGATTTTCCAAAGAGTTTCCAAACATTATTATAATAATCGAAATAACAAAGTGAAATTTATAAGAGAAGGAAGTCTTTTGATATAAATTATAATTAGCCGCCAACACGTTATCTAATTAAATTAAAGTTTTTTTTTCAATGCCTCTAATTGATAGTTAATAGTGTTACTATGTTAAACAGGTTGGTTTATCACGGAGTTACAAGAGTACGTTCGAATGCTTAGTAGATTTTAGATTTTTATGCCCAGGTAGGTTTTTTTATTTTATTACCGAATCTAATTATTCGGCTATGCTAATCGTAAGTTATTAATAAAATAACGAAAGACGCCCTTGAATATTTTGTTATATATTTAAAATGCATTATTTAAAATTACTAAGTTTCTATACAATTAATTGTATATAAATTATTTTTCAGTTCGTACAGATTTATCTAAATCAATATTTTTATTCTTGTTTATAGTGTATATTGTCGGATTTCACAACCATCTTCATCTTTGTCATTAAAATAAAAAAAAAACAATTAGAACAAGTGCATGTACTTATACTGAATTTTTATAAAAGTATATTCGGTTCAGTTTGGTACATTTTTGTTTTAAATTTTGTGTGCTAATGTGAGGTACATAAAAATAATATTTCACGCAATGAAAGGAATATGTTTCCTGTTTTTTTTTTAAATTTGTGAAATAATTTTTTTCTGCAAACCCTTACAGACATCATTGCATTAAAAAACATCGCATTGTATCAATTATTTTCACTAATTTCGCATTATTTTGTCTGGTTAATGCAGAGGTGGAGAAATTTCTCGAGCCGTGACTTGAGCGTAGATTTCGTGCTTGCCTACGATGATCAAGGGAAAGATGCAGACGTGGAAAAGCGCAGAATTTTCGAAGCTAATTTGGAAGCCAACGGGTTGATATTGGAAAGGGAGGAAAATCAACGGATCCATTTCATCAAAATTCACGTGCCCAGAGAGGTCTTGTGCAGATACGCCGAAATCCTCAAATTGAGACTACCTATTAGAGATGTAAGTTGAACATCAATTTATTAAATATTTACTATAATTTCTGAAGTTTATACAGATAGGTGAAATTACATAAACACAACATTCAATAGAAAAGGTCAATATTTGACTTGAATTTAATAACAAACTCCACAATACCTACTTATTATGTCTCGTTTATTTCTAAATAAGTTTATTTTAAGTACCATACTATAGTATTTATTAGGATAATATTAAAAGGGAATTACCCATCGGAGAACCATAAACAAAAGATAACCTAAGCAAAATATTTGAATGAAAAATACAATACCTGAATAACCCCGCGTTTTAAAAAATATAGTTAAGTTATGATACAGTTTGTAAATACTAGTATAAATTTTTCCCTAATATCTCCAGAGTATAATAATCACACTTCCAATATAATTATGGTATTGTTAATGTAATTTAACGCCTATAATTATGTTACATTAACATTCAAATTAATATGTTAATTGATTACATTTTGCCATTATAGAAATTGGAACAATCGGGGAAAGTAAGTGTTTCCTAGTGACTTTGATTTGTGTGTGTGTGTATTTCGCATTTGCAACACTTACAGCACTTTTTTTTATCGCAAAAACATTTTTAATTGATATCGGTACCTAGTGTTCCAATACAGTGGGTAATCAAATTATAATAAAATATAGCATATCAACACTTATAACAAACAGAGACAAACATTGCTTATAAAACTCATTCTTATAAAGTTAGAAGATGATAATATTGGGACACCTGGTATAATTTGTAAATAATCAAAGTACAAATGTTACTTGTTTTATAGATGTTACATAATTATTAAGTACACTAATATTCAAGTTTGGAACATGCAATATTCAAATCCAATGTACAAAGGATCAGTTTTTTCGCCATATTGTAGATTCATTTAAAATTTAAAACTATTTCATTACCGCTGATCTGTTTTGCCCATCATGTTTTGCTGATTCAATGCCAATTCTTATTCGTTTAATTAAAGAGACTTTAATTGCGACCCTGTGTAATAAATGTTATAAATTAGTCGAAGTGTTACGACGTATTATAATTAGTAACACATCACTTAGTTTCATAGCTGTTTTTTTAGGAAGAACAATGCCCAGCTTCGAAAGAAAATATTTTGACTCAATTAGTCACCGTGATTATGGGCCGGTGCAATGTTTTATTGGACCCAAAAAAGTTTCCAGAAAAGAGAAATTTACTTACCGCGGAATTCAGCAAAGACAAAAATTATTTGTGAGTTAATTCTTCAAACAGAGCCTTTAGGGTATAGAAGGAATTAACACGATAGATTTATCTTTTCAGATTCGATTTCGAAGATCCGAATTTCTTCGATACATCAGTAAAAATAACCGTAATTTCCTACATACTAGAAAGGGAAAAATTCGGTGATGAAGACCAAGACAAAGGTATTAAAAGACTGATCGCAGAAGGCGTCTACAAAGCTGCGTATCCTTTACATGATGTAAGTTTTAATACAAAAAATTTAACATTAATATAATAAAATTGTTTTTTTACAAGGGCGACCTCCACGATAGATCGTCCAAACGAAAACTCCTATTAGACGAATGGGCCTCTGTCTCGAAATGCATAAAATACCAACCCATAGACGACATCAAGGATTACTTCGGCGTGAAAATAGCGCTTTATTTCTCCTGGTTGGGATTTTACACGCACATGCTGATACCGGCCTCGATAGTTGGCGTTATGTGCCTCATTTACGGCGCCGCGACGCTCGATTCGGATACCTTGAGCAGGGATATTTGCTCCAGAAACATTACGATGTGTCCGAGATGTGATAAATATTGTGATTATTGGAATCTGCAAGACGGCTGTACGTACGCGAAGATTCAGCACGTTATCGATAATCCAGCGACTATATTCTTTGCCGTGTTCATGTCATTTTGGGGTGCTTTATATCTGGAATTGTGGAAAAGGTGAGTGGAAAAGTTGTATACAAAAGTTGTTTCTTTGTGCTAATAATATGTTTGCATAAGTCAGGTACTCAGGTACAAATTTAGGAACAAGTCAGGTGCAAAGTTAAATCTTAAATATTTATACAAACAAAACAAGTTTATAACAGAATATATTAAAATATTTAGGTGATTGAAGATTCCATTTTCCATGTTTTTACATTATCAATGTATTACATTAACGCTAATAAAATATTCTCTGCAGTAAAATTGAGTAGAATTTTTTTTATTTCTCTTCTGAATACATCTGTTTTGAATTCTCCGAGCTGCAACGGAATTGTATTGTAAAGTAGTGATCCCCAGTAATTTAAGAGTAGAGTTGAGTTTTTTTAAACCGTTAATTAGTTATTTCGTTATTTTCTGATCAATAGGTACAGTGCAGAAATAGCGCACAGATGGGGACTAACTGGTTTCGACCTTCAAGCGGAGCCTCCCCGGCCCGAATACCTTCTGAGATTAGCCAACGCGAAGAAGAAGAAACTGAACGTGGTAACCCAGCTACAAGAGCCGGTGGTTCCTTTTTGGCGCGTCAAGCTACCCTCTATTATCCTGAGTTTCTCGATCGCTTTGTTCTGGACAATGATAGCGCTCGTGGTCGTTGTCGGTATTGTGGTGTATCGAATGTCCTACGTAACTTCGGATGTCCTATATGGGTGAGTAACGAATCTTTTTTTTCTACTCTACTATTTAACTATTTCAATAATTTATCTATTTCAGGGATAAACTTAGTTATAAAATATACATAGTACCGGTAACCGCAGGTCTGATTAACTTGGTGTGCATCGTTATTTTGAATTTTATTTATAATAGATTAGCGGAATGGTTGACCGAAATGGAATTACAAAGGACTCAAACAGAGTTCGATGATAGTTTAACTATTAAGATTTATATGTTTCAATTCGTTAACTACTATTCGTGCATATTTTATATAGCTTTTATTAAGGGAAAATTTGTCGGTTATCCGGCCAAATATAATAGGATTTTCGGTTATCGACAAGAGGAGGTAACTATAACTTTGCGAAAATAAAACCGATTATTTGATAATTTTTTTTTCAAGTGCAATCCTGGTGGTTGTCTTATGGAATTGACAATACAGTTAGCAATTATTATGATAGGTAATCAAGCAGTCAATACAATAATTGAAATGGTAATACCTCTGTTTCTAAAAATGTACAAAACCTTTATCATTACCACTGGTATTGAGAAAGCTGAGAAGGAAGAAGTAGCGTTAATTAGTTGCAATCAATGGACGGAAGATTACAAATTATCCGAATTGGAAAGCAGGAGTTTATTTGCTGAATATCTGGAAATGGGTAAGATTACATTATATTATATCTTTTTTTTTACTATAATAAACTTACGTTTTAGTGCTACAGTATGGTTTCATCACCATTTTTGTAACCGCATTCCCTCTAGCGCCCCTCTTCGCTCTAATAAACAACGTTTTGGAAATGAGACTGGACGCCAAAAAGTTTATAAAATATTACAGGAGACCGGTACCTCAACGTGTCAAAAACATCGGAGTTTGGTATTCGATATTAGCGATCGTCGGTAGAATATCGGTTGCTTCTAACGCTTTCATAATAGCATTCTCGTCCCATTTCATACCTCGTTTAGTGTACGAACTGAGAGTGTCCGGTAACCACACCGAAGACGGTTATTTAGAACACAGTTTAGCTTCCTTTAAAACTGCCGATTTTCCAATCGAATCGGCTCCGATAAATCCATCAATAAATCCAACAGTGTGCAGGCAAGTTTTGCAGCATACCTCACAAAATGTAGCTTGACAGTCGGGATAATTTAGAATTTAAAGAAGAAGGGGTAAGGAAGAAATGGTAGGTAATGAGAGCTCAATTGATACTCATCTATCGAAGAGTAAAGATCGCAAGTTACTCCTACTTTCTTTAACTTTTCTATCTTTCCCCTTTGCGCATCTAATGCAATTTCCAACAGCCAAGCTACATTTGATGAGGTATAATATTTGGTCTCTCATCTTTTCCCAACAATCTCATTAGCTATTACTTTTAATTCTCTTTATAGGTACACGGAGTACAGAAATCCATACGATATCACGGACGAAACTCAAAAGTACAAACGGCCTTTGATATATTGGCACATATTGGCTGCACGATTGGCCTTCATAGTCGTGTACCAGAACCTGGTGAGTTTCGTTATAACGATCGTTCAATGGATGATACCGGACGTAAGCAGGAAATTGAACGATCGGATCAAACGGGAGGCGTACAGAACGAACGAGATTATCATTCACAATGAAACGGAGCGGGCGCAACAGCAGAAGAAAAATCGTAAGTATCACTGATTTGGTTTTCTTTTAAGTAGAATGTTCATTCCTATTAATTCACGTGCAATTCTAATTACCTAAATAATTTAGTTTCAGACAGGAGACGGTCGTTGAACCATAAATAAATTATTGTTGTTAGGAGACATACGTTCAGTAATTGATTGAAGTAATTTCGGATTTTTAGATGTTTTACTTTTAAATTTTTAATCTGATTGTTGTTACGCTTGCTTTGCCTTTTTGCTTATGCTTATTTGGGAGTTTTATTCAAATTTTTGGCGTCGTTGCTACAAATTTATTTCTAAATGTTCAGAACATTTATTTTATAAACATGGTGTCTAACAAATGTATCTAATACATAGTTTGAATCCATGAACCGGACTATCTGGGTATAATATTTGGTTGGATTATACAAAATCTCTTCAACATTTTATATGTTGCCTATTTCTTCATTTCTGTTCTCTTCAAATTATTTTCTATTCTTAATATAACAATTTTCTTCGTTTTGCCATTGATAGATTTTATTTGTGGATTGTTATCCTATTCTAATTTATTAAGCATGTTTAAAAATGGGTAGATACTGAAGTACCCATTAACCAGAAGAGGTAGTAAATTATTTTTTATGTCATTTTAGTTCCCCCTTCATATCTTAGAACCGGTTTTAGGCATTTTTTGATATCATCTTTCGTTTGGGAGATAAAGCCATTGTGAATTTTTAAATTGTCATACTGCATTTTTATTGTGTAATGCAAATCTAACAAATTTCGGACAGAAGTCTTTGGTCTACACTACTAATTTTCCATCAATATACTAGTCTAGCTACACGTAGAGTTACCATAAATATACGTTAATTAATATTTACGATATCTTCGCAGCGAGAAAAAATAGGGATTCTATGATCTCTTCTTCCACTGTTTATTACGATGCGATAAATGGAGATATAGGTGCTGAAGAGGAATTAAGGCGTCATAAAAACTCGGAATTTTACGATATAGAATAAATTTAGAAAGGTACACCTATCGATACTATAAACACTAATGTGTAATTAACTTGCAAAGCACATTTTTGTGTATTTCGTGATTAGTGGCCTTCAACCTTGCCTTATCCTTTAGGGTACTAGTCAGTAAAGGATCACTGTAATACATAAATAGGATATTTTTCTAGATGAACAAATTTATATTCTCAAAATATCTAATACTCATTTGCTAAAGTGTGATTGTCAAGATTCGTACAATATGTATATTTTAAGAATATAAAATTGTATACTTATTTTTAACGCTTTAAGCTTGTAATATAGCTTTTATTATTTTTAATTATTGTATATATTTGTCTCAAAACTTGATGGATCAATTTGTTATTCTAAATATTTGCTCTGCAGTACCTGTGCTGATTTTACTATAAAATAATATTTTATATACCTTCCAATTTTAAAAATAATGCAATAATTCTGATTATAGTGATATTAAACAAATGTAACTATTTTGTTATATGGCTCGAAATATTTATGTGTAGATTTTAGGATGTAAGTGTAATATTAACATCACGAATCTTATAAGTTAATTTTTGAATGAATCAAAAAAATTTAAAATTATTTATTAAGTTTGATGTTGTTTCTTAAATAACTGTAATTCACAATGTGTATGTAAAAATTGTCTTTTTTGTGTTTATTTTTTATTTTTAAGTCTTGTTGAAGGCTCATTTTGCACTTTATGGGCTTATTTTATTTTAAACATTTTTGACTAAGATATGATATATGTTATTAATATTTATAACTATTTATTGATGGATGCATGTAATCTTAATAGAAACAACAAATTTTAAATTATTAAATTAAAATAAATGTTAACATTATAAAATATACTAATATTCGTTAACACTATTTAAATTTGTGTATTTACTTATAAGCAAACCATTGCGCATTTATAATGTTAAATTTACTGGTTTTTTTATGTCGCTTTGAATTTTATTAAACTTTTATTGTAATATATAAATTCGAGTTCATTTAATTAACCTTTCATATGCAATTTTATTTTACTGCGATATCATCCATTGCGTATTTTTGCCTCAATTTTGCCCAAAATTGACTAGCCTATATATACAGGGTGTATCCAAATAGCACAGAAAAACTCTAAGGGGTGATTCTGTGATGAAAATGAAGGTGAGTACTTGGTACACAATTAAAAAAAACATTTTTTTGGTTGGCTTTTGTTCATATTAAATTCTATTTAACATGACTATACAAAAATAGTTGCTAATGCTAATAAAGTAAATGCTACTAAAAGTTAGTAACGGAATTGTACTTATTTTTTTAAATATTAAATTTTTATCTAAAAAAGTTGCAAGAAAAAATGTCTTGGGTTGACTATTTCAACCCCTTTTAAACATACTTCAGGGTTGAAAAAAATCCAAAATGTTTAGTTTCATTGACAAAAAATATTCCCCATGTTTCGTATCTTCATCTTAATATACAGTGAAAATAAAGAAGAAAAACCTTTTTTTTTCAATCTTCGGAGGGCTATCGTAACTTTTCCGGGGATGGTTTATTCAAAAAAATTATACCAAGTTCCCCTCTTAATTTTCATCACAGAATCCCCCCTTGAATTTTTTCATACACCCTGTATATCACCTAGTTATGTCAAAAAATGATCCCCTAATCGGATACGGATCACGCGAATTCTTTCGAACTTGCGATAAATCCCGATCGCATGTTGCATGCTGCGGTTATTGTCGTTTATGAATTTTGTTCTAATTTATGAAATAATCGATATCCAGATGTGGATGACACGAGACACTGGATAGAAAGCGGGAATGGCTTCTCTCGAACAAAAGCTCTGCGTACTCCAATCCAAACTAAAAGTACGTATGTAGTACACTTGAAAAAAATTCAACTTTTAATGTGCGTGTGTACGTATTTTAACGATTTTAGGAAACCGATGATAATCTCAGTGTTTGCATTGTTCTACTACAGCAGTATTTAAGGCAAGAGAGATATAAGAAAACCGTAAGTAACTTATTTTGTGTTTCTTTTAAATAAAAATGTTTCTCTTTTTTATAATTAGGAAACTGTAAGAGTATAATCCTTGTTTGTTACATAAATAATAGCTAGGTATTTTAAAAATTTAGACCTGATTGCCTTAAAAAAACGCGGATCTCCCGTTTAGTTGGAATTTCACAAGTTTCCTTATCACCGTTCGTATCGTACTAGACGCGATGAAATTGGAAATGTATTTCTCATTTCACAACACAATTGAACTTATTCCATTAATTAGTAAAAGAATCTGTAACAATTTGTTGAGAAATTCTTCTTTACTTCTCCCATAAAATTACCGTATTCTCCAAAGTTTTTCTTTCCTAAAATTCACATCCACTTACGAATACGTCTTGGACGTAGCTAAATATTATTTATTATAAATTTCATTTATTAAAAAAATATTTTATAAAATTAATTATAACAAAAAATAACTAGTTCATATTATTTATGATTAGAGCCTGGAAAATATGCTAAATAACATTTTGCATTTTTTAATACATTTTGCCAATAAATGATATAAAATAATGAATAATAAAATAAAAACGGAATTATTTGCAAATTCTGCTAACTAAAAGAAAAACCTAATGTTAATTTTGAAGATTTTTAGTGCATATTCGCATGCATATATTGCCATTTATAGTGCATATTTTCCAAGCTCTATTTATGATCATCATTAATAGGTAAAAAAGTAGGTAATTAAAATAAAAATGACATGCTACTTGAAGATGTGGTGGTGCTCATGTCCATAAGTGTAAGGCTCGAATCCGTGTAATCCGTGATCATAAAGTCCATGATCATAAAGCCCGTGATCAAATCCAAGACCGTAGCCGAATCCATGGCCATAATCGAATCCACCGCCGTGGAAATAGGGGCCAATAGAATGATCGAAATGTCCAAAACTGTAATGCACATCTTTTTCGCGGAAAGGTCCATGCTTGTGGACGTGGAACTTCTCAAAGAAAGGATGCAAGAATTTTTCGTGATGGGAAAACTTCTTTTTGAAGTGATTGAATATCGGCTCGATGTGGTTTCTTAGCCTTCCTAATGTGCTGTTTGTTAGTGATACACTAGCCGCAAGTAAAACCATCATTACCTGAAATATATTAATAATTTATTATTTGGGCACACTTTTTTTATTTTATTTTTTTATTGAACATTTACTGGCGCAGTAATTAACAAACTCCTCCACGCTATTTTTCCAAAAAAGTGCGAATATGTGCATTTTTAGGTATTTGTTTAAGTAGATAATGATTTTTTTATAATTAATAGAAAAGTAATAGCAAAATTACTTACCAAAATGTGTTTCATTTTTAAACTAGTACCCGTACTCTACCTAGCACATACCACGGTGAAATTTAAGTAAAGTATGAATTGTGTTATAATATTTATAACGTATTCGAACAGTTGAAATGATATAGTAGATACATATTGAAATGGATAATTATGTATGAAAATGAAGAAACCAATGGACATCCTCTATTGAAATATTTGTTTCCTTGTACGTTATGCACGTATTATAAAGCGTTTAACATATTTCACCTAAGTTAAATATGAAGGAAGTGAAACCGTTTACAAAATTTTTACCGAGCATTCAATCATTTATTTTTACTTAATATTTTTGGTAAGTACCTATTAGACTGCAATGTGTATAATTAAATAAACCAATTTTACATATAAATTTACGATTTTATTACCCAAAATCCATATTTGGTTACATGTATTTAATCAGTGCCAATATATTGTCAGTACTTCTGGTATTTTCACTTGATAGATTAATTTTTTACTCCTATTAGATAATATTGCAGTCATCTGATTAGTTCATTTAGGCCCGACACACCTCTATCAACGTTTCTCCATTTCCATCGTGCGAAAATAAACTAGATGACATAATTTATAAAAGTTTAAGAATTGATTACTCGTACATACAAATTTATAGGTGGAGCACCACTTCGGGATCCGTGAGATAATCTAGTGAGTGCAAGCTGAAGGAGTTATTGGCATTTTCATGTATATTAAATACAACAAAATTGTTTTAACCAACTTAAAATAAGTATCCTAATTGCCTGGATTTGGTCAGTTAACTCTACCTTTTTTTGGAAATATTTTTAATATTGTAATAATACTGCAAATTCTTTCACTATTTGTTTATAGGATTCGGTTTAAATCTAAACTTTAATCTCCAACCAGTTGCACAATTGCATAACAGACTCATTACTTTACGGTGCACAATGTTTCGTGCATTCTTTTCTTTTAGAAATTAAACCAGTTCTCAATGAATTTGTAATATTCAAATTTCTGCATTTAGCACATGCTTTAAAATCGTAAAAATACTCGCATAAATCGAGTTCAGCACAACCTTGTCACCCAATCCATTTGTTTTTATTAATTATTTCGATTTAAAACGATCAATAAATTTATCCAACACATAATAGGAGCCTTGTTTCAGTAGCGGTACAGGAAAATGCAGTGTAGGTAAATCGTAAGTTTCTGAAAACATGAATTAAACTTCTATTAGTTTGACAATAATAATTTTCAACAAGCATCAACATAGCGTGTGTAAAACATTTTAACGTTACTTTTACGTAAGTTTGCCAATGATCTTTGGAGATTCTGTTACAAAAAAATATGTCTTGCTGTGAGTTAATTTAATTATGAAATTAAATTCAATTCGTTTCTTTCGAAACTGCTATTGTAAAATTAGATACGTCACTGCAAAATGCAAGTTGATCTAGAAAAAGGTGTGGTTGAGCCGTTATACAAGATTCTTCAGCGAAAGCAGCGAATGCATGAAAAAACCAAATCCATTAATACCGTTTAGAAGATTTTTAGTGAATGTTTTTTGTAAGATGGACTCGTAACTGCTGAACGTTATTGGAAAAATAATTAGATATCTACCAATATTTTATTTATTACATAATAGACAGTTCCTACAAAAGGCAACAGATGAATGGAAGATACATAAATACGTTCATTCTGATTTACTTTATCAAGATGGATAGAGGTAGTGATATAAGAATTTGAATATTTTAATTAACTAATAAAGCTGTTTCTCAGAATTATGAATGGTAAAAACGAAAGACAAATCGATTAATTTGTTATTGATGTTATGATTTGTATCATCTATTATTTGCAATACTATTATAATTTAAGCTAATAACTAATTATCCCATTGCTAAACTAATATGCATCTGTACAGTGTCATAAAAGAGCTTTAGATAAGAGACTAATGATATGCATTGATCTATAAAATGAGTTTCTAAAAATCCCTTATAGAAAATTAGTGAGGCTCACTATCAGATATTTTATCCTTTTCAATTAATGAAAAAGATAACTGTTTGTTCTTAATTAAGTAAATTATATTTTTTATCGTTTATTTACATCTAAGACGAATTAAGAAAGTTTAATCACTAAGGTGCTCATGACCTTATTATATTAAAAGGTATCTCATACAAATATACTATCAGATAAGTAGTTAGATATCTAAATTTGCAATTTTCACAAGAAATATGTGAACACTTGCATAATATTAGTACCATAAAAATATCAAACATATACTTAACGTCTTAATTACGAACTGACTTTTGAAAGTACATTAATCATCGTTTATACCGAAGCAAGTAGTATCAACTGGCAGGTAGGTAGATTACTTAGATATCTAACTGTTATATCTCGATCGATGTTATGCTAAGATTTTATCTAATAAGTTTGTCTCCCCTTTTATTATGTCATCTCTACGGCAAAACTTTTGCAATTTGATTTACTACATTGGCTGAATTAAAACTCGTTCTTTATTTTAACGTGGAAGTGATGTAACTGTTACATTTTTAGCGAAAGGCGCGGTCACTACTCAGCTTTTGTTTAAAAATGGATTGTTGGAAAACGCTCTATTGGGAGATAAAAGTTGAATGAACGATTGCAAAAAAAACTATAATTAAAATTCGAATTGGCTGTGATACTTTTAATGGGATTCGTTATTCCTTAAGGTGTTCCGAGATTGAAAAATTGTTGTTGGTATTTATTAGGCACTTAAATAGGAAATAATAATAGCGATACCTGAGGACATGAATTCATAATTGCAATTTTAGAATGAATAGTGATTTAGGTACCCATATTTTTATTAGGCAGATCTATTTATGCATAGTGATTCATGTAAACCATAGGTATCAATTTTGCACGTACTCTCAAATATTAATTTCAATACTTGGATAGAAATAATGAAACTGTGTAATTACATATTACGATATGCGCTCGCAGACAGGTTTGAGTACTAATTTAGCCGATGTTATGGGCCAGCCGAAGAAAATTTCATCAAACTGAAGGTTACAAACGGAATCAAATGAAAAAATTAATAAAACGCTATTCAATTATTGCAACACATCCGTTATAGGTAGAACTAATTACGCGAAACATAAAATTTAGGTCATTTGTTTGCCTTATTTAAATGCACGATTCTTGCAGATACAATTCTCATCAATGCCATTTTTTTGCCATACCGTTGTCTGTGACAATTTCTTCATTGCGTTTTATAAAGGCTATTCGACGGTTTCTTTATCTTCCTATTTTGCGGTTTATATGAAGAAATGTGCTAATTAAAACCAAGAATATTCGTTTACTTAACATTAAACCGGCTTTAGGTACCTACATTAAATTCAAGAAATTAAATAAATACCTACTTAAAAATTTTTTGAGAGAATAATTCTTAAAACAAATTTACTTCAATTATTCATTAGCAAAAAGTTTACTACCAACTAAATAATTAATAATAACAATAAGACTGGAAAATAAAAGAAAAATTTCAATAAATCATTAAAAATTCATTCATATATTTATTGAATATTTTACATCTTCTAGAATTTAGACTGTTCCAATAAATATTTTGCGATATGTACGACAATATTTAATCAATATAATCGATAATTAAACATATCTAATATTCACGCTAAATTAAGCCAATAAACATCAAATATTTAATTCGATTAGACGATTAACATAACGAAATCCAAGTGTAAGCGTTGTAAACCAAACCGATGTGCTTCAAGATAAGTAAAAGTATCCGGTTATTGACAATATGAACATATCGTACGTGTGATTCTTGATCTACTTAGTTGGTATTAACACATAACGAAAAAAAAATCCAAAGCTTTACCCTTCCACAAACTATATAAAGTCTATGGATGTCTTTGGAACTAAACACAAAGACGCCGCTTGTGCATTGAACCATATCCGTTTTCGGTGCTAAAAGATTTAAGTGTATTCAAAATGAAATTTTTGGTAAGTATTTTCTTATTTTTTTATTTCGATTCATAGTTAATATTAGAGAAAATGGCTTTTCAAAAATTGAAGGTATAAGGGCAAGTTATCACTGAAATTGGAACTATCTACATAAATATATTAACCGAACTAAAAATGCAATGTAAATAAAATTATTGAGCTATTTTTTGAATTTTTGTTATTCTACTTAATATTGGTTCTAAATTAAAGATATGAAATCAATTGAATTAATTGTAGAAGAAGAGATAAAAACCTAAATTATTCGTAATAAACATAGTATTAAAAATAACTGCAACCGTTCATACCCTTTTCTAATTTTGTCCTAGAAAAATGTTTTAGTTACTAAACTATTTTTTAAATACTTTTTGATTACTTGAAATCAATTTCCAACTTATTTCCTCTATCATTTATTGATAGATGTATACACACTAATTTATACAAGTATATTGTGATATGTAGTTGTACTAACTTTTAGAAGATCACATTGTTGTAATAAATGTATATTTCAGATTCTCCTGGTTGCTTCCCTGGCGGTTTGCTCTGCAGTAGAAGTTAAAAAAGAAAAGAGAGGATTGCTGGGTCTTGGAGAACCCTTACTCGAAAACCACGGCATCGAAAACCACGGCATCGATTACGGACAATACGGTTCTCCTCTGCTGACGAAGAGCTTGGCTTCTCCACTCATAAGCAGCTACTCGGCTCCTTTGTTGACCAAATCTTACGCAGAACCCATCCTCTCAGCTCCGATCTACTCCAAGCAGTACATTCAGCAACCTATTGCTCTATCCGCTCCTCTTTACACCAAATCATACGATGCTCCACTTTTGACGAAATCCTACACTTCCGGGGCTCATCTGCTTTCCTCTCCTTACATTCAATCCGCTCCGATTTTGGCCGGTCATATTGGTCACGGCGCTCCCATCATAACTAAATCGTACGCATCGCCTTATTTGTCAGCTCCTGCCCCGCTCATCGCCAAATCTTACGCCACTCCACTCCTTACTAAGGCTTACAGCGCTCCGATTTTGGCCAAGTCTTATGGAGCTCCCATTTTATCGGCCCAAGCTCCGATTTTGTCGGGCCCGATTTCCTACTCCAGTTCGTTGGGACTCGACCACGGGTTGAATTTGGGATACGGTAAATTAATCCACTGAATTTAATGTAAATTGTGATGTGTATTGTGTAGTACTTATTTGTAAGTTATGAAGTGTAAAATCATGTAAATAAAAAGATTAATTTTTTTGTAACTTTGGTGTGTTTGTTCCGTGTTCCTGATTAGTAAAATAGAAGAGAAGGTCACTGAGTCTTACAAAATGTTCTAATTGCCGTACGATTAGTTTAGCGTATCGTTAAAAAAGTGTATTATACTTTTTGTTAATCGGTGGTGAAGTGGCGACATTCGATTTAGTAATACGTTTATTATTTACAACGCGGGAATTATGTCAAAAATCCACCGTGAAACCGAACATAATCGATGCATTCCAATTCGATTCATTTACAATTTTTTAAACACCAATAATAATACACCCAGAATATTTTAGATTAATACCAATTAAATCTATTCTCCACAGTCCACCTATAAAAAATAATACAACGTTCAAAAAACTAATTTATTACAGGATTTTAATGATTAAATTATTCAATAAATAATAACAAACTACTGGACTAGAAATCATTTTTTATAAGGTGGCTCTAGCTGCACCGAAGGCCTAAAGACCTCGTCATTGCGCGATGCTTCGGGCCTGTTGTCGTGATCAAAGGCAGGATGGTGAGGTAGATGAAGAGGAAATTGAACATCGGTGTGTCCTGGTTGTATCAACCTTCCCTGCGACGGTTGCTGGTAGACGTAACCCTGATGATCCGCTTGCTCTCCGAATTGGTACTGCCCTTCGCGGTAAAATTGTTGACTACTGACTTGATTGGCATCCTGGTAATGGTTTTCCTCTTGATACGGGTACTGGTCTTGAACGTTGCCTTCCTGTTGCAAAGGATGGTAGCTGTTCTGCCCGCTGTCCAACGGAAAGCTTTGATGATGGTGGTGAGGATAAGCATTAGGAATTTCTTGCACAGGATGTTGTGGAATTTGAGGATACTGAAGGTGGTAATGATTTGGCAATAACGACTGCTCATGATAAAGATGAGGTTGAGGTACATGATCAACATGATCACCGTGATAGATATCAGTATGACCAACAGGATGTACGTGGTTACCGTGATGAATATGATCTGGATCTTGCCCTACTGGTAAAGGTCCTAAAGGAAAAACATGACCAGGAGAATGGAAATGAGGAACTACGTTTACGTGTGCAGGCTGTATGGGTAGCACCGCTGGTGCAGGCACAAACGGGTGAATATGAGGATGAATAGGCGCTGCGATTGGTTGTGGAGCTACTACTGGTTGAATAGGTGGCAGCACCGGGTGTAAATGCGCTCCTGGTGCAGCAACTGCAAGAGGATGCAAATGAAGGGGATTGTGTGGTACTAATTGTGGCGGTGGAACTTCCTTCAGAACAGTTGTTGGAAATGCAGCGCCTAATGGGAGAACTCCCAAATCAGGTTTTGTTACCTCAAACAGCTGGGTCGTTGGTACAAGTGGTGCTGCATGTACGTGTGGTAAGGATACTGGGTGTAAATGGGTGGTAGGAACGTGGTGAACATGAGAATGGGCTAGATGCACGAGAGGTTCCTTATGAACATGGTCGATATGAGGTACAGGATTTAGGTGTAATTGATCTACATGAGCACCAGGATGGACATGAACAGGAACTGGCACCGGTGCAGGTTTAACTACAGCAACTGGCTTAACAATCGGTTTCCATTCACTTTGGATTACAGGTTTGATATGCGGAATATGCACAGCAGGACGTTTTAGATGAAAATGAATTCTTGGCCTATTGTAGTGATAACCTTGATGTTTGATGGCTATAGGTCTTAAGACCGGTTTGTATTTAAAATCTACTGGACCGTAACCGAGAACAACTTTGGCTCCAGCCGGATTCACAGCGACGTGTTTGGCCCATGCCACGTTCTTGAGCGTCGGGTTAAATATTGTTCGCTTTTCTTGTTCTTTTTCTGAATTATCCGCATTATCGGTATCATTTAACGGATCCAAATCTTCAGAGTGCTTTAGTTGATCGATGTCTGCATTCGCAAGAACTATTTCACTGATGGTTAATAGGGTGACGATATAAAACTGAAAATAAAATTGTGAAAAATAGAATTTGTTTAATACATAATTTTATTTAGTTTGAACATACAATATTCTCTAAGTTACACTGTAGTTAATTAGAAAATCTGTGAATATCTAATTGGATAATCATAATATGGAGCAATAATGAAGAGAACCTTTAAAAAAGAATCAAAAATACACTGAATGTTCAAAAATAACTGATCTTTGATAGCTTAAAATTTAAATAGACACACTTACAAATCTCGGAACCATTTTAAAATCCATGTATTCCAGTAGAGACCACCTAAACTTACACCATCACTGCCGAGTTTCTAACTGAAAAATTCAAAAACTATACTTTCCTTTTGTTTTATATCGGCCGATAAGGTACTACGAGATTTGTTTATTAAATAGATACATAGTTCAAATACTGATTGAATGGCAATGCCAATGACGAAGAAAGTACTCTCCGATTTTGGATTCACTTATTAGCTATATTGCAAAATAGCTGCTGAATATTAATGAGTTTGAATATTTTTCAAAAATGCGACACTTTCACGTTCTATTTGGAATCGAAGCAACAAAATTATGCGAACTTCCGAAATTAGATTGGTACATTGATAGTCTAATCATAGGTATTTCCAATTTAAACAATAATTGCTACCTATTAGCACTAAAAGCATTTGGGTAAGATTGAAGCGAATGCTCTTAGGAGCTAAATTACTAATTAAATCTTTCTGAAATTACTTTATCTCTTATTAATTTTGATGATTCAGACGATTGTTATTGTGGAAATCGCTCTGTTTCTTTGAATAATACTCAGAGGATAAAACCATGTAGAAATTGCCTGCTTACTTTATTATACATCTACAAATCTGTAAATAAATATATATTTTTTATTTTACATGGATTCATAACTGTGAAACGAATATAGGCATATAAAAAATTAATCTCTTGTAACATTTTATTTCGGTTCGATAACCGAATAAGGTTTATGACCAAGTGCATCTGCACATATTACATGTTACAAGGGTACGGCTCGTTAGTTGCGCAACATTATTATTTCATTGACAACGTTTTCAATTTCTATTGATGGTCATTATCATTCATGTGATACACATCGATGTTAACGCAATGATAAGAAACGAAACCGAACACAATCAGATCCTGTTTAATATTGATGCTTTCCATTATGTGTATGTATGTATGCATGTACGCCAAATTTGTATTTTTGTACTAGAATCGATGTTAGTTTTCACTTATGTATGAGTTTAGTAGCCCAAGCTGAATTAACTAGTGGTTTTTGATACTAGAATTGAAAAAAATAGTTTTTTACACTACTTTTATTTCGATCTTTATAGGCGAATATGTAATTTTATTGAAATTAATCAATCTTTAAGTATATTAATTAAGAAATTGGACACTCTGTATAATTCGCAAAGGTTTAATATGACCGACATTGTTCAGGCAAAGTGTGTGCTATGAATATTTTTAAAACGTATTGTTAAAAAGAAAGTTATTTAAATTGCTTAAATACTTTATTATTTGTTGACTATATTAAAATAATTGCTGTTATTAATCATCCCTCAGACGGAATTTTGACTTTTACATCCTGTATTACTGCATTTTAAATGGTAATAAGTGATTATTACTATTAATATTTTGTGTAAATGAACTTGTATATTTAAATGTCCTAATAGTTTATAAAATACAATTAAGCATACTTTTATTATTTTAAATGATGTTATTCAATGTATTTTTATTATATCCTAATATGAGCATGGTTATTTCGAAAGCGCTGAAATGGGGCACCAAACAATTTATCGCCCAGCAATTTCGGTGTTAACGCAACAATATGGAAAATTCCGATTTTTTCACACTAACCCGATTAGGTGTATACTCAATATCAGCGGTTTACCAAAGTGTTTAATCGTAAAATATGGCCTATTATTTTAAACAAATATTACTGAAATATCTGAAAATTCAGTGTGCATCGATGCGTTAACACCCAGTCAATCAAATAATAGTCTTACGTAAATCACTACTTTCGCGAAAAACGCAATAATCTAGGTATAATAATGTCGCACTGAAAAAACGCTCCTTTCTCTGACAAATAAATCGATTGTAACAAGTGAAATCATTTTAGTACAATAAACAGTTTAATTTATGCATTTGCGATAAGCACATCGAACAACAGAAATGCAAAATGTTGGTGGATAAAATAATCTGTGTACTTTTGTTGATAGTGATTGTGCGTGCACAAAATGCCCCGCAGGCGCCTGCCAGAAACCCAAGAACAATTCAAGCCTTTTTAACGAGCGTTGGTGATTTATTCGGTTACGATGTGTTCAGAAGACCCCGAATAGTTATAAATCTTCCGGCCGCGCTTCCTGCTGGACCTCCACCGGCGGCTCCTGCTCCTGCTCCTGCACCTGCACCAGCACCACCGGCTCCAGCCCCGGCAGGCCCGCCACCGGGTCCAGCTCCTCCAGCCGCTCCTCGCTTAGTAACAGCTCCGAATTTATTAACAGATAGCGTTCGTAGACAGTTTAGCGTAAATTTAAACTGGGATAGAAATCAATCACCGCGAAACGAGCCCATAATCTCAGCAGTGGTAGTATCTCCAGCTGGTGTAACTTTACCAGCTGCGGATACTCAGATTCCCGTCGCAGCCCCCGCAGCTCCAATAAGCCCTCCGCCTCCGCCCCCACGACAGAGGCTTCCCGATTACGATGAACAAAGTGAAAGAGAAGAAGACGATGATGACAGGCCGAAACGATTCTATATCGATATTCCTGATTACGGAAATGCGGAAGAGGTTAAAGAATCCAAAAGGGAGATTTCAGACGATAAGGATCAATCAAAAGTCAGGTTTAAGGAGGATTTTCAAAACTACTGGAAAAACGCCCCGTGGATCGACGAACGTGGTTATAAATACATTATTCCTCACGAAGCTGAAGCATCTACTTTAATTAAAGCAAACAGACCTAACGACATCCCGCAAGAGTTGTCTAAGTACGAAGAATTCTCGCTTCCCAAAGAAAACAAAGTAAGAAGTTTAAAGATTAGACATAACGTAAGAGTTTACGGTAAAGATTCATTCGCCGCTCCATCCACCGCAGTCACCTATTACCAAAAACCCCTACAAGAAAAACAAACTGCACAACCGTCATATCTAACTTCTAAAGTTGTTAACGCGGAACTCCTCAAGTTCTACAAGGAAAAGTTCAAGAACGACGCCGTTAATCAACAGGAACAACAATTCAATCAACCTATTTACGTTAATGATTACGTAGAACAACCCCAAGCACTTACTCGAAACGAAGAACAATTAAATAACAACGCTGAAGAGGAGCAAGTAAACGACCAGCCAGTTAATGACTATGTAGTACAAGATGCACCTGCAAACAATGATGATCCGAATTCACCTCTCAATTTTTATGCTCACCCAGGAAATCAGAAACAACAAGTAAAATTCCAACAAATTATAATCGAAAACGACACTCCTTTAGACTTTTACGCTAACCCTCAACAACCATTACAGGATTTCCGAATAGAAGTCGAAGATGAAGGTACTAATAGCAATGAAAACGTCCAGAAAGATGAATCTCCAGCCGAAGAAGTAAGAATACAACCTGCAACAAATATCGGTAATGAAGAAACAAACATTCAAGAAGACCTTGAAAGTATCAACGATGAAAAAATTATAGGAAGTAATGATAAAGAAAACTTCGAAGTCGAGCACTTATCAGATAATGTTGGCGATAAGGAAGAACACGCATCAAGCACAGATGAAACCAAAGCTGAGGAAGAGCAAGAACAGAAGGAAGAAGTAAAAGAAGCTGATGAAACGAACCAGCAACCAGCCAAAGCGGTAGATCACGAAGACGATTATAATTATAATTTTAATCTAGATAGTTTTATAAAGACGCACTTTGGAGATAGAAAACCAAAAACCTTCGAGGAGGTGCGCGAAGAAATCGAAGCCGAAAGGGAATTAAGAGAGCAAAACATAAGAGAAAAAGAGGAAGAGTTGGAAAAAGAAAGGCAGCTCCAAAAAGAACATGAAGACGCTAACGAAAACGAAGAACAAGAAAAAGATGAGAGGGGAGAGCATAATGAAGCGACAAAAGAGGAAGGCAACGAAGATAATGATGAAACAAAGAAAGTTGAAACGCAAAATGAAGAGGAGGCGGAAAGAGAAAATACCAAAGGTGATAAGGAAAACGAAGAAGAAAAACCGGAGCAGGAAGTTGAAGCATCTGGAAAAGATGAGACCGAAACAGCCGCAAGAGACGAGGAAGATGAAAAACAAAAAATTACTGAGTTAGAGCGACAACATGAAAAAGAATTTTATCTTATATTCCCCAAGCTAGGAGAAGGAACGGAATATGAAAGTTTCTTCAAAACTTTTGAACCTCATGAGGAATCCAAAGGAGAAAACACGAAAATAAAAGAAAGCGAAAATGTCGATAAAGATGAAACGAAGCACGACGAAGAGAAAACAGAACCAACACAAACTGTTAAAAAATACAAACAAACAGAGAAAAAGAAACCGATTAAATCTCCGAAAAATTTGAACAAGGACTCCTTAAAAGATTTCGACATCAATCAAGGCTACAAAAAAGCGAAAGAGAATTTTTCCAAAATTTTATTCAACGCGAACAAGCACAAATCTCCCAAAGAAAAGGTGAAAAGTCACGTAAAATTCGAGCCTAAAACGAAGTTCAAAGATAAAAATAACTTCGAATCGACCGAGAGGAGCATCATCCAACCTCTGTATTCGGGAGTCTGGAGCGCAGGGAACCTCCAAGAGCTCTACAAGCAAAATAAGCCCGTTTCCATACCTTTCGATCATGATTACAGCGCCTCCGAGAGGAACCAAAAGCTAAAAACTCGCCCGAAAAGGGAAACCGACGGATACTTGAAAGACGACCCCGCGGAAATACAAATAAACCCCGATGAATACGTATTCGACAATACAAAAATCATAAATCAACTGTCCGAACACCCGGCTGAGTATGTTCCAGAGTCTTATTCAGAGGACTTCACCTATGAAGTTCCCGAACCCAAATTTCCCGATGTAAAACAACTGGAAACGAAAAATTTTAAAGAAGACGACACGTTTTCCCCTAACGCGAAAATAATCAGCAAACAATTGGCTAGAAAAACTAGTTACGTCAGTGTCGATAAACCAAAAACTGTAGCTACTTAAATTTTGAAGATTTTTTAATTATACACCAATTTCAGTATTTCGATGTAAACAAAAAAAATATTTAATTAGGAAACTTGCTGTTAAATGTTCGAAGTGTAAATGAATGGAAGTTATGTATACGCTTGTGATATCTACAAATATTTATAAATTATTTATTTAATCAGTTCAGAAGGTTTTTTTCTGTAAGTTTATCAAATCGCCAGAAATGGCGTTATAGAAATTAATTTGTTATTTAATAAAATAAATTCGGTTTTTAAATACTTTCTTCCAAATTGTTAATTTAATGTTAGTGAATAAATGTGCTACTTTTCTATTACTACCATGATTTTCGAACTCAATTTCCTTCATTTTCTCGCCGTTATCGTTAGTGAATAAATGTGTTAATTATCAAAATATTGTGTTAATTCCTGTTAATATTATAATATTTTATTCAATAAACTTATGTATTTATGTTGTAGGTACTTATTTACTTTTTTATCCTTTTCATGCACCCTTTGCTCTTTCAACTATTATTTTAAGAATAAATATAACAGAATGTATTTTGTTGCAGGATATGAAATCGATAGGAATTCAAGTAAACGTTGAAACTAAAAATATGACGACTGATACAGATAATCAAGTTAAAGAAGAGGAAGATCCCTATCAGAAAAGGTTAAAATAATAGATTAATTAATTGGTACATCCGATTTAAATCGACTTCCTTAAATCCTTTCCCTATTTCCCTTTTCCTTTTCCTATTTTACCTTACGTTTTACTACTGTGACAAAAAAGTACCCGGAAATTTGGAGATAAACTGATTTAATCAGCTGCTAAAACCAAACTGATTCGAGAAATGTCTCTTATTTTTTGCATGGTAATTAAGAACAGTGTTACCTACGCAAAGAAACTTGAAATAGTTAAAAATATTAAGTGCATGTAATTTAAATCAGAATTTCCGGGTACTTTTTAGTTAGAAGGTATTAATCCTGTCCAAGAAGGTCTTCCTGTTTTATCCCGAATAAAAATGTATTTAATTATCTTTTACTGGAATTTTAACATTACATTTTTTTTTCAGTCTTACGCAAATATTTGGGCAACTGAAGACTGACCTAATCAATTTACACAGCCATATTCAAACCCAAAGTCTGCAATTCTAAGTAAATAAAAGTTCAATAAAGGCACAACAATTTAATTAAAATTTTCAAAAATATTTCAACGAATTCTATAAGTTTTTTATTGATATATTTTAAAAATTTATTCAAAATATTTAAAAACATCAACAAGCATATTTCCTCATGTATAGAGCATGAATTTCATCTACACGCTATTATCTATTTAATAAAAAAATATATAAACTCCAATAATAAAGAGATTCAACTATAAAAAATTAGGGACAATATATTCGAGATAATCAACTGCTGAAACGAAGCACTATAACAATATCTAGTTTGCCCTTAATTTTTGTATAGTTTAACCCTTAAGTCGTCTAATTCGAGGTGTATTATGCAAACACTTCAGTTAAATATTTGTGTGAATAATCATAAACAACCAGCATTATAGCACCTCCAGGTCCTAATCGGAGAACTTTGGGAAGGAGACCCTTGTAGAGAGCTGTTAATCTGCAAATTGAAATAAGTATGTGAGTGTTCTTATTTATTGTCAAATCTTTCAAATATTACCCTTCTTCTTTGTAAACAATAGTAATTGATTGAATTGTTGATTTGTATTTGATTTGTCCCGAAACGGGCTGTGGTCCTTGTATTCTTGATTTAGCGACATCAAAGGGAATATTAACGCAAGAAGCCAAACTGCCAGAGACAAATCCTATGGCGACTTTCCTAAAGAATTCGTGATAAGTATTCTGAAAACAATAAATATTAGTAATGTTTTTCAACTATAATATTAGTAGTAAACTACTTCAAATTCTGGGAGATATCCTTTAACAGAATGATAGAACCCGAAATATATCATATTGAATACTGAATTCCTAGCAACTGTAGCAGTTACACCTTTATTCAAGCCTCTCAAGCCGAAACCGTTTTCATTTACTATTTTTCTAGTCATAGCCCAAGTGCTGGGCATTTCAGATGACTTGGATTTGTTGGCTTGCAGCGTTACTTTTACGACCTCAAATGGATTGACTAATATAGCTTCGGTCACTCCTGCTCCAAATCCTGCCAATGAAAATGTCTGAAAAATAAATTTACAATTTAAGTACCATATTGAAGATGGTTTCTTTGAAGGAATTTTATTAAATTTACTGTTAGATTAATTGATTTAAAAATGTAATCTTTATCGATTTTGAAATGTATAAAATGTTGAACCATACAGGGTGGTATATTATTATGGAAATGGTTAATATATCTATTATTGTAAAAGATAGCAAAGATAGCAAAGATAGCAATATTTAATAAAAATGAAAGTATTTCAAAAGTATTTTCAAATAACAATATTGATCTTTTCCATACTAATGTGCCGCACTGTATAATAATTTATTGATTTCACAAAAAGTTAAAAATTTCTAGAGTTTCTCACATTAAGATTTTATGTACCTTGTAACCTTGAAAATATTATTAGTTCTTATGTAAATGTTGAATAAAAAAAATAGGTAATGTAGCCAACTTCAGTGGCTTACTTAAATAGTATTATATTTTAATTAAATGTTTCTCAAATGCAAGTTTTCAATAATTGTGAAATAACATGACTATGCATGTATTATACAATATTGGAAAATATGTACCTACAATAGAAAAGAATTTTTTACATTGTAGTAAAACAATTACTTGTATTGTTAAAAAGGAAAATATTAATAAAATGCATTTGTTCTCTTAGTTGTATTAATTTAAACTCTTACCAGTGGCGTAGGAGTGGGAGAGCCAAACATAACAAATTGTTTATATTGTTCGAAAGTGAAAAACTAAAAATAAAATCTAATGTATTAATTATGAATATTCCAATTGTTCGAAAACGTACTTTAACTGCTCTTTTGGGAGTTTCGGCTATAATGGGAGGTATTATACCTTTCCAAAAAGAAAACATTCCTTCTTGTTTGTACATTTTTCCGAAACAGTCAAAAATGCCTTTGTAATATTTAGGGTCATTTTTATTCATGAATTTCGATTGTAATTGAAGCCTTGTTTTAACTAAATCTAGGGGATGCATTATGCATACTTCCACAAATCCTTAAAAACACAAATCGTGAAAGTTACGAAAACTTTACGAAAACTAAAATATTCTTACCAGCTGATCCCCCAGAGCCTATCTGGATAGCTCCTTCTTTAAGAATCCTTTTTATATCACTCATATTGGTTAATTCCAAACAATGTAAATTTTATGCACTGATGAACTAATATCTTCTTCTCTGAACGATGTTAAAACCCTGTGTAAACCGCTGATATAACAATGCAGATAACTAATCATATCAAGAGATAAAAGACTTTATAATGAAATTGTCACCTTACATAACGTGTAAATAAATTTAAAAAAATATATTTGTTTTTTAGTTTTAGCCGGCTTTTAAATGTTTTGACATTTATATTATTGACATGACACTGACAACCAAAAAAGGGAACAATAATTAAAGGTCATCTACTTGACCTACTCAACAGCCAAACTGTTGGAATTTGATACACTAGTATGTAGGCAACACAGTTTACAGTTCATTCACAAAATTCTTTAGGGATAAATTGAAGAATCGCCCGTGCGATGGCGATACTTACGACTAGTGCTTGAAAATGTAGAGATTTATTAGGTATGGAACGAAAAATAATGACTAAAGCACTCTGGTTTCTCTTCATCTGCGAATAAATCTTTCGCCTTTTACTAAAGATTTCCGTGGAGAGGAACAACTCAAATGAGTCTAAAACTAATTTTTTAGTGCCCAATGTATTCATACGTTGGGCGTGTATAATAATCAAAACTTAATAATCTTGAATTATGTGTAGAAATTAGTAGTTTCATTCTAAGGCTACAGATACTATGCATGCGAATTCTGACGAACAAACGTCCGAATTCGTATTATAAAAGGTTGTTGTCATTGTCAGTGTAAACACAAACACTCTCACAGAAATAATAGTTAATACAATACGAGTACAAATCTGTTGCTTGATGAAGGGTCAATCAAAGGGCTTTTTGATTTGGCTAATACCATGTAGAGCAAATTAAAACCCAATTGAATTGAAGACTTTTGTATTTTTTTACAACAAAACACGTATTTTACTCTTTACATAATACAGAATGTTTTAATACGAAGGCACTTAAATCTGCAAACAATTATAAAACTATAATTTATATTGCTCTTCAATTTCTTTGCTTTCTTTTTCAAGTTTTTCCAATTTAAGCCAAGCTTGTCGAATTACTTCATCAGTCAAACTATCTGCACTATCAGAGTTTTCATAATGACCTAAAAAAGATATAAAAAATTATATGTTGTAAAATTTTATGTATAATATACATTACTTTGGTCGTTCAATTCTAAATTAGTGGATGATTTTCCATCATTTTCACCAACTTCCTTATTCAGCAAGTTGAACTTTTTTTGCAAAAAATGAAAATTATTCAGAAGTTCTGTGTATTTCTTTTGTAATTCGGTGAATTCTTCTCGCTGTTCGACGTTTCTTTTGCTAAGCTCCTGATTATCCTTCTGAAGCTCTATAATTAATTGCTTGTTATTGCTGCATGCGTTATCGCAATGGTCAAGCTTACAGCTAAAGTTGTTTTCTTTGTTATTTTCTAATTCTAAATCACATTTATTCTCTCTACTATTTTTTAAATTCTTGATCTCCTGTTCCTTTAACAGTTTATCTTTTACCAATCCTTTCATTTGATGTTTTAGTGCATTATATTCACCTACGATTTTAAATAATTTTATTTCCGTCACTCTTTTCTTTTTATCTATATGTAGAATATGCTTGTTTTTAATTTTTAACGTTATCCTCAATTTGTTTATAGTTTTATTGTAGCTGTCTTCCAATTTCTTTAATTCGCTATTGTGTAAACATTTAAGATTCTCAATAGTCATTCCTATATCATCGACTGATCGATGAGAATCAATTAAAACTCTACCTACTTGCTTGATAAATTCTGGTTCGCATGTCAAATCTACAATAAAATTAATCAATCATTTTTATTTATACATTTTATCAATGCACGTACCTGCAAACATTTTTTGCTTTAAGTCAGGGGGGTCCACTTCCGAGTCCATTGATAGGTGACTCAACATGTTTATCAAACATGCAAGAACCGAAACATTTTCTTCGTTACTGCAAAATCTGTCGAGGATATTTGAAAATAATTCGGACATTTTATTAATACCGACGAGCTCTAATATATTAATCAAATTGTCCAAATCAAATTGAAGCAAATTCTTTTCGCTCTGATTTACTAAATTGTTCGTATACATGTTGCACAGGCCTGCTTCAGTGTTGAAAATTGAAAGTGAATATTCGTAGTTGTTTTTCATTAAAAATTCTGCCACTATCAAATTAACGGCATGTTTCGACAGGCACATTGACGTTTGGGACGTTTTTTTAGTTATTTCCCTGCCTATTGCTGTATTTTTAAGGACATTAATCATTTTAAACCTGAGTTGCGCCCTCAATTGGGATAAAATGCCTTTTTCTTCGTACCAATCGGTCAACAAGGCTTTAAATTCATCAGAAGACAAATTCTCCGGCTGACTAATAATGGGATTAGTTATTTCGATATTATCCATAGTCAAAATTTCTTTTCCAAAAATCTAAAAATGTTAAATTTTGTTTGGTAAACAATGTATAACCTTTTTAACCTAACAATTTCTTCTTTTTAAGTTAATTTAAACCGACATTCTAAGGCCTACGCTTTTATTATTAAACAGTTTAAAATTAAATAAAAGAAGAAATTATCTGTCAAGTCAACTGTCAATAATACGTCAGTTTGACATTTTATCGATTGAATATTGTTTTTATAGTGCATGTTAATTAACTACAACTAATTAATTAAGTAATATATAATTGTTAGCAGCTAAATTTGTACTTATGGAAACTGAAGGTAAGTAATTTTATTCCATTTTACAGTCAGAACAACACCTGCTTTAACATATACTTTTTAAAATTATAAATAGGGCGTTCAAATAATAATAGTTGTGTTGATCTTACGCAAATTTTTAACTTACAATTAGAATAATTAAAGTTCGTACTTTAAGTACAGTTAAAGGTAAATATAGGGCAGAAACTAATTATAATTAACTTCTGTTTTAACAATTGTTTGTTAATTTTTAATTTCTCTTTCAATACTACTGTACTTACCTATTTAAACATTTCGAGTATTATATTTTGAACTGAAAGATACCTTAAAATTTATCATAAATGTATTTATTCTACACAATTTTTGAAAACACAAAACTTCTTGTGTATGGAGATAAGTGTGTGGGCGGCTTCATTAATAATTTAATATTTTATTTATTGCTTCATGTATTGATTCCTCATTTTTTCATGTAATAGGTAATTATGCAGTGCTGTACTGTAGGGCATGCACATTCACAGATTGTATACTTAGTTGAATTCACAAAAAAAAAATATTAAAATATGTTCATCATGCCATTATAAAACAGACATTTTTATTTAGAAAATGGTATTAGAAATAAAATAATATTAGAAGTTTTTAAAATAATAGAAGATGGTAATTTTTTGGTTTGAACGCATTAAAGGTAGTCCGGTCCTGATTATCCCTCAATAATAAAATAGAAATGATTCATAGATAGCTGATGGTTCATCCAGCAATCCATTCATCTGGAACAATGAACCTTTGGAAAAAATGTCCATAAAATATAAATGCAATATATTCTATTTCCGTTCTATATGTATAGTTTTAATTGTATTAACTGGTTCAGTTAACAAAATACGATTTAGCAAGTACGACTCCACCCCTGTCTTGTAGGCTACAGGAAAAATCAATAGCAACTTTAAGGGGTGCGCGGAGTATTCAGAAACTCCCTTCACGACTCCCCCAGTCGATCACCGAAGCTGAAGCTCCTGTAGAATAAAATTTATAGTATATAAAAAAAGAATCTCGCGAAATAAATGATCATTTTTTTATTATGTTATTCAGTCACGATCCTGTAGATTTCATTCGGAGTTTATAAGAAGTTGATTTAATTTTCGTATTCGATGTGGAATTTGTACCAGCTTGGTGAGTGTTCAGACATCTTGAAAAATTTTATCGATAACTGACCCACCTTTAGTAGAAACTAGATTTTTTTATTTCTTTATTCCCTGAAAAATTAGTTCAAAATTAGTTGCAGTAAGGTAATTGGGGGTTTGTATTAGTTTGATTGTGCTTTGAGTCCTCATTTATTTTGATTTTATATGGAATTAAATTCGTACAGAATTGTTAATCCAGTGTTTTTAGAACTTTGCACGTACTGTTTCTGCTATTTTACTATTAGGCATCTGCAAGGTAAAAATCATGAGTAGTTTTTCCTATACATGTAGTAATGTTTTAAAATTAATTCGAAATTATGAGTTTCAAAGGAAAACTTTTCATTTGCATTAAGTTTAGAATTAGAGTACACTTTAAATAATGTATTGTAAACGTAGTGTTATGTAATTTAGTAACAAGTTACATTCAATCATTTTGCGAAAAGATGCATTTTTTATTATATTTACTTTTTCCAAACTAATCTACTTCTGTGTTTATAACGTAATATTTCTAAAGCATAATACGAAGTATAATTGATCAAAAGCATGCTAATTGTATTTATAAAATGTAAAGAATAATAATTAGTAAGGGTTGTTTTCAAATATTCTCCTCTGCTGAATAAATATTTAAGTATTTCAGTTATGTAACTATGTTACTCGCTATGTTACTATTTTAATTAGTTTTTTGATCTAATATCGTAATAAACATAAAATATTTCAAACAATTTGCTGTTTTGCAATGGCAAATTAATTTAAATTGTTTCAACGAAAAATTGATCAATCCAAAACCACCTTGTGTCTAATCATTTTGGCTTTAACTTTTGCATTTTCTGGAACCTTTCTATTTAACATTACATTATTCCCTTAAATAAATGTCGAAACAACTTTTCGATCTCGATTCTTTAGGTGGGCTCATTCGTGTCCACATCTGATATAACTTTACCGATTCTACTTAAGTTCGGCATTTATTGGCCTGGAAAAGATCCATTATCGAAATACGATTTCCTAATGCACGCTATGACTGGAATATTGTACGATACAAAACGAGAATTCCATCATAACATCGAAGTTAAATTTATCCCTTGATCGGATAATCAAATCCCCGATTATAAAATCGAACTTTGGTAATGCCCAAGTAACATTTTTTCGTTGAAATTTATTTGTTTATCTAAAAAAACTTATCTGTATCATATTATTACATTGACAATTTAACCAAAATTTGCTCATAAATTAACGACAATGGTACACATTTTAGCATAGCATAATACTACTTTTCAACTCTCAAAATGCTGTATTTCAACTTCTTGTTTCAACTAAAAATTAACGGATATATTTCAACGATGAAATGAAGTACATTTTTAAAGTTGTACATTAACTGAAGATCATCTATTTTTTACCAGAAATTTATGGAATATTTAAACCTGCAAATCAACAGTTGATTTTTTCCATTGAAATGTAATTCTTTTATCGTTGAAAAAATGATATTTTAGAAATTTAGTTAATGAGGGATAAATTATCGAAGGGCTTTATTTATAGAAATGTTATTTACTTATTTAAGCAAATAATCTAGTTTTTCTCGGTTGATAAATACATTCTAAGGGTGACCTATCGTAATCTGTAGTGTATGTAATCGATTAATTCATATCATTAGGTATTCTGACTGAAATATTCCGTGGCAAAAGACGTCTATTTCTAAAAACAGCACCTAATTTTCATATCTTTGACACCCTCTTAATGTATTAACACCCCATTCTGCTGTCGGAGTTCTCCACTTTTTATCGTCTTCGAGGAAAATAACATTTAGGTATATTTAAAACCAAATATCGCGTGACTCAGCCAACAGCATAATCGAATCCAGACTTCCAGGCGCCTTTCCATTACTGCTTACTGCCATTGATCTGCAGCAGCAGCGAATAATTCCAAAATAGAGGTGGCCGAATGAACTATTTTTAAAAGAACCGATATCTACTAACATTTCCGTTGTAAATTAATGATATATTACAATTTTAAAATATACTTTTTTCGGGCATTGTAATTTAACGATCGTTAATCATTAATTAAAAAAATCTAGATATTTTACTAATGGGTAGGTACAATCAATTTCTATCCAAATTAGCGTTTCATAAAGCATTATGCACAAATTAACCATTTTTAGAAAGCGTTATAATTGGTAATTAGCATTTTAAAGAGTTTGTTGTCTCACAAAAAAACAATTCAAATGGCATGAGAGTATGTGCCAAATACGTACGTGTCTGTTTATACATACTTAATAGTAAATTTCACCAGACTAAGTAACGGTGAGCGCAGCACAAAACAGTGACCGCTGAATAACCGCTCCACCTCATTCCGGAGTCCGTGTATTCGGGTCCGGGCTCTTCCACCGGACTTTTCCAACGTCTCTCCGTTCCGATTGACTCACTCTATTCGCTACTCGCTCGACGTTATATCGCTAATAGTAGTTTCGGGAATTGTCGAAATATTTCTCCGGCGAAATTAGTAAACTTCTTTGCGCTTTTATTGGATCAAACGATTCTGAAACGGGTGTTTTCTTGGCTAAATTGCTTCGCGTCGTTTTAATCCCGCTACGTGTTTTAAAAGGTAGGAATAAAAACGATATAATGGTAAATGGAAACTGATAATTGTTTTTTTTTATTATTACTATGTACGATCAAAATATTCCCTCATCTCCAAAAATTATTGATATGGATTCTGCTCGTAATCTTTTTGGTACTATTTGGGTATTTTCTTTTTGTTGCAGGTAGGAACGAATTTTTGTTACTGGGATGTTGTGTGGTGAGTTCCACAGAGCTCCCATAGGTTTGCATTTGAATAGCGTTTTTCTTTCGGCAAATCCTAGTCCGTATTGCGCTCTACTAACTCTAGTTCGTGGAATGGCTGCTATTACTGCGCAAGCTGTTCACGAAGATGAGGACATTTTTCTTGGTAATGAATAAGTTGTTTTTAAATCGCAATCGGGGTAGTAAGTAAAATGGCTCAAAAGTAATAGGTTCGGCTGGAGTCAAACTAAAGCTAAGAAACTAGACAAATAATCATGTTATATGTACAAGTAAGTTAGTTCAACGTAGAAAATGTGTTTTTAGAAAATGGCCTCTTGAGTTATGAAAATCCGAATTATCGACTAGGGCCTTCTAATCGTCTGGACGATGCCCTGAATTCGAACACCGATAACATTTACGAGAACATCTATCAGGAATTGGACGATATCTGCAACATGGGTCACGGGGTTAAAGGATCTATTACCAGTAATGCCAGTAGGAAAACATACGCTACCTTAGATATAACTTCGATGGGCGTTGATGTCAATAAAGGTCCTGTAACTCAGAATTACGTGGACAACCGGTTAGTTCTTTTTTATACCTACATACTTGTCTAAGCTGCCATTGGTCTGTGTTTTCTGGTGGTCGAACATGTTTGAAATTGTTTACTGTCTGTATCTTTTGCAAACCAATACCACATACTTCACAAAGTCTAATATGTTTTTCACGAATAATTTTTTTTGCCTAACTTTCCAAGTTTTTACAAAATTTGAATTGAATTTTGAATTATTAGTGAAAAACAAATTTAATAACTAATGCAAGGCTTTATCAAATAGTAGTTTGTGTTATCTGTTGTAGGGGTAATGAATGGAATGGAAATTCTATGTCTGATAAGGACCTGAGTGAAAGTTCTACTGTCTGGGAAAAGTATGTATTGTAATAGAATTATTTTGAATCGTTCTTTTACTTTTTTGTGCATCTAATTTAATTTCCTATGCGCATTTTATGTCTGTGGGAGGTTTATTACCATTTCCGGCATTTTAATTCTTCTTTAACTGGTTTCATTATTTTTTTAGTTTATTCGAAAGAAACAAAATAACTAACGAAGACGAGAACGGTATTCAGCACATTGTAGGTAGCATTACGAACGATTTATATGCCGTTCCTATGAAAAAATGCCCCAAGTCGACGGAGCAAATAGATAAAATTAACACGCCAGAAAAGGAATGGGATAGTCAAAACGAATTACCCCCTGGTTGGGAAAAACATGAGGGTATGCATTAAGTTTCATTCTAAAGTATTAGTATATTGTACATTTCTGTTTTTAGATAACGACGGTCCCTATTACTGGCACATAAAAAGCGGAACAATTCAACGAGAAATCCCAGTCGTAGAAAATCACAAGTTAGAAAAATCTAATTCGAAATCGAACGTTAAAGATTCCAATTTAATATCGTCCTTCGAAAGTAATTTATCGGTAACCAGGAGTAGCACTAGCTCGGCTTTAAATTTAGACAGCGACGATAGAAAAAGGAAGGAAGAAATAGCTTTAAAGTGAGTAATTGTAATCGTCTTTTGGATACGTTTAATTGTCCCTTTATTTATTTTCAGGAGAAGGAGTTTTCCTTCAAAGCCAGACCAAGAATGTAAAGAACGCCCTATTAGATTCGCCGTCAGATCACTGGGCTGGGTTGAAATATCCGAGGACGATCTGACACCAGAACGTAGCAGTAAAGCTGTAAATAAATGCATCGTCGATTTGTCGTTGGGAAAAAACGATTTGCTTGACGTTGTTGGGAGATGGGGAGATGTAAGTTTTGTTATTTTCATAATAATTGTTCTTTGGCGTAATTGTTTTGTTGTTCTAGGGTAAAGATTTGTTTATGGATCTAGATGAGGGTTCGCTAAAATTATTCGATCCAGAAAACCTAACCATTTTAAACACCCAGCCTATTCATACAATAAGAGTTTGGGGAGTTGGAAGGGACAATGGCAGGTAAATCAATAATTACAATTAGATTATTTATTAGTAACACCTATTAATACATACATAATTCTTTTTGCTGCCTTTGGATTAACATAGGGAAAGGTAATGATCTTTTTTTCCATTTAACCTTCATAATTTTCTTCCTTATTTTTGCATAATTAGTTACAAGGATAACTGTGTAATTTCAGGGATTTCGCTTACGTAGCTAGAGACAGAACGACCCGAAAGCACATGTGTCACGTATTTAGATGCGACATGCCCGCTCGGACTATAGCTAACACGCTTCGAGACATTTGCAAGAAGATAATGATCGAAAGAAGTTTACAGCAAAACTTAGGCAAAACCGTCGACGTGAACGGTAAATCGGTAGCGACCAGACCAAATAATTTACCGACGGAACACAGACGTCCAGTTAGAAATTCGCAAGTTTTTATTTGTAAGTAATTTTGAACTTGACTGGTTCACTACTACAGAAATTTAGTTTGTTAGAAATGAAGCAGTAAATGTATTTTATGCTTCGCCTGTAGATTTTTAACGATTGGCGTTTATTAATGAATTGCAGCTCAATCTTTTCCAACTCCAATGGAAGAACCAAAAAAGATTCTCCGAGCCCAGTACTTAGGTTGTCTTCAAGTGACCGCAGCTACAGGAATGGATATTCTTAACGAATCGATAGATAGGCTTGTTTCAACAGTGCCAGCTGACCAGTGGCAAACCGTTAATATATCTATAGCACCTTCTATGATCAGTATTCATCATTCTCAAGTAAGTTCGATTTTCAGTAAATTACAATACATTTATTGGAGTATTTTTATCTCGACCTGTATACAGTGTGTAATGTATTTTAATGGGTGATTCTTGAGTTAATTTTGAGTCGAAAAGTTCATATAAAGATATGCCCTCCGAAGTTAGATTTAGCGCCGTACGTTTTTGAAGGTTTTTTTTACAATTAATATTTGTTTCAGGATGATCGGTTACTAGCCGAATGCCGTGTAAGATACCTATCATTCTTAGGTATAGGCAAACTAATCAAACACTGCGCGTTTATAATGCATACAGCACAAGATACTTTCATGGCGCACGTTTTCTATTGCGAACCGTCTTCGGGTGCTCTCTGTAAGACTATCGAAGCAGCTTGCAAAGTGAGTATAAACGAACTACGCTGTATTTAAAAAATGTTGTATGCCAAAATGTTTATAATCTCTGTCACTGTCACGAAGTAATTTACAAAAGTAACGCCAAAACCACACTAAAATTTCAGTTATAAGCATTTAAGATAAGAACTTACTACCTTAAGAATAATTTATCAAGCATATCGTTTCATTCGAAAACAAAATATCATAAATATGAACAAATGAATCAGCAATAAATCAACACACATCGTTACATCCTACGGAATGGTATTGGAGAGCACCATGGTTTGCATAGACGACAGCGATTTTATGAGAAACGAGGATTTCTCGCCGAACCGATTGTACTTCCAGCGATACGCTGTTGCCGAATTGTGCCGCTCCAAAGCGAGATCTCATCCGGAAAACGACGTTGGCCTGTTAACATTGGCTTCGGGCGAAGTACTGGCAACACTAACGAACGATATAGGCCATATCATGATCAAGTTGTACAAAGTCCAACCGAACGGCGAAATAAAATTGATTCACGGTTTAAAATTAGCCCATTTTGCGTTGAAACATCGCGAAGGAAAGCACCATAAGATGCGAATCGTCCTATTCGTAGGGAGCCCGATCGAAAACGAGGAGGAAGAATTGGTCGCAATCGCTAAAAAATTAAGGAAGGAAAAAGTTAATGTAGATGTCGTTGCATTCGGCGAAGAAGCTACTAATTTTAACAAACTTGAAACATTCGTTAACTACGTTAATGGCAAAGAGGGCAACAGTAGTCACTTATTAATGCTTCCCACGGGTTTATCTGCTACTGATGTATTAATGTCTTCTCCCATTATGATCGGCGAGGATACGATGCAGCCTCATAGATATGAATTTGATGATCCAGAAGAAGATCCAGATTTAGCAATGGCTCTTCTTATATCGATGCAAGAGTTCCGACAAAGAGAAGAGGAAGAAGAAGGCAAAGTATTTACCTCAAACGAAAACGTACCTGAAGAAAATCAGTTAATATCACTTCCTAATGCAACTAATGTTGCGGAACAACCGGAATGGGATTTGCAAAAGCTATCTACCGAAAAAGAAATTAACGCATTTAGTTCAAATGGTAATGATTTTGCAACGTACAGTATCGAAACTTTAGAAGAGATCGAATTATTGAAAGCCCTTTTAGAAAGTGTTCCAAGTTCTGATCCTAATACTGTAGCAGTAATTCAGGTTCTTGATGAGATGATAAGAGTGTTGAAAGAAAAGCAACGAACAGACGAGGAAGGAAAAAATAATAAAGAGAATGACGATGATGATGAAAATAAATTATAAAAGTATATTTCTGCGCATAAAAACTTTCTTATTTTAAAAATAAATGTAATTTTAAACTTCTACATTAAAGGGAAATAACTGATCTTTGTTTTATTGAGCAAGTTATTTACCAAACAAATTTGCTTGGTTTAAGATATAAATGTTTTGTGTTCCCTTTCAGCTTAGGTATCAAAAATGCCTCGACGCTCATCCCCAAAGTTTGGGAAATCCCAACACTAATGTACATACGCCTGGCAGCAGTATTGGAGCAGCTTTGAAGTCAATAGTGGGTTCACTGCGAGGAAGAAAAAGCAAAAGTGCTGAATCTTGAGATGAATTCACACATTTGCAGGTACAGCTTCTACCCGTTTAAACTGCAGTTGAATCATGTGGAATCCTTATTAATATTTGCTGATTGTTTCAGGACTCCGGCACGGATTCATCTGATCGAGACGTGATCAAACAAAATCACCTGCAATCACCTTTAAAGCAAAAGTATTTTAGTACTAGTACCCCTCCAAGTGCGAATCTCGATTCGCTACTTTCACCTAGTATGGTAGCGAAATGCCCTAGTCTCTCTCAATATTGGGAACCTCTTTAACTGACTGTTTTCAATTGATGTTTCTATACTTGAGGAGCATATGTAGATTAAGGTATAACTAAATATGAAATTGTTGAATCTCGAATAAGGTTATTTTTATGGGTTTTTGCAATAAGAGGTTTGGCAGAAAATTGAGGAATTATTTTTTGCTGTAAGAGAAACATTAAAATAAATGCAATACAATGTAACTGCCTGTTTTTTGGATAAAACTAGTTTTATTGTTGCTCTCTAGTACAAGGGCGCTGCTACATTTGATCAGATCGAAATTAATACTCGATCATTTACGTCTTTCTATCTGACCTCTTGTAATACATCGGAGATTAAAAGAATTTCTTAAGAATTTGTTAATGAATCCACAGTAATTTCAATGAAAAATGGAGCATTCTCAACCATGAATTAAGTACTCGTGAAGCTTTTGCTTTGGCCAAGTACATTTATGCATGCAAATGAATAGAAAAGCTTAGTCATTTTTCATTAGATTTGCTGTTTACACAATATATAAATAAATAAATAAGCGATATTCGATTGTTGGGTATACATTAGTGATTGAATGTTTTCAATAGCTTTAACTATGATGGATAAACTACTATATACAAAGTTATGCCGATTATCGCATGCTTTTTTAATACAAGAAGCTCTTTTAATCTTATATATAACTTATTTTTCTATTGTACTTAGTAGAAAAATGTATGTTGTCGGTTAATGCTTTGTTATATATTTAATCATAAGACTTCTCAATTTATGCAAAATTAGATTGAATTTCAGCAAAAAAAAATGAATATATAACAAATGGAATTTTAACTGTCTACTCTGAATTGTTAATAATATTCATTCCAAACGTGTTTCAAATGTCCATGACCAATTTTATTAAGTTTTATATTAATTGATACCATAATTTCCTAATAATGAAATATTTATTAACATTCTAATATAATGTTCTTTCGTTTTAACCACAATTATGAGATTTAAGAGAAATTTAAATTATCCTAATTAATAAAAGCATGAAGCTAACACTTTATATGTACAACTTATTAATTTGTAGTTTTCTATACTGGACAAGTAAATTCAGTATATTCGTTTTACTTGCTAATAAATAATTTTGGGTGACCATTCAACAGTAAAATTTTTCATTTTTATAATTATTGAGTTCAATATTTTTCAAATCGAATTAAGTTATTAAAAAAGACTTTACTACAAATATTTTTTGTTCACAATCTAGTCATTAACAATACACATATACCAAAGGAAAACTATATTATATATTAATTGTAGTTCTTCGGGTCACCCAAAAGGTTCTTAAACTATTTATACATTATTTCAAATAGTTACAGAGACTTTTCTGCTTTATAAAAATGAAATGAATATATAGTCTATTGTGGAGCTTGATTATTTCGCAGTAAATAATCCGTAAATAAAAGACCTTCCTGTTTCCATATCTATAAATCTTAATATGGTACAAAATAAATCATTTTGCCAGTGAAAGTAATCTATAATTTTGTAAGAATCTTATTTTTACTCAAATGTAATTCACATAGTGTTAATTTGTTAGTAGTATTTTTGATGTTTGCACTTATCTTTAAGGAATTATTTAATTTTGTCAGTGGTGCTACGTGCTTTATGATATCCATATACAAAATAAGACTGCCGTAATGAATATCAATGATTTAGATGAAGGAAGCTTTCTAGAATACTATTTGAAAGAATTGGAATTTCCTAAACTTATTAAAAATAAATATAGTATTACATATTTTTTCAAGTTAACAATATTTGAAGTAATTCTATTTCAATAACTTGTAAAATAATTGTTGTTTTGTGTTACATATTTCGGTATTGTAAATTTATAAGTTGATAAATGCAAACTTTATCTTAGGCAAATTATACGTAACTGCAGGACAATTTCATATTTAAAAAAATAATAAAGATGTTAGAAATATGTGCACTATGCTATTTTGATTTTTCTTGCTTGAAAATGAAAAATGGTATAACGCTTGTTTTCTGATTTCTCCAAGAGCACCAGGAAAATTGTTAATGATAATAATTGTGTGGTAATAACGTACGTGTATTATTATGTACATATTTTCAAAAATGCTACTAAGACTGCTTAAAGTTCTTTATATCTGCTTAGTGAAAGGCAACAAATTAAATAATTTTTTATTGACTTTTTGTTTTCATACATATATCCAATATTCGAATTATAACTTAACCAAATCCATTCGACTCTCAATGAAATAACATAACGATGCTGAAACACCACATTTACAAATTCGTCTATTTACATTAAAAGATCCAATTTTTGTGTGACAATTAGGACAGTCGATTCTTTTCCTATCAGTGTTGTTTCCAATATGCTCTAAAATCCAATAGGGTCGATTCCAAGAATGAAGACCAAAATAAAATATCCTTCCAGATTGGTTGTTTTCACTAATATTTTCACAATTGCAATGCTCGATAATTAAATTATGTATTGCGTTATTATCGAACAAAACTTGCCTGCACTTTTTACATTTAGCTTCTTTGTATAAATCGGAAATATAATACGATTGCGCCATATTTCAAATTAAATTAATAATGAATAACGACCAGTATATGGTATGGGGTAATTTTGTAGTTCAGTTGCCATATTTCTGCGCATGCGCCAATTTCGTGAGATTTCTCAGCTGACATCGTCAAAATTTGTACATTGTTGCCAATGTGCACTTAATTTCATCGAATAGAGCGAAATAATTAGAATAGAATAGTAAGAAATTAGTAATTATAATGATTATAATTAAAAGTTTAATGGAGTTGATAGGAAATTAAGGAAGAGGAAGGAGAATAAGGAACATATTTAAAAAAATTGTTTATTTGAATCCACCAATGAATATAAATGAATGTAGTCAGTTTGCTGTCCGATTGTTATATTGAAATTCAAATAAATAAAAAGGAAAAGGGTCTTGAGAAGTACCGAATTGTCACTTTAGCTTCCGCTTTGCCCGCATCCACATATTCTCGATATTCTGTTTATGAACATCGGGATCATTAAAAACTTACTGCACAATCAATGCCGACAATGTTTCCTGTGTCCTGTCGGGCACCTCTACCAGGAAGCATCTTTTGGAGCATCTTTCTATTCCACCAAACACCCAACGCCCGGGGCGCACTGCTCCCCGGTTGTACTTCCGTTTAAAGAAGTACGACTCGTCAATCTCCACAATTTTTGGGGTACGGCATCATTGAAACGACGACACACGGCTCTGCAAAAATTGCTCCAATCGACGACCTTCTGTGTTTGGTTGATCCTTGCGACGCGGGCTATGTCCTCCTGGGACTGATCCATGCTCCACTCGTGCAATATTACCAACATTTGGGACAACTTCAGATGACTATCGTGTAAGAAGCTGCCCCTCCTGATGGTAACACGAGTGTCGCATATTCGGCATCGCCATGCGAAGCCGTCCACCCCATTCTTCTTTACCCTGGACATGGGGATCTACAAGTGACAATTATTAATAACTATTTAACAATCTTAAAAAGCAATACTTACGTGACAGACTTCGCATTCCCGAGAATTTGCCAGAAGGCGCCTTTTCGCCAGCCACTGTATCACAGTTAATGGATCCCCCTGAGGCAGTTCCATCAAATGATGGTCTTCCTGCCGTACTTCACACGGGGACCACAAGGAATAAAACACCTCTCTATCTAGCAGCCTTATTCTTTTCAAATGCGGTTAAAAATACAAATATTTAAAAATATTGAGGTTATTTTTTCTTCTTTTTCCTTACACATCTACTTTGCTAACAAAAATCACTGTAAGTTTTATTTCATGAATTCTCTTTACGAGTTTCAAAAACTCTTTTTGTATTAACTACATAAATCATGAAACTATTTTATTATATTATAATAATTATATTTTTAATAAAATTTTAATTTTATCAATATTTCCATTTGCACAATCTGGCAACAATGTACAGATTTTGACGCTGTCCGATTCGATCGCTCTCTCTCTCTTTTTAACTCGCAGGAATAGACAAGGACAGAAGTAATTCTTCGTTTAATTTATAAGAAATAATTGACCTCAATATTACTAGTTATTAGTAGCGACAGATGGAGAGAATGGTCGCGTTCATCCGTGCCACTTGCTACTTGAGCGATCAGGTAGCGATTCCGATGGCGCGGATGAACGCTTGTTTTGACAGTTTTGCTACCTGATCGCTCAAGTAGCGGACGCCATCTTTTGGATCGTAAAAATTTTATGCTCAACGCTACCTGATCAGTGATCACTTATTTCCACGTGGTGTTTTGTAGGGTTCGGTTGTGTGTTGACTGGGGATTTATGTCAAAAATGTCAAAGTTATGTCACAAAATCGCGTTCATCCATGCTAGATAGCGCTACCTGATCGCTCCCTGAGCGATCAACTAGCGATCAAGTAGCGCTTTTTTCGGAGTGGCACGGATGAACGCGACCATTTTGACTTTGACATACGCTTTGGTGATTTAAACTAAAGCTACTGTAGTTCAAATGCTTACATGTTTGTTTTGTAAGTTAAAAATCGTTTTTCTTGAAAATATTAGACAAATTTTCGAATAAAAATGCTGTTTTCGGCTGAAATAACCGATTTTAAAATAATATACAATGTTTTGAAAGCCATAGCTTTCAAGGATGTAAGTCATATAATTTTTGTTGAAAATATTCTTGTTTGAATAAAACTGTTTTTCAGAATATATTATTTAGACCTATGGAAGAAGGATTGAAATTGACTCTAGAGGAAATGAATTACATAGAAATATCTATATACATTCCTAGTTCGATATTCTCCTCGTACAACGTAGATTCCAACGATGAAATCATATTCAAAATAAGTCTGAAAAAGTTTGTCGAAGTATTAAATATGTTTGGAGATGAAGGAAACCCGAACATTAAATTAACATACGCTTCCACGGGAGCTCCTTTATGTATAGTATTGTAAATTTTTATAAATTTCAAGCGAATTTAACATTTTACAGGATGTTTGTTGCAGAACAAACAGTAATATCGAAGAGAACATTACAGTCGATTGTGAAATTCAAACACTCAATTTACACGATTTTCACGACATAAGTTTGGCGGAAGAATGCAATACCAATAAAATCGTAGTAAATGCAAGCATTTTAGTCGAGCTACTAAGCAGATTAAACAATTCAGCGGATGAATTAAAAGTAACTTTGAGTCCGGATCAACCGTATTTTACTCTAACCGCAACCGGTATATCTGTAAGCACTTAACTACGAATTAATATTCCATAACTCAAAAACGATTTTTTTAGGGGAAATCTGAAGTAAGCATTTCGAAAAATTCGCAAGAAGTAACTGTTTATCAATGCCAAACCACAACATCGGCAGTGTATTGCTTCAACAACATTAAGCATGTATTAAAAGTGATGGCGTATGCTGATAAAGTTTCCATTTCAACAGGAGAATCCGGATTGTTAAGGCTACAATTAGTTATGAATTCCGAAGATCGTCAAATGTTTGTTGAATATTATGCAACTTCTCAGTATATGTGATAGGTTTCAAGGTTGCCAGATGGTAGAATTTTTCCCTAAATTTTCATACATGATGCCTCTAGTGAAGAGCCCTACTCTCCACATGTAGATAACAAATTTTCTACAAAACTAGTTTAAATAAACCAATTAATTTATTTGTAGACGAGTCTATCTGTGATTATATTGTATAATTTTTATTTATCAACCAAAAGAAACCGACGTAATTTGAATAAACATTTTAGTACATGTTTACAAAACAAATATCAATATAAACATTAAAATTTGCAACAATTAATTTGGTTGTATAAAAAACTGGACAAACAAGCTTGAAGCAGTTTTCGAATTTGTTTTGATATAAATTCCCACTTAACGGGGAATTATTATTGACCGCAGGCTCGACTCGATAATTTGCTTAAATATTGGAATTTATAAGTAAGTTCATTAGTTTATCATTCAACAGTCTCGATACATCTTAAAATGAGCAGCGCCCATAAATTGATTACATCATTCCTATTAGTTTTATTTGATTTGTTAGTCGCCACCGCCATTGGTAATTATTGTTTAATAATTATTGTTATATTCCTTGCATATTTTTAATCAAAATCTATGTGGATTCACTCGTTAAGATGTTTATTAATTTCAAGTCTGGCCCGCAAAATGCCCTGAAATAGTGCCGAAACAACGCTGGGACGGGCGGGCTGCCTTAACGGTGAATTATACCATCATTCCTGTAGAATATGTGATAGTCCATCATACTGTCACAAATGAATGCATCACAACAAACGGCTGTTCCTCGGTTGTCAAGAGTATCCAGAATTTCCACATGGATGAGTTAGATTTTCACGATATTGGATACAAGTAAGCATTATTTACTACGAGAATTTTGGTACCTTAAATGAACATCATGTCATTAAATTTTGATAAATACATTTTTTTTTATTTTATGCGCAATTATTTATTTTTTAGTTTTTTAGTTGGAGGAGACGGTAAAATTTACGAAGGGGCAGGATGGCACAAAGTAGGAGCCCATACTAGAGGCTACAACAGCAAATCCTTGGGATTGGCCTTCATTGGTGATTTTTCGAGTAAGTCGGATAATTCTTTAATTAAAATAATGCGTTTTCGTTTAATTTCTTTATGAACTAAACTTTTTGTCTACAGAAAAGTACCCGCCCAGCGCCCAGACGGCAGCAGGATTAAAATTCATAGAATGTGCCCTGGATGCCGGTGAATTAAGAGACGATTATAAACTTCTAGGAGCGAAGCAAGTTAGTCAGACTGTTAGTCCAGGAGCATACTTATATCTTCAAATAAAAGGCTGGCCTAATTACGCCTCATCTCCTTAATATGCAATCAATGATTTTAAAATGTTAGTTTCAGTGAAACATACTTGGAGTTGTTTTTTAAGTAACAATCAAATGTTATTAAAAACTGATTTATTAAGTAAAGTTGTGTGTACATATTTACCTCTATTTTCGTAAATTATTTATTCACCGGTATTAGATGCTTGTATATAAGATAATAAATGAATAGGCCTGCATTAAAAGTTGCTCGTTGTGAATTTTCTCTAAAACTTTGTTATAGCGTCCAGAGTGAGCCAATTATATAATTTGCGAATTTATCCAATCATTTATAATTCTCGTTATTTTTTCCAAATTTTCTCCAAATAGAATAGTAATGTGATCGCCATTCAATTTTGTAACTTCAACAGATTTGCAGCACATCTAAAACCAATTAAATCACATTTTTTTATTCATTAATTTAAATTTTTGATATCGCTTTGATGCCACATTAAACAGTACCTTCTGTAACCCGTAGTCATCATTTTCAGCTTCAGGATTGTCCAATCTTCTAATAAGTTTTATATTTCCTGTAAATTTCGCGCTCGGTTGGTAACGAAACGATGCCTTGCACCTGTTGAAATAGTGCTCCCCGGCGTTTTTGATAACATCAAAATCGAGTCCGGTTTCTCCAGAAATCGATTCAAAAATCGACGCCATGCTGTCTTCAGGCTTCCTATGTCGATTCATGATGGATTTTATCTGGTGAATATTAATAATAACATAAAAACAGGTGTAGTCAAGCAGAAATCGTAGATTATACTCCGTTCGTTATCGGGGTACATTCTAGTTACAATACAAACTAACCTTATCGAGATCGACCTGTTTAAACAGCGCTGGGAATAACCTGACAATTTTCTGCTTCATTTCTTCTTCGTTTCGAAAAACTCGCCGAGCATAATCCGGCGCCCCGTCTATGAGCACGAGCTCGACGCGCTCCTTTTCCCTTTCCAATTGCAATGCGATTTCGAAACCTAGGGTACATCCGTAGGAATATCCGCACATAAAATAAGGCCCAGTCGGTTGAACGGTCCTCATCAACTCCAAAAAGTACTCTGCAGTGTCTGGGATGGTTTCACGTCCACTCTCTTTAGTGCATTGCAGGCCGTACACGGTGGTGGACAATGTCTTAGCCAAAGGAACAAGATAATGTAGGTACCCTTCAATGGGATGTATCATGAACAGGATGATTTTATTATCGATTCCTGCGTCGTTTAATTTCACCAAAGGTACTTCGGATAAAAGCGGAGGAGGGAAGTTTTCCACGATTTTATGCTTGATTTTATGATTCTTTTGCATGTCGGCTAACTTTTCGAACGTTAAATCTCTGATATCTTCTAAATTAATGTCCAATTGAAATTGCCTGTATAAAGCGTGCTTCACTTCGGCCGCCAATAACGAATCGAGGCCCAGTTGGGAGAGCTTCGCTAGCTGACTCACGCTGTCTGCAAAACGAAAATTATTATACTATCGCGCAATTAATAGTATTGCAAAAAATTTACTGATATCTTCTATTCCCAAAACCTCGGCGACACATTTAGCAGCCGTTTTAACGGGTAAATGCGGTTTCGCAGCAACGGTTTCTTTCTTCTTTCTTAGAGCTACGCTCGAGCCTACCGCTACCTCCTGTAGCAGGAATTTTTCTAGTGTACCCAAACAGGAACTTATCTGCTGCGGCACCATATTGAACAAATCCTAAAATTAATTTTTATCGTGTAAAACAAGCCCAACGCCACGCTATTAAGGGTTAAATTACCTTCTGTTCGGCACGTGTAGAAGATAGAAACCCAACTTCTCCGATGGGGCCCCATTGTACAGCCAAAGCGGGCAGATTATCGGCCCTTCTCCTTCTGCAGAGGCTCTCCAACGCAGAGTTCGCCATGGTGTAGTTCGTTTGACCAATGTGGCCTCTGCCAGCCCACACCGTCGAGAACACCACGAAGTGGTCCAAGTGGGGGCAATGCTTTCTACTAACCGCGTCCAAGTTTCCGCCGGAGATTATCTTCGGCTTGAAGGCCTCCACGAAACTGGCTTCGGTTTGATCGACGAAATTGGCGTCTTTTAGCACCATCGCTGCGTTGAATATCCCTGGAAAAAGTTCGTTATACTCGCAGGAGGTCGCAATAAAACCATCTCGAAGCAGTAAGCATACATCATTATTGAAAACCCTGTATAGTAAAGTAGATAATTACCTCCGACGGGCGCGATATTTTCGGCTGATTGTACCAATTCCTCTGCTCCTTCCAGCGTTGTGGTATCGCTTAAATTGATTGTCAAATCGATTTGTCGAAGTTGCAGCCTTTTCCGTAAGCTTAGCATTTGGTAGCCGTTCGAAATGTTCCTTCGGGCGTTAAGGATGATTTTCGTAGCTCCTTTGGCGATTAACCAGTTGGTTAATTCTAAACCAATGCCTCCCAGGCCTCCGATTACAATGTACGTTTTGTCAGGGTTAAAGTATAAACGAGGGTAGGCGAGTATAGGTTGATGTAAATTTTCTGATTGTATTTTTATTGCGATTTTACCGATGTGTTTTTCTGATGATAGGTAATTAACGGCAGCCTCGATTTGCGTAGAATCGAAATTTGTGGAATGTATGGGTTTCACTTTACCGAATTCTATACCTAAAATTTTCATTAATTGTGTGTCTAGTTAAAAAGGGATTATAAGTATATCTACCTTCTTTAATTAGATGATGAATTCGTTGTTTAATCTCGGAGGGTTCTTCGAAAATGTCTTCCAAAGTTATTTTATAGAATTGATAATTATTGAAGAACGTGTTTAAATCTAAGCGGGTTTCGAGAGATCGATTTTCACCGTGAAAATCTAGAAATATTCCTTTCTGCGACAAACAATTCAAGGAAACTTCCAAATGCTCTTCTCCTAAATTGTTTACAACGATATCCACCCCTTTGCCTTTCGTCTGAGTTTTTATTACCTGTTCGTAGGAAAAATCACTCGCTATTCCTACAAAAATTATTAATTATTTCCAATTGTATGTTGAAGTGTAAATATACCTATATGTGCAGTGACTAATTCGGGATACATTCCCTTCAAAATTTCTTGTTTTTCCGAATTACCAACAGTAGCAAAAACGGATCGGGTCAAACTTAGAGCTATTGCTATGGCAGCCAATCCGATATCTGAAGTAGCATCGTGAATTAAAATCGTACTATCTTTCCTCATGGATCCTTTTACAATTAATCCATAGATGCACTAAAATTTATAATAGAACAAAATAGGTTATAGAGTTTTCGAATTAAATTTATTTTAGATATAGAAGTAGATAATATAGTAACCTTAGTATAAGCTAATGGAACTGTGGCAGCTTCTTCTAGAGTCCATTTATTGGGAACATCCCAAGTGAAGTCCGGATGAGATGTAAGTTGTAAACTGAAACTTCCTTTATCTACAATTCCCATTACTTTTCTATTTGTTTCAGTTACACCCGAATATTCCAAGCCGAAGTTGAACTCTTCTGGAGCTTTACCGATCAAAAACAGCTTGTCTCTCGGATTGATGGTGGAAAAATGCACATTAACAATCTCCCCTTTCGATTCTCCTCTGAAAATAAATTCAAAACTTCATTTATTTAAATAAATAAATTTAATGTAACTTACTGTAAGAGAGTAGGTTTTTCAATCCAACACAATGTTGACCAATCGTCTGGAATTCTCAAACCTATCGAGGCGTTTTTACACTGCCTAGGCGCAAGTTCCATAGAAGGTAAGTGAACGAACGTGCCCCATTGACCGCCCTGCAGGAAGCTCAAAGCTAGACCTTTAGCGATTTGCTCTCTATAAAACCCATCGTCTACTGAGAATATATCGGCATTTTTATCGTTTATTATAACAGCGTTGAATTCGACTCGAGCCTCTTCGGCCATCAGGCATTTCTGCAGGCCTATTATTCCACTGTAATCGTCGCTTTGGCTGAATAACACGATGGTCTTTTGCTCGTTGTTTACGATGTGATTTTTCAGCTTTTCCAGCCATTTGAAGTCGGCTGTTCTGATGTTAACGGTGTTGTAAGACTCGGGGAAATTTCGTTTCGGGCGCAATAAGGATACGTTAGGCGTTTTGAATATTGTTTCTGTGTATTCCAAGCATATTTCGTTAGGGTTTCCGGTGCAGAGAAGAAACCCGTTTTCGTTTAATAGCGTCGATAATAACTTGGAATCGATTTTTTGCAAATTATTCACGTCTGTTAGTATTATTTGGAATGTTTCGTGTGCGTCGTTTATTGGGATGTAATTCACTTCGGTCATCACTTGATCCTTAAGAATTTCCTTCACTTGTGTAGTTAATTTCTTCGAATTTTCTTCTACTAGGAACTCTCCTACCAAGAGTTTCTTGATTAATCCGGGGGTGTTTTGTATAATTATTTGCAGTGCGATTCTAAGGGAAGTTTGTAAATCGAATTTATCGTTATCGGGCGAATCGAAAGCGACAAATTCGAACGTTTCTTGTAGAACGTCCGGTTGGGGTTTTTCCTGTAGAGGAATTTTCTTGAATTTTACCCCACAAATTTCTATAGCGTTGGTTTTCACGACGTTGCAATGCGGGTCTCTGGTTACTCTAATAGCTGAAATATTTGTAAGTACATTTAAATTTACTTAAATAACTTTTTGCCTACCTTTTTGTCGAGTTTCCTGCGTGTGTGCAGCAGGATCGATAACGACTCTTTTGATTTCACAGGGGATTAGAAAGCATCTAGAAGTATTATCTAGTAATGATAATTGTAGCATGGAATCTAAAAAGCTGGTGTAATTATCGAACCATTCGATTTCCCCATTCAATCCGTCCACATCGCACTTTATTATTCCTTGAAACTCGTTAAAGTAGTTGTATTTTCTCAAATGGGCCTCCTTGTAAAAGTTCTCTCTAGTTACAACTGGGGAAAATGTATCGATGTAATGGTAATCGAGTGAAGTTGGGTTGTAATTTACCTAATTCCGATCGGGTGTTTTCGATATATTTATATTTGAATTCGCTGTTAGCATCTGAAGTGAATCGGATTGTTCCTAGGACAACAGCCACACCGGCGTGTACCACTTGGAAATGCCCGGACTCTTTCATGATGCTCACGAGGAATTCGGTGTTCCCGTCTTGCGTTAGAGTTACCGATTCTTTAAACTCCACACGTTCAAAAACCACTGGTAAGGTGGAGTCCGAGTGGGTTTCGGAAGCTAATTTCCAGACCATGCACTTAAAAAAGAAGAAAAATTGTGTAACAATTTATTAGTTTAATTTATTAGTTGTGGAAATCATACCAAAAATCCGGCAGCAGGCATCACGATTTTGCCGTTGATAGCGTGGCCCTTCAGGTACTTGTGCTTTTCTTCCGAGAGGTTTATGGAGATTATTTTACCGGAGGAATCGGAGTTTTTCCAGTACGGTACGAACCAGGAGGTTTTGTGCTCCCATTGCACCATGTGCGATAAGGACTGGGCGTCGTGATTCACTGGAAATGATATTTCATCGTAGAGTTTTCGAAGGTTTGGTTGCCCGCCGGCGTTGAATAATCTGCGAAGTAAAAAAATAATTATTCTTCACCATTTTCACCAGAATTAAAAATTGGTTCGTGATTTTTTCTTTCATGTTTCACGATTTACAACAAGTTTTTCACGAATCTAAGAAGCAAATTTTGATTTTCCCTCCTGTATACAGGGTGTCTTATAAGTGATACTTTTTTAACTGCGTATAGATCTTTTAATTCTAAGCAACTTTTTCAAGTTTTTTTTTAATATTCTGGAAAATAAAAAAGATGGAAATTTTTAATATTTCTTTAAATTTCGAATATTTTCCAATACGTACCTGCCATTACCATACAGGTGTCAAAAAAAATAATAAATAATGACAAAAAATTAATTTTTCGATTGTTGTATTGAAAATGGCTCATTTTTATACAAATAAGGAATAGGTGAACATGCTGATTATTTATGTAGAATGTTTCCAAAGCGTTTCTAATAAAAATGGCGAGAATTTTAAGCAGTTCCTTTAATTTTTAATGAACAGGACCGTATTAACTAACTTTTTAATAGTCAAAAATTGAAAAAAAACTCACCTTCCAAGAGCCGTTAAAAGACACTCCTCTTGATTTCCAACAGACCTATCCAGCAGGCTGATTACCGTATTTTCCGGTCCCAATTCCTTCTTAATAACCGACTGCAGTATCCCGTTAGGCGATATTTCCACGACGATCGCGTTCGGCTGGATCTTCTCGTAAATGGCGCTGAAATGCACGACGTTCATGTAATTATTGGCGTGGTATTTGGCGCAATTGTAGTCCGCCCAATCCCCGTACTCTTCACCCGGCGTCAGGGACGTGCTTATCCACTTTTCCGATCGACGACGCGGCTCCGGAATGACTTTTCCAACGAAATCCAACATGTGCCTGTCGGAGTCCATTAAATATTTCGAATGGAAAGCGATTCTATCGGTGTAAATCAGCTTGGCCGGGACGCCTTGCTTCTTCAGTTCATCTACAAAGTGTCGCACCGGTTGTTCCAGGCCTGTGATGGTGGCGCTGGTTTTTCCGTTGCGACAGGCGATGTAAACGTCCCGAGGAAGCCGCTTTTCCAGTTCCTCTATGGGAAATCCAACGGCAGCCATTTGCCCGAGGGGTAGTTTCTGTTGATTCACTGCGTGGTATTTCGAATACGCCAGTAATATCGCCTGCTCGGGTGTTAGATCGCCGTTTGCGTAGGCACAACCTGTAGAGAATATGTGGAATTGAAACGCGGGGAATTCCCATAAGATTAAAGGTGTAGTATTTACCTACTTCCCCCAAAGAGTGACCGGCGAAATAATCGGGTTTAACACCTATGGAGGCCAATAGATCGGTTAAAGAAATGCTTATGGCTAGTATAGCTGTGAAGCAATTTCCGAGGTTCTCCAGAGCGTTCTCAGGAGGATTCATGATGGTCTGCATTAAATCCACTCCGTACGGTTTAACGGCTGCGTCGCAACGCTCGAAAGTTTCCCTAAACGCTCTGATGTTCATCAAATCCCTGCCCATTCCGGGCCAATGGGAGCCCATTCCGGAATAAATGAACCAAATGGGCCTCTTCCCCGGTTTGCAGTAAGCGATTTCTTGCGTACTGTTCGGTCCTATTACGCTGTACCCTCTGAAGAAGTGTCCGTCGATGTTGAGTTTATGAACTTCGTCGAGCAGGCTCAGGAAGTCCTCGTCGTTTCGGTTCTGATGGATTTGCTGCAGGAAATGACCCACCGCCTCCTCGGTGCGCCCGGAAACTTGAACTAACCGGTATTTCCTGCTGATGTTAGGCTTGCCTTTGAGCTCGGCGAAGGGCTTGAGGAGGACGTGAGCGTTGGCTCCGCCGAATCCGAAGGAATTGATCGCAGCTATCCTGGGATTCCAGAACAAGTTTCTCGTTACAATCTACAAATCAGCACTGTAGTCGTAAATTATTGTAATGTAGTGGATGCGTACTTGTAATTTTTTATCACCAATGCCAGGTAAGCTCTCGTCAATGGGATCCATGTGGATGTTGGCCGGTAAAATTCCTGTTTTCATAGCAATTAATACTTTAGTCATAGCCGCGAGGCCGGAGGCGGTTTCGCCGTGACCCATGTTGGATTTGACGCTTCCAATCAGTAGAGGTTTCTTCCTGTCTTTGCAGAACATATCCACTATCGATTGGCATTCGATAATATCACCTATTCTGCTACCTAAAATATTATAAATATATCTATTTTAGAGTTTTTTTGAAGAGTAATGAATTTACCAGTTCCGTGCATTTCAACATAATTCACTTCATTACTCTGCACGTTGACCTCCTCGTACAACTCCTGCATGAGCTTGAGCTGCATCCTCGCCGACGGCACGGTGTAGCCCTCCTTCACGTACCCGTTGGTGTTCGTTTTGCAACCCAACACCGTCGCGTAGACCCTCCTGCAGGTGCTCCTCTTCTGCAGGAAGTAGCAGCAGACGGCCTCCGATCTGGCGAAACCGTTCCTCTCCCTATTGAACACCTTGCACTTCCCTTCGGGCGAGAGCATGCTCAGCTTGTTGTACAAGGCGCTTTCCTCCGGGTGGAGGCCCACGTGCGCGCCGCCCACGATGGCGAACTGTATTTCGCCTCGTTTTAAATAATCGTAGGCTTGGGAGAAGGCGTAGAGGGAGCTGGAGCAGCCGGTGTCCAGGGCGTAGCTGGGGCCGGTTAGATCGAAGCAGGAGGATATCCTGTTGGCGGCGCTGACGTGGCTGATGCCTAAAATGGAGTAGCCGGATTCGTCTTCGGCGGTGGTTTCGGTGAAGTTGGTGAACAGCGACATTCCCACGATGACTCCTTAAATTCGTGTGAATGAAAGAGGTGTTATGGTTGGTTTTGGGTGACTAACCGGTTTTGGTTCCTTTTAATTCTGCGGGGTTGTAGCCGGCGTCTATGATGCATTCGTAGGCGGTTTCTAGGAGGATTCTCTGGCGGGGGTCGGTGAAATGGGCCTGCTTGGAGTGGAGGCCGAAGAAGGCGGCGTCGAATTTGTCGATGTCGGGGACTTTGCCTTGGCGCTTGGGCAGGCCTTTGGCTCCTAAAGGGGCGAGTTTCGAAATTTATGGAATAAATTAGTGGTGGTGTTTTACCTGCTGGGAATCGTCGGTCGTCTTCACTCATTAGATCGTCGCCTCTTAAGAGAGCTCGTTGGAATTCATCGATGTTGCGGCATTCGGGAAATCGACCGGATATTCCCGATATCACGATTTCTTCTTGGGCGTTCATTTGGGAATATTCTTTTAAAGCTTTAATCTGGTACAAACAGAACAGACACGAATCGAGTGAAATAATTGGGTTTACAAGATTAATTTGTTTATATACCTGTGGCTTAACGCATATACAACGTATGTAAAATTATTCAGGAAAATTCGACAATACACGTATTTAATTAATTACTGTAATTTGGCGATTTTATCAGGCATTTGTAATTCAATTCATTCGAATTACGTGTAATAGGCTGCAGCTACTTAGAGATGTGCTTTATACAGGGTGGTCAAGATGTAGTAAAATTAGTTAACCTTTTAATTTACAAAAATTATTAATTTAATAAATCATTAATGATAATACGCTAAGTATACAAGGCATTTTTTTAATAAAAGGCGTTGTAATTGAATTTAGCGAGAAAACTCAACAATAAAAAATGATTTTTGTTATTCCTCTCTAAATAAGTGCAATTGAATAATTAAATTATGGATATTTTAAGGACCTCGTATTAAATGATAACAGTATGTAGGTATTTTATCAATGCGAAATCAAAAAAACCTAAAACGATATATCTAATTAAATTAATTATTAGTTAACGTTAGAAAATTACACAATATTTTCATGGAAATGACGTCCATTGTTTCGATTTGTAAAATTTGTAGTAATTCATCAAATACCATTACATTTAATTTTTTTCATTAATTAAAAATGATATAAACATTTTAATTTCAATAGATGAAATCAGTTTTTTTGAAAGCAAATTAGTATAAATTAACCCGGACGAATTATTTAATGACTAAGTACATTCTCTATTAGACAACACATTTACATAATTATTTACTTCACCTGTCTTCAATATTTCGTAACGCTTTCCCACGGCCCATTTTAAGTTTTGTTTTATCAAAAACCTGCAATTAATACTCCCCTAAAGCAGGCCGCGCACTGAATCGACTCGGAACGGTCGGATCGGAAAAGAGCGTTCGGAAGAGTTTGGTACATACGAAAATAAATGCAGTACCGCGCACTCAATCGGAACGATCGGATCGGAACGGTCGGATCGGATCGGAATCGTCAGAGTATTCTCGAAGGGGCAACTTTTCCGAACGTTCCGAAGGTCTATCTTTTTTTATGTAATGCTATCTTTGTCGATACTAAATTTACTTGGAATATCGTCCCCAAACTATTCATTTTTCACAGATTAAATTTAAATAAATTCGTATTACCTTTTTATAATGAACTATTTAATGAGTAATGTAGGTACTTTTTTATGAAAATATGTGCATATTCCTGAACCATCATTATTTACGTTAGGATATTTGACGATGCAGATTTTGGTAATAGCGATTTATTAGAAATAAGGGATGGAAATAAAGCATCCACCTAGTGTGTGGGTCAGCGAGCGAGTATACAATGTACAATAATGTATAAAATAATTAAAATATTCCGATGTATTCCGAAGTCTCTGAATCGGTGCGCGGCATACGCTTCCGTTCCGAACGCTCTGTTCCGATCCGACCGTTCTGAGTCGATTCAGTGCGCGTCCTGCTTTAGCGTGAATTTCGTTTGCGTAAAAAATATACCAATTTTTTATTTATCACTCAGTATTTGTTATTATTACAATTACTCAGTATTAGAAATTAAAAGGTCCTGGCCGGAAGTCCAGAAATATCCGCCATGTTGATTTCTCGATATTTCGACATAGTCGGAAGTCCAGAAGTTAATTTTGACACTTGAATGTCAATTTAATCAAATAATGTCAGCTGTCTATAATCAAACAAGAAATGAGGTGGTAAGAGAGTACTTAAAACAAATAAATAAACCATAATATTTATCACACATTTATTTTCATGTACTAATAAAAAATTAATATAATTTTATAAGTATATATATAATAAATATCTTTTATATAACTATTATAATATAAGCAGCAACGTTCTACGCATTTCCGTTTCACAATTGACGAACACTCATGATTCATGGAGACTAAATCGAAATGAAAAACGATAATTGCAACATCCTGTGTATTTAGAAATACCCTGTTATACTATTCTATCAACTAAATATATTAAAGAGAAATACGTAATACGCCGAATGATGGACTGTAACTCACGTCACTTGTACATATTCCTATAGCTAAAAACAACTGATCCTGTTCCTTTAAACATAACAAAAATAAGCATTAACAAAGCCTTCGAAACTCCTCCAATGACACCGTAAAAACTAGTCGAATAGGCGAATGAATTTTTCGAAACAAAAATTATTTACATACTATTTACACAAAAGGTGGTGGTTAATCTATCAATCCTAAGATGGAGAATACCTTCGTGTGTACTTTTTTTTCGAATTTTATATAGAAAAAAAGAAAATCTATAATTCAAAGATTTCTTTCTCATGCCGCTATGAAAATAAAGCGTTGTTAATCACACTTAAAACCTTCATACTTTTAACAATAACTACGTACATTAATCTACATAAAACTTTCATCTATCGATAACGACCAATCTATACTAGACAACTGTCGGTTAATTCAAACAACGAGTAGATATGTAGCGATAGAGCTCTCTTTCGAAGATTTTAAATGGAAATATGGCAACTGAGGGTCAAGAAATATACTTCGTTCGCCATCAAGAGATAGTAAGAAAACTTCTTGAAGCAGTAAATCATACACAAACCATTGAATAAATAAAAAGTAGGCACTACTGAATTACACTACAAGGGTAGAGTGAAAAGTTCTAGTCATGAAACATTTAGAACTGTCTAGAATCATTCAAAACGCTTTAGAACCAGTTAAAACGATCCAGAATCATTTAGGACTATTTAAAAACATTTAGAACGCTCCCGAATCGTTTAAAACTGTCTCGATCTATTCAGAACAATCCAGAATCGTTCAGAACTGTTTAGAACAATTTAGGACGCTCCAGAATCGTTTGAAACTGTCTAGATTTATTCAGAGCGCTCCAGAATCAATTGGAACCGTCCAGAACTAAAGTTGTCGACTTAATAAGAAGAATAATGTCATTGTTCAACTGAATATCGCGGTCTTCCATTGTCAGGCAGAGAAATTTTCACCTTCCCCTTGTAATTATCTGGGGGTTAGAAAAGGTCGAGTGTTCTACATACAAAATTAGGTTCCATTACTATCTCCTGATAGCGAACGGAGTATAAAAACATTCACTGCAATAATTTCGTCAATACGGTTTTTAAACTAAACAAATCGTGTCTGTCGCAAACGTTTCGAAAATCATTGAATTTACTCCAAGAGCTACCTTTGCACGAAACAGCCGAGAACAGATCGGCAAAAATATCTGTAAATATTGACGGACGTGCTCGATTCGCCCGGGCCTACATCTACAAAGTTCATTTCTGGTTACTTTCTAGGCGAGTACCTAGGATTAACGGGCATGTGCGTGAAACTCCTCAGCTCGTAGCTCATCTCGATGCCATGCGCTGTGGCAGTGTCCATGTCGCTTTTCCGGAAAATGATCATCCTTATGTCGCTGTGAAGGTAAATCTTTCCCGATTTGGAGCTCAAAAATCTACCAAAAAAACGTTCGAATTAATCCATTATAATCCGTAGATTAATACGGTCGTGTTATACCTCAAGTGTATGAGGTACCGCAGCCACTTGGGGCCCCATTCGAGATTGGAATCGTGGCAATTCGCCGGCATGTACAACGTTCGTTGTCTGATGAACGTCTGCGAATTGGGCGGCATGTCGTGTAGATCGTAAATGATCACAAACATCTTGACGACGGTGCCCAGCGGATTGAACAAAGTCACTTGAACTGTTCCGGATTTTGGTACGTTGTATCCTTTTTTACCCAGGTTGATATGGCCCTGGAAAAAAGCAAAATACAGTATGTCTGAAAAAGTTGTGGCTTATCACAACTGCAATAATCTCTTAACACAAAGTTAGGTGAAGTAATTGGAACATAATTTGGAAGATGTCAGATTTAAAATAAAATACTGGTTTTAATCTGTTCCTTTAAATTAGCCGGTGTGTGTAGAATTCAGGATGAGCGATGCATCTCTTGATAGCGAACGGAGTATAATTTAGATAAGGGTTATGAACAAAATTGAGACTTACGAGATAAGGCGACGAGACCTTATCGGTCTCGCCTAAAGTGTAGAAGAATACTGTAACTGGCACAACTAGATGCTTAGGAACGAATGAACCGCTAGCTCCCAACTCAGCGGTGAACCCATGGACGGTAGAGACCGGCTCCAATCGGCCATTTAAAACCGATTCCTCAAAGCTACCTATAAATACACCAACTTAATATTAATACTTAATGCGAGTAAATACATAGGTAGAGAATAAAATAATTAACGTTGCATCAAAGCGAATTAATGTAAGAGAGAAGAACGTAATAAATAGTACGTACATTGTGAATAACCGACCCGCGATCTTTCAAACAATTACCAACCTAATAAACCGGACGAATGGCCCTTCCTGCGGTATTTGACGGGCGGCGACGAATCGTCGCACTTGTGGGCGGAAAATATTTCCGGGCTGCACGGTGACACGGTGCTGCCCTCGCTTTCGCTCTCGTCGTCCGCCGAGAAGCTGTTCGAGTAAAGGGCGCTGCAACAAAACGGAAAATCGTTTTGCAAAAATCCACGAAAATCGCTCGGTTTCGATGAATTATTTACTCTCGCTTCGAGTTCTTTGGTTAGGCAAAGATGGTGTTAATAAATAAGCCTCATTCGTACTCGGCTGTAGGTGAAACATTAAGTTCTACTAGCTAAAAATATAACGACAAATCGATTAAAATTAATTTTTTTGGGAAAGAAAAACAAGCAAAAAATGGATTCAAAGGAAAAAGAAGCCACGCCATTTTTAAGCATTAAAATTGAGTGTATTATAATTATACAGTATCTTAAGCATTAAAATTAAATGTAAGATGTACAGTATCGGACAACATTTTATGAATAATGGATAAATAGAAGCACGATACCAATTTCTACTTCCCCTGTGTTTATTCACGGCTTGGAGAAAATGTCTCTATTAGTAAACTTAGGAAAATTAGTAAACAGAGAATTGACAAATTCTAAACAGAAAATATGCGATGGGTATCGCAGATCCCGTTAGTTGATACATTGCTCAAACAGAGGACAACAGATGGAGCAAGAAGATGGTACAATTGAGACCTTGGGATGGGACGAAAGAAGAAATAGAAGAAGACTGATTACACGTTGGCAAGATGGCATCAAAAGAACGACAGGACTTAGAGTCGCTCAAAACAGAACCAACTAGAGAAGCATTACTTGTTGGAAGAGGGCTAGAAAGAAGAAGAAAAAAGATCGCAGGTCCCACTGTCGATTTTTTATCTTTTTCGTATTTTTGAATCAAGTGTCAGCTGGCTTTGTTCCTCCTGTACACCACTATCCGTAAAATTCCGTCCGATACTGTAGAAAGAAAGAACCCTTACCTTTTTATCGAAGAAACGGAATTAATAGAAGAATCGAAATCGAAGCAAGACTTTCCTCTGCGGACGGGCGCAGGACTGCTGGTCAAAGGTAACCCGGTGCGGGAATGGAACACCATGGAAGCGGCGCTGTCCAGATCTTTCCGGAATTTGGCTTGTTCCATTTGACTAGGTATGTCGCCTTTGCCGTGACCGGCGTCGTCGTCGCCGTCGCCGTCGTCGTCGAACACGATCTTCTGTCGAATGTGCGCCCTCTTCTTGAGATCGACGTTGGATATGTCCCTTATTTTCTTATGCCTTATCGTCGGAACAGGACTATCACAATGCTTGTCTAAATATACGTTAAAATTATGTTTCGGACTAAAACTACGAATATCACTTTCTCGCTTATCACAATTAGCTATATCACTCTCTCGTATGCTCTTCTGGCCGCTGCGCTCGATCGCCTCGAGCAACAGCTGGCCCTTGTCCTTGTTGAGATCATTTTTGGCGTGAAGGAGAGTGCAATCGGCCGGGCCTTCGGCCGCGTACAGGTTGGAATTCTGTATGTACACCATCAATTTCGATTTGGTTTTGCTCGTCGACGCCTCGCACGGCGCCGTCTTGCTGCACAATCGCTTCACGTTCGCTTTGCGATCGAGCTTCACGTTCTCCTCTTCTTCGAGATCTTCGCAACGGTGTTTCCCCTGAAAGGATACCACGGAAATTGTTAGAGGAAATTTTCGCGGTTTGACGAAGCGAGCGGTACCTTTAGTGTGCAAGGGATGTGCATCCTGTCGTCGAGTACTTTGTTGTTGGTCATGTCCATATCGAAAGCCTTGTTCATAGCGCAGTTGGTGCAAGTTAGATCTGGGATAGCGGTGGTTCTGGGTAAACTCAGACAAGATACCGTCAGGTATTGGCCGTCGCCTGAAAATCAACCGTTACCATAATCATAATTTCTCAAAAAAAAACTTTAAACTTTACTGGTTTGGTTTATATTCCGCTCGCTATCAAGAGATAGTAATAAAACCTTATTAAAGGGTAGGGTCTGTATTGTAGAGTATGGTAGAGTAGTGTAAAATAGTGTAAAGTAGTGTGGACTAGAATAGAATAGTGTAGAGTGGAGTGGAGTAATAGTAGGAGTAAATAGTATAGTAGATTCAGAGTAGAGTAAATTCAGAATAGGTAGAGTAGATTCAGAGTAGGTAGAGTAAATTCAGAATAGGTAGAGTAAATTCAGAATAGGTAGAGTAGGTTCAGAGTAGGTAGAGTAAGTTCAGAGTAGGTAGAGTAGGTTCAGATTAGGTAGAGTAGATTCAGAGTAGGTAGAGTAGATTCATAGTAGACTAAATTTAGAATAGAATAGATTCAGAGGAGCAAATTCAGAGTAGAGTAGATATAGAGTAGAGCAGAGTAGATTCACTGAAGGTTAGATTAGAGTAGATTCGAGTTAGAAATAAAGTAAAACAACCTACTACAACAATTTTGGTTGGAACTTTACGATTTCTTCGTCGAGCCTCTCGCATGCTGTCTATTGCTTACAAAATTAGATTCCATTGCTATCTCCCGATGGCGAACGGAGTATAATTTGACCCGACTTACCTATATCGGTTGCGGGAAAATCGTGTTTGGTGGCCGAGAGATGAAACGATGATGTCGCAAACGTTTTGCCGGGCGCCGTCAGATGATATCGAAAATTATCCTCGGATATCGTCAACGGTCCGTTGTCCTCTTGCGTAGTCAGCCATACAGTTATCTGGGAGAAGTACAATTGCGACCGGATGGCGCTGGCCAATTGGTTGACGTTGAAAATCAACTGATCCTTCGGCCTGGGAAAGAATCAGTAGTCGATTATATCTCATTTCGATTCAAGTTTTGCGTTCGAGTTTACCTTCTAAACGAAACGCTAAAATGCCACTGTTCCAAAACGTACGTGTTGGTCAGATCGTCCGTGCTGTCGAATTCTTTGCACTTACAAGTCAGGATCACTTCGATGCACAACGGTATGTCCTTTTTGCAGAAATTCAAGACCGTCTCGCGATCGGTTTCGAATTTCAAACACTGAAAATAAGGGTAATTTTTTAATAGAATCGGGCATATTTTTAAAATTGTTGGATACGCCTTTAAACTATCTTCGAAACGCGCGGCTCTAAATATAGGATCAAACTGTATATTTACAAGTTTCATTAACCCTTCCTTGCTAAATGGGATTGTAGACCAACGCATAAACAACAGCTCAAGAAAACATTGAACTTGCTTGTACAAACAGAGCCGTCTTAGTTATTTGTAATAAAAAATATAAAAAAAAATAGATAAGAAAACGACTCAGATATTATCATTTTGTGGTTACTTTTATCTACAATTCGACAATATTACCTAAAATAATAATATTTATAGAAAAATAGATTTATATCTATAGCAAAGGCAAACAAAAGTTTAATCAATCGAGAGAAAATTAAGGAGAATGATGTAATATGAATACACATTGAAAAATGTGACATAACTGCTTGAAATTAAAATGTTAGTAATACAATGAAATTTAATTATAAATTGTGCAACATTACTAGTACCAAATGTTTTAATAGTGCAATAATAAAAAGAAATAACTGTAAAAAAAACAGTGGTAATTGATACTTAAAAACGCTTTTTTCCTCTAATTAAATAAGTTCACAAATAGGAAGAAGTGGGGCAAAAATACATATGTACATAAATAGGTATAGGTATACAGGGTGTCTCATAAGTTGATACTTTTTTTTTAATTGCATATAGACCTTTTAATTTTAAGCAACTTTTTCAAGTATTTTTTTTAATATTTTGAAAAATAAAAAATATGGAAACTTTTTAATTTTTTTTAAATTACGAATATTTTCCAATACGTACCTGCCATTACCATACAGGTGTCAAAAAAATAATTAATAATTATTGACAAAAAATTAATTTTTCGATTGTTGAATTGAAAATGGCTCATCTTTATCTTCATACAAATAGTGAATTGGTGGACGCATGCTGATTATTTATGGAGAGTGTTTCCAAAGCCTTTCCAATCAAAATGGCGACAATTTTGAGCAGTTCATTTAACTTTTAATGAACAGTGCCGTATTAAATAACTTTCTAATAATTAAAAATTGAAAAAAAACGTGCTCTTTTATTTTCCAGAATATTAAAAAAATTACTTGAAAAAGTTGCTTAGAACTAGAATAGAATACAACTTATGAGACACCCTTTTTCCAAAATAGGTACATACCAAAGATTCAGCCAAATCGCAAATGTGCTCTTTGTTCCTTTGTTTGACGAGCGGGCAATGAGGTCCTTCGTAAAATTTCTTCGATTTGGAATTAACACCACCAGGTATGCGCCCTTCGGTAACCAAAGTGGCTACCGATACCAACACGTCTCCTCCTTTCGTACTGGCCGTATCCGTGCTGAAATTCGTACTGTGCATCTGGAAAGGTGCAAAATAATCGACGTAAGAAAAAAAAATAATTCCAAAGTAATTTGATTTTTTCATTTGCCCGATTTTTATACGGTATATTCATCTTCAATTCCTAAAAGTTATAGTCCATTCATTGAACTTACTCGAGTTTCGAATTAAAAGATTATTTATTGCCAATTATGGTAAATGGTGAATGGTATTCTTTGAAACGAAACATGTTTCTACAATAAAAACGATTTATAACTTCAGTTGAATTTATGGCTTTGCAGCATTAAAACTACGATTTGTACAATTCAAATAGATGCATTCAAATTATTCATACTTATTTTGACCACTTCGTATTTACCCAAGAAACAGGTAAAATTTTGAGGTACCGGGATTGCAATTTACTGTAAATTCTTAATCCGAAACCGGCGTAAGTTCTGCGAATGGACTATATGCGCTCCTGAGATGCGGCGGATCTGCTAGAGCAGTTTCTGCGAGCGCAAACGAAAGGAGGTTATCAGCGAGTGAAAGTGCGGAAAAATTAATTTTGTTACAATTATTACGGCTGAACTGACATAAAATTACGGAACAGCACCGCGGCCGATTACATTGTACTAATTACACGTCCTCACTGGTTTGGCCTGGCAACAGCTAAAATTACCGTAAACCCGATTCGATACCGTAAAGTGTACATACAATGAAGGTAAAAGTTTGGGCCAAATCAGGGCCGGACTTCGGACGGTATCTCTCTTAAAATTTCGTGTACGTAAAATAAAGTATGTTCAGGAGAAACCATAATTTTCTGTTGCTTATTTTTCGCATGGCGCACGGTGAATCATCGGAAAAATTTATGCGCGGATAGATTAAATTTTGCACGAGGAAATTTAAAATTCTGATATAGTGAATTGTGCGGAAAAAATGCGCATACTTGAATAATTCATGAACGAATGGTCCTCAATGACTGTTCGTTTAAAATCGTATGTCAAAAAATTAAGGCTAAATTTATCAGTACAATGAACCAAACGTTGAATTATGTAGGTCTTTAATGTCGGATGAGAGATACCAGCGTATTTACAAACAATATGGTTTTACATCGGTTTTGATTTGGAAAAGTACGCGAAAACGAATTATTTTTTAATGTAAACTTTCAACAAAAATGTTCCAAATTCCGTCTAGATAATTTTCAATTTTTAACTGCTATATCAACACAAAACAAAATTATTTGCATTTCTTCATCGACATACATTAAGACTTCAGAAATGTAATACAAGCGTTTTAGTTTCTCAACGATTTTCTACAGTCTAATTATGAGCAGGTGATAGATGCTGAATTGCATGTGCTGTAGTCTATGCCCATTTATTACAAGGAACTCGATTTTCCCATACGTCTTTATTCGCTCACAATGAACCAAACAGAATATTACGATTCAAACGCTGCATATTACAAAATCCGAAAAATGAAACACTTTCTAATTTCAATAGGCATATAACATGCTCGAGCATGCTGGTTAAATTGCTGCAGGTATATCAGATTATTCTCGTATTGATTATTGATTAACACAGTGCAAATGTTTTATTTGTTTGAGAAAAAAATTGAAATTAATATTAACTTCCGACTTAGCTAATATTATAATATTTCCACGTTTAAAACCTCTTGTTTCTTATGTTGGACACGCTCGAAAGTAACTGTACTTAATTTTTATTCGACACCTGATTTCCGCGTTACATCGGTCTACATTTTTTTATCATTTTATCGATAAGAGAAAATCACAACTTTTACTTCAAATGCGACCACAAAATCGAAGCATAGATAATTATTCTATCGGGAGCACCTGCAAAATAAATCGGTTTTCTTCTTTTTATGTAACACAAATTATCTCGATTTCTTCCGCGTTTGGAAGGTTATTCTGTTCCAAAATATTTTGTAATCGTACTATTAGGCAATCAAGGTTGGTATTGTTAAATTGGTTTGTTTAAAAATTTCTATTTTATATCTAATACCTTTTGTTGGGGTCTAAACCGTTTTATGGATCTTAATAAAAGTTTTCTTTATTATTTTAGAACCTATTGTACTACAAAACAGTAATAAAGTAAAGTAAGCTAAGATCTTTCTACATTTATTATACTAAATATTATGTATTATTTTAAACTTACCATTATAGAATACTTGTAGGGAACAAGAAAAAACCTTATAAATAATTATTTTGTACAGCATTCGCAAAGCTTAAACTGTCTCGTATGCACTCTCAGCGATAAATAAACCTCTCCTATAGGAGCATGTTTAAAAGTTCCGAGACAATGTTTACCGAGAGGAAGGTAAATAACGAAATGAAATTTTAATGTGATTTTAAATATTTCCTACGTACTGCAGAACCCTCGCAAATAATAATAAATAGCCTTTTTCAGTTTGGAATATTAAAAAGCTTGAACTCGTTTCGATAAAAAAACGCACATACAGCTCAGAAAATAAAAAATTCCGTTATTTTGTTTCGGAAAATTAATATTTAACAAATGTGTTTACTCAATATTATTTCCCTCGACATTAGTGATTTGCACGTATTTTCGCAAAATTATTATTTATGTTTCCATTGATAACATACAATTACAAGTTAATTTAGTCTCCGTGAACTTATTGATCAATTAAAAATATATAACTATTTCCTTAATGTTATTTATCAAACCTGTCAATTAACAAAGCGTTAAGTATGACCAAAATATTCCGAGGATCTATTTTTAAAATTTATTTGACATTGAAAAAAAAATAGGCACCCAACAAAAAAAATCATAATTTCCAAAATGTCATTAAACAAGTCATCAATATTCAATAAAAATCCACTTACATTTGCAAATATCCAATTCGACAATTTTCACAAAGAGACTTTTCACTTGTACATCCCGTTCTACCGTCCGTCAGTAACCCAATTTCTTTGTTTACCTGCCTCCGTAACCGACACCGAGTAACTGTTCCGTTTCAAACCAAAACAAAACCAAAGCCCACCTCTACGCCAGGCGTAAACAAAAAGAATGAAAACAGCTGATCGTTATCCCTTCCACGGCACCCTTTTCGATTGACGTCAATGCGACCCGAGCTCCTCATTGGTCGCTGGGACATGCCCATGCAAGGCCCGCACGTTGCCACATTCACACAGCTGATTGTCACCGGGGACTGGACCAGCTGATGGCGAGCCCTCCGGCGTTGCCGGATCACCAGAATTTTCCCAGAAACTAAGATTTACATCCGCGTGTTGTGTTTATTGTCGAATATTTTAATAAGAAGCACGGGTTTTTATTTTTGAAGGCAAGTGTAGATTAGAAAATTTATTATTTATAGATGACTAATTAAACAGCATCAAGTTCTATTTTCAAATAATCCTCGCACGATTGAGCAGAAATTTTGAAAGTAAAAATAGATCGAATTCGACTGTTTGAAGTAAGTTTGGCTGGCGTACCTCGCATATAAAATATCCCAAATGGTTTCTACCTGTTTTTTTTTAACTTTTTTTATGTAATATCGTGTACAAAATACGTAATATTTGGAAATCAAACAGCATGACATCACGAATGCGACGATCAATAAAGTACTACGTCACGCTCGTGGCTCGTGAAAACGAAAATGGAAAATTTATTTTACATTCGATCGGTTTTATTAGGATCCTTTGTAGTAATTTCAATTAAAGTATTCATTATGATAATTAGGTACATTCTTATCTCAATTTAGTCAAACTGGTGTTTGGATCTCTTTTGCTACCACATTCAAATCTTTTTTGGTCAAATTTGTAACTTCATCTAGTCTAGATTCTTCTATTAGTAGGTACTTAAATTCTTACTATTCCATTACAAATTTAAGGAGGTCTTTAAGGAGTACTAAAGAAATCGTATAAATGTAATAGGTCCATACAAAATTATCAAGCACATTAATGAAATCTCTTATCTAAAAATATTGACTCATAATTTTCGGTTTCAAAGTCTTTTGAAGGTCTGCACCAGATGCCAGTCACGGCCTGTGCAATCAATAAGGTGGTAGTCTAACAAAGGTTGGGACGTGAAGGGAGAACCAAGTTTGTTGAATCTAAATTTGTAATCTTCTATTTTCGCTTTTATTGCGAAAATAAACGGCTCTTCGTTCGATTCTATCGCACGTGGAGAAGAGGAAAAGTAAAAGTTTAGAACGAATACGTTTGACATCGGAGGTCAGCCAAAGAATGTACGAATTATTATAAGTTATGTATATGCAATTCAGCTTAATGATACTACATTTGGTGTATAAAACGGAAATTGAATTTAACGTGATTAGTATAGCTGTTTTTAATCCGAATAAAATACATCTGATAACCTTATTTTTACGACTTGAGATTTCTGGTATATATTGCATTGACAGCAATTCATTTATCCTACAACTGATTAGCAGAAGATAAATTATTCTTATTGCGATTCCGGCGAGTTCTTTGTTAAATTTACTGCGCAGAATATCACAAATATAATTAATTAATCGCTTCAGCAATTCGACCTTTCAGATGATTTGATGCGCGCAACGTGTTACGAACAATGAAACCCATTCCCTATTTCGTCCGTCTCTACTCCAAAACAAGAACATGTAGGTAGAAGGCAATACCTATTATTTATCAACCTTATAAAATTTACAAAAAAATATACTAAACATTGAACTGAAATCGGACTTTTGCCATTAATCGCGTGCGCCGATTTTCCAGACAAATTCATGGGAAACTCCGCTTTAATCGACGATTAATCGGAAAAACTAATAATTATGTTTGTAAAATCCATCACGAATCGTCGTGGCTTGGCAACGTCGGTACACCGTCGAATCAAGGTTAAAACGCTGCACGTGCTGGAGTTTGTTACTAAATGCGAAAAGCAGGACGATTGGACACAATTCCGTTGGGGGGACAAGGACAAGGAGATGTCGAAATGTGCATTATCTAATTAAAACCGTTTCAAACAAGATTTTTCCAGGTTAAAGAAAATGCATAATGCTCTCTTTCATCCAATTACTAATGATGTTATTATTACGAGTACAACAGAAAATGATCATATTTCTCTAGATAAAAACATAAAAATAACCAAACAATACAGTACAGTAGATTCAGAGTACCTAGAATAGATTCAGAGTAGAATCAGTATGGAATAGATTCAGAGTAGAGTAGATTGAAAGTAGAGTAGATTCAGAGTGGAATAGATTCAGAGTAGAGCAGATTTAGAGTGAAGTAGGTTCTGAATAGATTCTGAATAGATTAGATTCACAGTAACTTAGATTAGAGTAGATTCAGAGTGGAGTAGATTTAGAGTACCTACAGTAGAGTAGATTCAGAACAGATTTACAATAGATTCAAAGTACTACCTCTACTCACGCCATTTCTTTAGGATATTTTTGTTAAGATTGCGGGGGTATAATGGAATAACATCAAAAAAATTGTAATCACGAAAACCGAGCTATTAACTACTAACACTCGATTAACGGAGTGAATCCTGAATCAGGGTATAAAAATAATCTCCTCGTTCGAGGCAGATTTAAAACGCGGCGTTTCGGGAGAAACGGAAAGAGAGAGGGAGTAAGAGGGAAACTTTTTTTTATAATAATCGATTTGGTCGCCCAGCGGCAGCGGCAGAAGGACCTTGGCCTAGTTTTTAGAGGAAAAAAGCGCGTGTAGAAGGTACGCTTCGACTTCGACACTTTGCGCTCCTTTGGATCGGTACACGCGGAAGAGCCCCGGTGAAAGTCGCGAAAATTGTACCGTTTACGAACGTTCGAAATTCGAATGGTTAATCAATTTTTTTCTAAAAGTAATTTACATCAAGAGAAGTGTGTTGCAATAATTGTTAAGTCTGATTTCGGCGAATCTCACGATTGTAATAACAGGTTTTTCTTGGAAACTGTAGAAGTGTATTAGTCAATACTATGTGAATCAACACTCAGTATAGTTTACTTTACGAGTAAATGAGAAACCAGTTATGTTACGGGGAGATCTTTGTCGGGTATCGTTTGCCTTATTTGTTAGAAGTTTTCATCAAGTTTGCTACAAAGTTCGATTTATAAAGAGTAGTCATATTGGATTGGTACAAAAAACCCAAAGAAGTAGGAACAACTACGGAATGATTTGCGAGTCTTGTCAAGAATTTTTGCCCGTAATTTCTAGGTTATATCAGTTGTACATATCTTGTAGATTAAATAATCGTTATTGTTCAAAAATACTTACTTTTCAAAAAGCGGATACAGTAGTCGCAAGAAAATTCTGTTTTCTTGACATTTGGGCTCCTTTGGAATATCGATTCAAGTCCGTTGGTCCATTTTACATCGATCTGCAGATATTAATTATCGAATCTGCAATTGCAAAAAAATATACTTAACCCGCAGTCGAATTTCACCCCAAACGAAATCACAATTTTATTGCGAAGAACAAATTTACTAAACGATGTAGGCGTGTATCAGCAATAGGATATAATGAGGTGAAGTCCAAGGTTTATTCCCTTACTTTCTACTCGTGTAATTATTACTAGTTAATGTTACACTAACATCGTTGCGTAAGGTACCATTTTGTTTCGTATAGGCATACAAATTCAACGAAAAAATACTGAGTTTATGCTCTACTTCACCTAAAAAACACAATCCTAGCGATAAGGATTATTCAAGATAATTCATTCTAGATTTACACCGAAAAAGTCGAACGAATTCACGTTTACTTTACCGACGACACCGTCACCGTTGCGGTGCAGTAATATTTCCTATGGAAATGTCTGTTTGCTCGCCTTGTAAAGAGATAACGAAACAATATTAAATTACCAATAACGCGGAAAAAAAGATTATTTTCGAGCCCACGCTAATTCCGCTAATTAACGCTCACGTGGCGAGCACGTAAAAATAGGAAAAGCGACTTTTACACAATATTTTACTGGCACCGGCGTCGGACCGTTTCTTCGCAAAAGAGGAGAGAAACGTTATGCAACGAGTTATTTTCTACGACCTACTTCGCGTAATTTATTGATAGAAATTCCGTATGCAATAATAAATGCATACAAACTAAGAATAACATAGGGTGGACTTGCAAGGAAACAAGGAAGTTCGCAAATTTGGCGATTATTTTAAAAGTTACAGACTTTTGATCACCAAATTTTCAAATGCTAAATTAAATGTTTTCTGTCATATCTGAGTGGATGTTTTGCCCCTTCCTCTATATCTCATACTAAATTTAGCGATCAAAAAACCTGCAACTTTTAAATTAATCTCAATATTTGTGAACTTCCTTAACTTTTGTGGAGCAGTATATTTAAAGGAACAAAAACATATACCAAATTGATGTAAAACTATACAAATACTTTTGTTAGGTTCTAAACAGTCAGGCTAGATACACTAATGCAACAGAAATTACATTAACTTCAACGTTCCCCTACGTATATCCATAAAATACGCCCTCTGCACTATCATTATACATTATGATTAATTCAAAAGCACGCAAGAGAAGATTAAAACTATACATGATACACGAAAAAAAAAACACTTTCTGGACGTCTTCTACTCGCATCAGAGTTCATCGTCCTAAATATATCGACTATAATTACTATTAATTTAATACCCATTGATTGTGTAATGCGACGTTATACTGCCATATACAGGAAGCCTCATTTGATTCCCAAATATTTCCGACGACGAGAACGAGAATTGATAAAGCTACACATACGGGGGAAGTCGAATTTGTTCAATGGCATCAACCCGATGCCGTTGAACTTCCCCACTCCACCCCACGACGGGTCTTTTGACCTGGAGGAACGTCTCGACTGACTCTGGCATGTATACTGTACAGTATAAACCGTCCGGCGACCTTTTGGGAGAGGCATTGGCATCGTGTTTACAAAAGCCTCTCGTCTCTTTCTCTTCGCGTGGGCCACAGCCGAGTTGAACCACCCAGACAGGGTTGAAGACCATTTACGCGTTGGACAGGGATGGTCTGCAAAGTTTTCGCAGCTCTATAGAGGCTTCCTATAAATGGCCTAACTCAGGTGTTTGTAAGGTACAACTTAAATAGTACAAGATTGGTTTTCGATGTAGGTACTAGAAGGATGAAAATTTTTTATTTTTATTTAGGTTTTTTTTACTAGATATTTTAACTAAACCTTACATTAATCAACACCCTGTATATGTATGGGCATGCCCGTTCGTCGGTCTATTTGCGTTTAAACTGCGTCAGAATATTTTTGTCTCGAATTTAGGTATTTGACATACCGATTTAGCTTAAAATAGAAAGCGACAAATTCGCTTTTCTGTTTTTTTAATACTTACAATATTTTCGACATTTTTCATTGTGAAATTTATTCAAAAACAATCTACTTAATAGGTAGTTGCAGCCGGTTTGGGAGAGAAAGTTACATTTTAACGAAATAATAGAGTAGTGCAATTTATCCATATTGAGGTATGATGGTCGGCAGACCTATCGCTCATCCCGAACTCTTGCTCCTTTACTATACACATGAGTAAAGGGGTGTACTAGAAAAGGAACGAACATTCAGGGTGAGCGATAGGTCCGCCGACCATTATACATGTCGTATTTTTATTCAAATATATTTTGAAATACTACTAATAAAAAACAATTCTAATTAAATATAATAGTAGTCTATCGTAACACCTTGAGATATTTATATAAATCATTCTTAATAATTACTTATAGATGATTAAAAAAGGTTAGATTACAAAAAATAGAACATTTACGATTAATTTATATGCTGGTGAGCCCTTCAATTAGCTCTTATATGGTTTCTAAATTGTTACCATACTGGAATGATCTCACTTTAATCATTATTTGTCCTTGTATTACAGCGTTTTGAAAATACACGTGCAAATAAATATGTTACCTAAATTTAGTTATAATTAGGCTAATCATCGATAATATTGTTTATTGGCGAGTATATTGGCATAAAATGTACACAGGAAAATTTTCAATGTAAATAAAAATAACAGAAACTTGGTATTTTCTATTTCAAAAAAACATCGACAACAAATTACGTTTGGATTTTTCCCATTCATTAGGCGTAAATTAAAGTATAAGTTGACGAAAACAAATTAACTGTTAATAACATACTATTTATTTTTACATTTTGTTATATTGTAGACAAAATGGCACCCGTTTATCTTTGTTTAACTAATCAGTATTGTACCGTTTATTTACCTTCTGTTCTTCGATGAATCTCCGCAACCAAGACCTTCGATGCTATATAACGACACTCGGGCTATAGTTCGTCATTATTTTATCGCACATTATGGGAATTTTGATTAGTTTTTTATGCACTTTCTGCACAATTCGATTCGACTGCGTTTTCACACCACTTGACAGATCGCAAGCTCTCTCAAAACTAGTCAGCTGTTTTGACTGTTTTCGTCAAGAACGCACTGGATTAGAGAGGGGAGTGACGTGAAAGCGGGGTACCCACATCGAAACGAAACGTCCACAAAAAAGGGTAACGCTCGATAAATAATACTGTTAATCAACTGTTAGTAAATAAATGTAGGCTTATGCGAAGAAGAATATACCAACTTATCAATTACGGAGATTTTATTATCGCTTTAGAGTCGTTTATTAAATTACATACTAAATTATTTGATTTTTATTTAAAATACAGATGCACAGAAATTATAGGCAAGTCTATGGGATGATTGAACTCTTGTGAATATTTTAAAATTTACTGCCAACTAGATCTAACTAAACACATATTTCAATAATAAATTGTGAAAATTAATGCCAAAATTGTCGGTACCTTCAAAATAATTTGACATAATGCAGGAACTCGATATGACATCATCTAAGTAATATGGTGCTGTTGATCCGAAAAAAACGAGTCTAAATTTATGGAAGAAAAACTCAATCATGGAACACATACTAACGTCAATTAAAATCACTGCCATTTAGATCTAATATGTAGATTCCTAGATATGTATTTCTATCTATGTATCTTTTAATTCAAGGATCATTTTATTAGTTATGCAACCAGTATACTTAATATTTTTTTAAAAAGATTATTCATTATACAGGGTGTCCCAAAATTGCTGGGATACAGAGCTACCACGTGCAGTAGAGGCCAAGCAGATTCTCTATAAGGAAACAATTTTTTTTGGAACTATGAGGAATGTGAAATTTTTACGAGAGTAACAGAATGAAGATTCTTCTTATTGCTAAAAAAATTGATAACGGTATATTACAACCTTTAAGAAAGTTCTGATAAAAAATGTCAGGGTGTGAGGGTGATTTTTACCCTTTTAACCACCGAAAGGAAAATAATCCTCTAATGCACTTTTGACAAATTTTATTCAATGTGTTTCAATCATTTCTGAACAGCGTACAAAAATATGTTTTTTTATGTAAACTTTAAATATCTCCTAAAAATAGTTCTAACAAGATATGTCGACGTGTCTTTTTGTACCCACTTTTATACATCATGAGATTCTTATTGTTCGATAAAATAAAATTTCCAGCAATCAACTAAAATCTCATCTATAATTTTATCTATATTTACAGTCAATTAGTAAAAATTAACCTTTGATAAAATATGATTAGGCAACTAGACCGATACTAAAATTTAAATATTTTTGAACATATTTTACAAATCTCTATCATTTTTCTTTAAATATTATTGTATAGTTTTTATACTTAAATTTAATCAGATGAGATCTTAATCAGGTTACAGAAACAACCACATACCAAGATAAAAACAATTTATTTAAGTCAATAATAATCTCAATTAAAAGAATAGTTTAAAAATGCATTGATAAGAAACGATTTTATATAAAAAGATCGATTCTGCAATAGACCAGCTTATGTACCAAGTATAAGCAGGTAAGAAAATTGATATAATTATTGATCATTAAAAACGAGCAACTCTGAATTTCTACACAAAATACATATTTTCAGCAATTCACGAGATGAATTCAGTTCATATTTTGGCTTTATCATGCCTGATAGGCCTAGCAAGTGCGGGCATCTACACAGATCGCTTCAACACTCAATATAACAAAATCAAAACCAAGGGGTACTTCTCCAAAGTAGGAGGTATCCCTTATCACTCGGTCGAAACTTTAATAGTAGAAGCCCCTGATCAAGGTCACCAAACCACATCCGAAGCATTCAGCTACTGGATTTGGTAAATACAAAGCGATTAAAACCGAAATAATATCATACTAATAGCAACATTTCAGGCTGGAAGCACTTCATGGCAAAATCAACAAAGACTGGCAACCATTCAACAACGCCTGGGAAACTTTAGAGCAAAACATTATTCCAGTATCAGCGAGCCAGCCTACCAACAACTTCTACACACCCAGCCATCCTGCCACGTTCGTTCCGGAGCAGGACGAGCCCAGCAGTTACCCCTCTGCTGTCGATTCCAGCGTACCCGTCGGCCAGGATCCCCTTTACCAGGAGCTGGTCAATGCCTACGGCACCAGCGATGTATACGGCATGCACTGGCTGCTCGACGTCGACAACATTTACGGGTTCGGCAACACTCCCGGCAATTGCGAGCTAGGACCCCAAGCCCAGGGCCCCTCCTTCATCAACACCTACCAAAGAGGCTCCATGGAATCCGTGTGGAGGACGATTCCCCAGCCCACCTGCGACAGCTTCAGATTCGGCGGACAGAACGGTTATCTCGACCTGTTCACCAAAGATAACAGCTACGCGAGACAATGGAAATTCACCAACGCGCCCGACGCCGACGCTCGCGCCATCCAAGGAGCCTACTGGGCCTCGCAATGGGCGCAAGAATCCGGCCAGCTCGGCGCCATTTCGCAAACGCTATCCAAAGCCGCCAAAATGGGCGATTACCTCAGGTACGCGCTGTTCGACAAATACTTCAAGCAAATCGGCAACTGCGTCAGCCCCGCCAGCTGCCCGGGGGGCTACGGCAAAAGCGGCGCTCACTACCTGCTGGGCTGGTACTACGCCTGGGGCGGCGCTCTCGACACCACCAACGGCTGGGCCTGGCGCATCGGAGACAGCGCCGCTCACTTCGGCTACCAGAACCCGTTGGCCGCCTACGCCCTCGCCAGCGATCCCAATTTGAGGCCCAAAGGAGCCACGGCGGTGTCCGACTGGCAAACGTCGCTCGACAGACAGCTGGAGTTCTACGAGTGGCTGCAAACCGCCGAAGGGGCGTTCGCCGGCGGCGCCACCAACAGCTGGAACGGCCGATACGACACCCCTCCGTCGGATCTCACGCAAAACACGTTCCACGGCATGTTCTACGACTGGGAGCCCGTCTACCACAGCCCGCCTTCTAACCGATGGTACGGAATGCAACCGTGGTCGGTGGATCGTTTGGCTCAGTATTACTACGTGACCGGCGACAGCAAAGCCAAGGCGCTTTTGGACAAGTGGGTCGACTGGATCCTTCCCAACATTAAGATCGAAGCGGGGAAGAAATACACGCTGCCGGCTACTCTTACGTGGACGGGCGCTCCGCCCAACGTGCACGTTAACGTGGAATCCACCGGTAGCGATGTCGGTACTGGCGCCGCCACCGCGAGGACTTTGGCCTATTACGCGGCTAAAACCAACAACACCCAGGCGAAGCAAGTGGCTAAGGATATTTTGGATATCATGTGGACGCAGTACCAAACGGACAAGGGGGTTTCGGCGCCCGAAGCGGCGGATACCTACAATCAATTCAACGAGGCGGTCTACGTACCGCCGAACTGGCAGGGTTATTATCCCAACGGGGATCGCATCGAGAACGGGGCCACCTTCATCAGCATGAGGTCTTGGTACAAGAACGACCCGGATTGGGGCAAAGTTGAGAGTTATTTGAACGGGGGAGAGGTCCCGACTTTCACTTACCATCGCTTCTGGGCGCAGGCCGACATTGCCATAGCTCAAGGCACCTACGGCATTCTATTCAACGAATAAAATTTGTTTTTAATTCGATGTACATTTTTTAAAATGTTGATAATATAAAATAGTAAAGAAGTACAAACATTTTGTATTAATGAATGGTATGAGAAACATTCCTGAAACACACGATTTCTCACACAAAAGTAACATTTCTCAGAAAAATTTTATTTATAAAAATCGAATAGAATGTATAAAAAATTCGTTGATAAATATTAAGTACAATATTGTATCGATAAAATATTAAGCTAGTACATACTAGAAAGGCATTTAAAAGTGTTATAAAATAGAACAAATAATAGAGTATTAAGAAAAAGTGTGCAAGTAAATGTAATAGAACATCAATTAAATACCTACACTTGAAACATGCGAAAGAAGTAAAAAAAAAGCAGTGTATTAGCATAGAGAGCCAATTACCCGAAGCCTAAAAAAACCTGAACTGTTTATTACAATAAAATTCAAAGATATCGATAGATAAAGCTAGAGTTAATCATAAATCTATACATAAAATAGACTTCAAATTGCTACTACTATTAACATTACTTGTAAGCCGGAGGAGTTCCAAACAAATTTCCTTCTCTCTTCTTCCTGTACAAAGTACGCTCGCTCCTTCCGTTGGGCGTAAAGAGCCTGGAAGCCGGAGTCCTCAGCAAGGAATCGGTACTCGGAGTCTGCTGCAGATTTGCGACACTCGGTAATAATCGAACGTTCACGAAGTTGGACCAAAAGTCTTCGGGAATGTTTAAAAGATGCGACATCACTTTGACGATGCTCGTCGTCTCCTCGAACAACTGCTCCGGATTTTTGGTGAAATAACCGACTATTGTCGGGCCGAATACCTTCGCTAAATTATCCCTGGGCATTTTGCAATCGGGCGATTGCGCCACTCGTTGCAAATGTAATATAAGAAACGCTAAAGTGTCTCTATTGGGCTGAGGAAGCCTGTAGATGGCTTCATATAGTACAGGAATCGTATCAGTTGGATCTCTAGCCCTTACGGCCGTTATGAAATCATTCCAGAGCGCTCTGGTTATGAGAGGCTCCGTTAACGATCGCAAGAAATCTTTTATACAGCCACAAATAACGTAAACGTCCTCATTTTTTAAATTAGGGCTCAAGGAACTCGAGAGAAACTTTTCTTTTAAACCTGAAAATAATACAAAGTTCCGATTAATTTTTCGAATTAGCTACCTCCATGCTTCGAACTTACTTTTTACATCTTTCTCGGATCCCGGAACGCGATAGAGCCCTATTTCCTTCAAGCCCCTTTTTTCGATTTCGTTCACACAGTGCACTATTAACGATGGTACCATAGGCGCGCTAGTGGGGGTGTAATCGGCAACGGTTCCCGTGAATTTTTTCGAGCTCGGAGTGTTCATGGCCGGTATACAAGGCAGAGGCATGAGAGGCATGCAATCGGGATGGCACATCAAGCGGCATTCTTTGCATTTCAGCGCTGTTTTGCCGAAACGTATGCTCTTCTCGCAGACCGAGCACACGTTCGGCGGCATTATAAGAGTTTTCTGTTGGAAACAATGCTGCCTGAAATTGTTGTTTCTTTCTTTAAGCGGACTACTGTAGGTTCCTTCTGAAAATTAACAAGTTCGATTAATAAGTAAGTAACGATATGAGTGCATGAACCTTGACGTTTCCATGATTCGAAGACCAAATCAGGAGGAGCGATGGCTTCTCCGTTGGTTTTAGGTATGGATTCTATGACGGAAGTGGCTTTAATGGGGCCCCCCTCTTTGTCGACGGTCAATGTAGTGGTAGCCCTGACGGTTTCCGTACGTCCGATCTCCACGTTTCTGCTGGACTTCGGTTTTTTAGTGGTGGGTTCGTCAAAATTATCAATCTGTCGTTTGTTCCAGTTCCTGTTCGGTCTGAAATGGTGATTGGAGGAATCGAGGTCGTCTTCGGAACGGGAGAAGCTAATGTCGGATAGAATGGAACCGGTCGAATTGATTTCTTTGATAGCACTCAGTCGGTCTGGGTCTCCTATACTGGCTCTGCCTGAGAACGATATCGTACGATACAACTCGAGAGAATCGAAATTATTTGTTTACGAACCTGGGTATAAGGTGGACATCTGTTCCTTGATATCGTCGACGAGTTTATTTCTACTGTCCTTAACCAGAGTGTTGCAGAAACTGGCTATTTTATATTTCAGCTCGTCCCGCTCTTGCTCCGCTATTTTTCTCTTTTTGTGTTCCTCGTCCAGCATTTTCCTGGCGTTTTTGAGCAGCCTATTCGCCTCATTGCCATCTTCGGTTCTCCGATCGATTTCATTCCTAAGCCGGACGAATTCGCTTCTGGTTTTGATGAATTCTTCGAACAGCAATTTCGTTTGTACCGCGAAATTAATGTAGCTTTCCAATATATTTTCTCTGTCGTCGAATCTCTGTTGATACAGGCGCTGTTGCTCGTCGAATAAAGTCACCAGGCTTATTTTATTGAGAGAATCTCCACTGGAGTTGGTAGAGCAAGTATCCGACGCCGAGCTTCCATCGTTAGACGGATTTTCCAGCCTCGGTCTCTTCGTATGTGGAGTTTTAAAAGGTGTGCTCATTTTGGCACTAAATTCTTACTCATGTAAACTTACAGTAGCTGCAATTAAATTTATACACTAACTAAAATTAAGTTACTAACTTTAACTATCCAAACAAGCAATAAATACGAAACGGTTACTTTTAATTTTCAACGGAAAATTATAACTCTTTGTTTGGTAGGTAGAGGTCGCAGCAGTTTAACTGTCGATGTCAAATTTTTAATTGGCCTCGGCGTTCTGGTAATCTCGCTAAATTTTCTACGCTTATTTTCTTTCTTTATGTTTACGATAAATAATTTTAATAAGTAGATATTAAATAAATTATAAAATAAACAGTACAATAAACATTTACTGAGAATCTTTCCTAAATTATCTGACTATCTCAACTCAACTATCTCTTTCTATGAGAAATACGAAAGTTAAAACATACAACAAAACGTACAAGTGGCAGATCATACTGCGGAATCATAATTTGAATCGATTATTCAATCGTTAAATTCTAATTTCAATTTAATTAAATTTTTTATATTTGAGTCAATTTAATGGATTAATTTTGAACAAATTATTTAAAAGTAGGTGGTCTACTATTAAATTAATAGCCTACCTTTTCCATAATAGTCAATCAAATATTTAATCGATTTACTATTGAAAATCGATATTCGAAATTATTCGATATTTCAGTTTCAATATTGGGTTTCATCAGATCGATTCTACCGGCCTTTGTTATTGTTCGATATGGATAGAAAAAAGGTGCGGAAGTGGAAGTGGTGAATCCCCCATTTTGCCACGTGAATAAAAAGTACTGCAAAACAATTACCTATTTAATTCTATTTGGAAGTTTGAGTTTGAGAACAACGCGTTTCTTTCTTTCGAAAAGTAAGTGTATAATTTTTTAATTTACTAGTGTGGGAACAATATTGGGATATTTATTTATTCTATATGATGCCAAAAATAAAAGCTTCTATATAGGGCTGGGTTCAAAGCTAAAAGTTGATAAAATTTTATTAAAAATTATACTTTAAAAATGAATTTGAATCTTTATGTCGGAATGATAAAGGATAGTAGTAGTGATAACAAACAGATAGTGATATTGATAATATTTTTTTTTTGTTCAGTTTGTACATATAAATTCTTTGAAGGTTAAACCAAATTATTTTACAATTTTATTTATTGTAATACCAGTAATTGCTAAGTTTTTAACTGCTAATAGGCTTTGTTATATTTAAGTGTTTGTGAACAGTTTTACTAAGTTTAAAAAAGGCATTTATATTGTATTTATTCAAATTAACGTAGTTGTACGGACTTCCCCTAAAATCTCATATTACCTGCAGAAAAAGCCGTGTACTTCCCAGACCTGCTATGTGGTGAAATATACATATCATATTATCTATTCTATTTTTAGAGCCATAAATTTTGATCAGAGTATTAAATACATCGTTAAATTGTATTCTCCCGAAGCCATCATGTCTGAAGACGATATCGAAAGAAAAATCAAAAACTTGAAGTTACATTCCAAAACCGATATCAACATTCTCCTGTTGGGAGCGACTGGAGTCGGTAAATCTACTTTCATCAACGCCCTGGCAAATTATTTAACATATTCAAAGATGAAAGATGCGAAACATGGCGAGTTATTAGCACTAATACCCAGCCAATTCAATGTCCAGGATAAATTCCAGGAGCATCACAATGTGCTAGTAGGGGGGCAGGATGCAAACGAATTTTTACATATCGGAGAATCGGCCACGCAGGACGTAAAAACTTACGTTTTTCCCTACGGTAATTTCAAAATCCGCTTAATCGACACACCCGGAATGGGTGACACTAGAGGTACGTATCAAAACCATTAATTTATTAACGTAAAGTTTAATACACATATAATTTCAGGTCTTGATCAAGACCACACGAATTGCGAGAACATTTTGAGCTACATCAGCAATTTGCATGAATTGCATGCCATTTGTTTCCTGTTGAAGCCGTACGAGTCCCGTGACACCGTCATCTTCAATTATTGCATGAACCAGATATTATCAAGATTGGATAAATCGGCTAGTGATAATATAATATTCTGCTTTACGAACACTAGAGGTTCGAATTACACGGCTGGTGACACCCGTGGTACTTTGCAACTTATGATTGAAAAAATTTCCAAACGGCCACCGTTCGTAAAAATTCCTTTCGATAAGAACATATTTTGTTTCGACAACGAACCGTTCAGGTACCTTGCTGCTATTAAAAAGGACATTAAATTCGATTCGGATGTCAAAGAAAGAAACAAAGAAAGCTGGAATAATTCAGTAGCTGAGTTGTGGAAGTAAGCAAAAGTCCTCTTATACTCTTTAATGATTTAACTAATATATTTTTGTATGATTTAGATTAATCTCCTACATTACGGGCTGCGAGAAGAACCCGCCCTTGAAACCTCACCATGTGAAAAATACGAATGCTGTAAACGAAGCGAGACGAATGATTGACCGTTTGGCTTTACCATTAGCCGAAATTACGCAGTTAATCCATAACAATTTGGATGTGTTGGAGAGACACGAAAGAATCCTTCAGTTAGAAGATCTTTCTCTTACCGAGCTAAAGAAAAATCTTTACGTACCAGTCATCACTCTGGAACTCATCGAAATGTCTCAGCCCGCTACCGTTTGCACCGCCCAAAAATGCTGCGAAATCTATAAGGTATGCACCTAACTTGATTTTCTGAAAATGCAGTTACACTAACGCGAAATTTCGTGTTCAGGTCGGCGGAAAATCGTCTGTGAATTACAAACAGAGATGTCACGATCCGTGTTTCCTGTCCAATGTTAATCGAGAAATCATCGGGGCCCCAGAGCTATTGTATTGCGCAGCCATGAAGAATTCTATTTGCCAAATATGCGGATGCGATTTTAGAGTGCACATGCACATCTACTATATGACAAAAAAGAAAGAAATTAAGGATATCGACACTAACATTAAGTGTGAAATTGATACCAAACAAGAACTTATAAAAAGTAGAGAACAGGTGATTCAAAAAATGAGAGTCAAGAGGGAAGTGTTGATCAATGAGCACGAAACCATCGTGAAAATTTGCGCCACATTCACGTATTTTTTGCAGAAAAATGCCATCACGCCGTTTAATGATGCCTACAAGGATTATATCGAGTATTTAATTCATAGGTAAACCTCCCTTCTTAAACTTGTAATTTTGCAATCTAATCGGTTTTTTTTTATTCAGAGAAAAATCATTGGGTAATGATTGTGATGAAAAAAACCTAGATCATCTTCAAAATTTGCTCATAGAATACACCGAAATAAAATCCTCATTTGAGGATTCTATCAACTCGAACCGTGCCGTTGAGTGTAGTCCAAAAGATATCAGCGAATATTGCCAACAATTGTACAATTTGAAGTACAACGGCAAGAAAATTAAGCAGCTTTACGATTGCCAAAAAAAGCCGAGAAACAAAGAGTACCTAGACACGGAAATAGCCCTGAAAGCAGAACGTAAAGAGAAGAAAGAGAAAAAGGAGAAAAAAAAGAAAGCTGATAAAGACATGGATAAAAATAAAAAATCGCAGACGAAAGAGGATAAAGGGAAGCAAAATGCCGATTCGAAGAAAAAGACGGATAATCCCAGGAAAAATGAAAAAGGCAATGGTAAGTTATAAATTATTCAAGGTGTCCCGTGGCTAGAGGGTCACTAAACTTCATATATCCCCGGAGATAATAATTCAGGGGTATTAGATCTGGCAATCTTGGAGGCCATGTCCTCCTCTTCCAATTCACCATGATAAAACAGTTATACTTATTACAAGAAAAGAAATACTTCCTGTATTTCTGAAAAGGAATACCCTCCTGATTAAAGCTATGTTAATCGAGTTACGGGACACCCTGTTTAATTAATGCACGCATCCTAAAATTCTTATAAACAAATTATTTCAGATAAAAAACAATCAACGTTTAATCGAGACCAGCCTCCCAAATACGAGGATATACAACACCAACGAAACTTTCAACGTTCTCAATATCCTCGACGAGATCAACAAAGACCCGCTGGTAATTTTCCGCAAAATTCGTCACCATTTTACTCGTCCCAATTCGGCCAAATGCCTAATTCTTACGGCTCGTCATCCTACAACCCTCAATCTCCTTACGATCAATCTTCCTACGGCCAATCCTCAAACTTCCAAAGTCCCATCGACAACGAATACGACGTGAACGTAGTGTTCAAAAAACGCAACAGCAATGCTAATCAACCGCCCCAAAGAGGCCCTTTCTCAAATCCGCATCAGCTACCGTTCACACAGAACGATCCCAGAGCCAACGCGCAAAGTCGATACAATTTCAATCAACCAATGGATCCGCAGCAATTTGGCAATGATCAAATGCAATTCAGTCAGATGCATTTCTCGGCTCCGCGTCCAATTATGGATGTACCCTTGTCCCAAGGGACACAGGGGGATTTTCGAAGAATGCCGAATGATTATTCGAGACAGCAATACCCGACCCGTTTCCCCAACCGCCATTGGGAAGACCGATCGAATCCTCGACAAGACAACGCGATGGGGCCGAATTATCAAAGCGGCGACATGAAGAAACCGAATTTCAGAGGTACAAACTTTTGTATTTATTTCTTAAACGAACTGCACGCGCCGATGTATATGAATATAATCTACTAATTTATTTTGTTTTTAGGTAAATTCAAAACCGATCATGCTAATAAGCCGTTCGCGCCGCGTAATCAAAAGCAAGATAGGGATGGAAAGAATAAGAATGTCTCAAAGAAAAGTATGCAAGGCGACTCTGACGCTTCCAAATCGTCGCAACGGCAACATAAGAAGAAGAATAGCGGAGCTAAGCCGAAGAAACCAGTGGAATCTAGCGATTCCGATTCTTCGGACAGCAGTTCTAGTTCTTCCTCTTCATCGTCTTCTAGTAGCTCCTAATATGTTAATCTCTTAGGGCATTTACGATATATTTAATGAGGCAAATATCCGCTTATTCTCTTTCATTAAGTATACTGTATTTTATTATAGGTTTCTTTGTTGTTTTCATTTAAATTGTTTACGTTTAAATGTTTTAAATTAGTTTCTGTATCTTATATTAATTTTAACTACATATATTAATGTGGACAATTTTTAATATTTACGGGGCAGCCCTTTTTATCAAAAATTTTTGCGCTGTGCCTTAAATTTGTTCCCTATAAATATTTAAAGAGAGATGAACTTTTGTTTTGTCGTTTGAAAATTGTATTTTACGATTTATCATTTTATTATTATTCATATTTCGTAATAAATGGTTTTAAGGATTTCATGCTTTTATGTTTGTTTCAACATAAGTGTTTTAATATCTTACACAATAACGTGTTCACAATAATTCCAATTAATGGATTAGTTCAGTAAAAATACTACAAATAGTAAGGTAATAGAAATATGGCAACAGCGCTTCTACGCGTTTGGGGCATAGAACACGAAAAATTAGAATAAGGACATTTTAGACATATAAAGTTATAGGAAGTTTATAGATATATGATTTTTCTCGATCTTCAGCAGTTACTATAGTCACCGTCATAGTCAGAAAAAATAAAAAATGAACCCGATTTTCCCTGGCTGCAGGTCCTTTACGCTGTTGAGTGTTGATAGAACACTGCCTGTCAAAAACGTTAATGTAAATATGTCACTTATGTCAATGTCAGTAATGTCACTTTTTTATTCCGTTTTGACTTTTCCCTTGTATCTTTCGCAAAATAAATTTCATTCGCTTTATTTACGTTGTGAGTGTTCGTTCAAGAGTCGATGTGTTGAATTCTGATCTATCTAAATATAAACTTTGATTCTCTGATTATTAATCTCATCAGCGATAGGAGTAGTGTATCAGAAAGTAAAACACTTACGTACACGTAAGTGCTCGAATGAATTTGCGCAAAAACGTTGATATGTGAAAATTTCATCATGTCTTTATCGAAGCAGTTCGAGGAGAACAATCTCCAGAACACATCGCACTGTATTAAAAACACCATCAATTTACCCATAAGCGCAGGCGGAAGAAATGCCCCTTTACTACCACCGAGGCCCAATTCTTTAATACCAACAAGCGGATATAATTCTTATTTACCTTATTCAGGCAAGTCCTTATCATTTTTCCTACCTATAAACTAAGTAATTGTTCATTATTCAATTTAGTAATTGTATTACGCTTTTATGTAAATCGTAAGGAACGTTTTTTACAACTATAAACAATGCGAATTTACATAATTTCCCATTAAGAAACGAAAAAAATTAATCTTCGATTATACTACATTTTGCATTATTTTATTTCCAGGTTCAGGCAATTACAATGGATACAATTCGTACAATTCCTACATGCCATACAGGAGCTCTCTTTACAATTCGTACGGTTCTTCGTACGGAGGCTACGGAGGTAACGGTTACAATTACAATTCCTACGGGAACTACTCCCCGTTGACGATGGACGATCACGAAAGGCGATTCATTCAGTACGCTGAAGAGAGCTCGAGGAATACTTTCGCCAATGTCGAGGGCATCGTAAGGGCATTCAACAGCATCGCGATGATGCTGGACAATACGTTTTTCGCGATGACGAGCAGCTTCAGGGCCGTACTGAGCGTGGCGGAGAATTTCGGTCGACTAAGGACTATGTTTGGTCACATTTGGTACTCGGTGAATATATTTCGGTTTTTTACGTGGTTGTACCGGAGGTTCCTGAAATTGTTTGGTTACAAAGTGACCGGCAGTCACGTTTCGACGGCCTGGTCGCAAGCTAAGAGCGGTATCGGAAGTGAATTGTCCGGAATACCCGGAGCAGTAGGAGCTACGTCCGGTTCGAGTTGGCCTACTATCGCTTTTCTGGGAGTGTTGGTGTCTGCTCCTTACATTATTAGCAAATTCTTGCCGAAATTTGAAGGTAATTGAGGTTTTCTCAAATGTATTTTTCATAGAAGTAGTCTAATTATAACCCTTAATATTTATTATTTCATTGAATTTACACAATAGTCTATAGTTTCGACATATGAGAATGTGATAAATGAAATTATGACATTATGCTTACACAAATTGTAAACATGTTATAATTTATTAATTGATAAAATTCGTAATTTTCAAAACTTAGAACTGCATAAATTTCGATAAAAAATCGTTCCGGTCTTAAATTCGTTAGGAATTAAATTTTAACTAATAGCGTTGCACGTGGTCATTATTATCAAACAAACAAGTTTCATTCCTATTCTCAAATTACACGGCATTTTTATTTCACAATCTTATCTAACACTTTAACTTAGTCATTTTTTATTTTACTAATTATCATTGCCATTCCTTGGGTTCATGTACGACGCAATTCTCATAAACATTGTACTTTTTTTTATTCACTTTTGTAGCTGATACACTTGTATTAATTCAAGTAGCTAGGAGAATTGGAAATGAGTACATTTAATTATAGTTTAAACAAAGATAATGTCTCATATCTTATCTGTTACTAAATACAGGGTGGGTAATCTACTAATGCCCGGTTTCTCGACTCTGCGATAACTAAAAGTTAACCTTTCAATAAGTTAACTTTTCAATAAACCCCAGTTAACCTTCGGAATCGAGTTTTTCGACTCGAAATCCAAGTTTAAGTATGCAACAACTATAACGTTAACCCCTACCAGTTCAGTTAACTTCTCAATAGTAAGCGATAGAACGCGAAAGGTCGAGAAACCGGGCATAAGTGAGGTACCCCCGTTAGCATTAAAAATCTCACAATTTTATGGTTTTATCTTAATTTTTACAGTAAAAGTTTGATGAAACTACTACTGGTACACTCATCCTACATTTTTTTAATTTCTTTAGTTCGTCCTGTATTTAAGCGATGCAAAGTGTTAGATATATCAATTAATTTTCAGATAAAGGAGATCCAGCCAACTGGAAATCGCCGGGAATCCAAGCCAAAGCCGTTTTCGATTTCATCGCTAGCGCTCCCAATGAGCTCACCGTCCAAACGAACGATGTGGTCCTTTTGGCCCCCACATACATACAGGAGGAGATGCAGCTGAAGAATTCCGGATGGGCCTTCGCCGTGAGCAAAGGTCGCTCCGGCGTGGTGCCGCTCAATTACCTGATTATCAGCAAAAACAGGCCGGTGGGGCAGGGGAAAAGGGGCGAGGAGCCGCCGGTGCCTCGGGTGTACCCGAAAACGCACACCAAACGCGTTAGTTTCGGAGAAAATCAGGTAAAATACTAATTATTCAATATTTGATTAGTTTGTATTGTTTATATTATATGCTTTTAGGTTTTCGAAAACGTAGATTTGGATGATTATACATTTAGAAAAGATTCGAGTCGTTCTAGTCAAGAGATTAAGTCCATAAAAAAAGAAGATAAGCACCATAAAGCGAAAGAGACTGCAGTAATTGATAAAAATGAATGAGCATTCACAAAGAAATTCATTCCGATAGATAATATAATAGCTATTTTACACGGATCGGCGCATTCCGATCCAATCTTCTCCATTAGGAAGATTTATTTTTAAATAGGTGGCTGTAAGAAGTTCGAGGTGTTATGATTTTTTTGAAATTTTTCCTTTTTCTGGTAAGACTAAAAAACAACACTTATGTTAGAAAAATTATTTGTGGTTGAGTGTTTTTATATGTATGCAACAATTTAATGTACATTTTTACAATTTTTTCATTGGGAATAAACAATATTGTTATTTCAAGTTTGTTTCACTTACAATTTCGAAGGGAAGATAAATGAAAGTAAATGTATTTGTTCTCCTACTTTTGATAACTATATTTAACACAAATGCCAATTCAAAAAATTCTAACTGGTGCTTAGTCATACACTCGGCAGTTATGTAAACAAATATTTTAAAAGAACAAAATTAATTTATTATAGAGCACTAACATAATCTAGACAACTTTTATTACTTATTTATACAGGAGCCTTGTACACCAAGTTAAACCAATGGCCGCATTCGCACCTTCTGGCCTCGCCCTTGTGCAGCCACATCCAGGTGATGTGGGTCGAATCTTCCTCGCAAACGCACCCAACGAGACGGGAATCGAAAGCAGAAGGTATTTCGTTAGGTGTGTCTTTGGTGCCGGCGCATCTTTTGATTACTTTTATGTCGAAGGGGTTGTCGTTACCCGCTATTTTCGCTAACAATTCGCGTTTTTCTAAACCGGTTGCGTGTTCAATAGGATCGCCCATCGATACTACAAAAAAAGACAGGTTAGGTTCGAAGATAAATTCTACTAATCAATTTTATTAGAATATTTTATTACTGAGGTGTTTAATTGGGTAATAAATTACTAGTAAAACTATGTTTATATAATTGCAAATTTATCCAATAGGTTTATTGAATTTTTGCGGAATTACGTAATGACAAAATTATGGGCGGCTCGTAAGGCCAAAATATCTATCTGATAAGGAGGAAAATACGTACCTTTAGTGGCGAATCTGTAACTGGTAGAAAGTACGTGTTTTTTCGCCGATGTAGCGAGGATTCTTCCACAGAGTGTAGCCATTTTTGGCCCGTTTCACCAAATTCACAACACAAATCGTAAGAACGACAAATTCAACTAAAGTTTGATGAAGTTTCCTCCACCATTTCCGCTAGACGTCACTGTCAAATCTTCTTTCTTTTTAGATTTATCTGGCCTACACCGAATACTGTTACCAGCCACAAGAAAACATTGAAATAAGGGAAGAAAAAAATCGATAAAGTTTATCGATTGTAGATTACACGGATAAATAAAAATCAAGATTAATAAACTTTCAAATTATTAAATTTATTACTCATTTACAAATAAGGTTCTGGGAATTCAAATGTAACTTCCCTGCCCGTCAGCTTCTTGTAAACAGAGGCAAACGTATCAACCTAAAACAAATAGAATAAAAATAAAATAATGAATGAATTAAGCAATTAAAATACAATGGGTTAAATTTAAGCTATAGAAAAAGAATCTAAACTCCTCGATATATAAATAGGAATTGAAAAATTCATTATTAACTTTCGAGCTACATTTATATTGAATAATTTAGGCTGAAGTATTAAAAGCTTATTAAACTCACCTTATGTTCGATAGTAGTCTGCTGATTTTTGTCCAGGTGAACTTTAACGAGTTGAGACCCATCCAAACGAACTCGAATTCTCTTTCCAACGATTTCGGCAGGAAAAACAAGATCTTCTAGAATGGCATCGTAGACCGATGTAAGTGTACGAGACCTTGGTCTTTTCTGCTTGTTGGAGGCACGAGTTTTCCTTGTGGGTTTGGGAAGGATTTTACGTTCACCAACGAATACTACGTGTTTACCACTAAATTTCTTCTCCAGTTCTCTGACGAGTCTAGTCTGAACTTTCTGGAACTGCTTCAGCTTCGGCATCGGCACGTAAATAATAACCGACTGAAAAATATAGAACAATTAGTTAGGTTTGAATAAGGTTAAATTGAAAATATTTACCTTCTTATTGTTTAATTCGATTTCCCTAGCTTTAGTAATATGCAATTCCCTAAGCTGGGCCTTTAGATCGGAATTCATCTCCAGCTCAAGCAAAGCTTGTGCAACTTGGTTTTCGAAGTGGTCGGGCTCAGCCCCACCTGCCTTAATAATTTTTGTAGCCATCTGAAATAAACAACACACGTTATTAACAATAACAATTAGAGAAGTAAATATTCTCTATGTAATATGAAACATAATTGAAATTTGTTAGTGTTTACATCGGCGAATCTTCGGTTCACTCAATATTAATCACAAAAAATCTAAGGGTAATCCAACTCATCGCACTTTGAAAAACGAAATTTGAATAAATAAATTGTTTAAACGTAATAAAATAGGAATATTTACTTTGATAATTACATGTAAAAACTATTAAATATAACTGAAAAAGGGAACGAAACGTGTACCTTGCCTACAATATTTTGAAAAGGAAGAGAAGTTAGCTACAATTCGCTATATCTTATTCTTTTCAATTCAACATGCGACCTCTATCGTATAGGTTATTTAGATAATTTTGAATTGACTATTTTGAACTAATTATATATGAACAAATTAAGAGAGGTAATAATTTTACTTCATTTATTATTATTTGGAGTAAACAGCATTAATATTCTGAAATTAAATTATTTATGTTAAAAAATATATAAGTATAAAAAAGAAGAACATTTTGACTTCGACAAGAATGACAAGTGACTTGTTGAATCGTTTATCATTTTTGTTCATAGACAACCTCTGTTTTTATTAGTTTTCTAGGAAAAATAGAAACATCAAAATCAAACACAATGCCCGATTGCAGCGAAAATTATGAGAAAGAAATATCCGAAGGGAAAAACGTTCGTAACGTAATGTGCAAATATTGCAATTCTGTGATCTTGACCCCTTCTTCTGCTTCTTTTACCAGTTTCGAGGTTAGAAGATGATTAACATTTAATTCAGCAAGTTAATTATGGAATGATTTATTTCAGTACGAGTTACCCCTAATTAGGCAGTCAAAGACTAACGACCAAAATCCAAAGACCGAAAATGTTTCGTTATTTTGGGCTGTGAACGATATGTTTACATTTCAAAATGTGGGATTCTCGAATACTGTAGGTAATAACAAATACCTTACGTGTGCCGACTGCGAAGCTGGGCCCATTGGATATCACGATATGTCCAATAAAATGAGTTATGTCGCTCTTACTAGGGTAATTCACAATTAGCAGTTAATTTCTTTTCTAACACTAGTAAAGAAACGAGAAATGGCTTAACCTTATCTTATTGTTTATCCATTGTATGGGAAAATTCATAAATAGTATGATTGTGATAACTTGTATGTTAAACTACCAATATTTTTAAGTTAATAAACGTTAGCATTTGATGCTTTGTTTTAGTATATATTATTTTATTGTTGATTAGAAATTTTATCATGAATATAAAATTGTACAAATATCACATTTTTTTAAACATACGACAATATGTAGAAGTATTTGATTATTTATATAACTAAATTATCAACTAATTGCTGCAGCTTTTTATTCTCTTTCAATTCGCTTCTTCTTTGAATGGACATTTTCATTTTTACCTGAAATATTGAACTTATATAATCATATTTTCCACACTACAAAAATTCAAACATACCATGAAATTTCTATCTGCATATCCATTCTGTAAGCACAATTTCCACAATTTAATTGCCAAAATTCCAGTCCTGCTTAAATCACCTCTAGTCGTTATTTTAACAAACAATTCACTCGCTAATTGAGATTGCTTCCGACACGGGCCGACATCTTCGATCAACATCAATATTTGCTTCACTATCACTGAGCAAGCCTTGTTGATTTCCTCGATAAATTTCGGATCGGAACCGTAGAGAGCATCATTAGATTCAACTGAAACACCAAACGACGTCGCAATGAAAATTAACAAAGCAAAACCACGAACCTTTATCGATGTGATAAGGGTACTCCTCTTGCGCTAAAACGGTCAGTACGTCGATAACGCTGAGGTAGATAATTCCCAAATATTCGGGTTTAATCCAGCTGCATTCCGTAAAAACGCTCACTAAGGATTTCAGCAGGTCCAAAACGCGCCTGTCTGGGTTATCAGGCACCACAACTAAAGTCGATAGGTACTTCTTAACGTATTGTATCAGGAAAGCATCGGATTTAGCGGAGGCCTCGCTCAGATTCGACAGTACGATCAAGGCGGCTCTGAAGCAAGCGTCCGCTGCAAAAAAAAAATCATTAATTCTCTTAACGATTCATTTTTAAACGAATTTACCTTGACCTAAACATTGGTTGAATAAGGCTACTTGTCCCGAGAGCAAATAAAGTTCCAGTCGAGTTTTCTCGGATAAAATCGAAGGCACTGTTATGAAACAATACGCCGCACAGGCTCGAACAAAATCAGCGGTTTTTCTATTATGAGTCCCTTTCATAATTTGCCTCGTGGAAACCGATAAAGTGTTCACTTGCTACAACAAATTAAGCGAAAGCGTATTAGACACATTAGACAAATTAATTCTAGGGGAATCCCAAAACCAACTCTTTTTAGTAAATTTTATTCGCCTCCCTCGTAGATCCTCTAATTTTTTATTAATAGAACAGTTAACGATATACTGATAACAAAATTCCAGAGAGCGAAGTTTCGATAAATAATCAAATTATATACATCTCTATAGTTAGACGCATTATACAACGTATAGTTCCCGGGGAATCCCAGCGGCGACTATTTGAGGTCAGAAATATAAAAGTGTGGCCAAAATGAAAGCAGTGCTCGGTGTTTTGCTAATTCTCGTGACGGTCGCGCCCAATCTCACCATGATAAGCGTTAGTGAAAGTGACAATTACGTTCGACGACGAGACGAAATACTAAAATTAGAGGCAGCAGAATTCTTAGGAGGCAACGTAAATTTGAGCGTAAAAGAAAAACGAGTCGATGAGGTTATACAGGCAGCAAGAAAACGCGAAATGATCAAAGCCCACGAAAACTCGTCGGAATTTTTACCCTCCCAGCATTTTTTTAAGGTCAAAAACAAAATATCGACGTCGGAAGTTTTCTCGATTATCAGAAAACTTCCCAAAGGCGGGTCTCTACACACGCACTTCCTAGCCGGCGTTTCCCTGGATTATATCATAAAAAATATCACGTACAGAAAGGATATATACGGTGGTTACGTTAACGGGGTGTTCAAGTTGAAATTCTTCGCTGAAGGCGACCCTAACGCGAATGCCACGTGGACAAAGCTAGAAAAATACAGACAAAGCGACCCGAATTTCGACCTTTGGCTGAAAACCCAATTATCCCTAGTAGTGGAAAACCCGCAGGAAACCTACCCCACAGCGGACGCTATTTGGACGAAATTCAAGAAAACCTTCACAACTCAATACGACATGGTATGCTACAAACCGATTTTCGAAGATTACATATACCAATTACTAAAAGAACTGCACGATGACAACGTGATGTACACAGAACTAAGAGGTACTTTTATGCCGTTGTACGAATTAAACGGTACGATTTACAACAAAGAGGAGTTTTTCGAAATATTCATCGGAGTAACGGAGAAATTCAAACGCGACCACCCGGATTTCCTGGGCGTGCGTTACATCCACAACCTATACCGCGGAGTATCCGTGGAAGATCTCACCGTCGACCTGCAGGAACTGGTGGAATTGCAAGAGAAATTCCCCGATTTCATCTGCGGCTTCGACTTCGTAGGCCACGAAGAAGAAGGCCACCGCCTGTTCGATTTCCATCGGGCTCTATTGCCGTTCGCCGGTCGATTGAAATTCTTCTTCCACGCCGGAGAGACCAACTGGTTCGGCAGCACCGACTTGAACCTGATCGACGCGATTCTGCTGAACGCCAGCCGAATAGGACACGGTTTCAGCTTCGACAAGCACCCGAAGCTCGCGGAAATGGCGCGGGAAAAAGATATTTGCGTGGAGCTGTGCCCCGTTTCCAATCAAGTGTTGAAGCTGGTCGACGATTCGAGGAACCATCCGGCGGTGAATTTGCTGGCCAGAGGCTTCCCGGTGGTCGTGTGCAACGACGATCCGGCCGTTTGGGGCGCCGAAGGCTTGAGCTACGATTGGTACGTCGCTTTCATGGCGATGACGCCCGAAGGCGCCGGCTTGAAGGTTCTGAAGCGACTGGCCTCGAATTCGCTGTTGTACAGCTCGATGGGCGAAAGTGGAAAGCGCGACAGCGTTCGGAAATGGGAGCAGAAATGGGAGGTGTTTTTGGATGAAATACTTAATCAATACAATAATGTGTAATTATTTGATTGCGCATTTTTTTAGTTGTAATTACTTCTGTGGATAGATTATTAAATTTTGCAGGAGAGGTAAATGTTTTATATATTGAAATTGACCCAAATATCTTAAGTTATTCTTGGTGGATCTTATCTTATGAGATAATATGATCTCATATGATAATATGATGAATATGATATGATCAGACTTATCTTATAAGATCGTTTTGCAATTATAATCAGATAATTAGGGAATGTCATATATTGTTCTTATCATTTTAAAACATTATAATTATAAGGATAAGGTGCAAAGTTCTCGGCCAGACAACGAAAGACCGCGATATTCAGTTGAAAAATTAAATTATTCTTCCTATTAAGTCGAAATCTTTAGTTCTAGACGGTTCCAATTAATTCTGGAACGTTCAAAATGTTTCTAAACAGTTATGAATGATTCTGGACCGGTCATAATGTTTCTAACAATTATGAACGACTCTGGAACGTTCTAAATGGTTCTAAACAGTTCTGAATGATTGTAGAGTGTTCTAAATGTTTCAGGACGAGAACTTTTCACTCTATTCTTGTATTATAATGAAATCTACCAGGAAATTACGAGAAATTGAATCTATTTTATGCAATATTTGCAAAACTTTCAATTTCCTACATTTTTTTTGTGCATTCGAGATATCTCTTATAACTAACTTATGTCCAATTGAATTATTAAATAAATGTATTACCTGAACTAATTCCGCCAAAACGATGTCCACGTTGGAAAAGGCCGCCCTGGCCTCGACGAAAAAGGCGAGCTGCCCTTCGAAGTCCCTTCCATAATCGACCCTTCGAACGACGCCGCAAAGAATTTCCCCTATTTGTTTGTACTCATCTTCGGGAGTCAGTGCATTCACCGAATCGTGCACTGTACTGCACAGGAACATCAGAGCGTTCGTTATCACGGGATCGTTCGTTTTGAAATCGCCTCTGCAACTGATCAATATGTTCTTGCACACCTCCACTTTTATCGATTCCTCGTGGAAGAGATCCACCAGAGGTAGAAAATTGTCCTGTAACAAAAAATTAGTCGATTCGATATCTTCTACGATGCTATAGCTGCCTTACCATGATCAAAAGTAGCTCGAAATCTTGGAAGTGATTGACGATTTTTGATATTATCAGCTTCAACTCCGAATAGTGTTTTTCGAAACTTCTGTTAGGCAACATGTGCTCGATTATGTCTCCTAGCACGAAATTTAACTCTCTACTCTAAAAAAACAAAGTATGTTCTTATCTATTCTCTATAGAATAACCTCTTTTTAATAATTACGTACCGTGAAGCATTCTACGACGAATCGAATCCAGGCCTCGGCGCAAGTAATATACTCATCGGGATGGCTGAACGAGCTTATCTGTCTCCAAACTATAGCTAGGATGTCTCTCCTTTGATCAGGAGGCGGTGAACAAACTGTGATACACAAGCCTAAAGTCCTAAGTAAATGGTACATGGGCACACCGCCATCGGAGCTTTCTAGAATCATGTTCAAAAATTCCATGCACCTATCGGAGATGTACGCAGGTTTGAAGCCAGACATTATGGTGTTTAAAATGAGCGAGCTGAAAAATATGTATCAAATAATGAGAGAAAGTTTCAAACGACGATTGATTAGTACCTGTTTTTCTTTTTTTTACAAATATTTAGTAAATTGGGTAAATACGATTCGTTAACAACACAATTCACTGCTTCTAAGATAAAATCTAACGCTGGTGTGTACAGAGTGATGTAGGCTGGCAATTCCATGTTTTGTTTCTCTAATTCTCCTTTAATGCCTCTACTGAAAATCTGAAAGAAACTGTGCTGCAATATTCTCTTTGAAATATACTGTAAATTGTGTTACATGTTGATAAGACTCCAGGAAAGCTGCAAAATTCGCAATCAAAAACCCGAATTCCGGCTTTTGCCTTAAAACAGTAATTCCCACTTTACACAAGTAACATCTCACGTAAACTGCTACCAACGGATTGCCAATTCCATGGATCATATCAGTCACTCTTTGAAGACTTTCCGAGCATTCACTAAAATCATGTATGATACATACAAGTATACAGAGACATATAAACAACATACTCTATTGCTATAAATTTGTAAGAGTTTAACAAAGCTATCTCAACGTATATTCTCGGTACAAGCTCTCTAATCGAGGCAATTTTGTAAAACCAGTTCAAACACGTTTCCTTAGCAGAGTCCGAAACCATATCAGGCGTGAAATCTTCCGGTAAAGGTACAGGCGTTTTTGATCCGGGCCTAAAAAAATACCACACATTCAATAAATATATTGAGCTAGATGAATCACAAATAACTCACTTAAGATATGTAGCCTTCGCTCTTAATCTCTCGTAAACCAGCTTACCGAACGTATCCAAAATATCAGTAATCAAAACAAACTTGCTGGGGTAAAACGACAGAACTTCCGAGTCTCCTAAAAGTTTCGCGCATTGAATAGCGATTTTCAGAGCCTTCACTCTTTGATCAGTATTCCAAGCTACTACTAACTCCTTATTCAATTGCTCTATTTTCGTTATGTACTCGGACTGAGATAAGTCGAGTCGATGCTGAGAGCCTTCCTCAAACGAGTCTAATTGTTTTAGGCGGTGTTGGACTTTATCGATGGCAGTACTTTGAGCTTTTACCATTACTGTAAATTATTGTTCAAATTATACAGTTACCAAATATTTAATATTAAATACCCTTTTCTCCTTCGACCAGGAAACTTGTAACTATTGATAATCTTTCTGATGTAGTATATTTGTTTAATATCGATGCTCTTCTGGATATCCAAGGCTCCATTTGATGAAAAATATTACTGTCTGCTTCTTTAATTGATTTAATCGCAGGTGTTTCTTGGGATTCCTATAAAATGTAAATGTAAATATTGTGTATTATACGATTTAACTATTACGTACTGCCTCCGCAGCCATTTTCGATAAAGGATCTAACTCATGTAAAAGGGGATCAGAGTCTTCGTTTTCTTGATTTAAGTTGCTTAAAAGGGAAACTGGGGTGGTTACGGCTGTTCCAGGAGCTGAGCCAAAAACTTTCGTTGGAATTCTTTCTGTTATCTTAAATTATAATAAATTTATTTATATTAGAAATATTCGCGATCACTGTAAGTTTGTGTTACGTACTATGCTTTTTAAAGGATGGTCACTAACAGGCATTCTGGGTAAACTCGAAGGTTTAAAATTGGGGCTATTTGAAAAAGTCCTAAAAATGTACATTTTAGTAAATAAAAAAGTAATTATTCATGTACTCTATACCATTCAAAATTTGATTGATTTAACTCCATTTCGTTATATAGGTACGCAAAATAAATTATATTCAAAATAAATCCTATTCCAATGAAAAGAAAATATTCAATTATAAATTCTAATCAAAACAAATATCTTCTCTACTAAATTTTTGACAGTTTGACATAAAATTTTATTTATTTAAAAAAAGAAGATGATTTTGACGTTTTTATGACATATGAAGTTGACATTAGTGACCAAAAAATTATTCAAAATAAAATTTTATAATCCATAAACATGATAAATCCACCTAAATGATTTATTTTATAATTACATTAGCAACTTTGGTATTTTTCCAAGGATTTTTCCCCGTCTCCCGGCCGAGTTTAGATTTTAATAATGACCCTCCAGATGAAGTGAACGGAGTTCGTTTAAATAAAAATGAATTTTACTCATCGAACGTATCAAAAACTATATTCATGGTGATAGATGCATTGAGACTGGATTTCTTCAACGAGGATTACATGCCTTTAACTTACAGATTAGTACAAAATAACGGTTGTTTTAATAAAATTAAAGTTGAAACTCCTACAGTTACACTACCTCGTATAAAGGCCCTGACCGCGGGCAATATACCCCAATTCGTCGATTTGGTACTGAATTTATTTAGTACGGAGATATTGAGCGATAGTATTATTCATTCCGCGGTTAAAGCGAAGAAGAAAGTTATTTTTTACGGCGATGAAACTTGGATTAAACTGTTCCCGAACAAGTTTTCGAGATTTGAAGGAACTCATTCATTTTTCGTGAAAGACTTTACAGTGGACAAAAATGTGACTCGGAATGTGGAAGTCGAACTGCAAAAAGAAGATTGGGATTTGATGTTTCTACATTATCTAGGTAAAAATCGATAAAGCCGTTATAAATAAGATGCTGAATTATATTTATGTTTCAGATTTAGATCACATAGGACATGTTTATGGTCCGTTCTCTTCCTTAATACCCGAAAAACTTCACGAGTTGGATAAAATGATTTATGAATACTATAAAATATTTAGGAGAAACGAGAATAGTTTATTTTTGATAACTGGAGATCACGGAATGAGAGATATCGGTGGTCACGGCGGATCCACTTTCCATGAAACAAACGTTCCTCTTCTACTAATCGGTTTGAATTGCCAAAGTAATACATTTCGTCAAACTGATATACCAGTAAATATAGCAGCACTGCTTGGATTAACAATACCCTCGATATCCATAGGAAGAGTCCAAAAAAGTTTGGTGTATTCGACTGTAGAGAAGTATCTGTACAAGTTATATTACAACACTCGTTTGTTGGTTACAAGGCAATTTTGTAGCAAATACGAAGAAGCAAATAGTTATTATATTGATTACATAAAAAATTCGAACCAGAGCAGTGCTCATAAAGCAATAGAATTTTATGAACATTGTTTAGAAACGATTAGTGATACTTTAGCTAAAAGCTCTGTTAAGCAAAACTTCCATTATTTAATAGTCTCTCTTGTAATATTATTAAATTGTTTGGTCAGTTTACTTTTAGATATTCTGGGTTCAAATGAAAACAAATCTGTGTTTTTTCAATATGTAATAATATTCACTATAGTTATTCAGTACTTAATTGAAAATAATTTGTACATTTCCTCTTTACTGTTTGTAGTATATATTTTGCTTCTTTTGAGAAACACACGCACATTATGCTCGATGATATCTTCAAATTTCTCGTATTATACATTGTTTTTCTTGGTTTTTTGTTTTCTACATCCATTAACTTTCATTTCTTCCAGTTACGTTGAAGAGGAACATCAGTTTTGGTATTTTTTTAATACCTTAATTTTTCTTACACAATTAACAATATTTTCAAAATCAAAAAATTATCTTGGCACGTTCTATTGCTTTATGATTTTGGTTATTTTCAGATTTATAAGAACAATGAATGCTACTGGTGATAAATGGTTAAATCACCCAGATTTATCAGATTGGTTCTTAAAGACTGAGAATTTTCATTACTATCAAATTTTTCATGCTCTAAGTGTAATTGCAGTGTTCTTAACACAATTTTATTTGATAAACTTAAAAAGACTAATGCTGCTACCTTTGAATTTATTAATATTAACATTAATATTTGTCTATAAAAACAATGAGTCTAGTATGTTGGGGAAACTTATTTGGTTGCTTATTTTCATAAATTTCCTATTGACTTATAAAATTTCAAAAATAGTTACTTGGAATTTAGTGCTTTCTCTGCTTTTGAAGCCGTACAATTTAATTTTAATACCTTACTGCATTTGTTCTAGTTTAATAATATCTCGGTGCTACAAAAGAACAAATCTTGTAGTTTTGCATCACATTTTTTTAAGTAATTTGTTATTTTTCGCACAAGGGCATAATAACAGTTTAGCCAGTGTAGATATCTCGATTGGTTACATTGGCTTGACCTCTTATCAACCTATTCTGGTCATTAGCCAAGTATTGTATCATACACAAGCCTTTCCCGTGCTCTGCCATTTACTAATATTCCATCAAAGGGGATCGGAGAGTATTAAAATTTGGAAACTTTTGTTTTGCAGTCGATTGTACATTTTTATAATTACCTCAGTAATAACAGTAGCTTTCAGGCATCATTTATTCATATGGTCAGTATTTGCTCCAAAATTATTTATCGAGTTTACACACCTGTTATTTTTGTTCGCAGAGTATATTATCTATAAAATTAACGAATTTATTGTTACTAAATTTCCAATTTATAGAATAAACCACAAATAAAATCTTAAGATTGTATATTATTGTTTTAAAAGTACATCTAATTAAAGGTAATTAATCTTCGGGTTTATCAGGAGGAGGTCCGCATGGCTGCAACATTTTCTCCATGAGGTTGAACTTGACTCGAGCCTTAGCTTCGTTTTCACATATTGCGATGTAATTTATTAAATCCGGGTGACCTAAGTAGCTAGAGAAGCTGTCTCTATGCTGATTTACCAACCATTCGTATTTCGTTGTGTCTGCATGGCCTGTACCAATGTACTTCGATTGGAGATGTTCCAACTGACTGTGGATATTGTAGCGATCACCCATAACTGTATTAAGCAAATTTTCACTTTATTCTGAAGCACAAGACAAATTATCAATAATAATGTGTGAATTGTGAATTACTTTTGTTTGTGCTTTGTTTTGTTTATGTAGCTAAATATACGTTTGACAATGACAGACGGTAGTGACAGGTGAGGTGACAGGATTATGACAACTGGTTTCTTCTTTTTTTCCATTATATATTAAATTTATTCAACAATTTATTATCCCAATTATTAATTATAAGGAAGAAAAGATCTACCATACAATATTAAGCACCGAAATCTCAATGAAAACGTAACAAAATAGCCATTCGGTGTCTTACGAAGTTGTGTTCTTCTTTTTTTCTGGTGGCCTTTCTCCTGGGTGACGCCACACATTTATGTTTTGCTGTAAACAAAAATAACATTGATGTTAATGACATATGACACTATGTTTGACATGCAGTGTGGAAGCAAAATAAAAAAAGGAGGTAAAAGTAATTTTGTTTGTCCAAATGAGTTGAGTAAAGTATTTTGTGAAATTTTGCGCTAAAAGGTAAATCTTTATAAATCTTTATAAATTTATAAAAAAAGAACAATATTTTTCGTAATGGAAACCAAGCTTCGAAATGCATTTCCTCAACAATTAAGTTCTTATTTAATTAACATGCTTTTTACTAATAGGAACATTAAAAATACCATTAATTTTGTTATGCTAAATTTGAGAAAAGTATTAGAATTCAATTTGATAGTTAAAACTAACTTCATTATTTCTACTCGATGAACTTTGAAGATGCTTTGGCTAGTGAAGCTTGAACTAAGTTTATTTAAGAATATATTCATTTTACAGTTGAAATTGAGCATGTCTATTCTCGAGAGAGCATCAGAAAACATCAATTTCCCATCGACACGAAACCGAAGGCGATCATTATTCCCCAGTGATGAGGATTGTGAATCAGAATCAGAACTCGGTCATATGAGCCCATTAAATTACGAGCCAACATCAGACCAGGAAAACGGTTCCAGCAAATCTATAGCAGATTATGAGATTTTAGGATTTGCCAAAAATAGCTTAGAACACACTCCTAAAAGATATAATAACTCGGACAATATAATTAGCCCGAACACAGAGTGTATGGAAACTTCTATAGCCGAGACTCCTTCTAAGACTCCCAGGCCTTTCAATCTAATGACTCCCCACGACGCTTCTAATACTAATTCCAAGTTACCAAAGCTATCACGTCGCAAATCAGTGGTAGATTCAGACGCTTACTCTAACTCCAGCAAAAGAAAACTATCACCCGAGATATCCCCTGAGCAAAACAAGCAAATGAAGCTAGACCCCAAATGTTCTCGCGTGAGAACAAGCCTATTTCCCGAAGAAAACTTGACTCTATCCACTAAAAGTTTCTATCCCAAATCGGAGGACATTCTCACAAAAATCATGAATAAAAAGGTCGCGGCGCAAAAATTATCTATTTCATTTAAAGTAAACAAACACCATAGGAGGCCCCTAAAGAAAATAGGACAAATAAACGCCGGTGTAACGCACAAAATCCGCAAACCGAGACAACGAAAAATAGTCAATTTTCCAAAAAAAATCACGAAATTTGGAAAGGAAAACGGAGCACTTATAGACTACATTATGGATCTTAAAGAGCTCAATTCAAACGAACCAACTAAATTAATCAAGAACAAGGACAACGAGAGTACCTCGCAAAAATTAATAACCCCTGCGGTAGTTCCCCAAAAGCCTGTACAAACCGAAAGCGCTTCGATCAAAACAGCCATCGATCCGGATACATCGAGCAAAAAATTCTTCAAGCTCGCAAACTCGAAGGGCGTCGTTACGCTAAACAATCACATCCAACTCGCCGTGGACCACGGCAAGGTAAACATTTTGGACAAATCCGGAATCAACTACGACACGAGCGATTTGAACGTAGAAGACGACAGCTTTCCGGAAACCAATCTCACCAACATCCTATCGTGCCTGAGCGACGACGAAAACGACCCTCCGCCAGGCAATACGCTAGTCCTGCAGGCCACGAGCTCCGTCCTGGCCTCGGACAACTCCATTTTGCTGCACCAGTCCCGCCAGGCGGACCTGTTGCTCTCGCCGATATCCCAAATGTGCGACGTGACGTCCGGATTGGCTCTGGACACGCCGAAGAAAGGCAAGAACTTGAACCCCGTCTTGGAGGGAATCCAACCTATTCCCAATGGTGCCCAGCAAAAACGCTGCAATTCCTTCCCCATATCTTACCATAAAGATCAAGAAACTGCGGATAAGAGGGAGAAGAAAGTTATCGTTAAGAAACGTAAATTAATCAAGACCGATGATAATCAATTGATCATCGATGCGGGACAGAAGAAATTCCGTTTGGAGTGCCGGGACTGCGGGTTTGTTTACAACGAAGATGATCCCGATGATGAGATGAAGCATTTGAGCGTGCACAATGCCAAGCATGTCTTCAGATTTCAAGTAAGTTAAAAATGCAGATAAATGAGTAGAGTCAAGTAGATTCAGACTATAGTAGGTTCAGAGTAGAATAGATTCAGAGTAGAGTAGATTCAGAGTAGAGTAGATTCAGAGTAGAGTAGATTCAGAGTAGAGTAGATTCAGAGTATAGTAGATTCATAGTAGAGTCGAGTAAGAGTCGAGTAGATTTAGATTAGTGTAGAGTGCTTTGGGATTTCTAATTGTTATCCTGATAGAAAAATTGTGCATGAAAATACTTGAATTCATGCACATGAAAATTCACAATAAAAATTATCCTCATTCATTGATGAGAAGGCTTGTTTAATTTTGTCCAAATATTTAATTTTGTTTTGTTATTTCAGGGCTGGAAGAATGAGAAAATTGTGGATGATTTTCTGAGCGACGGTAGGATTATCCAAATCCTCCCCGGTGATTCCCCTGTTTGGTTCAGAAAAGTAGAAGATTTGTTAAACTTGATTAACATTGAACTGGGATGTCAAGGCATGGAGATGAAATTAACCGATTGCCAGGTACAAAATCACGGCTTAATATCAAAAAAACATAAATCTCATTATTTATTATCTTCTTTTAGACATATTTGTATATTAAGAAGAGGAGTATAATAGGATGTCTAGTGGCTTCATCTCAGCGAAAAGGTTACAAAATGCTCTCCTCGGCTGAAGACACGACTGATTTGTGTTCAGAAACTGCGTATACTATAAAATGTGGCGTTTCGCGAATCTGGGTTTCGAATGCTCATAGGAAATTAGGCTATGCTAGGAAATTGATGGATTCGATGCGGAGACATTTCGTCAAAGGGTACTATCTTCAGGACTCCGATATAGCTCTAAGCTCTCCCACACAAGCCGCTAAAGGATTCGCCGAGAAATATTTCAACACTAAACAGTACCTCGTTTATTTGTAACGGTTTTATTTATGCATGTTTTATACGATTCGTTTTAGGCCATTTTAAATTTAAGCTCACGAAATGTTTGAATTTGTAAGTACAAAATAACTAATTTAATTTTTGTAGTTTTTTTAATAAAATGTGTTTGAAGTACATACACGACTCATTATTCAAATACCTACCTCTAATACAAAAATTTAAAGTTAATTCCTACTTAGTTCAATAAAGAATAATTGAAAGTTACTTAAAAAAACAAAAAAATAAAATTTCGGTTTCGACAAGATTCGAACCAAAGACCTGCTTGGTACACGACAACGTCTCTACAAGGGTAGAGTGAAAAGTTCTCGGCCTGAAACATTTAGAACTGTCTACAATCATTCAGAACTCTAAAACCATTTAGAACACTCCAGAATCATTTAGAAATGTTTAGAAACATTCAGAACGCTCCAGAATCGTTAAAACTCGAATGTTCAGAACTGTTTAGAAACACTTAAAACCCTCCAGAATCGTTTAAAACTGTCTAGAACTATTTAGAACGCTCCAGGATCGTTCAGAACTGTTTATAAACATTTAGAACCCTCCAAAATCGTTTAAAAATATCTAGGACTATTCAGAATGCTCCAGAATCGTTCATAACTGTTTAGAAACATTCTGAAAGTTCCAGAATCGTTTAAAACTGTATAGACATATTCAGAATGCCCCAGAATCGTTTAAAACTGTAAAGACATATTCAGAATACTCCAGAATCGTTCATAATTACAATTTATTTTCAAGTACAATTTAATCAACGGCGCGAAAATCGCACCGTTAGGTTTTATTTTTAACACCTTCCTGGATTGATATTGATCAATCACATTCGTATCCACCCTATCTTCGAGCACTTAATCGTCGCCTAGCGAAGTGTTTACAATCGAATTCAAACGTCCGTTTTGACGTAGTCAAATGGTCGCTAAAGTCCAAAATTCGTCGGCCCTAAGTCGAAATAATGGATGAAAACGACGAAAGACTAGAATTCATACTAACGTACCTCACGAAATCCATCAAACTCAAGCAGGACAAATGGAACAAACTCCTGCTAACCGAGGACTACATGGTAAGTCGCACGCGACAGAGCTAAGCAACCTTAACACCGATCCGCGTGTTTTAGAAAATCGTGAGGAATTTCCTGCTGAACCCCGAGGAGCCCATGCTCATATTCACGCTCATCCTCGGGGGAGCGCTCGTTCCCTTTACCCAAATCACCGCCGACATCAAGCAGAAATTCACTTATTTCGTTCGCGTGAAGGAACAGCCCATAAATGTAGCCGCGGATTTCGCGAATGTGGTGGTGTTCGGCGATATGGCCGCCCGGCCGGTGGAGGAGATGGCGGTGCTCTTGGAAGGCGTCTTCGTGCCCGTCCTCTCGAACCCCGGCAACCAGCTCGGCTGGCCCAAAGTCGTCGCCAACGACGTCGTAACTCACGTTAGAAATTTCAAAGCTACAGTCGATCAGGTAATTTCGAAATGAGCCGAAAGTTTCGCCTGCTTCAAAGCGGAATTTTCAGATTAAAGGGGCGATGAAGAGCATCACCATTCTGCCGATACCGCCCGGGGCTTCCAGGGTTTTCATGGCCGTGCAGAATTTCCAAATCAGCCGCGGCGAAGAGGTCGATTTTCAACTAAAAATATCCATCGAGAATTTCGTGATGAAGTGGGCCTCAACTATTACGGAAATTCTGGGCCAATCTTCGAACATCATTTTCGTCTTCACGAAATATCCCATACCGCAAAACGAATTGGATTATTGGACCGGGAGAAATAAGAACCTTGAGTCCATATACGATCAATTGAGGGATCCGAGAGTGAGGAAAATGGGGGAATTTTTGGAGCTGTGCACGAGTTCTTATACTTCCACTTTTAAGTGCGTACTTTCTCCTCTTCTTAGCTATACTAGTAGTTGTGTAACATCGTAACGTTTCACCTTCTAGAACGCTCTTGAAGAAGGTGGTCTCCGCTTTAGTCGAAGCCAGAGACATAACGATGCACCTCCAAGTCTACCTGAATTTCTCGCAGTTTTTCGAAGGCGACTTCTTCGAGATGGAAAAGTACATCAAACCCCTTCTGCACGTCATCGCCCTGCTTTGGGTCAGCTCGAAGTACTATTCGACCAACGAGAGAATCGTGAATTTGATCAAGATAACTACGAATTCGTTACTGGCGTCCGCAGAAATCGCCCTGGACCCCGGCAACATGTTCGGCGGCGACGCCGACCAGGTGCACTTGGTCATCGGAAAGTGCATCAAAATTTTGAACAGGTACATGGACTGGTTCGAATACGTGAGGAATAATTTGGAAAGTTATTACAAGGAAGAGGGACAAGTGCGCAAGGTTGTATCACCGCATATCCGATAGGGAACAATATTATCTGATTCGTTATTTCAGCCTTGGACGTTCCACAGACGGCAAGTGTTCCAAAGAGTGCTGGACTTCATCGATCGCCTGATGGTCATCGACAGGGTGGTATCGATTCAAATCGATTACAGCAAATTGGACAAGGTCGAATTGGGCGGCTTGAGGTGTAAAACCTTTTCGACGAGGGTCGTGGAAATCGCCGAGGAATTCATGATTTTATACATGCCGTTTGCGAGCATTTCGTACGACATACTGGATTTGGACGACATGCGAATCGTCAACGAATGCTCGGCGTTCGAAGAAAAAGTCGTGGACATGGACAGGCGATTACTTTCCATTCTCTGCAATTCGATCGAAGATTGCTGTAACTTGGAATCTCTTTTTAAATTTATCTGCGTCGCCGGTGTGATATCCAAGCGAACCTTGATTTACGAGGCCTTGAAACCCAAAATCGACATCGTTATAACCCTATTCAACGAGGAACTCGTTGTGGTAAAAACCATATTTGACGACGGTAAATTTATAACATAACCCATAACATTCCTCTATATTAAATCGAGATTACTTTAAGCTAAAAAGAACGGCATACCCATCGACAAGCACTTTCCGCCGACGGCGGGAAAACTGTTCTACCTAAAGAAGCTTCGCGGCCGCATCGCCATTCCGTACAAGATGCTGAAAGATTGCGAGGACGATATTCATCAGTGCGAGGACGCCCAGTACATTTACGTGAAATGCGAGCAGTGGTTCAAGCTGCTGGACAAGGAACAGGACGCCATCATGAAGGCCTGGGTGAAAACCATTCCGGCCCAAGTCACCAAGGGCATGTCCAAGTTTCAGTTGCTCAGAGACAGCGAGAAATTGACTCTGTCGCTTAATTTCGACGACGAATTGAGGGCCATTTTGAGGGAGGTTAGGTAAGAAGATTCCATAATCAGTAATTATAAGCATTTACTAATCGTTGGTTGCAGGTACATGAAGCAAATAAAAATAACCGGTATACCCGAAGAGGCCTTGGCGATTTTCGATAAAATAGAAATAATCAACGATGCGCTCTTCAAATTCTTCCGAATAATTGAATGGTACAACTTTTTACGCACCAGCACAACCCCAACGGAATTGGATTTAATCACCAAGGAATTGGTGGAAGTTGATCTACTGTTAAACTTTGTCATCAACGTTAATACTTGGTATACTCACGGTAAGACTTCCTTCGCATTTCTCGTAATTCCTTCTACACCGATGATTCTACATACTTTTTTAGACGCCGACCTCGTCAATAACATTTACGAGGCGATAAAGAGCCTAATAGATCGCGTGAAATTGGCGCAGGAGAACGTCAAGCGACTCATGTCGAACGTGAAGGAATGGTCCGAATTTCCTTTGTTCGAAAGAAAAGACGGCAAAAAGGAGATGTTGCTTTCTCTGGACGACTTGCACGAAAGGGTCAACAGGCGGTACAACAAGATCGAAGCATCGTCGCGTATGCTTGACGAAGTTATCCAAGAGAATTACATACTCTTCTTTAAAATCGTACCCGAAGAGGAGGAATTCGAAGAAGGCGAAGAGTTCGAAGGCGGCGAAGGCGGCGAGGGCGAAGGCGAGGGCGAAGACGAAGAAGGCGAAGGCATCGATGAAGAGGAAGAGGGAGAAGAAGGTGAAATGATGGAGAGACGTAAACCGGTTCCGAAACCGCCTCCGCCTCCGCCCGAACCGGAACCGGAAGGTAATTTTCTACTAACATAAAAAATATTATTTACTAATTTATGTTAATTTTTTAAGTCGCTGACAAGAAGAAGAAAAAGAAAAAAGGCAAAGAAGGAAAAGGCAAAGGAAAAGACAAGGATAAGAAAAAGAAGAAAAAAGTGAAGAAAACCGATTCGGAAATCGCGCGAGAACAAGAGGAAACCGCTAGATTAGAAGAAGAAGCTAAGAAAGCGGACCTAGATAGAGTTTTGTGGTTGGCGTACTTGAAAGAAATTGACGAACTCCTAGAGGACCAAATCGTTGGTAAGATTACACACTGCATTAATGGAGCATGTATGATAACAAAACTGCAATATTCATTGTGAATAGGATGTGTGAATAGGAGCGTTAGTTACTTCACTCAAGAAACTGGCGATGCGGAACCCGTCACGCCTCTCCTCGAATTAATCATGGAACTGCACGACGTCCATATCATATTCCAACCATCGGTGAACGTTGAAGATACCGATAATTTTATGGTAAGATTAGAAGGCTTGGTGGAGCGAATATACGAGATGGCGCTGTATTTGAAACGAGCGGATCCCGAGCAAGAGGAAGAGAATTTCTTTCGTTTGGTGAGACGCCTAGTTAGTAAGCTTATTGGGCGGTGGTGGAAATTCGTTGTAAATATTTCAGGTCAACGATAAGATTGAAATTCAAACCAAAGTGGACGACTTTATGGACAGAGTCATATCCGGCATGAAGGGCGCCGAAGAATTCATCAAGGAATTCGAAGAATACATTGTTTTGTGGACCACCGATCGAGCGAAATATCTGGCGCAATTTTTGCTCTACGGCAGGCAATTGACCCCCCAAGAAGAGGAAGCGCTGCAGGACGAGACGAGGCCTCACGTAAAGGAAACCCCGCCGATACTCGAGCAATTCCAAGAGAAAATTGCCTATTACGATGAGCTATACAAGAAGGTGGAAGCCACGCCCGAGGAAAAAATCATCAACGGCTGGTTGAAGCTGGACGTCCGCCCGTTGCGCCAGATCGTTTTGAACTACGTGTGCAAATGGGGATTCCTCTTCAAGAACCATTTGTACAACAAAGTTATCAACAACCTCGATGAGCTGGACAACTTCATAACCGACAATATCAAAAAAATGCAGGTTTGTGTTTGTTCTTCGCCTTCCTAAAATGTATTTACACACCTGTCATGCTATTATTAGACTCCTCTGACTGAAGAAGATTACGATGCACTGCTGATGGTCATGCAGTGTCTCTTCGCAATCAGAGATAGAACAATCCAAACTGACGCCATGTTCGAGCCAATCAGAATCATTATGGAAACTTTAGCAACATATGGAATGACGTTCCCCGAAGAAGTTGTTCTTCAATTTATGGAGATGCCGGATAGATGGGCGCATTGTAAAAAGGTTTGTTTGTTTTGAAGAATATTTTGAAGTGCTGGAATAGGTAGATGTGTGTCAAACTCGACATCACAGTTATTAGTCTTAAAAAATAATTTCACAACATATACACTTTATTTCTGTCTGACATGCTGCCTCAGGAAGATGGATATGAAATACCTGTTTCATATTATGTTTTATTGGAAGAGCTTCCTTCCAGGTGGGAAGAATGTAAACAGGTAAAGGACGATATATTCGGAAGACAAAAATCTAATATAAACTTGATATTATTTTCATTCTTACAACAAGACATTTTCTGCAATAAGTTCCTAATTATTGTTTAGTTTGCGGCCGCTACCAAGCAACTAATCGCTCCCCTACAAGCCATCCAAATGATCTCCATAAAACGCAGGCTACAAATCTTCGACATTCGCCAAGCCGTGTTCAGGGAGTACTTTAAGAAACTGCCGTTCTTCCTCTTCACCTTTCAAACGCCCTACGACCTGCTGGACAAGGTGAACAGGCAGGTGGTATTCTTGGAGGAAGAGGTGGCGCTGCTGAAGGAGCAAAGCGATCTGTTCGAATTGCAATTCCCCGACTACAAGGGCCTGAGGAAGTGCCGGCGGGAGATCCGTTTGATCAAGCAAACGTGGGATTGCGCCATTATCGTGACGTCGTCGATAGACGAGTGGCGAGACACGCCGTGGAAGAAACTCGACGTGGAAAGCATGGAAATGGAATGCAAGAAATTCGCGAAGGAGATCCGTATTATGGACAGACGCGTGAAGGCATGGAATTTGTTTATACAGTTAGAGGCTACCGTCAGGAATATGTTGACTTCTCTCAGAGCGGTGACGGAGTTGCAGAATCCCGCGATAAGAGAACGTCATTGGTTGCAATTGATGCAGACCACAAAGGTAAATATTAAATTTTTTTTTAGCAAATCTGTTATTGTCTTGGCGATAGCGAAAGGTAAAATAAAGTTTTACTTTCTGTTTGTCAGTGTCTAAAGTCACAACTTCCGCCGGATTTCATCGTGAGTAATTGAGGTTCATTTCCTCGCGCACATTTTATTCGACCATTTTCATCAATCACATATTGCATGTGACGCTTCTATTTTTATACGGCTTTTATTTTTTCATAATAAAATATCAATCGAATCGACGATTTTTTATTTTCCTTCTTTCCCACAAAAACCAATTACTTCGTGTAAGATAAAATATCCGATTTGCAATCTTCTTACCATTGCTCCATTTACCATTGAATGATGCACGTTTCAAACTACACAGAGCGCATGCTAATCAATATTAACGCTACATTTACAATTATCAGGTGAGATTCGTAATGACCGACGACACTACATTGGCAGATCTTCTATCGTTGAATCTGCACCGTTACGAAGAGGAGGTGAAAGCCATAGTCGATAAAGCGGTGAAGGAGATGGCCATGGAGAAAGTGATAAAAGAATTGTATAACGTTTGGACAGTTCTGGAATTTTTGACAGACACGCACGAGAGGACAAAATTGAAGTTACTGATGCTGTCCGAAGAGACTGTAGAAATGCTCGAAGAGCATCAGGTAGATAAAAAAAATTGGTAGAATCTTCAATTTGCTAGCGCATAAACGATTCCAGGTGGCTTTGCAAAACATGATGTCTTCGAAATACATAGACTTTTTCATAACCGAAGTGACCGAATGGCAAACGAAATTGTCGATGACCGATCAAGTGCTGAACGTCTATCTGGAGGTGCAGAGGAAATGGATGTATTTGGAAAGCATCTTCATCGGTTCCGAAGATATCAGAAATCAATTGCCGGAAGATTCCAAACGATTCGAAAGAATAGACAGGGAATTTAAGGAGATTTTAAGAGATATGTCGGCGAACTTGAACATTGTCAGGGCCACGAATAAATTCGGATTAAGCGAAAAATTGGAGGTTGCCGATGTTTTTCACTCATTTGATCTAGCATTTATCATTTTTTTTCTATTCTAGGAGCTCCTAAAAGACCTAATTCTATGCGAGAAAGCTCTAAACGATTACTTGGACATGAAACGCTTAGCCTTCCCGAGGTTCTATTTCGTCTCATCGGCCGATTTGTTGGACATTTTGTCCAACGGCAACTCACCGGAACTCATTCAACGCCATCTAATCAAATTATTCGATTCCTTGGCGAAATTAAAATTCACCATTGAACAAGGCAAAGCCACCAAGAAGGCCAGGGCCATGCAATCCAAGGAGGAGGAAATTGTACCATTTGCCCGTAAGTACCTAAATTACACGATTTCTCACTAATAATATATATTTTTTTCAGATATCTGCGATTGTTCAGGAAAAGTAGAAATGTGGCTCGGCCGTGTCATCGACATAATGAGACTCACGCTGCATGATAGTTTCTACGCGGCTGTAATATCCTACGACGAAAAACCCCGAGAACTTTGGATCAATGATTATCCAGCTCAACCCGCCTTGTGCGGTATGATGATTTGAATTGAACATTTTTACAAAAAATTGACACAATATTTGCAGGAACCCAAATTTGGTGGACGACCGAAGTCAACATGACATTCGCCAAACTGGAAGAGGGCTACGAGAACGCTCTGAAGGACTACCAGCGAAAGCAGATAAACCAATTGAACGCGTTGATTGTTCTTCTGTTGGGCGATCTGACCGAGCTGGAGCGCCAGAAAATCATGACGATTTGTACCATAGACGTGCACGCCCGAGACGTGGTCGCCAAGATGATCGTGTTGAAAGTGGATTCGTCAGCTGCGTTTCAATGGCAGAGTCAACTCAGGCACAGATGGGACGACAAAAAGGACGATTGCTACGCCAATATTTGCGATGCGGAGTTTCGCTATACTTACGAGTATTTGGGCAACACTCCTAGATTGGTGATCACACCTCTAACCGATAGGTGCTACATTACCTTGACGCAAAGTCTACATTTAGTGATGGGAGGCGCTCCCGCCGGTCCTGCGGGAACTGGAAAAACCGAAACCACCAAAGATCTGGGTAAAGCTTTGGGTATGATGGTGTACGTATTCAATTGCTCGGAGCAGATGGATTATAGATCAATGGGAAGCATATACAAGGTATGATAATTAATACTTATTAGGCCTTTACTCTATATTGTATGTAATTTTAGGGTTTGGCGCAGACTGGTTGCTGGGGTTGCTTCGACGAGTTCAACAGGATATCTGTTGAAGTACTGTCGGTAGTAGCTGTGCAAGTGAAAACGTTACAGGACGCCATAAAGAATCACAAATCCATGTTCGATTTCTCAGGGGAATATATAAAGATGATACCTACGGTACATGCGCATAAATTTGCAAGAAATTTCGTACGAATTCTATTTGTTTTTCCAGGTCGGTTTGTTCATAACTATGAATCCGGGTTACGCGGGTCGAACGGAGCTACCGGAAAATTTGAAATCGCTGTTTCGACCGTGCGCTATGGTCGTACCGGATTTCGCTTTGATTTGCGAAATTATGTTGGTCGCGGAAGGTTTCATGGAGGCCAGACTGTTGGCGAGAAAATTCATCACCCTTTATACGCTGTGTAAAGAATTGTTGAGTACGTTCGTGATCAAACTGGGTAATTTATAGACCTGAAAAATTCGTTTTTCTTCCATAGGTAAGCAGGACCACTACGATTGGGGTTTGCGAGCCATCAAATCTGTGCTGGTGGTGGCTGGTTCGCTGAAAAGAAGCGACAGACAAAGGCCTGAAGATCAAGTACTGATGAGAGCTCTGAGAGATTTTAACATTCCTAAAATTGTTACTGATGATGTAGCAGTAAGTTTTTATTTTCTCCAATTTATTTTTAATATGCAAAAGCATTGTAAATTTTTTATCTCAGGTATTCATGGGTCTCATAGGAGATCTATTTCCCGCATTGGACGTACCTCGAAAACGAAATTTGGACTTTGAGAAAATGTGCAAGAAAACAGCTGTCGATTTAAAATTGCAACCGGAGGAATCGTTCATATTGAAAGTGGTGCAATTGGAAGAATTACTAGCTGTCAGACATTCTGTATTTATTATTGGAAATGAAGGTATAAAACATAACAAGTGAAAGACTTATAACATTAACGCATTATTCGTCGACAGGCACTGGTAAAACTATGGTGTGGAAAACTTTGCATAAAACCTACGCTAACTTGAAAATGAAACCCATGTATAACGATTTGAATCCTAAAGCCGTTACCAATGATGAATTATTCGGCATAATTAATCCAGCTACAAGAGAGTGGAAAGACGGTTTGGTCTCCGTGATACTGAGAGATCAAGCTAACTTGCCAGGACCAGGCCCTAAATGGATTATATTTGGTAAGTTTAGACCTCTAATGTTCTGTTTAAACTAGTTGAATTTTTTAAGATGGTGATATCGATCCAATGTGGATAGAAACAATGAACACGGTAATGGACGATAATAAAGTACTAACTTTGGCCAGTAACGAGCGCATTGCGTTGACCAAAGGCATGAGACTTCTATTCGAAATAGCGAATTTACGAACCGCCACCCCTGCTACTGTATCAAGAGCTGGAATTTTGTACGTAAACCCGGCGGATGTGGGTTGGAATCCTTACGTGACATCTTGGATTGATACCAGACCGAATCCGAACGAGAAAGCCATACTAACGATTTTATTCGACAAATACATACCGCCCGTGTTGGAGATGATCCGTTCGAAATTCAAGAAAATAACGCCGATATGCGACGTGGCCCATCTCAGCATGCTGGTGGTGTTGTTGGATTGCTTCTTGACCCACGAAAACGTCCCGGCCGAGTGTCCCAAGGAATGGTACGAAATATATTTCGCTTTCTCCATCGTATGGGCCTTCGGTTCGGCTCTATTCCAAGATCAAATCACCGATTGGAGGAGCGAATTCAGCAAATGGTTCCTGAACGAGTTCAAAAGCGTCAAGTTTCCAGCTGGAGGTAACGTTTTTAATTACTACATACATCCGGAATCGAAGAAATTCCTACCCTGGACCGATTTGATAAAGGAATTCGAATTGGATGCGGATATACCTCTGCAAGCGACGTTAGTAAATACCAGCGAAACCACTCGAATCAGGTTCTTTTTGGATAACTTGATGGCCAAGCGAACGCCTGTTATGCTAGTAGGTCCTGCGGGAAGTGGTAAAACGGTGTGCGTGCAGGAAAAACTGGATAACATGTCGGAAGAGTACGCTGTAACAAACGTACCATTTAATTTCTATACCACTTCGGAGTTGCTTCAAAACGTTTTGGAGCTTCCGTTGGAGAAGAAAGCCGGCAGAGTGTACGCTCCCCCGGCGAATAAAATTATGGTTTACTTCGTGGACGATATGAATATGCCGGAAGTAGACAAATACTTTACCGTTCAACCGCACACTCTACTAAGGCAATACATGGACTACCAGCATTGGTACGATAGGGTGAGGTTCTCGCTGAAAGACATCCACAACATCCAATTCGTGTCTTGCATGAATCCCACGGCGGGTTCGTTCACAATCGATCCCAGACTGCAAAGGCACTTTTGCGTGTTCTCCGTTGGTTTTCCTTCGGAGGAAGCCTGCTTGCACATTTACAATTCGATATACGGCCAGCACGTTGCTAATCCTACGAAGAAGTTCATACCCGGTCTGGAGAAAACCGCCGGCGATGTGGTTTACGGATCGCTTTTGTTACATTTAAAAACCAGCGCTATGTTCTTACCGACTGCGATAAGGTTCCACTATATATTCACGTTAAGAGATCTGTCGAATATTTTCCAAGGAATGCTATTCGCGAACGGGGATGCGACCAAAACACCAAGCGACATGATACGATTGTGGCTGCACGAGTCCAGCAGAGTGTACAAAGACAAACTAATCGATCGCAAGGATCAAACGAATTGGTTCAAAATGGCCGAGGAATTGATAAAGAAAACCTTCGAAAGCGCCGACGAGAATATAGTGTTCGCGGAACCGTTGATTTTTACTCATTTCTCCGAAGGCATCGGGGATCCGAAATACATGCCCATTCACGATTTCAATCAATTGAGCAGGATTCTGAACGAAGCCTTGTCCGCTTACAACGATCTCGTCGGCACCATGAATTTGGTGCTCTTCGAGGACGCCATGTACCACATATGCCGCATCAACAGAATCATGGAATCGCCGAGAGGCAATGCTTTGCTCGTAGGCGTCGGTGGTTCCGGAAAACAATCTCTAACTCGATTAGCCGCGTTCATTTCGTCGTTCGAAGTGTTTCAAATTCAACTGAAGAGAGGCTACTCCATGACGGATATGAAAGCCGATATAGCGGCTATATATTTGAAAGTTGGATTGAAAAGCGTAGGCGTGACGTTTTTGATGACCGACGCTCAAGTGCCCGAAGAGTCGTATCTAGTTATAATTAACGATGTACTAGCTTCGGGAGAAGTAAATGGTCTTCTACCCGACGATGTAGTGGAGAACATAATAAATACAGTCAAAGGCGAAGTTAAAGGATTGGGTATGCAAGACACTAAGGAGAATTGCTGGAAGTTCTTCATTGATCGAGTGAGGAGGTTGCTGAAAGTGGTGTTATCTTTTTCGCCCGTCGGATCGACTTTACGAGTCAGAGCTAGAAAGTTTCCTGCATTGGTTAATAGCACTTCGATCGATTGGTTCCAGGAATGGCCGCAAGAAGCCCTGAGATCCGTCTCTTTTAGATTCTTAAACGAAATTGAAGTTTTGCCTAAACCGCTAGTAGAAAGAGTATCGATTTTTATGTCCTACGTACACGGAGTAGTAAATGACATGTCTCAACAATATTATCTAAATGAAAAAAGGTACAATTACACCACTCCAAAATCCTTTTTGGAACAAATCGACTTGTACAAAAAATTATTAACCGAAAAAACGTTGGGCTTAGTGGACAACATTTATCGTTTAGAAAACGGTATAACGAAATTAATATCGACCGGTGAAGAGGTAGACGGGCTTAAGGAAGTGTTGGCTGTACAGGAGGTGGAACTAACCGCCAAAAACGAAGCAGCTGGTAAGCTGATTGCCGTGGTATCCGCCGAAAACGAAAAGGTGGGAGCCGAACAAGCCTTTGCCAGCGAAGAAGAAGCCAAAGTAAGAGTAATCGAAGAGGACGTCTCAGCGAAGGCGAAACTCTGCGAAGAAGATTTGGCCAGGGCCGAGCCGGCTTTGATAGCTGCCCAGGAAGCGTTAAATACACTGAATAAGAACAATCTTACGGAATTGAAGTCTTTTGGTTCACCGCCCGCGATCGTAAGAGAAGTATGCGCCGCGGTACTGGTGCTGTTTTCTAAAAAAGGCAAGATTCCCAAGGAACGAGGCTGGAAAGAATGCAAACAAATGATGAACAAAGTCGACGAGTTTTTGAACAATTTACTCTACTACGATAAGGACAACATGTCCTCGGACGTGGTTAAAGTGGTGATGGAATATACGAAGAACCCGGAATTCGAGCCCGACAAAGTGGCTACCAAGTCGCTGGCCGCCGCCGGTTTGGCATCTTGGGTCATCAACATCTTAAAGTACTACGACGTGTTCCAGATAGTAGGGCCCAAACGAAGAGCCTTGGCTCAAGCTCAGAAAGATCTCAATGCGGCCAGGCAAAAATTGGCCGAGCTGAACGAGAAACTGGGCCTATTGGAAGAGCAACTGGACCTGTTGAGGGCCGAATACGACGACGCCATTAACGAAAAATTGAAGTGTCAGGCCGAAGCCGATGCTACAAACATGAAAATCGACATTGCCAACCGGCTCGTGGGCGGTTTAGCTTCGGAGAAGGTCCGCTGGGGCCAGTTGATCGAAAGCTACAAAGAAAACATCGTGAATCTACCCGGTGATATTTTGCTAATTACCGCTTTTATATCGTACGTGGGTTGCTTTACCAAAAACTACCGCACTGATATGTTGAATAAATATTGGCTCCCGTTTATGACGAATTTAGACGATCCCATACCAAAAACCGAGGATCTGGACCCGCTTACTCTTTTAACGGACGACGCGCAAATCGCAATGTGGAATAACGAAGGATTACCTACAGATCGAATGTCCGCCGAAAACGCTTGCATTTTGACCAACTCGGCCAGGTGGCCATTGATGATCGATCCCCAGTTTCAAGGTATTAAATGGATCAAATCCAAATACGGCGATGCATTGACCTCGGTACGACCGACCGCCAGAGGTTACATCGAAAAAATGGAAAAATGCATATCCAAAGGAGAAATTTGCCTGCTGGAGAACATCGGCGAAAGCGTGGAATCGGTATTAGACAACATACTCGGCCGGGTGTTGATCAAAAGAGGAACGGTGGTGAAAATCGGCGATAAAGAAGTCGATTGGGATCCGAAATTCCGGCTGATACTTCATACCAAATTGGCCAATCCGCATTACAAGCCGGAGATTCAGGCCCAGGCGACGCTCATCAACTTCACAGTGACACGCGACGGTTTGGAAGAGCAACTTCTATCCGAAGTGGTGAAGGCCGAGAGGCCCGATTTGGACACGCTGAAATCCGAGTTAACCAAGCAACAGAACGATTTCAAAATCATCCTGAAAAGCTGCGAGGATAATTTGTTGTATCGACTATCATCCGCTACCGGCAACATTTTGGAGGACGTCGAATTAGTGACGAATTTAGAAACGACGAAAAAAACGGCCACCGAAATCGGAATAAAAATGGAAGAAGCCAAAATTACATCGGTAAAAATCGACGAAGCCAGAGAATCGTATCGACCTTGCGCGACCAGAGCCTCTCTACTCTATTTTATCCTGTCAGATTTAATACGGATCAACGCCATTTACCAATTCTCTCTAAAAGCGTTTCGCGTTGTCTTCGTAAAGGCTCTGATGATGGCCGAGCCGACCGAAACGTTGGAAGAACGAGTCGTTTCTTTGCTGGACAGCATCACCTTCTCCGTGTTCATGTACACGTCCAGAGGCCTATTCGAAAGGGACAAGTTGACCTACACGGCCCAAATGGTGTTCCAAATATTACTCTACGCCGGCGAAATAGATCCGAAGGAACTCGATTTCCTACTGAGGTTCCCGGCGCAGAGCGGCTTGGTCTCGCCCGTCGATTTCCTTTCGAACATCGCCTGGGGCGGCATCAAAGCTCTCACCGATATCACCGAATTCGCCAAACTGGACAAAGACATCGTAGGCTCGATGAAACGTTGGCAGAAATTCGTCGACAGCGAAGCGCCCGAAAAAGAAAAGTTCCCCGGCGAGTGGAAGGGCAAGAACCTGATGCAGAAGTTGTGCATCATGCGCTGTCTGCGACCCGACCGCATGACCTACGCCGTGACCACTTTCATCGAGCAGTACGTCGGCAATAAGTACGTCTCGGCCAGGGGCATCGAATTCGCCAAGTCCTACGAGGAAACCAGCGCCACGACGCCGGTGTTCTTCATTCTGTCGGCCGGCGTGGACCCGTTGAAGGACGTCGAGGCCCTGGGGAAGAAGCTCGGCTTTACGTTCGACAACAAGAACTTGCACAGCATTTCTTTGGGCCAAGGTCAGGAAATCGTCGCCGAGAACGCCATGGACGTGGCCGCGCGCTACGGACATTGGGTCATCCTGCAGAACATTCATTTGGTGACCAAATGGCTGCCTTCGTTGGAGAAGAAGATGGAGGTGTGCTTTGAGACCGGAGCCGAAGCTTACCGGTACGATCCAATAGCTCGGGAAATATTCAATCATTTCTGTCGGGTTCTTTTTTGCAGGTTGTTCCTTAGCGCTGAACCTTCCGGTGATCCTACCGTTTGCGTCATTCCTCAAGGGATCTTGGAAGCTTCCATTAAGATCACGAACGAGCCCCCTACAGGTAATGAGTTTTCAAAAGTATATCGAGTCGTATTTTATGATCGCGTATTTTATTTTTTAAGGGATGTTCGCCAATCTGCACTCTGCGCTGTACAATTTCAACCAGGAAACATTGGAAATGTGCAGCAAGGAATCCGAATTTAAAGCCATATTGTTCGCTTTGTGCTATTTCCACGCTGTAGTGGCAGAGAGGAGAAAATTCGGACCTCCCGGTTGGAACAGAAATTACCCTTTCAACATTGGTGATCTGACAATAAGCGTGGCTGTATTGTTTAATTATTTGGAAAATAACGCTAAGGTTGGTTGATTATTACGATCTCTATTATTAAATTATTCTAAAAATTGTTGCTTAAAAAAATCTTTTTTTTTGTTCGCGGAGATATTTCACAATAAGGTCAGTAGAATGTTATTGACAGTTATGTAGTAGAAACACTGCACGTTTCTCTTTTTGTTACTTCACCCTTTAGATATAGGTTGGTATATTTGAGCGAATTACTTATTTCATGAACGAATTAGGTGCCTTGGGAGAATTTGCGCTACATCTTCGGAGAAATAATGTACGGCGGTCACATCACCGACGATTGGGATCGCAGATTATGCAGGAGTTACCTGATGGTGTTTATGCAACCCGAGCTACTGGACGGAGAAGTGTTTTACTGCGAGGGTTTCCCTTGTCCGCCCAATTTGGATTACGCTGGTAAGCTATTGTTACCGAAACAAAATTGGAATTTGCTACAATTTAAATAAACTTTGCCTATAGGTTATCATAAATACATCGATGAAAGATTGCCTACTGAGAGTCCGTATTTGTACGGGTTGCATCCTAACGCCGAAATTGGATTTCTGGCAACCATGGCTGAAAGTATGTTCCGGACGATCTTCGAAATGCAGCCCAGGGACGCTGGAGGCGGCGGTGGAATAGGAATCTCCAGAGAAGATAAGGTATAATTTTAATAATATTTGTAGATACATAAACTGACATTTTTTTTCATTCAGATTAAATACACATTAGAAGACATCCAAGATAGATTACCAGACAGATTCCCCGTTCAAGAATTGATGGCCAAATGCCAGGATAAAAATCCATACATTATCGTTGCTTTCCAAGAATGCGACAGAATGAATTCTTTGACGTCGGAAATGAAACGCTCACTTCACGAATTAGAATTAGGTAAAGTCCACAATCCACCAACTCGAATCTTTTAAATCTCCCCTCCAACGTTGCATCTGTATTTGTTTTACAGGGTTGAAGGGCGAGTTGACGATCACGCCTTCCATGGAGGAATTGGAAGAGGCACTCTTCTTGGACCAGGTGCCCGTCAGCTGGTCGGCCAAAGCGTATCCCAGCCTTTTACCGTTGGGCCAATGGGCCAGCGACTTGGTACTTCGAATACAGGAGCTCTCGCTGTGGCTGAACGAGTTTACCATGCCGCCCACCGTGTGGTTGGGCGGATTTTTCAACCCCCAATCGTTCTTGACGGCCATCATGCAGCAAACGTCGAGAAAGAACGAATGGCCTTTGGACAGAATGTGCCTTACCACGGACGTTACTAAGAAGATGAAAGATGAATTTACCGCTCCTCCTAGGGAAGGTGCCTATGTTAGTGGGCTTTTTATGGAAGGAGCTCGGTGAGGATCACAAAAAGTGCCCTTTTTGCGAAATATTACGATGCTAATTTGACAGTCGATGTTAAAAATTTTCATATTTTAGGTGGGATACCAACTTGAACAGCATATGCGATTCTAGATTGAAGGATCTGTTTCCTGTTGTGCCTGTAATATTCATCAAAGCTATAACGCAGGATAAACAGGATTTGAGGAACATGTACGACTGTCCCGTTTACAAAACGAGAATGAGAGGGCCGACGTTCGTTTGGACTTTTAACTTGAGAACCAGAGAGAACCCGCTGAAGTGGGTATTGGCTGGTGTGGCCATTTTATTGCAAATCTGAAGCGCGAATTTTGCGTATTTTTTAAGTTGTGTCTATATAATAAAGTTTTAATTGTGTTAAAATTGATTTTTGTTATTTAGCCCTTCCTGATTTTGTATGTTTTGTGGATCGAAGATGGCTGAGTTTCGAAGCTGTTAACAGCAAATTGAGCATTGCTAGTTTGAACGCTCAACTAGAGATGTCTCTTAACGAAAATTTTATAAGGAATATCAAATTTCCTTATAAGATCCAATGAAAATTTTTATTTAATCACATGATTCATAGCGTGCTTGAATTATGAGATTTCTCACCTTTAGGAAGTAATAAAAACCAACATTACTTATAGCAATATCATCTTCAGTACCAATAAATATTTATAGGAGTTTATGCTTAAGCTGAAAATAAAAATGTAGTACCTAAATTGATTGATGCTTTATCTGCAATTTTTTAAACTTAAACTGCACCTTGAAAACGAAACTAACGCTTACTAAACATTAGGTAGTTTGTACTAGCAGTATTGTGTACTAAATAATTCATAATATCCCAACAACTTTTCCCTTCACTTTGGTACACCATACGCGAAATTGGATATAAATTGGAAGATAAGATTCGGCCTTACGATTGCATTTAATTTCCTGTTTCTAGAATCGAGGAATGTACAAGTTGAGACGTTTAGCGCCCCAACTTGCATCGTTTCCTTCCTGAACGTAAGTGGTCAGTTTCCAAACCCGGGGAAATTCAACGCTTGCCCCTATTTCCATCAGCGCTTAGAGGCTTTATTAGCCTCTAAGACATTTCTACACGTTTATCGTGTCTAGTTTTTATTACCGTCGAATTATTATATATCTCAGGGGTTTATAGGATAATAAAATGATCGAATATGTCTGTGCATGAATGTGTCATGTGCAATAAAATTCGAGGGTTTTTAGAGGACTGTTACAGCTGCATTTTGCACTGTGTACGAGTATCGCGTTATTTTGAAACACTATCATCTTGTGTCCCCTAAAGGCCGATTCGAAACAGATTATTGTTAATTACAATAGCGCCGCGGAGAATATGGTATCTGTTATTATGTGAACATTACTCCACAGCATCCATTATACTGCTGTATATTCTACCGGTCGGTCGAGACCTTTGCTCCTTTCTAATTTATATGCAAATTCTTGATTACAAATCGGATTAAATGAGATTTTCCTAATACAGTGTAAATATTTGTTTTTAATTTACGGGCATCTATTACTTCCTCTATAAAGAAAGAATGTAATACTATCAAAAGTGCCGAAAAAGAACTAATAATGTCTCTTTGGATTCGCCTGTGTAGCTACCTAAATAAAATAAACAAGTTTTTAAAATTATCATCGAAAAATTATATTTTTAACAGTAATGTCTGGTATTCCGTCATCATCAATTTCCGGATTTCCTCTTTACACCGTCAGAAAATTCAACTGGAGTTTTTTACCGTCGGGTATAATAATAATTTACGAGTCGCCGACGTTATAATCAGTTGTTTCCGTTACTTTTTCCTTTTTTTATCCGTTAATAGAGATAAATTACATCCGGCAGGAGACCACTCGTCGTGCGAAAACTCCTTTATTTTAATTAACATCTCCGTTGAAGCTACGCTTTATTTAAATGGACCTGTCAAACGCTGCAGAAATATCATATGCACCTAATAAAAACGTAAATACACCTTTTCGAAACAAAGCTATTTCCCCGAGAATATCTCAGAATATACGACAAACGGAGAAAGATTTTATGCATTGCCCCAATAAATTTCCCGAAATTATCCTTCAGCAGTGATCATAAATGCTGCTCTACAGAAAAATATTGTCCCAATAAAGAGAAAATGATGGAGACGATGCAATTTTGGTTGATTTATTTTTACTGCTCGAAAATCGTTTCCCCATTAATAGGATTGTACGAGTCGATTTCGACAAATTTTAGTATCCACTCGACAAAACGACATCGAATGGCGAAATGCCCGCCTTCAAAGGAAACGCCGCTTGACTCACAAAATCACCGCAAGAAAAATTTCATTCCACGAAAATCCTCTTACTAATTGATCGCAGCAATTTTCCCACCGATAACGCAGCGAAGGTACAACTTCGCCCTCTTGATTATGCAAATTCCTCGCGTCGAAAAATGCACCTCTCCGCTTTAATTGCGGACTTAATTGTTTGCGCGCAGCGCAAAGTAAATTTTCGCCCGAGGAAACACCCCGAATGCATTTTGATACGGACCGAAGCGTAATCGCATTATCGTGGGCCAGTAAATAAAGATAGTGCATCGCAACAGTTTGCCAGACACAACACGATATAACACGAAGTTTTCGGGCGAAGGTTTTCGCGAAAATCCTCCGCCGCGAAAATCTCCTCCGCACTTCCCATGTGCCATTTAACACGTTCCACTGTTTAATGAGAACTCGTCTAATTAATTAACGAACGGGTATTTGTTTTATACGTTTGCTCGTTAAATAGGTACTTGATATTTTAGGCAGTAGGAATAGAGGCGGTATTTATTTATTACACTACATACAGAAGTAATTAGAAATGGCTGTCTTAAGCTCGAGTCATATTTCATTTGTATACCCCGGCGTTGTTTGATTGGAAAAAATTGCAAATAAAGGTGGTAAGAAGTAAGAATAAATAGTAAAATAATTAATATGTATTCAATTAGATTTTTATCAAGTACATCCACTTGTGATCCTAATCATTTCTATTGGTAACCCTCTCCAGAGGAATAGAAGCGATTTTATGACAAAACATAAAATCGTCACGTTTTACAGCATCATTAAATTTCGTCCGTTTTTCGTCCATCCACAAGTGTCTACTCGTTTGACGGACACAAAGTATTTCCAATACTCACCGGTTTCTTGCGAAAATTTAATAACATTTGGAAGCAGGAAAACCGAAAAACGTAAGTGAAATGACTGTTCTACAATTTATCAACGTGACAAGTCGGAGAATCGGAAAACGTGGAAAATGTAATAATAGGATTGTCACCGATGAATGGCCGATGGTAGAGGAGGAAACGCGATGGAAAAATTGCCGGCCATCTGAGAATTTCCTCGTGGGGCCCCGTGAGATTGATGAAGAACGAAACTCCGTTCGAGAATTTCTTGAATTAACAATTTTTACTCTATTTGATAATTTCATCAATCAATTAGCACGAACTCGGCGCGTTGTCGAGTTGATGTATTTATTCGTAGGCCGGAATTTAAACAAAACGAGGAAGGCTTTTGTAAAACCGATTCCCTAAACTCAAGCGGCGATAAAATACACCGTGCACAATGAAATGTAGGTTAAATCGGGCGACCAAACGCCAAATAAATCAGTCTTAAATTCAGGGACAAGTTGTAAATTAGATTTTCCTTACAGACAATTTACATTACGGTTCTATGGAAACTCGAAGTTCCGCTGACTGTATAGTACCCAGTCGTATTTACTGCAATCATATCGAAGCAAGTATAATACTTGCATAGAAGTAATTCATGTTGATAAGTAGGTCAGTGTCTATATTATATTGTACGGTTAGTTTTTTTGAATGTATAGAAAAGAAAACCTGCGTTTTTGTTCGTGGAGAAACCCTTCCTAAAATTATTTCAACGAACGGCGTCGTCTTTCTCGGCTCATTTTTCACGGCGTCGGTACAATGGAAACGGAAAATACGCGCCGCGAATTTCCCACCCGACGACACGTCATTTTAAGCCATTTCATTAAAGAGTTCTCCCGATTCGGGACGAAATTCGTAAGCGAGTACTCGAAAATATTTACACAGATGAAAACTCACGTAGGCTCTTAACTGCACATTATATCCGCCGGGCTACATCTACTGCTCCCGTTCGCGTAATAATACTCAAGGTTTTCATCCCCCCGAACGTAAATGTTTGCGATACATTCATAGCGTGATATTCATCTCGAATGACCCAATGGAGATTAAACTGGAAGAAACGTTTCCTTCGCTACAAGCCTTCCAATTTCGCGAAGACCGATTTACAAAAATTTATACTTACTTATCATGCGATTATAATTGCAGTACATTTTTCATTAGATAGGTACACACACTCAAAAATGTTTTGCATAAAAAATATTTAATATAGCAAAATATTTGTAAAGTTACTTATCAAAATTAGTTTCTATGTCATTTACCAAAAGGCATAAAATAAAAATTATCAATAAAAACAATTTATCAAAAGAAATTTCAAATAATAAATGGCCAGTGCCCTTTCAATTAATATTCAAAACATTTTTGAGTATGTGTATATTGGTTTTTTTATCTAGGTAAATATAACATAAATAAATAAAGGGTAGATATCGAGGGATGAACAAACATCCTATATCTTTATAAAAGAATATTCTCTAGGTTCTTCTAGGTAACTGATACGAATGTTCATTACTCCACATTGAACAAAATGTAATTGTGTACTTTGGTAGGAAAATATATGAGAGAAAAATTCTGTTGCTTCGTGTTTTCCTGCTTTTTACCCCGGTCGTGTAAATCTCTTAATGTTTAATAAACGTTAATTGCCGCAATTTATATTGAAACTGGCTGAGGAGTTGACACATTTTCCTGTACACATCACGTTCACGTTCGCAAATAGTCCTGTGAACTCTAGGAGGAACGTTTAGGTGATAGGTAGATTATGCAACTTCTGAATCTGACGGTTTGTAAATTGGAAATTGATACGATGTTATGTTATTAAGCAAAGTATCCGCGTCAGAAATTTTGATTCGTTTTAAACGGAATTTTTCAAGCGAATCAGTTCGAAGCGAGTATTAATACGAATGGCATTTAGGACCGTGTACGAACTCGTCATTAATAGGAAGAGTTTTGAGTAAATTAAAGCGAGTACGGTTAAATTAAAGCGACTCGTGTGCTATATTTCGTCGAAAACGAGGCCTTTCATTAACTTTTTGGGAATCATTCGCATATTCTACTACTATTATAGCGATATTGAGTGTTTATTACTTAGTTCCATACATCGTAATTACGTACTCTAATTGAAACTAGTGACATAAATCATTTTCTTGACTCATTACTTTGAAGCGGTTTAGTGGGAGGTTATTTGCTTCATCAAATTTTCCATCGACTATCGTGAAAAAGAAAACGTTTATTCTCCAGGATTATAACAAGCGGAAATGCCATGCTATTGCATTTATTTCTCACTAATTAGCCAACCTCCCCTAATCCTAAAGATACGTCTTTGGAAGCGCACGTATATTCCTAGTTTCGTTATATTGTTGTGCTTATTTTCCCGCTGGTTGCAATTTGAATAAAAAATTCGATTCATTTGCATGCGGTTGCTTAGTGTTACTGTCGTTTTAATTAGAAAGTAGAGTAGGTGATTAGAGGGGCATTTGCGGGAATTGCAGACAAATTAGACCGTCCGGAATGTTTGGAAAATTGCGTCGCTTTAAACAAAAATATACGGGGTTTTTATTGTAATTATCGCAAAGTTATTTTCCGTGTTGTGTGCATTTATTGTGTGATTACAGCCGTAGGTAATGGTATGTTTTTTATTTACGATACGTTTCGCTCAAATACTTAGAAAATTACTTTGTAAATTCACTGGACCTAAGTAGTTAGACATCATTTCCCCGTGCCATTGAGAGAGTCTTATTTCCCGCATTCGGGGAAACCCCTACCGGGCACCGTGGACGTCCCGGGGCCTTCCGCCTTATTTATGTCTTCGATGGCAATAACCCTAACGCATGGCCCGCTATATTTCCGCAGACGTTCGGCGACGGGCGAGGAAACCCTGCCCGTTTTCGCGTCGTAAATTCGAGATTTCCTCGCCGAAGGAAACACTCTCTCGAGCCCGATATTTAAGAGGCAGATACATGTACGCTGGTACATTGATCTTGCTGAAGTAGTACATTAGAAGCAGGCTAAACATGTCTGCGACTGATCTATAAAACTTTCGGTTTTGACAGTGGAAAATTTATAAATTCTGAATTTTAAGCTCGCCGTGGAAGTAATACTTTCTAGTCTTACAAGTTTACCTACTTATTTATTAAATGAAGAGACTGCTTTAAATTAGGTTTGTATTATTCCTAACGGTTCCTGCGACATTGGTTGGGGAAATTTTGGCCGTTTTTGGCATCCAGTCTCATTCCATACGGATTGTATAATAAAGAAAGTGAGATATGTTTATGCCGCATTGATCCGGATCCAAGAAATCTCGGCCGTCCGTTTCCGAAATGGTTACACATATTATCTAATAAATCCGTATACCAAACGTTCGGAAGCTAAAAAATGGCGGAAATCTTTTCGAAATATTAAAGTTATGAATTGTTTTTATCCGCTTTTCTCGTATTTATTTCTGGCTGAATTGCGCGTCTTGTATAACGTCAAGGACAAGGATTTTCACTTTGGGAATTATCTCTCGCGTTGCTATAAATTTAGGTAATTGAATGGAAACCAAGGCAAAATTACTCTTAAAAAGTTATACAAATTTGCAAAATTGCAATTTTAGTTATATATTCTTTACGGAAGTACTTATTTACAAATGTAATCTTCTATAATAAAATACACACTTATTAACTCCACATTTATCAATTACTGTAATTAATTGAATGTGTATACGTAAGTCGAGATAGAACTTTAGCAAATAAATCGAGTATAGTTCGTTTGTGACGCCCTACCATGCAAATATCGGTCTCGTTAGCGCTTCGGAAACGCAATTCAACAAATTGATTCTATTTAGGTAATGATATGAGAGTATTATTCGCACTATCGAGCCGATCATTATTCATAACTCATTAGTATAATTGAGTCTATTCAATTGAATGTTAGAGGTGCATCTGGTGCATCTTAATAGAGATCGCGGATAGAGCGCTCCAGTGCAGCGGTATTCCGGACGTGCGTTTGGAGTATAATTAGAGATTCCTTAGAGATGATACATTGGATATTAGCGATTCGGTTGTGCGGAAGTAATAGAAAATTCAACTTCTTCTATTATACATCGAAGAAATCGATACGCACTTCTGGCGTACTATCTATCAATCACCGAGTAAACACTCAGCACTCATCTCGAAAGCTGTAACTTAGCTGTAACAGCGGAGCACATTTGACTTTTTAATGTAAAAAAATTCGCTGAGTGCGCGAACGGGCGGCTGGAGGATTGTCGCCATCTTGCCGACTCCTGAATAAAAGAAACAATCAGAGTTCCGCATATGCCATATCGGTTGTACAAGAGTGTCGAATATTCGCGAAGGATTCGCAATTTTTTTTATGAACCAAACCCATATGGCGCTTCGCATAAATAGCACGGTTACAAGTTAACGAGAATTACTATTTTTGATGACTCCAAGTTGGTTTTATAATGTTATTTGTAACGCAGGTGTTAGAATTAGACGTAATTTCATCCCTATATCCTCCGATAACATGCGAATGTTCGACGTTAGATGCGAAATAAATTCCCAACAGCAGTAGAAGGTTCAATTTAGGAGAAGTGAAACAGTTCGTTGGGCAAAGAGAATACCGGGCGAGATTCGGGAGCTGGTCGGCAGGAGGAATTCTCTCTGTCACATTACCAAAACACGATTGCAACGATCCCGTTACATTCGAAGGGTTACTTAGGGCTTCCGCTATCGTAACGTCTCTTTGTAGGATCGACTGCAAGGAAATTGAACGTCTCGAACAAAGACCTATCCTCTTGGAATGTTATAAAGCCCAAACGTGGACGCGGCAATAAATACGCAATACACATTCAACGTTTATGTTGGCTTAAGTCCGGCCAAAGAGCTGTTGTTAAATGTGATTGTTGTTAAGTGCAGGAATTATCTAACTGGATTGGATGGAACAACTCTCATTTATTTTTTTCTTTATTTAAAATATTATGACAATATTAAACGTTTAGTAAGTATATTTGGTATTATCAAGTATTTCAGGTACTAAAATGAACTGGAGTAAAATTTGTAAAGGCTGATGGTTTATTCGTTTATGTAGAACAAAAAGAGAAAAATAAAATTATTGTTAAAATAATGCTGTTAGTCGAGTTTTAATCTATTTTTAAATCTGTAATTTGTGTATTTTTATATTGATTTAGTCGTACTTGAAACTGATTAAATATTGAATGATTGAAGTTGAGCAGAACAATGAAAATGGGTAAGTTTAAGAATAGTTTATATTTTTCTTTACAATTCAAAATACAATTCAAAATTCATTAGACATTCACCCTTTCAATTTATTCATTAAATTGACGAATAAATAAAAATTGTTGTTATTTTGTAGACAATAAATTACCAACATTGTTTGAGATGGATAATTATTACAGCTGCATGAAGAGTGAAAATAATTTATATTGCAATGTTCAAAGTTCCTTGGAGATTTCTGGCGTAAACTCAAAACTGCTCGAATTTGTTAAAGTAAGCTTATTGCATAGCTTAAAAGCTACAATAATAAATTCTTCATATTTTTTTAATAACTCGCTATTTTGAATATTTTTTATAGAACAATACAGCTGATGAAAAAACATTTAATCGCAATTTCGTCCACAGAGCTTTCTGCTTGCCTAGAGTAGAATCCCAAAATTCATCGATGTTAGAACATCATTTTAAAAAATTAATGAATTTTGAAACTCAAAAGTTTAATTACGTGAATATTTCTGACGTGGAAATTGTTTCTTGTACGGAGAAAACTAAAACTCCAATGTATTATGATTTTGTATTTTTGTAAGTATAAGTATTTAGAATCTATAGACTTGTAAAACGTTAACTATTACAATTTTAATTGCTATATTTTCATATTCTTCAGACTTTTTCTATGTTTATACCTCCTGTTTGTTGCTTATGCGACAATCTTCGCCAGGAAAGCCCCTAAAGTCGATGCGAAAGAAACACAATTCGATGTATTAAAAACTTTCTCATTAGTAGAAAATTGGAAAAGAAGAACATCGGATTCTAAAAATTCCGATTTTCAAAATTTGCTAAGCATGCAAGGCTTGAGATTTTTTTTATTATTGCCCATAATCTACTTTCATACCGTTATGATTAATGTGATGGCTTTCGTAACAAATCCGATTCAATTTGAACAGGTAAATTTATGTGCTGCAGATCGATTTAAATAGCTGAAACCACCAAGGTCAAGATTTCTGTATTTTTAGATGTTGCGTTACGACAACACTTGGATGGTTTTCATCGTTTTACCGTTTTTCCTAATGTCATCTTGGCTTTTGATCCTCCAAGTTAATAACATCTACGATAACCAAGGAAAACTTTCATTTAAGAACGTTGTAATAATTATAATAAACAGATACTTCAGGTAAAAATTGAATTTAGTCGTTTGATAAGATTTGTTTATCATTATATTATTTTTTTAGGCTAATAGTTTCAGTAGCGTTTACAATGCTCTTTCTATTCTCTTCATTAGTGTCTAAATTTGAAGGTCCCCTAACGTTTACAATACTTAATTTAAATGGCAGAGCTTGCAGAAAAAATTGGTTTTACTCTTTGACTTTGTTTGGGAATTACGATGTTATTTTAAATTTGGTACGTTGGAAAAACTAATTTCTTCTATTATATTTATACCATTTTCAGTGCAATGGTGTTTCATGGTACGTGTCAGCAGATTTTCAAGTATATGTAATTAACTTACTGCTTTTATACGCAAAATTGAAGTATAATCTGCGAAATCGGACATTTTATGTGGGATTACTACTAGCAGTTTGTTTTTTGCATGGTTTTATTGTATATCAATATGGAAACGATATAATTTATACACCAAGCGTGAGGTCAGAAAAATAGGAAAATAATAACAATTTATTTAACTTAAGACCCTCTTTCAGGAACTTTGAAGAAATTGGCGTTAGAACCTCAGAAAAATTTGTGTGGTACTACACTTCTACTTACTCCATATGGGGATGTAGTATAGTTGGTTTAATATTTGGAACTATTTATTATAATATTAAAGCTACGCCGATGAAATGTAATAAGGTATGAATTATTTGTACCTATGTACTTTTAATAGGTCATTAGAGAAATATCTAAAAATTTTAGATGGTAACGATTTTGGGGGGAATATTAGCAGTATCATTTCCTTTATTAGCACTGAGATTAAGCTCCAAACAGACTGATGACAGAATGGAAGCCGCATTTCTAGCATCAGTTGTGAAACCTTTATTTAACTTAGGATTTGCAATTGGACTTTTAGGAATGGCCAAAAATTACGGCGGTATGATATCCAAAAACTTATTTCGTGTTTCCTAAAAACCCATTTGTTTGTCTCTCAGGATTTTTGAAGAAAGTTTTCGAATGGAAATTTTTTGTCGTGATGGGAAACTTCACTTTCTTCACTTATTTGATTCACATGGGTCCCATACTTCTTATGCACAGCTTGAAAGATTGGCCGTTTTACGCGAGTTCCTATCAACTGGTAAATACAACATTTCTCTAGATTAAATCTCTATAAATATTTTATGATCACGAAAATTGATTGATTGCTTTTTATTGCAAACAGATTTTGGATTTTGCGAAAGCTAACGCAGTTTGTTGGCCAATCGGTTTTCTCCTTTCGCTGATTATTGAAGAACCCAGTTTAATAATTCAGAGGAAGTTCCTGCCCCAAGTTGTATACAAGAAATCCGAGGAAAAAGCTTCGTAAATTAGTTTTACATTTTACCTGTTGAATAATAACTAGAATATTTTATTTGTAAATTTTATTAGTGTTAAGTGTTTTTTTATTCTGAGTCAATAAATTCGTTTTAAATCAACTTATATCAAATAAAATCCGATCCTGGCAACGTAATTACCTATAATGCATTTTTATGCAGCATTTAGGCACAGAATATGTAATAAATAATCAGAAGGATATCTCCAATCATGCGACCTTCGAGCATTTAATCCTAAATTTTAAAAATCGAACCGTTCAGTGCATAAGAGACCGACACGGGCAGAGGTACCGGAATCGTGAATTTATAGATAATTATTATTTTCTTCTGTTGTTTCTATTATTTGGTATGCATTGTGCACAAGCAAATATTTAATGTACGAGTAACAACGATCGAGAAATGGGTAAAAAACTTATTTCAGCCGCTAATATTTTGCTGCCTCTATTTGAACTAGAAGATTACGGCAAGTGCTTGGGAACTGAAGGAAATAAATATTGCAATGTCCAAGCTAAGCTAGATTTTAGTACGCAAAATGAAACTGTAAGGGATTATATAAGGGTAAATATACAAAATGCAAATATTATTGTTCTTCATTAGTTTCAAGCTCACATTTTTAACAACCTAGAAATAATTTATAAGGAAAATATTATAAGTATTCTGATTTTTTAAGTAGGCAAATTATATTAGCCAGGAAATCGCTAAATAACTTAATAGCCATTAATAACTAATGGGTACTAATAATATTATCGTATAAGAGCTTAATTGAACTGCGATTTAATTTAAATTTGAATACAATTTCGCAACAGTGCTGGATCGGCTTATCTAGTAAGTTCTTTTTAGAAATGCTAATATTACATTACTCTTAATTTTAGAACCTGACGACTAGCAAATATTTATTCGACAGAAGCGTAATTCACAGAGGAATCTGCGTTTCTGCGAGTGAATCCCAAGATTCAGGTTCATTGCAAAATTATGTAAGCGAGGCAATTCATGAAAAAATTCAGCATCTTAACTTAAATGCAACAGTTGACGATGTAATTTGTACTGAAAATAAAGAATTTACGAACTACGACTTTGCTGTTTTGTAAGTATGCGTTTGCATCTATCTACATAGGCATTCGTATTAATATTTTAGGGATTTTTTCAGAATCATTTTAACAGCATATTTTTCATTAATAACAACAGCAACGATTTGCGATGTATTTTTCAAAGATGGCTCCGGTAAATCAGATGATCAAGAGAGTTGGTGCGCTAAAATAAATTTTCCAAACGGTTTCCTAAATTTATCAATGAGAAACTTGTGGAAGAGACGCATTACTTCACCTATGAATTACGATTATCAAAAGCTGTTGAGCATTCAGGGTGTAAGATTAATCACTATGCTGTACATAACAGTGATACACATTTTTTATATGTTCGAAAACTTGCATATCTCGAATCCTGAGGATTTAGAACGGGTAATTATATTTGTACACTACAACAGAAATATGTATTTACATTATTTTAATGTTTTTAGTTAGGTGCTGGCACTATATTTTCCCTATTTACTCAAGCAGGACTTTTCCAAGTTTCCATTTTCTTCATGATTTCATCCTGGTTATTGGTGATCCAAATTTACAATCTTCACGATCAACAGAAGGAGTTCACTCTGAAACACGCGTTCATATTGATTTTGAACAGGTATTTTAGGTAATAACTTTTCCGTGATAGGAAACGGAATAGCCTAACAAATAATTTACCGATTTATTCCAGGTTAGTTCTGATAGTCGCCTTCAATATTTGCCTAGCTAGAACAACGTTCGTTCGCAGGATTGCCGGGCCCGGTATATTTTTCATTAATACTCTAAACGAGCGAGCTTGCGAGTCCAATTGGACACAAACCTTGTTGTTCGTAAATAATTTTAATTTTTTATTCGATATAGTAAGTATTTACGGTTAAAAGGGTTTAACTGTTTTCCATATACTTCCCAAATCTAATTTACTTTTCAGTGTTTACCAATGACTTGGTATTTATCAGCTGACTTTCAGCTGTACGTGCTAAATATAATTTTGTTATACGTTAAATTCAAGTTTCGAATTTCCGGATCTAAATTTTATTCGACCTTTTTGTTAATTATTCTTGCTTCGCATGGATTTCTGCTTTATTATCAGGATATGGGTGCAGTGTTTAGAGTCCATTTAAGGTAGTTTTTAAAAGCTAATTACAATATACTTAATAGATTATTCTTCATTACTGCTTACAGAAATATGGAATTCAGGTCCCTGAAACAATCCAATGAATATATCGTTTTATATCTTTGCACATTATCAAAGTGGTCTTCCAGTTATATTGGAGTTATTTTAGGTGTTGTTTACTATAAAAGCAAATCTAAGGTTTATGCAATAACTTGGGTGAGATATTATTAGTTTAATTGTAGAGAAAGAATATTTATGGACGCATCGATATTTTAGGGAAAAAATATTGTGTGGATACTCTCTATTTTTGTTTCATACACGATGTCGTTAGCTCTTTGTTTCGTTAATATGAGAGGAATTTTAGCAGCTATCATCGGTTCTATAGTGAAACCTTTACATTGCCTGGCGTACGGTATAGGAATTTTAGGGATGTCGCATAATTTCGGAGGTATTTTATACGTTACAAGATAAATTAAATTTTTTATTTGTTTTTATTAATTTTTTATATTGTACCGGTTTGTTAATACTATTTTAGGGACTATGAAGAGGATTCTAGAAAATAAATATACAATTATTTTGAGTAATTTCACATTCTGCGTGTATTTGGTTCAAATGCCTGTAATTCTAATTTTAGTTTCAAAAGAAACGGAACCGTTAATTTTCGATGGAAAATATTATGTAAGTATGTGACTTAAATCGTGTACATTAGATACTATACTTCAATTATCTACCGTGTGGAGACCTTAACAGGAATAAATTCGCTAGCAGGAAAGTGAATAATTTTATTAAAAATTCCCGAGATACGTCAACGTTTTTATATATTTACCTACATTTTGCAAGCAAAAAATAAAATTTGATCAGTACGCTGGATTCCACTTTTCACCAGCTTTCCAATGAGTGGTCACAAGCCCTAGGGTTGCATTTGAACAAAACATGTTAAGGGTAGTTTAAGCTACCCCTGAAGGCCTACATTCCTATTATTGCTTGCAAAATATAGGTAAATATATAAAAACGTTGACGTATCTCGGGAATTTTTAATAAAATTATTCACTTTCCTGCTGGCGAATTTATTCCAGTTAAGGTCTCTACCTAGTAGGTACTTATAAATTATAAATATTTATTTTTTTAGTTTGGGTTATTTTGCGCAACATTAGTAATTAGTTATATTTTGGGGATACTTTCTACACTTTCAGTTGAAGAACCGGGACTCATATTGCAAAAAAAATATTTGCCCCAACTTCCCAAATGGATACCAACAGGCAGCTACAAAGAAAAATGATTCTAAATCAAACAATTTGTATTCATAATTTTATTTCAAATAATCTATACAAGTTTTGTAATAATAAAATTTCATCATCTGAACTCTTTAGAACTCTAGAAATAAAGCAGACTTTGTTAAATTTACTGTTGTCCACAATTATTTACCTTCTCCGGGAAAACAAATGCCATTATTTTGCCTTAAACGAAAATTAGAATAATAAATTGTTAATTTTGTTAATTTGTCCCTATCTGAAAGTTTCCCGCTCAACCCGAGCGAAAAATGATTTTTGGACTTGATTACAAAAGCGGCTCAAGAACTTTCTTCACGTAAAATAAACTTCATAAATGCGTTAAAAAAGGTGGAAATTCGAATTTTCTTACCTGCAAAGAAGCGGAAATTGCTCGCTAATTTGAACTACCCCGTTTTTGATAACCGTTCGAATTTAATGATGCCCACAAAACTGGAACAAGTAATATTTTGGTCGCGCTGCGTGCAGCAAAATATCAGGTACTCGTATGAATTATAAATGGATTTTTTAATACACCTAATTTACTTTCTCTTATGCAGCGACATGGCTGAATAATCTCCGTGGAGCTAGTATATTAATAGGTAGGTCGAATGTAACTAGACACACAATCACGGATTATGTTCAAACTTTACTCATTAGACTCATTTACTCTTTAATTTTACTCATTAGAAAATGTTGAAGATGTTACATGTTTTGTAAAATTAAACGGTTTTACTTTAATTTGGCACCATGTATGATTTAAATTATTTTATTTTTGTTAATGTCATCCTTTTGTTTGTTTCAAAGATATATAGTAATTATTATAAGTATAGGTATACTGTTTTGTGTTATAAAATGTGAGACCTTAAGAAAATGTGTCTGTTTTCTAACTTCTAACTTTCTATAACAAGAGCAAAGGTTTAAAAATACAATGTTATTGCAATTATAAACTCAAAAAATTGTTGATTCAAACTATTTAATTTATCCATTATACCTGAAATGATTAGTACCTACTTTATTAATTCCATTAAATAACAATGCATTAATAATAGGGAGTGAAGGTAGTTTATAGAATAATTGCAAACACTTCATTACCAATTTCTCCAGTTTATACGTAAGTAGATACATAGTATATTTTATAACTAAATTCGAAGATTCATATATTCTTCTATTATTTAATTCATTCTCATATCGTGTAAATTTACATTTAAAAATTGTACACTTTTGTAAATTTTTTAACTAATTTTTCTTAATTTAGTGTGAAATTTTTGTAGTAATAATCAGTCAAATCTGTTATCATGTTACCACCGATGTTCGAATGGGATGATGGGGACACATGTCTTCGAAACGAGGGGAGATTTTGCAAGGTTGAGGCTGTGCTGAATATGCCTAATAACAATTTGACCTTACTGAACAAGCTTCAAGTAAATGTGACCAGTCGTAATCGTCATGACGCTTGTTATCGAATTATTTGCAGGATATTTTGCTAGACAAGACAAAGATGGATCGGAGTGTTTTACGCAGAGCGATATGTGTGCCGAAAGATGTACAAGATACGAAGAGTTATCTAACTGCCAGGATAAACGAAAATTTGGAAAGTTTTAATCTAACGGCTGAAATTGACTACCAATATTGCACGGGCGAGAATTTACCCAATTTCTTTGATTACGCCATATTGTATTTAATTTATTAATTTAAATGCAGATCTACTTAACAAGCTTTGTTGTAGATATGTACAGCTATTTTATATAATTTTCGTACTATTCGCAACAGTGTACAGCATCAATAGAAAATCTGAAATTTCAAGTATGGCAACGAATTTAATATTTGAAAATATCGAAATGTAAATAGAATTTGTCTGTTGCAGACTTCGGAAAATTCGTATGCTGCTTTTCTCTCTTAAGGAGTTGGAGAAAGCGAACGGTTATTTCGAAATCCGAGGATCATGTTAGATTACTGAGCATGCAGGGAATTAGAACTCTCGTAATGTTGTCTATCATTTCTACTCACATCTGTCTTTTGTATGGTATGTCGTATATTCACAATCCTGAGGAATTCGAGACGGTAATTTATATTATAAACTCAATTTGATGCAATCTACTTTTATAAGCTGCATTACGTTTCAGTATAGCAAAGTCAAGAATAACATTTTTCCGCTAAATTTAATGTAATTAAAAACTTAATTTCAAAACTTAAATTTTATTAAAAAATAGCATTTCTGTCAACTTTGGTATCTAAATATTATTTACGAAATTACATTTCGTTTACATTTTTTCATAAATATATATCTATTTATTTTATTATAAGAAGAATATTGTTTATTAACTAATACATGGTATACATTTTTTTAGCTAATTACAAATATACGGTATTTTTTAAGTGTAGCATATTTCTTGGTTTTGCCATTTTTTCTTATGTCGTCGTGGCTTTTATCACTGCAAATTTACAAAATTCAGGAGAAATGTGGCGAATTTACATTCAAACACGCTGGAATAATAATCATCAATAGGTATTTTAGGTAAGATTTTTTTTTCGTAAATCCTGGCAATAAGTTGGTAAGTTTCTAAGTTGATAAGTAATTAATTTTAGGTTTTCAACGGCTTATGTATTAATAGTCATAAGCTCTTCGGTTTGGACCAGAAGTTTTTACAGGAATTCATTGCAGTTCGATTTAGCTATAATAACACAAGAAACGTGTAGGAAAGGTTGGTTGTATAGTTTACTTCATTTGAGCAATTTTTCATACATAATGGATATAGTAAGTTTGTAACGTAAAAATATGTAATTGGTTTAACTAACTCTATGATTCGTTTCAGTGCCTACCTGTTACTTGGTATTTATCAGTAGATTTCCAACTACACGTACTTTACATTTTTGTAATGTATTTCGTTTTAAAATACAAATTGCCAGAATTCACGTCGTATGGGGTATTTTTAGGAGTATGTTGGATATTGCACGCCATTCTTTTGTATTATTATGACGTTAATTTGACAATGATGACGAATTGTAGGTAAATTGGTTACAAATACATAAATAAATTTAAATGCTATGTTATAAAAATTGTATTGCAGGAGTTTAGACTTTCGGAATCTGCGACAATCTTTACCATTTTTAATAGCCTATAATTCGACAGTGTCAAATATGTCTGCTAGTTTTCTCGGTGTAATATTCGGTGCAATATACTTTAAGTATAAACACATCAGAATCATAAGAATGATTCAGGTAGGTAATGAAAATTAAATTTTTAAATAATTAACACTTTCTATCGCAGATTTCCACGTATCTTTGGGTTATTTTAATTTTTGGATTGCCGTTGTCAGCTGTTTTCATAAACTTAATAGAATTCAACAGACGTGATTCCGCTGTTATAGGATCATTGATAAAACCTATATTTAACTTAGGAATGGGAATTGGAATTTTAGGAATGTCGTATAAATTAGGAGGTATGATATTTTAATTATATTTAATTTTAAACTGTTAAACTATCTTCAAACTGCCTTAAATACAATAATTGTATGTTGCAGGTAATATTAGGAAATTTCTTGAAAATAAGTATGCTGCCTTTTTAGGTAACATTTCATTTTGTACCTACATTAGCCACATGGTAATAATATCAATGAATTTTAAGACGACAAATTTCAATCTCATACATTTTGTAAGTACCTAGTATGAAGTATATATATGTATACATACTTTTATCTCAGATGTAATATTTATTTAAACATGTTTTTTCAGATTTTAGACATGATTTTCTTAATTCCGCCTTGCCTGCTCGTTGGATTAGTGATGACACTGCTCGTGGAAGAACCATTGTTAACTCTTCAGAAAAAGTTTCTTCCCCAAATAGATATCAGGAGTAAAAATAAATTAGAAGAAAGCAGTAAGAAAACAAATTAATTTTATGTTTCTTATACAAGATTTTTGGGTAGGTGCAAAGAGTTTTAATTACAACTTTCTTTAAATGTAACTATAAAAAAATAAAAAATAAAGGAATCCAAGAAATGGGGTAATACTCCTATTATGTAGGCTTTATCAAAGCCGGAAACATTCAGCAAATACAAGTCAGTGCGTAAGCTTGTAAATATTTCTAGAAAAATTGGTATTAATTTGTTTGTATTCAGGTAATTATTAAATGTCCGCCATTTTGTAACAGGTGCAGATATTGACTTTATATTCCAGGGTTGTACAGTATTTGTCAGTAGCTTCAAAATGATGTGTCACAAGACGCCCCTTTCCATTTAAATTTATTTCCCAAGATGGCGCCCAGTCGCCATCATTTTACTCCAAAATATAGTAATCATGCATTAGTTTCATTATCCCAAGTTTCAATTTTCTTAGTTGATCCGTTCAAAAAATAAAAGGGGGGTACATTAAAGAAATGCACTGTATAGAAACTGTGTAATATTAATTCGCAATTGTAATTCGCAAGTTCGGTATAAAGGTTAACACCGCGCACTTGCGAGTTAGTATCATGCAATTGCGAGTGATTATCACGCAATTTTAAGTTAGAGTTTCGCAATTGTAAGTTGTTATTTCGGAATTACTACATAAGTATCTCGCAAGTAGGTACGAGTTAAATAATTATTTTTTTGGTTTTTAACATGTCCCCAGGAAGCTTCCGTAATTTTCTGATAACCGTTAGAATTTATTGATTGTTCAAAAATTGGAGCAAGTGTTCTACCGAATATTTTGGCTGCGCTGCGTGCAACAAAATATCAGGCACTCGAATCGTATGAATTATAAAAGATTTTTTTAATACACCTAATTTACTTTCTCTTATGCAGCGACATGGCTGAATAATCTCTGTGAAAGCTAGTAGGTCGAATGTAACTAGACACACAATCACGGATTATGTTCAAACTAACGAATTTTACTCATTAGAAAACGTTAAAGATGTTACACGTTTTTAAAATTTAAGCAGTTTTACTTTAGTTTGGCACACCATGTACGAAAATGGTTATTTTTTTTCTCAATATCATCCTTGTGTTTGTTTTAAAGATATCTAGAAATTAATGTAAGTATTGTTTTGTGTTGATGAGACCTTACGAAAACGTGTCTATTTTTTTAACTTCATTCTCAATGCAAGGTAAATAACATGTATATATTTATTTTGAACATTAAAAAAACAAACGATCGATTCAATACTTCAATACCCTCCCCCCGCTCGTCTATAACAAGAGCAAAGGTTTAAAAGTGCGATGTTATTGCCATTATACTCGCGAGTAAAAATCTTGCACCGCGGTAAAGTTCCATTCAAACTAAACGAACGCAAATTGTCCATCAAATAATTTTTTGGAATCCATTTAATTTATCCATTATATCAGTAATGATTAGTACCTACTATCACTAATGTATTATAAATAATTATAACCTTGCAAATTTACTTTATTAATTCCATTAAACAAGAATGTATTAATAGGAAGTGAAGGTAGTTTATAGAATAATTGCAAACACTTCAGTACCAATTTCTCCAGTTTATACGTAAGTAGATACATATACATACCTAGCCATTTTAAGAAATCTTATTTCATTCAAACGAAATATTTGATGTAGTATATTTTATAACTAAATTCGAAGATTCATATATTCTTCTATTATTTAATTCATTCTCATATCGTGTAAATTTACATTTACAAATTGTACACGTTTGTAAATTTTTTAACTAATTTTTCTTAATTTAGTGTGAATATTTTGTAGTAATAATCAGTCAAATCTGTTGTCATGTTACCACCGATGTTCGAATGGGATGATGGGGACACATGTCTTCGAAACGAGGGGAGATTTTGCAAGGTTGAGGCTGTGCTGAATATGCCTAATAACAATTCGACCTTACTGAACATGCTTCAAGTAAATGTGACCAGTCGTAATCGTCATGACGCTTGTTATCGAATTATTTGCAGGATATTTTGCTAGACAAGACAAAGATGGATCGGAGTGTTTTACGCAGAGCGATATGTGTGCCGAAAGATGTGCAAGATACGAAGAGTTATCTAACTGCCAGGATAAACGAAAATTTGGAAAGTTTTAATCTAACAGCTGAAATTGACTACCAATATTGCACGGGCGAGAATTTACCGAATTTATTTGATTACGCCGTATTGTATATAATTTATTAATTTTAATGCTGATCTATTTAACAAGCTTTGTTGTAGATATGTACAGCTATTTTATATAATTTTCGTATTATTCGCAACAGTGTACAGCATCAATAGAAAATCTGAAATTTCAAGTATGGCAACGAATTTAATATTTGAAAATATCGTAATGTAAATAGAATTTGTCTGTTGCAGACTTCGGAAAATTCGTATGCTGCTTTTCTCTCTTAAGGAGTTGGAGAAAGCGAACGGTTATTTCGAAATCCGAGGATCATGTTAGATTACTGAGCATGCAGGGAATTAGAACTCTCGTAATGTTGTCTATCATTTCTACTCACATCTGTCTTTTGTATGGTATGTCGTATACTCACAATCCTGAAGAATTCGAGACGGTAATTAATATTATTTCACTAAAGCAAAGTCGATAACATTTTACTGCTACATTTAATTAAAATCATGAAAAATTTAGTAGTGCATTTTATTAACATTTACAATTAAATCTAGATGTTATTTACGAAATTACATTTCATTTCCCATAAATACATATCTATTATTAACTATTATTAACTAATACATGGTATAAATTTTTTTAGCTAATTACAAATATACGGTTTTTTTTAAGTGGATCATATTTCTTGGTTTTGCCATTTTTTCTTATGTCTTCGTGGCTTTTATCACTGCAAATTTACAAAATTCAGGAGAAATGTGGCGAATTTACATTAAAACACGCTGGAATAATAATAATCAATAGGTATTTTAGGTAAGATTTGTTTCTTTTCCCTTCAAACATGGTAATAAGTTTTTTTGAATTAATTTTAGGTTTTCAACGGCTTATATAATAATTGCCATAAGCTCTGCGGTTTGGACCAGATCTTTTTACAGGAATTCATTGCAATTTGATATATCCATAGTAACACAAGAAATGTGTAGGGAGGGTTGGTTGTATAGTTTACTTCATTTGAGCAATTTTTCATACTTAATGGATATAGTAAGTTTGTAACGTAAAAATACGTAATTGGTTTAACTAACTCTATGATTCGTTTTAGTGCCAACCGGTTACTTGGTATTTATCAGTAGATTTCCAACTATATGTACTTTACGTTTTTGTAATGTATATCGTTTTCAAATACAAATTGCCAGAATTCACGTCATATGGGGTATTTTTAGGAGTATGTTGGATTTTGCACGCCATTGTTTTGTATTATTATGACGTTAATTTGACAATGGTGACGAATTGTAGGTAAATTGATTACAATTACATAAATAAATTTAAATTGTTATAAAAATTGTATTCCAGGAGTCTAGATATACGGCATTTTCGACATTCTTCCGTATTTTTAATAGCCTATAGTTCAACAGTATCAAATATGTCGGCTAGTTTTCTCGGCGTAATATTCGGTGCAATATACTTTAAATATAAAAATATCAGAATCGTAAGAATAACTCAGGTAGGTAATGATAATTAAAATTTTCAAATAATCGACTTGTGTGGATTAAATAATTAACTCTTTTTTTCGCAGATTTCATTGTATCTTTGGGTCATATTATTTTTTGGATTGCCGTTGTCAGCTGTTTTTATAAACCTAATAGAATACAACAGACTTGAATCTTCTTTTATAGGATCATTGATAAGACCTATGTTTAACTTAGGAATGGGAATTGGAATTTTAGGAATGTCTTATAAATTAGGAGGTATGGTATTTTAATTATAATTTCTAAACCGTTAAATTATCTTAAAACTGCCTTAAATACAATAATTGTATGTTGCAGGTAATATTAGGAAATTTCTTGAAAATAAGTATGCTGCCTTTTTAAGTAACATTTCATTTTGTACCTACATTACCCACATAGCAATAGTATTCATTATGAATTTTAAGACTACAAATTTCAATTACATACATTATGTAAGTACCTAGTATGAAGTACATATATGTATACATACTTTTATCTCAGATGTAATATTTATTTAAACATGTTTTTTCAGATTTTAGACACGATTTTCTTAATTCCGCCTTGCCTGCTCTTTGGATTAGTGATGACACTGCTCGTGGAAGAACCATTGTTAACTCTTCAGAAAAAGTTTCTTCCCCAAATAGATATCAGGAGTAAAAACAAATTAGAAGAAAGCAATAAGAAAGGAAATTAATTTCATGTTTCTCATACAAGATTTTTGGTTACAAAGAGTTCAAATTACAACTTTTCTTAAATGTTACCATAAAAAAATAAAAAACGTATCTAAAAGGAATGGAATTATACTCCTATTATATAGGCTTTATCAAAGCCGGAAACATTCAGCAAATATAAGTCAGTGCGTATGCTTGTATTCAGTCCTTTTTTCGGAACACAATAGGGCGGAGTTCTTATTTTTACTTATCTCCTAGTGATTTAAGGTTATTGCATGTCCGTAACGTCTGAAAAGCTCCCTAACATTATACAGAGGCGTTGTGATGAAGAAATGTAATAACAAACCAATCGTTAATTCGTGCTATTTAAACATATTCGGCAGGATTTCGACGTGTGAATTTCTCCTTCTATTTTGAATACGCTCAGTCTAACTCCAAGTGCTTTATATTTATATAATCAGCAGACAGATCTGGGTTAATCCACTTTAGAACTACCCGTTTTAATTGACTTCACTCGCACATCCCATATATATATAGATAGAACCGAGTTAGGGCGATTGATTGGAGACCGAAATTAAAAACGAATTACTTGGGCATACAGAGGTACATAGGGGGACGTAAAAAAATTCGCTGATTACGAAAATCGACCTCTTTTCGCCAGCTAAATTCGTTTGAGTCCGTAAATCGAAATTAAAAGTAAAAATTTTGACAGATTTCTAAATAAATTGTTTGATCGACGTTTCCCGTTCGTTGGGTTTAAACAGAACTACACCGAAATGAGAGACTTTTTCGTTATTTCGATAAGTTCGTCGTTTTTAATGGACGAAAATAAAAGAAAATACAATAATTCGCAAAATTATATAATTCTCGGTCATTTGTACTTACCAAAAACGGAGAAACGATCAAATTATTTTTAAAAAACCTACACTAATGACAGCGGCGATGAACAAACTTCAAACTGTCAAAGTTGTCATTTCCGTTACTACGGGATACGTTGACATTTAATTTGATGTACAGGGTGTTTTTTCATTAAGGAAATCGGAAAAATTGATATACGGGGTGGTTTTTTTTCTAAAGCGAACAATTATTTAAATTTAAATTATAATATAGTACAGGGTGACTTGTATTTAAGAAAATGGTAATTACATAAACCGAGCGAGCGAAGCGAGCGAGGATCCGGCTATATAACTGTCTTTGCGTAGAACGCCGAGAGGCGTTCGAGCTGCGGGTCTATGCGGCAGAGCCCATCGTTACTCACAGCGACATAGTCGAGCTCGCGCAGCGAGCGAGACCTTAGTTATTTAACGGCCTTTGCGTAGGAGGCCGTCAGGCCTCCGAGCTGCGGGTTAGTGCGGCAGAGCCCATTGATATATACAGCGATATAGTCGAGCTCGCGCAGCGAGCGAGACCTTAGTTTTTTAACAGCCTTTGCGTAGGAGGCCGTCAGGCCTCCGAGCTGCGGGTTAGTGCGGCAGAGCCCATTGATATATACAGCGATATAGTCGAGCTCGCGCAGCGAGCGAGACCTTAGTTATTTAACGGCCTTTGCGTAGGAGGCCGTCAGGCCTCCGAGCTGCGGGTTAGTGCGGCAGAGCCCATTGATATTTACAGCGATATAGTCGAGCTCGCGCAGCGAGCGAGACCTTAGTTATTTAACGGCCTTTGCGTAGGAGGCCGTCAGGCCTCCGAGCTGCGGGTTAGTGCGGCAGAGCCCATCGTTATTCACAGCAATTTAGTCGAGCTCGCGCAGCGAGCGAGATCTGGTTGTTTAAAAAATTGATATACGGGGTGTGATTAATTTCCAAACGAAAATTCAATCGCACCGAGCTCGCGAAGCGAACGAGGATCCGGCTAGCAAACTGTCTTGCGGCGAAGCCGCCACCATAAGGAAGGGGGGTTGAAAGGGGGCACAGCCCCCTTTCCGAGCGTTTAGCGAGTCCGCTAGGATAAGATCACATTACTGCGTCGAGCAAGACCTAATTTTAATAATATCGAGCATTGATATAAGTACTAATCGAAATAGATGATGTATTTATTACGACACTGGAAGAAAACTCTTGACTGCATAATTATAAATTAACGTTGTTGATTGCGGGAATTTTTTCTCGAATTATCGAATTCTAATTACTGATTTCTCGGTTGTTTAAATGAAGGCGAAACACTCCAATCAATTCAAGCAATTATTTTCGATTTTTAAGGCGCTTAATAAAATAATCTAATAAATCCCGAAGGAGGAACGAGTTTGTCGTGGAAAAAAGTTTAAGAAATTGCATCAACGCTGGATGGAATATCCGAATCTCGTTTCTTCGAGAAATTTTCCTGGTTGGCAATTAATTTTGCATTTTCCGATTAAAAATTAATTGGGCACAATATAATGAAGATAATTTTATTGGAGTTGTTCCCTAATAAAATGAATCAATCACTACAAAAATAAATTAGAAAAATGTCATGTTATGCAATCTTGTTTCTAATAGAAATTTTGTTTATTCGACATTTCAGGATCTCTTGCACTAGAAACTGGAAATTTATCTAAAGCTTTGGCCTAGCAGAGCATCGATGAGCTTATTAGATGGACAAATTATGTTATATAAGATAAAAAAAGTTCTTGAAATTCTGTATTATTAATAAGAATCTCGCAAATTAGTGAAATACGGTATATAAGATTCGAAATAATAGCGTTCTAATAGTCAAAAAAGGTACATTTTTTTTAAACCGGCTAAATTTTAAATTCGGGCCACAGTGGAAACGCTATTGTCTGGTGGTATCTAGGCCAAGAAGAAAAGTCTTTTTCTAATCAGTTTCCGGCCCATTACCTTTTCATAATATCAAGAATTTTTCGTTCAAATAGGACTCTCTTGTTCTACACGACATTACTACCGCACTTTACGATTTAGATGGCAAAAAAAACAATAATTATACCGAAATATGGAAATATAATGCTTTATTTTTTACCAATTAACATTAAACTTTTGTCTCTAAGATTTTGATGGTTGTGGTAAAAATACACCTAGTCGTTATTTTTCGACGCTATCGCAAAATCCGCGTGAGATTGGTAAAACTTTTGGAACTGTTTTGTGTTAGTAAGTCGAGATGTCTAACAAAAATATAGAGTACCTAGCGATCTAGAATCTCGAAGATCCCGTATGAAGGTGCATAGGAAGCGGAAATATCCCCTATTCACAGCCGCAATTTTTTGGTCTATTTGTTATCCTTTGTAACCGTTACTGGTTTGGTGGAAAGCACGAAACGTTGATTCGATATATGCGAGACGACGCCCGGAGATTTATCTATGGAAAACATGCGAAGGAACGTTCGGCAGAACTTTTACCGCTGATTGATTGAGGTTTTAGATCGGTCTCGCGGAGAGATGAGTGTTTCGATTCTTTTCGAATAAGTTATTTATTGGCTCGCTCCGGAAGCGAAATAAAATAAATATTTATTTCTGTTTTCAAATTTCTGGGTTCGATCGCGCACAAACGAAGCCGAAACGCGGCGATATACCGGAATTTTATTTATCGGGAAGAACGGATTTTCTGATCCGGGACTGACAGCAGTCCGGATATTGTTGTTGTATCGAATTAATCATCTCATCGTGCGGGAGCAAAAGTTACATTTTCAACATCTACAAGCTGGTGTTGACTGGATAACTTGAAGAATGATGATTAATTAACTATCATCATTTCCTTACAAAATAATATGATTTAATTGTAATAAATCTTTCGTGTATTCAATTAGTAAATAAAATGATTTAACAATAATTTTTTTAAGAAGGAAAATTCTCCAAAGAAACAAAATCTTTGAAATAAATAACATTTTCTAAAGTATATCATTTTTATGACCTTTCAGAAAGTGAACATAATATGGACCACATCCAGATTTTTCCATTTGTAGAATATAATTAACTAATTCATCTTTCAATTCACTCGGTAATGTTGATTGCCTCCCATGTTTTGGGTGGTGATATCATTAAGTGATTTATTTTGGGTGTATGTTTTGGAAGCATTCAAGAAGCCCATTTTCTTTTCTCGTGCATTTTTATTTGTCTCCGCCATTGCGTTTTTTTATCCCATGCTTGTCTGGTCTTCTCTACTGTTTTAAAATAGAATATTAAATAAAGTAGAATATTAAATGTGTTCCATATTATAACCGGTCCATATGTGGCGCACTTACTCTAAGTAATTAATTTATAGTATGTAGGTACCTTTCTATATTAAACAATGAAGGACTAATTCGAGGAAAGCAAACCGACTCGGCTTTTCTTGGGAGCGCCGGAAAGGCGTCAATGGAAAAAATCTTTTCAAACTCGAAACTGGTAATTAGATTTCGAATTGAAATTTTATCGAAAAAGCGCTACTATTAAGAGGTTTTCGAGGCGAAAAAAAGTTTATGAGGGTTCATGGAGTGCGAATCGTTCCCAGAAACTTTTTCATCTCGTCCTTCGGAATGGATTCTTTAATTCCCTTTGTATGCGGGAAACGATCGTCAATTAAATTGATAAATGACTAAAATAATTTATTGAAACGAGAAGACAATGATCGTTCATTCGGATTCATTGTACAGGGGTGTGCGCGTTTATGGACGGAAATCTATTTATTTGAAAAATTAAATCTGTTTAAAACATTTTGAAGTATTTTTTCCTAAATTTGGTCATTTGGATGGTCGAATTTTGGGTCACTTACTGAAATACCCGAGTTGGATTGAGCAATCCTTGGCAGTCTAGTATCCTTGACGCTACCAGCACTGTATATTTTACATTCATGAGCGACTTTTCAATATTAGCTTCAATTCATTCTGGTAAAATAACATAAATAAAAACTACGCGGTTATATTTCTGAAATTTAATTTCACTATATTTAGTTTCCCCGTTTTACAAATGCCGATTTAATTGCTCCCGCATCAACTAGGACAAGTACTCCGTTAGAAGTTGAATAAAACGAATAATGCAAGAAATTCAATTATCCCGATATAAATTGATGAATTTATTTATCTCCATCGACATCTAGAAACTGGTTTGAATTGAATGTAACGTTGATTACGAAGGAAAAGAGGGATAAAAATCGGCACAAAACTATGTTTCTCGTTAGAATTGCATCTATTGATTTGGAACAAAAATATATAGAAGAAAAAGCTAGTCCATGCATATTTAGTGAGAGATGTTAAAGAAATATACAAATTGTTATTTTATTTAAATGAGTTTTTATCGTTTGGCGTTATGTATAAGTAGATTACTACCTACAGGTATATTTAGCTGGATCAAGAGTATTTTTTATAATTACAAAAAAATACCCCAAACAATTTATGGTAATTTCACGAAATCCTTTAATAAATACCTAAATGCGAAGTAGAAATCATCTTCTCCGACTGTTAAGTACTAAATCCTAAACAAAAACATTTTAATTTTTCAGGAACTCACTGAAAACTAACGAAGCCGGCTCGTTTGTATCGCAAATTACAGCGCTAAGTGGCATTAATAAAAAAAAATCCGTTTCGAATTTTACCGCAAAGGCGGAGAGAAATTAAAATTCAAATACAGTAATTTGGCATGCACCGCGCAGATTGTTGGAATATTACAAAGTGAAAATTATGCAGGAATTTCGTCGACTACGGGTAGAAAATAAAATTCTCCGTGTTCAAGATTATTTCGAATTTTTGAACATTACGTCAAGAATTTTTGAAAGTTTTCAACAACTCTTAGGAATTCACAGTAATGTTGATTATATTTCTAGCTCCAGATGCAGATATATTTTATCAAAGCACTTTATTAGTTACACATAATTACAGCGAATTGTCTTCACTGTATGTAGACTTAACTTTAACAATTACAAGGCCCAAACTTGGCGTAGAAAAATTTTATTCTAGTTCACTATTATGCGAGTAGTTTCCCCCTTAAATCATCGAGGCAACGTCTTGAAAATAGATCGTCTTATTCACCCTAAATAATGCCTTTGCACGGATGTATCTCCTCGGAGAATACGCAAAATAGCAATTAATACTCGGAGCATTTCAAATGTTGCGTACGTGAGGAAAGAGACTAATTTCGCGGAACAGGACGGGTCCCATTTGTTTCGCCACGTACAGGCAATGCAACGAAAAGTAATGATGAAATTCACGCACCACCGAAATGTAATGATTAAAAATATCAATTTTACTGGATGGCAAGGTGTTACAATGAGGGAAGGTTAATGAGGGTTGAATGTGTGATGACTGTATAAGTCAAACCTTTTCTGGGTACCTACCTACTAATTGAATAACTTTCTAATGACTTCTCTTTAGCTCTTTAGCAATTACCTAACAGATTGAGCAATATTGAAAAGATATCTAAATTTAACTACATTTACATTCTTATATTACATGCAAGCTTAATTTATTTGAATCTACCTTAGCGGCCATAAATATTCATTGATATTCGCATTGTTCCGCAGTTAATAAATAATATTTATATAGCGGAAATTCTACACGATTATGCGTCATGTCGAAATAGGGCCGGCGGAACGTAATTACACCAATTAAATAAACGACTTTTGTATGCATGCACTGTATAGTGCACGATTCAGGATCGGTTCTCACTTTGGTATTTAATGAATATACGTGAAACACAGCTAAGATTTAATCTGCAAATTGCATGAATTACACATTATTAAACGCCGAGACTGTTAACGAGGTGTGAATGTTAGTAAAGGTTAATTGAATTTATTTATTTCTATATAGCTTCTAAAAATCGATGTATAGGTTAGATTTAAATGAGAAATCAATCTGCGTCCCTCGGCTGGTTTAATTAGCTTTTGAGATCAGATAGGAAGTCATTATTGCGCTTCTATTATTGTTTATAGATCTGACATTGAAAAAAATTGTTGCATTTCCGCGTCGATGGTTTTTTAACTTGGAAAATAATTGTTACATTATGTCTGTTGAAGGTCCTAGTACGAGCTAGTAATGTGTTTACGGTACTATTTGTATATAGTTTGTATTTTATTGGTAAGTTCGACAAGATTTTGATAAAAAATATTAAAAAATTACTAAGATAAACCCTTAGTTGGTAAAAGTAATCTCTTTCTAAGCAATCGCAATAAAAGTTTGAGATTGAATTCGTGAGTACAAATAGTTTTATTGATTTTAGTAGATTATTTTCTTGAAGAGAAACTAAACGTTTCATGGAAATGTATCGAGCAGCGATTTTCTCTTTTCCTCAGAAAATAAAAATTGTAAAATAACTTATTCAATTTCAATGAAGTATTAGAAGGTCGATAGAGCACGTTCTTTAATATATATACGTACATAACTTTAAATTCAATCTTTTCAATAGGTGCCCGACCCCTAGAAAACTTCTTTCATTTCCATTCGGCAGACTTATCAAAGAGAATGTCACATATATCTTAAAACTTACAATTCAATGTTCTACTTTCTCAGTTCCTTACCGAAAAATATTGAACCGAGAAGATAGAAAAATATATTTAAGAACTCGTTTAAGCGAATACGTCGTCCTCAGCCGAACGGAAAGCGAATAAAAAGTTTCTTTTGTACGGCATAACAAGCTTTTCGTCTAATAAAACTTAACATTTAGCGAACGTCAGTTTGCCGTCGTCGAATTCGACTCGACGAAATTGATTGTGAAAGTAGTTCAATCGTATTTGAAATCATTCTAGGTGGTAGATTTAATTTTCCCCTTTGGACCTGTTTTATAGCGGAAAATTGGTTTAAATGTTGCATTCTTTAAATTTCCTATCCGTAACTTCGCTACTAATTAAAGGTAATTTTCCTTTAATCCAAATCATATTGCTGGTGCTGTGTAACAACTGCACACTTAAACTTGTTAATTAACTTGCTAATTTTCAGATTCGCGATGTCGCCGTTCAAATTACCGACGATGACCCCAATACTAATACAATCTCTTCCTTTTCCACCATCCCTTCATCTCATTATGCTCCCGAAACTTCCATGACGTATCCAATTTCTAGTTCGGAGAGCCGGTTGCCAATTACCATAGAAATACTTCGGGTGTACGTACCACCTGGGATCGGTAACGCCGTGAAATTGGTATGGGGCAGAGAATACGACGATGATGTCGGTTTAAATGCCACCTACGGAGTGCATTACGCCAAAGATGGTCAAGATTTAACAGGTACAATTAACGAAGCTGTTGCATAGCATGCGGTTAACCGAGCTATTATAACGCGCGGTCTACGTGCACACGTGTGATATACCTCAATTTTTCTACAGTACCAAAAATTACGACGACCAACCGGAGCGCAGTCATTGAAGATTTGGAGTTTTGTACGAAATACAATTTCGCTGTTTCGTTGGCTAACGAACACAAAATTAATTCGAACAACATCCGAAGTGTTGTGACTTATATGGATCACACGGCGCCGCCGAAAAACTTCCAGGTCGACTTCGAGCCCAGAGAACCGCCGTGTTTGCTCATCAGATGGTCCGCGTCCTGCGCAAATATTGGACAAGCTATCGGATACGTTGTAAGTTTGTTTCGCTATGTTTTTAAAACGCAAAAGTACAGCTTGATACAATAAAGGCGAAGTGGAGCGTGCAGAAACCAAAACACTACCATAAAGGATAAAAAATTAATATTTAGATACAAGATTTGCAACAATCAATTGAAAAGGTTTGAAAATTTGGGTTTTTGGTGCAAAAAAATAATGTTTGTAGGTATGTAATGATTTATTCAGGATGTCTCAGTTAGTACCTACGGAAATTGCATTAAATTACTAGTGTTCAAAATTCTCGTCTAATGAAAGAAATAAAATTGGAATTTTAATTGCCGATATCGCCATGTAATTTTCGAGGATATTCCTTTTATTTCAAATGGCAAGTACATATCACAGTGCAGCTAAGCCAATTTTAATCAAAAGGATTTCCAATATTAGCCTTAGACGTCCCGGATTAAAGCTAATGTCGACTGAAAGCTAATAATACCCATTTTGAAACGACCAAATAAGTTTTACAACTCATGTGCAATTATAGAGTGTCTGCCGAACTTGCTCTTAAGTAGAAGCAGGACCGGTTAGGTGAAATCTTACTGTGTTTTCTACAATAAAAATCTTACTGTATTACCAATACATTGAACAGCTGTTCATACATTTGTACTTGATTGTTATTACCTCTATTTAGTCATTATTTTTTATAAGTATTCTAATTATTATTGCTATTATTATATGGCACATCGTCCAGTCCTGACCTAAGTCGGGGAATGTACTTTTGTAATAACACGAGATATTAGCCAATATCGTCTCTTGCGGTACGCAGATGTTACATTCATGAAGTTACATTCGAACGTGCACTGGAAATTCGGCTCGTTTCATATGAAAGTCGTATGAAATAATGAGAAAGGAAAATGTGTATACGTATAATATGCTGGATACAGTAAATAACATGTTTAATTAACTATACGAAATGCTAGTTTTCTATTATTATTTAATCTACTGTTTTATTTAGCTGAGACTTTTAAATGTACCGTGCTAAAATCTTAATTACTTCATCAGAATTGTTTAAAGTACTATTTAGGTACATTACGGGTAATATTTAGTAGTGGTTGCAAAAATGATTAATTAAAGGTTAAAATTTCGACATTTCTGACAGTAAGTGCGGTTAATAAATTATTACCGAAAGGGCTGGTTATTTACGTACCATAATAATTTAATGAAGGTTATATACTGGAGGCGAGCCCGTTTACATAATTTCCTAAAATGCTGAGTTGTACTAATTAAGTTATCTGGCCCTATCCACGTGTTCATTTGTGAATTCTTACGGAAGGACAGGTAAAAACCCGGGCACTAGATGTACTAATTGAAAGCGCTGGTACAAGAGAAACGAGGAAAATACTCTCGCAGCTTAGCATCCAGGATGATGATTTTTCACATTATACGTTTCTTATTATACGAGTCGAAAATACGGAAAATTCGAAACGCCAAAATATCAAAACAAACCGGACCAAACGTAATCTGCAGGAAATTGCGAACATACTAAAGCAGAAAATTTAATTGGTTCCATAATGGGAAGCGTCCTCGACGTTCCTGCGACGCGTCAGCGAACTCGAATACCCGGAGGAAAATGATTTATTTTCGGCTCCTTTCGGCCAGCTCTCTAGTTTTTTACTATTGCAATAGTACTAGTTACATTTATAGATCTAACATATTTCCAGATATCGGCTTTCGATCACGATTCGACGCGCTACCGAATGGTCACTTTGCCAGCGAGCAACCGCGCGGATCTTCTTTACCATTTCCAGGCGTATTACGGTGCAAAATTCGACATCAAAGTATCTACGAACTTTCCGGGGTCGAAAGCCGCAGAAGCTGTCACATACAAAGTCCCGAATTTCCTGCAACCCTACAAAGTTAGGGTCACGTCGAACCCGGAGGCTGGAGCTTTCATGATCTATTGGCAGGAGCCCTATTTACCCTATTTTATAGATAGGCTCTATTACGAGGTTAGTAATGTTTGATTAATCTTTGATTCCAATGTACAATTGATTCAACGGTTAATGTGCTGGTATGTAATCAATTGTTGCTTCCAGGTTTATGTGTACCGAGGTTATAATATTTCGGAGGATTATGAAAAATTTTACGTCACCAGACCGGTGTTAATTTACAAAGGAAACGAGAGTTTGTATACTTTCAGCGTTGGATCGGTGTCTTATGATGGGGAATATCGATCATTATTCACTGATCCTATAGCAGCGGATTTGTATGGAGAAGTGCGACAAATCAATGTACCATGAAGCTTGATTTCATTGCCATTAATCGTTTTGGAATAAAAATAATACAATACATTCCAGTCACTTACGTTTTAATTGTGATTGTTAAACATATATTAACAGTAATATCGTAAAACGGATTATTATTTTTCCACTTCAGTTAATATAATTTAACTTTTAATAAATAATTTAAAGTGTTTAACAGTCAAATAAATAAGCAATGAAATCGGTAATCAATTCGTATTTTTGATCATGTATTATTGATTTGAATTTAACCTTTTATTATTATTAGCATTTTGCAAAATTTTATTCCGAATGGGAAAATTCACTGTAAAATAGCTTTGAATAATATTTTAATAAATCAACGGTTTGTCATATGAAATTAGGCTGCAATTTAATTTTACATAAGTTTTTATACGAATCGATTACAGATTTTACAAACATAATAAAAAAATTGAACAATTTACATTTTATGTAGTTTTTAGACAATATACATGACATTAACGGTTTTTTTAAGTAATATGTACAACATTATTATAATGGGTATTGATTTGAATAATAAAAAACGACAAAGGTGGTTCCCTTGAAGGTCCAGACAAATCTGAAATCATACAATTATAAATTAATTTTCCCGAGTAATCCAAACTATGTAGGTACTATAAATAAAAGTAAATTTTTCAACCGATGATACAAAATTACCTAAAATTAATCTAAAGAGATGTTACAGAAAGAAAACGAACAGTGATTTATTGAGAACATAAACACGAATGAGGACGATAATAAATAAATGAGAGAGTCAAAGAAAAATATCCGATGGTGATAAGAAAGTGAAAAATTGAAGAAAAAAAGAACATCATATGCTTACAAATGACGATAGATGATTCAACATATGATCGATATTCTATAAGGTCTCAAATGATCAAATAATCCATAGACACGATAAAACAAACCCTTCATGAATTATCATGTTTTGAAATTTTATAATCACCGGGCGCGCTTAATTTAATTGAAGCCAATTTTCAAAGCTTGAAGAAAATTCGAATCAATTTATTTAAATAGCGGAAGCGACAGAGAATATGAACAGGAATATGAAAAAAGTAACATTAGATAATCCGTTTTGTAGCATTACGGCAGGAAAATCGACTAAAAGAAAACTCTTTGTCGAAAGTGTTGCAATTCATTATGCAGGATTCCGCATCTTCCTTTTTGTAACCGATTCAACAGAACCGGACTCTAATTTTTCAGGCAAATCATTCATATTTAATTTATTTTTACCTTGCCATTGTAGTAATTTGGTAATGTTATTCATCAATACGAGTATAAATAATTACAGCAAATTCAAGTGACATCAAACTACCTTTTAGTCGAGGAAAAGATGTTGAAATTTTCAAACTCTTCTACCTGAGTCCGGCTATGTTTAATAAAAGTACATTTTTTCCTCTGTTTGGAGAAAACGTTAGCTGTGATTCTGTCGAGAGAAAATTAAATGACGTACCGCCGTGCCGTTTGTTTACTTTCTCCAGTTCAGACTTTATTGTGGAAAAAGTAGTTGAATGTAAATGCGTGCTTTGAGAAATCTTCGACGTGGAATGAAAAAGCTACGGTCGTACAACGAAAAATCACACAAAAGAAACTCCAAGATTATTTATCACTAAACGGAAATTTCATATTTTCTCTATGTATCTCTACGAAATTGCTTAAAAGTAAAATATTTAAAAAGAAAGTAGAATAGTAAATAAATTGGAGTTGTGTAGCTACGAACCTAAAACAAAACCATAACATCATTCATGATCAAGTTCAACAGCAAGTCCTTTTTTTTGTTGAGCACCAAAAAACACATAAGTCCCTTCTAAAATCACTATATGCGGAATTTTATTTACACCTTCGGAAATTCACTCAACATTAAACTTTAAATTGTCAATTAACTGTCATTCGTAGGCCCTTACGGGCGTCGTGCACTGCGCGTGTTAGTATTCACGTAATCGCGCCGGTCGTTTCCTCCAGGATTTTACGGTGCAGCGACGGCGACGAGGATACTTAACAGGACGGCTGACAAAGGATATTCGAGTCTGAGCTGTCCTCCGTGCTGCATTGCCGCCGGATGTTCTCCTGAAACAAGGACACACTAGCAGATTTTCGAATCGAAAATACCTACTCTAATGATTTACTTGTTTAGATGAAAAAAATGGATTAATTATAATGCATGTATGTAGGTGTGTAGGATATTGCAGTATGTGTAAAATAAAATTATAGGTAGTGCTGTGAAGCAGTAATAGGTTTAGCGTAAATGCATTGTACGCTACTGCAGTGTTTTTAGATCTGTTTAATGGACTCGAGAATGTGCATTAGAGCAAAAATTGTATCGAATTTTTGATGTTGCTTTTTTAATCCCTCCATAACCAAAAATATTATTAATAATTTAGCTTAGAATTTAGGTTAAAAAGTTACCTATGAAAAACGAATTATACTTCCATAATTTTTTTTAACCAAATCGCCGTCAATTTAATACAGCTCGAAAATAATAAACCCGAACATAATTCAGGTTTACAGTCCATAACGACACTTTCGTCCCGGTAAAACTCGTCCGTATAACTTTCGAAAAGTTTAACTCCGAGATAATTTTAACGATCATCAAGAACGCCGACGTTTCAACAGTTAAACCTTGAACGGGGGGCATTTCCATTTCGCGAATGTTCATACAATAAAAGCGGAGCGGGCGAAACTTTCCCTTTTCGAAGGAATTGCGCTCCGCAATTGGGGAAGTTTCGCAGAATTGACCCGCAGCCCGCCGTCGGACGCGCTTATCAATGAACGTGCCAGGTGGAGAATAATTATCATCCCCCGTATACAAATTTTATGTTAATTTTGAATTAATCGAATTATCAAGTGAAAATGTGCAAAAATACTAAATATCGCTCTCGGAGGACAAATAAATGACTCTTGAGTGAACAATTGACTTCTAATCACAGTTAAAAATATCCTATGGGAGAGAAAAATCTATTAAAAGCCCTAGGTACTAGGTACCTATAATAAATACTTCCAATCGATAGAAGAATTAAGAGAAAATGGTGAGTACAATAGAGTTAACGGCAGCAAAAATGGAATAAAAACATTTGTTTTTGATTAAACTCGGAGGGTAAACAGCCGAACATAAAAAATTTAATCGGTTTAATTTTTTCGCATTTTTTATGCGAGATTTCGTTTATTTAATAACGTAGTTGAAAGTTATTAAACGGATTCAAGATAAAGTAGATCGATTTTGAAAGTTACGTTAAGAATATGAAAAGGATTTTCGTCTTTATGGCTCCTGCCTGAAATTAAAGGAGCAACGAACAATTTTTGTTCAAAAGTGAAAATTGCAGTTTAATAATGGCGTATTACTTGTTTACTAAATTCCTCCTCTCAGATAGACGATAATTTAGTCTCTCATTACGTGCAAATATCATATCAGAGTCACAGAATAAAAAATATACATTTGTTTTAAACAAAAATTTTAATTGAAAATTCAACTACCATAAAATGAATTTGTAATTATTATATTTTCAATTTAATATCCACCTTTTAGAATTATTCATTTAGACTTCCATCAATGAGTACTTTATTTTCGATTCGGCTTTTACTTAAAGTTATTCCCAAAATTAAGGACTGAAAGTTGAGAAGGAATGGCAAGATACCGGATACCTTATTACGTCGAGTTCACCTTCCCCGTTAATAATGTACCCTTCCAAAATGGATGGTGGATCTAATTTAAAATTGTTAATCTGCAAATCTGGAAGAACTCGTTAATTTTATTATAAAATAGAGAGCTAAATTAAGGTGGATTTACCGCTTAATCTTGCGCTTATTGTTGGATTGAATTAAAAATTCAGATATTTGAAATTCCTGATTTATCAAGAAAAAAGTTGATATCTAAATTTCTGCAACCAAAAACTTATAAACCTAATAGCTATAATTAAACCAACAACAATATCTTTATGGGAAGAAAACGGCCTGTCGCCGAAAACCTACAGCCCAATTTTTTCAACAAAGCAAACACATTTTCCCGGCAATATCCTTGACAAAACAAAAAAAACAAAAGTATTCACTAATGGTTTTGACCCGGCGTTTTCCCTTCCTAGAAATGCCCTCTTCATTAGAACCAGGCGGTCCTGCAGCACAGATAAGAACCCTCTATTATATCATATTGTCCGTTATCCGCTAATGCCGAACGAAAATTCGCTGAGCCGCCTTATTTCGGACCACTCCGTTAATTTTTTCGTTAGATTTGCTATGAGTAATCCATTCTGATTTTCGGCGCAGATTAGCCGGCTGTTTCTGCCGGAAAAAGTTACTTTTTGCTATTGTTCCTTTCCGCTTTAGATATATCTTAATTTATATCGGCGCGCATTTGGATGAAAGAGACTCGAAACGGAAAAAATGAACAAACCATATTATTTTTACAAATATTACACAAAGTCTGACATCGAATAGATAAAAAAGGCAACCAGTAAGGATAATTTCATCAATTAAGTTTGTATATGCGCTATACTTTTATGTTTCATTTTTGTGACCTGGTTAGGTACAGAGAAAATTTACATCGACAACGAAAAATCCCCCAGCATGAATCATGTTCTTAGCATATCAATAAAATATTGTATTTTACGATCCTCGTTGAGTGAATTTTCACTGTAAACTCCCCGTCTGACGAACTAATAAAATTTTTACTCGCAATTTAAACCGATGCCGAAACAACTCCCACAAAAAAACAATCAATAAACCCTTAAGATTTTTCGCCTCGACGTTTTCACAAGATATTTAAGCAGATAAAAAATTCGAATATTTTTCATCGTTCGACGCTTCTGATCGTCACAATCCTCCTCGACGTGTTTATTTTCGGTCCACATCTGCACGGACACTCGAAGGCGCAACCCTTTCAACCAGGAAATAGAAATCCCTTCGAAGTTAAACGAAGGGCCGCGGGCGAATTGTTACGTCACTTCTTTATATCGAGCTCGCGTCTCTCTCCCTCCCGACTTTATGGTAAACAAACTTTTTTTTACGGTCTGCAAGACAAACAGAAACGAAACTCGCGAAAATATGTATTCATTTCGAAGGCTGCCGAGATTGCTGAAACCGATTTTCGCGAGGGAAATGAACAAGATGAAATGAAATGTGGCAGTAAGTCTGAACCAAATACAGGGTGTTCCTGTTCTAATGACGTAAAGCTCTTTTTTTGAAGACAGAAAAACAGTTGCTACTATTTTGAATCTGTTAGGTCTATCTAATTACATACATACATGTAAATTCCATTAGTCAACATCAGTAATTGGCTTTTATTCACTATCAAAATAATATACTTAGTTAATTTGTTTTGTTGATTTTATGCAAATATTTATCAATCATTTTGATGTTCATTTCCTAGTTATTATAATGCTTGAATGTGTCTATAAATTATGTTTAAAATAAATTCATGTGCTAATTTAAATATAAAATTAAAATGATTCAGGCTTCACTAAACAAAGCCCTCTAAACCCAAAAATGTGGAAATTAATGTTTTTTTTATCTTCAGTGTACATGCATGATTATAATTGGCATTATTATACATGCTGTTTAATAATAATATATTTCGAAATACATTACTCCAATAAAGATAAGCAAAAAGTAGACAGTCGATACAAATAAAATACTCTAAAATACATTAAGAACATCAAATTGTGAACATTTTTTAGACCACTTTCGAAATACGCCAGTAAACACGTCAATAAATGTTGGAAAGTTGGCAACCCATTCGACAAGTTCCCGGACGATCCGGGTAAAATCGGACGAGTGCCTTTGATCCGGAAACAACTTGTGTCGATTTTACGTCGCTACTTTGTGCATTCTTATGTCACGTTCGGAAAATTCAATATTAACGTACATATTTTGGTATACGCTACTGACAAAAAATAAACAAACTTTGATCGACAGCCAAGCCAAAATAGAATCGTAACTACATTAAACATACATGTTACGTTTGTTAGGTAGAGTTACTTTTAAAGCGAGTTACTTTTAATAATTATCCTGTAATAAACCAGTTAACTATATACTTATTTGAGCTGTTAATTGGAAGGATTCCTTTGATGCTACTTCAATCTGTGAAAGTATGAAGAAGTGTTTGAATATGCATTTACTAGGTACAATTTTACTTCCTCATTCCGTTGTCGTCCTTTGGCGGTTGGTTTCCTCGAGGCAGCGACTTCTTTTAATTAATCCCGGAGAAAAGACGCGCACTATTTCATTAGAAACCTCTTATCAATTTGTTGTTTCCACTTGCATTCACCGGATGTTTATTGCGAAAGTCGAGCCCGGCCTCGTTCAAATAAAACAGTGAAATTTCCATTTCATCGGTAAGGAACGAGGCCGATGAGAACAAAGGACGGAAGGAAGGAATATCCATGTAAATTTTCCAGTGGATCCGAATCTTTTGCAAATGTATACGGGACGAAAGATTTGCAGGAAGTCTGATTCGGCAACTGTCTAACTTTCGTACCGCCCTTTCAGTACGCGCGGTTGATTTTATTCGATGGATTTCAGGCATGTACAACAATTATGGGTTAAATCTTTAAAAGCGATATACCATTAGGTACCATAATTATTTGGATTTTAGTTATTATTCAGTTCAAATAGATATAACTTCACTAATATCTATCTATCTCTAACTACACTAATAATTATTAACGTTCGACTTTTATGCCATAAATAATTGAATCATAGCGCATGAGAGGAACTCTCGAATTAATGATTGATTTTTGACACGCTGTTGGTGTAAGAACTAACTTTGCAACGAACAATGATATTGGAAACTCATCGAAACAAGAATTGATTTTATCGTTAATTGCTTCCCCAGATTGAAATAACAGTCCGATCGAGTTTTCGTACCAAATAACAATGTAATTATCGGCTATCGCGAAGCCGCCTCGTTCTATAATTGAAACTGCACCAAGTTGATCCGATGCACTGGAATCCAAAGTAAACTATTGTCGTTTCTCCTACGATTTACAGGGTCGTATTACAACTATCGCAGCCGCTATTCTTTTATTATTTTATCCACCATTACAAAAAAAAATTAATAATACGCATCGAACTATTCT